GGTTATTTTCTGATATACTAGGGGTATCTTCAGCGAAGACTTTTTAAAGCATTACTATCGTATAATTTTGGTGAGGTAGAGATGTTGCCATGATAGAAATATATATATGTATATTGATTGGATCTTTTCTTTGGTAGAAAGGAGAGGATCGATATTATCGTGTGCCTCGTTTGGGACAGGCGAAAATGAGTGAGTGTATGGGAGAGGATCTTGCTCTTAGATATGGCTACAGTGAATGAAAAAGGGAAAAGGGAATTAAAAAAAAAAGAGGAGGAGAAGCTATTTCTGGCTGGAAGGAAGGATAGAAGAATGGAAGGATAGATAATTTCTTATTCCCATCATCAATAAGGTATTCATGCGTCTGTCTTGGATCCGCATACGGAGTACATAAGTAGGGAAATATGTGCAGTGACTATTTGGAGTTGCTGGTCTGAGCGAACTTAGTAAGTAGCGCAAAGGGCCATGTTTGTGAGATTAGAATGGGGAAATATATATAGGTTCTGTCACGTCAGAGTCCAGAAGTGATTGCTTTTTGAAATATCGCTTCTTCCGAGCCCAGTATAGAGAAAGTTCGTAGTGTTGGGATAGTAGTGCTGCATGTTCCTCGTTGCTGCGCCCATCCTCATCATGATTATTATGTCAGAGAGGGAAAGGGGCCTGGTCTGTTATGAGTAACTAGGGAACTTTGAGCCACTCAAAACCTACTAATAAGTACTATGACGGCGGAGCGGAATCATCCGTATCATCCCTAAAAGGCCAATTCCGCCAGCACAAATCCCGCTCATGCTCGTCCGCTTGGCGGGTCATTTCCAATCTCATCTCGCGGTTCCGGTGCGCCGCCCACTCGAAATTCTCTGGCGCGGTGCCGCCTTCGAGATCCACACCTAAATGATCTCTAATGGTAGATAGCATTTTTTCAGACTCGTTCCATTCATCGGAGTCCTCTTTTGCGGTTTGTCGCTCTTGCTCTGTAAATGTCACTGGACAAGGAACAGACGATATCCTATTCCAAATGTGTGGAGTTGCGATACCGATAAGAGCCGCCCGGAGATTGATGAGATCGGCATCCCATGGATATCCGGTTTGTTGGTATAGGTACTGTCGCATCCCCAGGTGAGGGATTTGGAGGGCACTCATGTGCAGATCATTGTATATGCCCGTGGTTGCTGTGTAGTACAGATTGGCTTCCTCTAAGCGAAACTGGGTCTTGATCTGGGTCTGTTCTGTAATGCTTAGATGGTTGAAATTGTCGGGGAGCGATGGACGCTGTAAGCTTTGAGTCTGCGATACATCGTGTTCACAAAAGGCGGGATATCCTGCTTGCAGGGAAAGCGGAAAGACGACCGCATCCTGCCAGTCTAGGATACTGGTAATTTTCGTGGAGCCGGGCTCCAATAGGATATTGGCCAGGCTCAGATCTGGATGTCGGAGGGTGGGAGAATTATGATGTGACTCTGTTGGTATCAAGTAAGAGGCGATTTCCTGGAACTTCGAAAGAAGTGAGACATGTTCAGAGGGGTTAATATTATGTAGTGTTGGAAGAAGAAATGTTTTGCGAGGCTGGGATTTTGCATGATGCAGGGTACAAGCCGTCTCTCGACGAGCTGCAGAGGTAAAGCAATCTTTGGAGGAAAGCCCTGTTGTCATGGTAAGCTTTGTTTGTATGTCTCAAGTGAAGTGAACTCACAGGGCCCACGATCTACTTTGGTTTTGTTTCGATCACCATGCCAGAACTGCCTTGTCGCGACAGGCCCAATGTAGAAGTCTTCGACTGGTATCGGAATCTGCATCTCACCTTGAATGTCCTTTTGACGATATAAACTTCCATATCCCGGTAATGGGTAGGCGAAGACTCTCTGTTCCATCTCTACTATTTGTTTCATGACACTCTTCACCTCTTCGGTAGTAAGAGATAGCCATCTTGACGCTAGGCTGACCCCCTCTATCCGTTCCATTATGATGTATTCTGCGCCCACTGGATTGGTCGAAGACGTTGAGTACGCTAGAACCTTTGGTATAGGTATTCCGAGAATAACCCGTAAAAAGTCCATGGTAGCAACCTCACTGGCGGTAGTGTAGTGAGAGGGACCGGCGATGGGAGTAGGAATTCGCGCAATTACTTCTTTACCAGAATTTCCTCTCAAAAGGAACACTTTATTAAAGCCCCCCTCTGCAAACTTGATCATAGAAGGGCAATGGTCTTCTCCAATTGCTTGAGCAGCGACACGCCGAAGTTCATTCGGATCGAATCTGACGTATCTTTCCTTGAGTCGCTCTTCCTCGTTCATTCTGGCAGATAGGTTAGCGACCTGGGTTAAGGGGAGCTCGAGGTTAGCCTAACATCCATCGACGAGAAGTATTTTCGAAGAAGTCATCGCGGGGAGATGATTGACTAGACAAACGATGGCGTGATGGTATTGATATAGGAGGTTTCGCAGTAAAGCACGGTCTGAAAAGATAAGAGGTAAGTGACCTGCTTCTAACGGTAGATTGAATCTGAGATCTGAACATATCTCGAGAGGAAGAGGGTAAACTATAAATTATTTGGTAGAAAACAGCAATACATATGGTAGGTATGAAGATGACCATCCCTGCCAAGACTCTGACCGCCTTAGATTGTTTTGGTTTCTTTTGTAGATGAATGCAAGTTGGACTATGGCCGAAGGAGATCTTTGGCATGAGGCTAAAGAATTCCCATCATATTGCTCAGAAGCCTGGAAGTGTATAGATGCAGGTACTTGAGTTGCAATCAGAACCAGGTATCTAGACAGCTCATACAATTATCCATCTAAGCTATTGCAAGGCCCACAGACCATTGTCAGGAGACCCACCGAGAGGGTATACTCTATGCAGACATTCACGACCAGGAGTAATGCTTCACTGCCAACTTTTTTGCATGGCATCGTTTCTTCCTGCGGCAGAGGGATAACAGCCACACTGGCCAGACTATACTGATATTATGGTATTAACCATGTATTTTCATGCGTCATTCTGACCTAGGGAGTAAGCTCTCTATCCTATCATATAGATCCTATCAGACAGAACTATCACTCACCCCTAGCTCTAGGCCACTCAATAAAGCAAAAGCAGCGCCAAAGCGACTACTTATCCCCCTCGCCCTATCTAGACCTATCCCCCTTCCCCCCGCATCCACACCTACCCCGTTTAGGAAGGTAATAACCCCTACAATCCCCAATATAGCATTTACCTTCCTAACACAGTAGTAATAGATAGTACCTACCTAGGCAGTTTTTACTACTTTATCCCACATACCCAGAACCAAAAAAAGTAAAAAGTAAACCCTCCTATTTATTCCCGTGCAGATCAATCACACCCAAAGTATAAATGTTCCCGAAGGTTTCGGACGAGTCAGTTCGGATCATATCTACCGACGGGAAGTTTTCCGGGTGGAAGTTTATGGGATGAGGATCTAACCAGAGTTAGCGGGATAGAGGGTACTCGGGAGGGGACTGGGGTACGATGAATGATTTCGATTTTTTTGGACGTAGAAACTAGCAAGGTGCATGGGTAAAGATAGGTAGTATAGGGGTGGAAAGCGATTGAAATCGGACAACAGGTTCGTGTTTTGTTTGGGTCCGGGTCGGGTTTTTTATCCCTCGTATATATATACTTTTTCTGGGATTGAACTGGGCTGGAAAGCTTGTTTTCGAACTTGTATCTTTTTTTTTCTCCCCCTCTTTCTCTGTAAAACACTGTACAACTCTAGTGTAGGTTGAATAAGATGAAGAAGGGCTGTTGATGTCGATGGACCCGAATTAAAATGCTTTGTGGGCTGCTCTGCACCCCGCATATGACCTCTCTAACAGCAATGGGTGTAGTGGAAAATCCAAAAGGGAGAATGGTAATTCCTTCACTTATTCTTTTACGTCCAAGTGTGAGACGCAATGGATGCGTTAGGCGACGCTAATCAGATACCTTAGTATGAGAGAAATCAGCTGAAGAATTATTCCTCCACATCGTCATTCTCAGACCCTCACATACGCATACTCGGACTCTTGTTCCGACTCCGACTCCTATTCGATGTGCTGGCTACCCCTTTCCACCCACTCATCATATCCAATCGCTTGTCGAACCATTGAATGGTTCGTTGATCTGCTGGTTGGTTTCGATTTTCCAATCATTGACGTTTCCACGGTTCACCCAAGTTTGGATCTCCAGCCGCATGGGCCCGTCCGCGTCGACCTAATCTGATATAGGATCTCGGGAAGATGAACACTGCTCAATATTGGCATTCGGCAGGTCGTCCGAGTTGATGTCTTGGGATGAAATAGGCAAGTCAATGGTTCAGTCATCAGTAACCAAATCATAGCTCTGAATACTTCGCACTTGGGGTCGGAAGACGGGTTATCGAAGTTTATCCCCGCTCGTAATTTCTTCAAACTTAAATCACAGACAACTTTCGGCTCCCTACCGACGGAGTCCTTCCGAACAATGTCATTGGTGTCAACTCCTTGGCTGGGTCGTGGAAAGCTTTTTATCAGGCTCGGCAGTTGGGTCCTAGCTCATATTTCGTAAGGCGAGCCAGAGTAAGCGACAGAGTCAGGGTCCGCGGGAACTTCAACTAGGCCATTCGTAATCAACTAGTTCATTCCGGTATCTGCGAGTCGTAAACCTGTCCACGTTTTGGTCGATTTGATTCGGATATTTACGGAGCCATGTGCTTTCTTCATGTACTAATGCCAGACTACCCGGGGTCATATATTTGGCGTCTGTGCTAATGGCCAGACGATGTTCTTGGCCCTGTAGATTCTGATGTCATTTATTTTGCAAGATGGTGATGTGCAGTGCTTACCTAGTGGCACTGAGAGCTTACCGATTCCTCGGGACTTCGGCTGTCGAAATAAGCCGTGTCCCCACCGTGATGAATGGTAGCGTCTCGTCGGCTTTGCCGCTTGAAACGGGACAGGCCGAGTCATGGACAGACCAGCCAAGTAATTAAACTGGAGACCGCCAAGAATTCCGACAGGCGAAGAATTTTACCCCTTTCCGAGGCTACATTGGCGCATGCGTCAAATGTAGCAAAGTCGAACGGAAGGACATAAAGTTATTGTCGAATTCTAAATTAGGATCCTAGTCCTGAAAAAGGGTATAAGCCGTGGAAATTCGCTGTAGGGGCGTCAGACGTCGATCCCTTGGCATCAGTGGAGCAATGTCTAGTCTGGAGGCCAGAGGCGGCACTGGCAATTGTGAATCCATTTTTTATTAGTCTGGAATCACTTAATAGTGATCGACAGAGGCGGGCCTCTTTAACGGTTCTGACCTTGCTAGCGTAATTGAAACAATCCGGTGGTCCTGACGGCCCGTCCGGAAGGATCGCTGTGTTCATAATACTCCGTACTTTGCTAGATGGAACCCATGATCTCACGACAACAGCCGCATGCTGGATCAGCATGAGCCTATCACGGAGCAATCTTGACCAGCGTTGGATCAAGTTCAGTCGGAGATCTTATCATGGAAGATTCAGTCGGTCGGATCATGTCTGAGCTTGACTTGCACAGATGAAAAGGGGATCTATATGCATCAAGTTGACATGATAGGTATCTTCATTTCCTGCAGCTTAGGAAGATTATTTGAAAAGATCGAGTTGGAAGACATCATATCGAGATGGTCTGTATCTAAGATTTATCCTTGACTGGTACAAACGCATTGTTGGGTATTGCCTCTTGGTAGTGTGCTTCTTGTGCAGAACTTTCATGTAATAATGAGCTGTGGTCTTCCGCTTATAAATCAACAAACAGCACCTTTAAGTGCTAATGCCTAGTAAGAGCCGTTGTTCTCATTCTGGTCGTGTGCCAAGGCAGGGCTATGATCTTCACAAGGAACCGTGAGGCTAGAGGGTAGTATTTGCTAGTTTAGTCTTGGCGGGTATTATCTTGATCGCTGCTATGGTGGCGACGTAGTAAGCTAGTCAGCTTCACAAGGTAGGTTGTGCATTTGCGGCTATGAATGGGATAGCCATGATAAGCAGCTACTAGTGCTGCAAGGCGACGGGAACGGCTCGAGGCTCAATATTGGAAAGGAGACCTCTGCTGGTTGGCCAGATGCGTGGATAGGATCTGCTGCGTCCATCTTGCACCCCATAGTTTTTATAGTAAGAATATTGGTGCAATCGGCATAAATTGTGAAATGGATGTTGTCTCGAAATATCCGGGCCTGTCAACGGGGATAATGTCTGCCGATAGAAGCAGCTATTAGCCAGGTATCATCTGTAAGTGCAAGCAATTCCAAGATGACTGGCCAGATTAATTGCAGAGGTAATGTACCTAGGACGAAATGGCATCGTCCGCTGGCGCACTATCCACGAATACTTTCACTAGTTAGCCATGATTGAGTCAGTGATCTGATTGCCATCAAAACAGTGCCTTGGTGCCATTAGTATGGGGGTAAGTGCAGAGGCATGTCAGTCAGCTAGTCAAGTAAGCAGCTGTTTCATCAACGCTTCTTGTGGTACCTGCACTACTCCGTACTCCGTGTGAGAAGACAGCAGAGGCCTAACCTTCGACAGAGCCAGGCAGATGGATGCTACGGTGTCATTGTGTCGCTGGTACTTTTGCCAGCCGGTGGCTGACTGGCAGTATTAGACCTTCCTGCTTCGGGAAATAGCGCCGTCCATTGGTATCGCGTTGATTAAAATCGTTGGTGGGCTGGCCACTTGGCGGCTCAATTGGACCGACCGTCCCACCCGTACTGTCACGTCTACGCGATACAAGTTACAGCCTGGGGGACCTCGGTACGAAGTACTTCAACTTCCTAGCACTACCCAGGCATTTGCCTTTGCGTCTACACTCTGAATCAGGAGGATAAGCTGAGCAAAGTACGGAGGATAACATCTCTTGGTATGTGCAGTAGCCATTCCCTCACCCTCTTCTTCTGCAGCTAGCCCTCTAATGTTGACTGATCGCTAGTGATTCGAATACCTCGGCTGCACCTCATATTAGCGCACAGTTCGACCAAAGGTAGACCAGCTCATGGAAGGGGTGGAACAGCTCCATGATAACAGATGTAATGACTATGGGCAACATGGAAAACAATGGCTTATCAGCCCCTGCCAAACGGTGATTGGTTTCACTGGCCACGTTCCTTCAATGCCCACACTAAATGGATCATGTCAGTGCTACTGCCAGCAATAGTATCAGATAACACAGGACTATCCATAGTCAGACTAAAGAGTCTGTCTAGTTGCTCCGTGTGCCGCGTCACCTCATCCATTTGCAGAATTCGACAACTAGCCTGTCCACGGCTGGCAAATCTAGCGCTGAATATTAATCCACAATAACGGCAACGGAAGACGCACTGATAATCACCAGTAATAGTATTACCATCTCAGAATCCAGCGGCTCTCTTATTGCATGGTGTCATACACGTCCCTTTTGACCATCACCAGTCACCAGTAACACGGAGGGGCCCTGCCGTGTGCTCATGCCATTCCATGGTTCTACCCCATCGCACCCGTGAGATCAGGAGCAGCATCCCGATGCTCCCGCAGGGATGATCGAGGCCCAGTGCTGCTGGTCCAATCGCCCTGATCCTGACATTATGTCCCTGCATTATTCTTTCCTATTCCTTATCTCCAGGTAATCAATTACCCAAACGGACGGCTCCTAGTGCGATGATTGACACCAAGTTGTAACCAAGTGGATCCTCGGGATTCAATTTCTAAGCTGATCAGCAAAGCGGAACCTCAAGCTTCTGGAATCAATGGCTCGCTCTCGGTCATGCTAACGCAATTCCGACTGGCCTGTTTGCCTATACCCACGAGATTTTTGCCCCCCAGATGAAAAGAGGGGTCAAAATTTTGTCGGTTGCAAGTTGCAACTGACAGGCTAGTCAGTAATACCGTGGCAACGGTACTGCCTGTGGATCGGCTCGCGACCGCTTCCCCAAGTTCTCGCCCGAGTGCTTCGAGTCTTCGACTGCTCTGCGGCAAACAGCCGACGATGGCGGTTTTGAATTGGTCTCATCACAATGGTGTCATATGTGCATACGCAAAAGCCCCGGCCAGATGATCCTGAACTATCTCGATGGTCGAAATTAGGCTGCCGGAACCAAGCCGTACAAGCCGCTAGTAAACATCCGAACCAGAATCACGTTCGTCCCCTGTGCTTGGCGTCGGGTCTGGCGTCCAAACCTCAAGGTTTCAGGAACCACTTTGAATCTTCTGCTAGGCTACTATAGGTCAAATGTGTCCATTCGCCTTGTCGACCTTCCCGACCGAGAGCCCCTGGTTTGACTTTTGCGAGGGGCAACCTTCCGGGTTCCCTTTCATAGGCCGGCACGGGATACGTCGGCTCAGACCGTGATATGGGGTAGACTCGAGGGGTGTTGCCGTTCGAGTTTTCCACTGATGGACAGCAGAATCTAGACTATTCTGGCAAAAAAGCTTTGCGTAGTAAAGGGCTGCCCTCCACAGCATCCACTCGCCGTTGCCGGTGGACTACCCTTACCTTTGTGACTCGTCCATTTCCTACTTTCATCGCACCATGTCCCCTTTCCCCTCTTCTTTTACCTTTCTACTGATCCTTGGGTAGTCCTGGAAAGTGAGTGCGAAGGACTAACCCTTGGACTGAGCTCAGATTGGCCTGCAGCTTGCCAATCTTTTAGCATTCGACTTTTCGAATATTGTCTAGATCGTCAGTCAGTCATTTATTATCTCGGAATTCTACTTCAAAAACATTGTCCTACCCCCGGCACTCAGCTGCGACTCTCCACATTATTGGAAGAGAATGATAGCAGCGCACCCCGGCACCCCATTTCAAACAGCTTTCGACAATGAGTGCGGTACGGGTTCTGAGCGCGCTGGGGGCATTCGATGAAGGGGGCCGAGATCTGTTACGCCGAACGCTCTATGGCGCAGATGGCATCACCCTGGACATCGATCCTCTACCGAGCGTTCAGCGCAAGGGCCTTATTGCCGTTTCAGTCATGGCAGTTTTATCCTTCTTAGCGACACTGGCCCTGATATCTTTCATCAGCTACCGACTCATCTTCTGGCGAGGATCGTATGCCCGGTACATCGGTTATAATCAATATGTCATCCTCATCTACAACCTGGTGTTGGCCGATCTCCAGCAATCGCTTGCGTTCCTAATATGCATCAAATGGATCACAGATGATAAAATCTCCGCAGACACGGCAGGTTGTTTCCTCCAGGGATTCTGGCTGCAGGTTGGGGACCCTGGGAGTGGGCTTTTCGTCCTCGCGATCGCCTTCCATACCTTTCTTATAGTGGCTCTAGGAAAAAAGCCGAGTCACCGAGTCTTTGTTGCTTCCGTGATTGGAGTTTGGGTTTTTGTGGCTATCCTAGTCATTATCCCACTTGCTGCTCATGGACGTTACGTTTTTATCCCATCGGGCGCCTGGGTAAGTATTTTGCCAGTGGTATTTACCTAACAGCCACCGACTAACCTCGCTTAGTGCTGGATTAGCGAAGAATACGAATCCATCCGCCTATGGACACACTATATCTGGATTTTCTTGGCTGAATTCGGTACGGTCTGTCTGTACGCTATCATGTGGTTCCAACTACGGCTCCGGATCAAGCAGTCCGCCATCTTGGGTAGCAGCCATATTGAAAGTCTCAAGCGCCTTCGCCGCGTTATCGGCTACATGGTCATCTATCCGATTGCCTACATTGTACTCTCTCTTCCTCTTGCCGCAGGTCGAATGGCGACCGCGCAAGGCGATGGACCAAGTATAGCCTACTTTTGTGTTGCCGGTGCCATGATTACCAGTTCCGGGCTGGTCGACGCGCTTCTCTACACGCTTACCCGGCGCAACCTGATCATCGATTCGGAGCCAAGCAACGATCGCAGTTACAACCACTTTGCCAGCAGCAAGAACCGGAAGACCGATAATCATTTGACAACCATTACTGCGGATCCCAAAATTACCCGTACGGACATCAGTGCCCTACGCAAAGGAAGAATTGACGAGGATGATCTGGAGCACACCGTGCGCGATGGTTCGACAGACAATATCGTGCAAACCGTTGGCGTTGAGCTGTCCCCAATGGGCAAGGTGTACCAGCACACCACCATCGAGATCACCAGTGAACCGGCATATCCTGATGAGTCGGAGGGAAGTGATCGTTCCAGCAGGGACTCTGATCGGGCCGGAAGGGTCAACGACCCAGCAAGGATGTGGGGGCGATAGCCAGCATCTGAACCCTCTTATCAACTTCTCGCCCACTTTGTACTGTATACGATTTATTGATGCATGTCGGGGCTTCACTTCGGTTCTCTATTCTTACCCCGACATCTACGGTCTGATCGACCTTTTCCGACTGAGCTTCAAGCTCGAGTTTGTACACCATGTACCTGTATATACGTTGCACCATATTTCCTTGTTCTCTTTCTTCTATTTTGTATGTTAGGAATGATACCAATTTACGGGTTTTCGAGAGCTTGTCAATCAAATAATCACTCATATACACTCTCCCTTGAATGACCAGACCACACCAAGATACCACCCACCGAGCAAATTAAGATTCCAACAAGTCACGCAGTATACTCATTCTGCATTTTGCTGCCCTTAAACGATCACCACATGCAGCGCATAGCCAGTAACTACGCTTTGATCAATGTTTCCCATCTCTCTCTCTCTCTCTCTCTCTTTGTCCCTAGTCCTGCGACTCTTTCCTCATAATTTATGTCAAGAACCACGTAGGCCAAAAGGAATATATCCCCCCAAGCCCCGGGTGTAGAAGGTAGACTATAGCATGTTTAACAATTTATTGGCAGCCTTTGTTTAGTACTAGCCTTGACAAATATCTATATATAAAGAAGACAATCGGGTTTAGAGTATATACCTACCCCACCCCCCCTACCAAGCCCCAAAGATATTCATATACTCCCACTAATTGAAAGACTCGTAAAGACAAAGTGAATACGGAGTAGTGCCAGGCGGTATGGCATCTACATACCTATCTTATCAAATCTAGCAAAAGTACGGAGTAAAAAAGCCACCGGATAATACCCCCAGCCAATCCCGTCCGGGGTGGGTGGGTGGTAGTCACGTGCATGGTTTGATCGTCGATGATTGGTGGTCGTCTGGAGTGACTGGTATGTGAAAAGGTACCTACTGCCTAAGTAGTTCATGTTGGGAGAGTTTTTCTGGCTGGTACTCTGTAATAGTAAAAGTGTGGTTGGGAGAGGGGGGTGAGTGGCTGGGTGGGGGACTTACTGGGGATTGCTTTATTGGGTCATGGTGTTTATCTCATTTTCTTGGGAAATGGACAGGGAAATCGATGGGGAGAGGAGAATCTGTTATGCTTGTTGGGCGCGAGGTACGGATGGTAGGGATGGACGCTGTTTGAAGGCTTACTGGGTATGAATGTTTGTGAGAACTGTTGAGATATGCCGTATTTCTACCTTCTACGCCCGGGGCTAAGAAGGGATATATTCCTTTTGGCCTACGTGGATCTTGACAAAAACTGGGTTTGTGTGAATGGGGTATAAAGGCTAAGTGAATTGAGTAGGATGTTTTGTAGCGGAGGGTAAAGAAAGGTGCGGGACAGAGACAATGGTTAAGTAGGCATCTTGCAATGGGGATTGTCCTTTGTATTGCGATAAATCAGATTTAATTGCAGCAGATGATAGCAGTATACTGACATTGTGGCTTCTGTAGATACCTATTGCGTTGAATTAGCCACAATGAGATGGCACTCAATCGCTATCGTACTAGTCAACTGCATGCCCTAGAAAGCAAATCATAGAACATTGGAGATATTCTTGCTTGACAGAAGAGGATGAGCGGGGTTAAATCAACTGGACATCCTTCCAGCTCTCTCAGGACCTCATGAAATTGCGGTCAGCTGGGCTGTCCTCGATTTAATGAAAAGATCAGCTTATTGAGCGTGATTAGTGAGATGGGACGCAATAATAGGAGGAATTGGCAAAGGATCAGGCCTCCTCCATATTACGGCCCACAAGGCTGAGCCACCCCGAACCATTCGGTCTAGACATGTGCGGTGGATGCTTTGTGCGCTGGTCATGCGCGTGCCATAAGCTGGCATTCTCATTGCCCGATCAGGTTGAAGGTATCTCAATGATTTAAAAGCGCAAACGCGATAAGAGGTGAAAAGATGCTTGAAAGGGTTTCTCAGCCGCTGTCGATCGGACACGTGTGTTTGTGGGTATGGCGCTAGATTATCTCAGGGGGCTGGCTTGGCCCACGCTAATATCTGATCAGAAGCTAGACTGGATCCCTGCTTATAGTAGTCAACTCGACTGGTAGCACATGATATAAACAGAATTCCAAGGCCCAGCCCAGTTTGATGACGTGCTTCCTGATACAGCCGCTCTGTCATTGGTCTCTTCGTTCACCTGCGCACGGTAATATAATATCAACATGCCAATATCTCACCTGGCACACTTATCTCAGCCAACTAGCTATAAGTGGTGCGCATCCTGAGCCTTGTGGCCGAGAATCCCAGTCGTTGCTAGCTAGCCGCGCTGGCTATTCACAGGCAGTAGCCCGCCCTAGAGGTCCACGTAGGATTATGACAGCTGCATCCTGCGGTGGATATCGACGTGCAGCTGAGCGTACGGAGTAGAGCGAATGATGACCCGATCATCTATAATAAGAACCACACGCTGACCCGAAGCGCTAGCGAGCGATATTCCTTTTTCCATCGTGCTTGAAACCGCTCTTTCACACTCGAGCAATCACAATATGGAACGACAATTTGCGATATGCATTGCGACTGGCGTGGCAATATGGGTTCTACAGGTAACCTGCCATCGTCCTGCATGACGTGATGAGCTATGACTGATCTCTGTAGTTGGCCTACAAGTTGCTCAGGTCTCCCCTTCGTCATATACCCGGGCCATTGTACACGAGGGCAACGAGACTGCCGCTCAAGATATCGATCATCACGGGGAGGCGCATCTACTTCATCCACAATCTTCATCAGAGAGATGGACCCGTGGTCCGCATCGCCCCGGATGAGGTGTCTATCTCGTCACTGCCGGAGTTTAAGGACATCCATCGTACTGGGTCGCAATACTTGAAAACGCCGTGGTATCAGGAAGCCACTTTTGACCGGAAGCCAGGAATATTCGCCATGCGCGACCCCAAGGAACATGCTGCACGGAGGAAGTTACTTGCGCGCCCGTTTGCAAAGTCCGAGTTGCGATGGACGTGGGAACCAGTGGTGAGGGCAAAGGCCCAGTTATCTGTGTCACAGATGCGAGGGGAGTTGTTGGCCACCCGAAAATCCGACCTGCTGAAATGGTGGACCTTTTTCGCCACCGATGTCAGCGGAGACTTGATGTTCGGCGAGTCATTCGGCATGCTTCAACTTGGAAGGGTGAGTCAATCACTCGCGCGTACCCATACTAGGCTAATTGATAGAGAACCAAATACATTGACGCCCTAGAGTCCGTGATGAAGGGTGGGGGATCAATGTAGAGCTGCCCATTGTGGGATTCATAGGGCGATATATTCCGCATCCCTCCTTCCAGGCCATGTTTCGCTCCAGCGACTATCTTTCCGAGTATGGAAGGCGTGCGGTTTCCAACAGCCGAACGAATAGCATCTCCACCCGAAATGTCTTCACCGGGATGCTCGCTGAGTCGGATAAAGAAAGTGGAACGCTTACTGAGGAGGATGTGATAACTGAAGCTGGCAACTTGATCGTGGCTGGCTCGGATACCACGGCAGTTACGCTGACGTACCTAGTATGGGCAGTGCTGTCGCAGCCGATGCTCCAGCACGATCTAGAAGAGGAAGTCAGTAGCTTGGACCCAACCTACAATGACGCTGCGCTGGAGGAGCTGCCGATATTGAATGCTGTCCTCATGGAGACCCTGAGACTCTACGGAGCAGCCCCAGGCTCGTTGCCTCGCCGTGTCCTGAATGGCGGAGGGATCTTCTGCGGATATCATGTGCCCCAGGATGTGACGGTCAGCACGCAAAGTTACACAGTCCATCGCGACGAGACCCTGTATCCGGATCCGGAGACCTTCGATGCGACTCGATGGCTGCCTGGGGATGAGCGTGACTCGGACGCAGCACGACAGGCGTTTTCTCCCTTTGGACATGGATCACGAGGCTGCCTTGGGATCCATCTGGCCTGGATGGAACTTCGTCTCGCGGTCGCTGAGTTCTTCCGGGAATGTCGGGGGGTACGGTTGGCGCCCAGCGCGACGTGGGAGAGCATGAAGCCGGAGAACTATGTTCTGATTGCGCCATCGGGGCATCGGTGTGAAATAATGCAGGCATAACGGTAATTGTGCCATGTGATATTGGTTCCTTCTGCGTCGAATTTCGCCTTCGGTTCGTAGTGAGTAGTGACTATCGATGCGCGTAGGGGTAGAAAGGGGTCAGTTCGCCACGGTGAGCGTGCAGAGTCGATAGAGGAACAGAGGAAGAGGGGAGAAGAGAGCAGAGGGGTAGGTACCTCGAGGTACCGTGGGTCGAGCTGCAGCTTCGGCCGAAGCGAAAGGAATATCCGCCAACGAGAGGGCCGATCTCCGGATCCACGGGGTCTGGCCGGCTCCACCGCCCGCCTAAATGGGTGCAACCTTTGTCTGAATCGCCGGCTCTCGCCCCCGAATCTGGCATCTCAACTTCTGGATGGAGGGACCAGGGCAGTACCTCTGACTGCTAGTAGTTTCCGAGACCTGCGGCGTACCTTTGATCACAATGGCCCGCGGACTTGATTGGACGAGGCATTGGTGCCAAGATAGCCGTAGTGCTTCGCTTCGCTTCCCCTCTCCTCCTCCCGGCTTCACCTCTGGCCCGGGATTCGCCCATGCGCCGGGATTTGCAGCGCCCAGCTCGCCACGATAAAACCTCGTCCTGCTGGCCAAGATGAAGATGGCTGTAAAGAATGTCCCCACACATCTGCGAGTGTTTTGATAGTGATGAACGATAGGAGCAGCATGCCCTCCCCGATCGACGCTAGGAAGTTGAAACGGGGGCGCTGCAATCACGCTTGGTAGGTCCCTCCTACCGATCTATCTACTACAACGGAGTACCTATGGAGGATCTGCTTCTCGAGGAGGACTAGTCTTCACGGTGAGACCGGGACGAGGATTATCCGGAGGATTCTGCAGTGGTTTGGGCCGAACCTTGACTGATGGTTACGTGACAGCCGTGGGGGCGGCCGCCGTTCCTCGGGCTCGGGTCCCCAAGTGTGTTCTGGCTATTTTGTCAGGAATCGCTCGTGCACCTACGCCTATATATGCACTGCTAAGAAAGGGGCTCCAAAGCAGCCAGCTAGACTCAGCCCGTGTATAGATGCCAAGGTCATGTCAAATCCGCCAACGGCTCAAGATGGGCCTCTAACAAAAGGAGCCCCCTCTGCGGGGGCATCAACCGTCGATGGAAATGGTACGTATCTTTCCAACGACCAACTGCAAATATGCTAACGGTCGACATCAGAATGGATGCAGAAGTTAGCTCGAATGTGTGGTCCGGGTGCTGGACTGCGCAACGTCGGAATGCCAATCGCAGAAATCGAGACGATTTTCGATTCGGTCTTCGCCCGGAACCCAGCCGAGACAGACGGGGGGTTGCACACTCCACGGGCCAACACGGTTCAGCTATACGGGAGCAACGAGGACATGTAAGTTGGGCGTACCAACATGTCTTCCATCCCACTTATCTGATATGGGTGCAGACTGGATGCATACTATATATTTATCCATCCATATTATCCAATCTTACCTCCACCCGAGCGCCTTCCCGTCTCCCATAATCCAGTACTGCTGGGTGCGGATGGCTTCGAGCCAACGAGCCCGCTTGCGCTGGCTATCTCGGCCATGGTGTCACTGGTTCCCCACAAGGACGTGAAGGAACCGTCTCGACCAGAATATGTGAAGATACGGAGGGAGGTCTCGCTTCGATTTGCCGAGGCTGCGTACGCGGTCGTTGCGAAGGACTATGAACCACTACAGTCCTCCGGTGCGTTCGAAGGCTCCTTGAGGGATAGAATCGGCCGGCGATCCTTTCATCCCAAGGTGCCCGTGTGCTTGGAAGGCGTTATCGCACTATCGATCCTGGGATTCTATGAGTATGGCCAGCGGGGCAACATGGAGAACACGGCTAGGTTAGTGAATGAAGCTCTGAGGATGGCTGTAAAGATTGGACTGCATGAGTCGCTGGAAGATGATCAATATGCGGTGGCCCGGCGTAGGTCATGGTGGTTTACGGTTGGTTCCACATCCTTTCCGATGCATACGGTGCTAATTTTGCAGTATATGGCCGCAAGTCATCTGGCAACCGTGACTGGAATGGTGAGTGAGACGTCTATCGACTAGATTGAGTATGGCTAATTTGCAGCCCGCATCATTCAATGTGTATGATCCTGGTTTTGTAACGCCCTATCCAAAGGTTGGTTAGCCCCATCGGTCCAAAGGATCGTGCTAATGCTTCACAGGATACAAAAATACGTGTTGAAGCCCAACAGGCTTTATATGACGCTGGTATATTTGCCGTTGATCTCGACGATGCTATCCGGAGCAAAGGAGACGTGTCTTGGATCCCGAAGCGGATGACTGAGCTCGATGCTCATATCACTTCGCTGCTGTTTGAGTGTCGAGATAAGTTATCATCATCCCTGCACCCACGCCCCAACTGCGTGGAATCAGTGGCTGCGAATGCTCTGCGATCATTTACGGAAGTTAAATTACACAGGTAGGCTTATCCCTACTGGCCTTGTGTTGGGCTACGCTGATGGCTCAGCGCGCGGATCAAACTGCACCGCTACTGCGCTTTTCAAGACGTCCCGGTGTTTTCTGAGCAGCCCGCTCTGCACCCCGTGCCCAGTGCAAACAGTGATGTAAACCCATCTGGTACTGGTGACGCCGGTTCGCAACAGCGACCAGCATCTATACAGGAATTTGGAATTCAGTTTCCGTTCTCTGCACACATGTCCTCTGTGATCTGTGTCCATGCAGCCATGAATGTTGTGACATTGCTGGATAGCCTTCCATTTCCGAACCCAACCAACGATGCTTCCCCCACGACCTTGCCGTACATATACCAGAATTATGAGGTTCCTCGGGCTATGCCAACGTTGATGAGCTGTGCCATGCAGGCAGGCTACACGATGTTGACGCTGAGTTGCAAAACAAGGCCATTTGTGACAAACATGAAGGAGTCGGACTTGGACGCAAGAGATATTCCTTTAGCAGGGTTAAGGCAAGAGCTGGAGCAGAGCTTGCGCATAGTGGCCAAGTTCTTAGCAAACCATGCAATTGCTTTTGAAGCCATCCAAGGAATGCGAGGTATGTGCTCCACTTTCTGGTTGAATGAAGCTGACGCTAGTAGACGAGATGGTGCAGGCAATAGAACGTGAATTTAGTAGAGATTGACGAAAATGAAGCTCCTGAGTGAAGGTCATATAGTGTCTGGCTGTAGACTCTTCCTTGATCGCGTGATTGCGATTCACGAAGAACAGCTTGCTGATGTACCCTCATTTTACGACGAATTGAATATCCATTATGCCATGATGCCAGGAACGTGCTCTCAGACTTTATAGAACCAGCAATTGACTCGCTAGATTCCCAACTACCATAAAATCAGGATTGTATGGACTCTCCCATTCGTGGGATAAGTAAAGACAGTAATGGATCCGAAAAAGGTGCGTCCGAACACGTGAATTGCCTCATTAACGGACTTCTATGGACTTCCCGTGGCGTGTTCACGCATCAAAAACCACGTGAATTTCCCGTAGAAAAGTCCAGATCAACTGTGACGGGAACAAAATCTTCTCATGCCTGTGAAATAAAGGATTCACGTACGATCACACAATCTGTTTTTCCCGCGAAAGTGGGGTATATAAGTGTCACGATCCCCTCCATGCCACCTATCTCTCTCATCATCCATGAACTTACTCCTCCCTTCAAGAAACTACAAGACACTCTGGACATGTCAGCGATTATGCTACTGCACTGAGCCCAGCTAGAGATGGTCAGCCTTCTGCCAATATATTGTCTTGAAGCATCCTCACTTGAATTTAGTCTTCGCTTATCTTTCCACTCATTACGCTGGCGTCATAAATAAGCTGCCTCTGTTACCTCTCTCTCTTACCTCGAATGAAATGTGCTTTTTAATCAAAGGTCTAACGCTCACTTATAACGTGAAATTAGTCATGTGAAGTCTCCAGCTAGTAGTGAGCCTAATATGCCTCTTAATAATGTTAACAGAAAGCTAACATTCAGTTACTATCTACAGAGAATAAAGCCAAACCCCCTCGACTCCTGCCATAACAATCTCTCGATCATGTTCCTCGGGACGTGGAGTTGGGCCTTGCGGGCTCAGGCCTTCCATTTGATTTCGTGTCACCCTGCTGGACTTTATCTGAGCACAACTGACGGAGTATGCCAATGCCTAAGATGAGAGCTCTCTGCTATCGAGCAGCTTGAGCTTGGGGGTCTCTGTCAGTTGACACTTTGATCGTTGCAGCTCGCAAGAACAACACATATAACCATCTACGCCATTGTCAGCATGCGAAAGCATGGTTCGGCGCTGACCAGCATCCGTTGTCCATCTCCATACACCAGTGCATGTGGTATTGTCGCGACGACAACGACATCGAGCGATACCGTCCAAAGATCGCAATGGCAACTTCACACCTGGAAATTTGAATCGATGATGAAGGAACTCATGTGACACTGGAATACGGCCTCGTAAATTGGATGCTGAACAACGACATCCGGCAATGACGTGTCTGTCCTGTGATAGTGTACCAGGCTGAGGAGGAAACTGCAGCGCAGCAAGGGAGGCCTTCCTCGACTACATGGCAGTACCGCCGTTGTCGAGCAGTTGCTCATAACACCCCTCAGCTCAAGGTCCACTCAAGAATCAGCTACATCGGCTTCACCAGATCAGCTATAGCGACCACGATGAGTATGTTCATAGAGCTTCGATCAGACCACTGTATCACAAATCTACTCTATCGAGTCCAACCGACGGGAAACCTTCATCGAAAGAGCCCACCTCGCATTAGTGGTGTTCTGTCATGGGCTCTAATGATGTTGATGACCGGAAAAGCAAACCAAATTGGTAGTGATTCCACCTTTACTAGGTGTTCAAACAGAGGCCAATTTCAAAGCATGAACATGTTCGCTTCAGTGGGTGACAGTCCCACCAAATGCTATGAAGATCAGCTCCGGATCATACGAACTACCGTTCAGCCATACTCATACTCAAAGCTCGTTTGGTCTTGATCTACCGGGAACGGAACCCAGCAACCATGGCTTCTAACTACCAGTTGCACATTCTGGTGCTGGAAATGACAATGAAGAGAACACTGACTTAGTGTGTTTGGTAAGCTCATGGCCTAAGAAGTCATGGAACGCGCTGACAAAGACAGCTTTCATCCTCGTCCCTTTTATACTGTCACCAAACAACCGCATCATGTGTATGTTCGATTGCCTATCGCTGTCTACAAGAAGTAATATGCTAACTGTAACACATCTGCTAGATCTCATATGGTCTTTCTCTCTATACTCTACAAGCTCGAGCCAGAACTGTTCATCCAATTCCAGGGTTCTATTCCACTTACTCCCTGCCTGTCCTCGGATTGATATCAGCGTCCTGTGCATGCAACCTTCACCAGCAACAAAGAGATTTCTACTCTGCGTTTGATGTACGAAAGCCCTCTTTCAGTGACGTATGTTTATCAGTTAAACTGCGGCTGATGTGGGACTGCCTACGAATAATAGCAGTCCAGTCATGGCACCTAATGGACCAGAATCCAAGATCAACCACGTTCTCGGTAAAGGAGAATCATCTGTCGGTTCAACATTATTGCTGAAAAACACCTACAAACCCGCGACGACGGTGGATGATTGGGGTAGGTAGCGCATTATGGCGGAGCCGTCGATACGAGGTATCGTGCGACAAATGCCACAACCTGGCTCTGCAATGGAAGGGGAGGCTCGCTGAAGCCACCGTCGCCGACCAGAGCATGAACGAAGCCCTTCGGGTAATGGCTGCCCGGGCACCAAGTCCGAGGGATGCTCTGGCGACTTATGCAGACTTCAAATTCACTGGACAGGCGGACAAGCCACTCACCTCATGGAATGGCAGATTGTGGCAATCGCGCGGTGGCCCACACAGTAACTGTCGCCGATCAGGGGGTTCCTCACCGACGATGGCGGGCTTGGAAGTACTATCGACACAGACAACCAAAAGCGATGTTTCCAAGGCGATAACAAGCTTTAGGAGATGTGCCAGATGAAGCATGTCGAACACCATGTGGATGGATCATGCATGATGGCAATAATATGAGATACCAACAGACTTGCTTAAAAGCCATTACAATGGCATATACCCTTGGTCCCTTGGTCAAACTACAACATCCACCAACATATGGTCAAGGCACTCCGGCATGCATCATGCGTGTTTTTGCCGGATGAAGGAGCCGTGCGACTGCCAATACCCACATGAACGACGATACATGCGAGAACCTATCATAAACAGCATGTGCAACTATATTGGAATCCCGGTCAATCTGGTGCCCTGGGAGAGTCTGGAACTGCAGTCTCTAGCACTCCCCTGCTGTCTGCTACGATCGAACCCACCATCAATGGCGGTTTGAGGCTTGTGTTTCATCGCCTCATTCCGAGTATTGGGCATGTTTTGCCCTATGTGTCTTCATCAACACCAGCCAAACATACAAGAACAGTGAGGCATTGTCACCTCGCCAATCCATCTCTTGTCTCGTCATATTATTGGCGGTTCCTGGGCCCCTTCGTAGGCCACCACGTATTGCTCTCTTCACCCTTCACTTGATATTTCCGAATATCCTTATCTCCCATTCCAAATTTGTGAGTATTTGGGGCTTCAGGGCACTGCGATAGTCTGGACTTTATACCTGGAGGACATTGACCAAGCCGACGACAAAACCTGGATTCAGCGCCGACTGAAGAACCACGACGAGCTATATCTGCTATGGCCGTTTGGTGGTTCTGACGTCGACGCTGGAATGAGCAGTTTCTGCTGCAACTGTCGTCAGAAAGAACCGAGCAAAGCCACAGCGAACGGTTGTACCATTGCCCCTCGAGCAGTCCTTCTGGTGGAGGAGACGCTCACAGATATCCAGGACAACTCTTGTCTCAAACTTTGTATCTGGAAAGTCAGGCGTCAGCCTGTGGTCGTGTAGACTTTCTCACATACCGAGTCAATGAACGATTCGAGTTTTGCTCTTCCCGGAAATGGCCGAGGAAGGTGGACAATTTCGAACAGGAAAGAGAAGGAAAGGCAAAACGCCAAGAGCGAAATGTGATCGAAAACATGGGATGTCCTTCCCCAGGCGCTACATCCGGGAGGATATTATTGACATTGTGTCTTCCAAGATGCCTGAAAGACAATCATGTTCGTCTGTCACTATTGGGTGGCCTTGTGAAACGAAGCCTCGGTCATGACCCCTGGCTATGTCCTTCTAGGGGTGACTGTTGATTAATGACGCCTGTCACCGAGAGACTTACGATCCTAGGCATCATGCCTTGGGTGACAAGGCCTCAGAGCTGGCTACCTTGTTTGATCATCGATTCTGTTCAGTTGCGATGCCATACCACATCTTCATGCTCATTCCCATAGACCACTGTTCCGCACACGGTTTACATTTCTACTTCTTTTGTGGCAACAAAGTGGTGACGTCGAGTTCATCCCTGGGTCCTGTCATGTATCTCAGATTGGATCACCTGGCTGAGAAAAATCCTTCTAGTCGGGTGGTTTGCTATCAACTCGGTCTACGAACGTCCGCATGGTGTTCTGGCTCAGAGCAAATGAAAATCCCCCTGACACACCGGAGAGCATACCCGTTTGCTCAAGAACAAGGCGAGGTCGAGCAAGAAACAGGAAACGAAAGACTACATGAAATATTCCAGCTCGTTCGACTTCGATATACGCCGAGGGCATGGAGTTAGCCGGTTATAAACGTTAGCCCGCTAGCTTGCCCGCTTTATTTCCTTGGTGGTTTGAAGAGAAGCGCTATGGATTAATACCCACGGTGCAGTCCGTCAGTGATATGGTAACCGACCTTCGATGTTCAACCTGCAGATACACCCATTTTCGACAGCAGCTACAGACGTGAGGGAGAAAGCAAATATCCCCAGAGGAAGCTGGCAGGCATCAGACACGCGACGCTCAAAGCTATTAACATTGGATTGGGACCGAGCAAATGAGAGCACCGTGGTTGCAATATTGTGCTCGGCGGCAACTAACTAGTTACCAACTGAGTGTTGGTTTTGAGGTCATTCTCGCAGTACTACCTTAGTATTCGAGTGACACGCATGCCAAAACAGCGGTGGGCAAACTTAAGCCAGCCTAAATCTTGACAAGTCAGAAGCAGTATCGATACTGGGATGAATGATCCAAGAGAAAGACTCCCCATCCGGCGTTCCACGCCCATGGAAATATTCTGAGGTCAGAAGTACCACGCAAGCACTGGGTGGTCGGGTTGTGGGTGTTAGTCAATACGATTGACATCCATATCCATTGCCAATGGCAGCTTCAGGGGCTGCCTGTCCTAATGTGAAATGGCGAGCAAAAGCCTTGGCTTCGAGAGATTCCGACGTGAATACAATCGCAGGCTGGGCATGATCAAACTAGACCAAGTGATCTATTTCTTAAGATCATGAGTGTTTTCGTGCGAATGGACCAACGTGGTCTAAGTCAAGTCATTATCCCAGCGACGCATTACCTATATAGCCGCAGCCACCAGGAAAGAAAGATCAAGTGTATGATCCACGAGCCATCTTATACCAAATTATCTTTAGGAAGAAATACCGCTACAATGTCGAGGATACACCAACAGTGATGGCTTTCCAACTACATTCAGCCAACATCTACGGACTGCATCGGCGCCCTACTCGACGGTGTCTACGGGAACCAACTATCAAACGAATCCATCGCTCTGACAGGACCGACAAGGGTATGCGGGAGACGATTGAACAATCAGATGGAATCATCTCGCCATCTCAGACAGACTGATAAGGGAGACCACGACCCACCGACCAGGATCTTGCTTATAAAGCCAATACCTCACGACCACACTGCTATATCTCAATATCGTGTCAATCCGGCAACAACTACATGATATTCTCATGTTAAGGGGAATCTACATGACCAATCCAAGCTTCTTCCTGGAGTCGACTCACAATGCACCTTATAAAGATCCGCTAATACGTGAACTTGCCAACATCTTCAGATCAAGAAGACTTCCATACTTCTTCTATGAACTAAGTCACCGGGGCAAGTCCACAATGCTCCGTCTATACTACAACATACCTAGACGACAGTCTCAAGCCAGTGAGACCTGCGCGACTGGACCAGCATGCCTGCATCTGCTGAGCCTGTTTATTACACCTCTTGCATTGCCACGGCTTATACATGCTCTATACGAGTGACACGTTGGATTATCAATCTGATACCCATCTTCCTCTCTCTCTTCCACTTCCACAATCCATCCTCCTCACTATTCGTCGGTGCTCTTTCTATATATCATTCATATCGAATCAAATCGAAAGCAACCCGTTGCACAGCACTGTCGCAATACATCCCCAAATGCACGGACAATAATCAGAAATGCCTCCCCCGTCAACATGGCGAGCACTTCACCCATCTCTCCCCGATGTCCATACCAATGTCCAAAACAGACTTCTGCTGGATGTTGCATGCTGCATTTTACATGCTACATCTTTCACCATACCCTTATGGAACCTGACGCACCGTTTATCGGTACTCTCAAGATTAGATTTTCTATCCTTGATCTACGGGACGTTCCTCTTCCCCGTCCTCCTTCTCCCTACCCTTCAGGCTTTCTCCTTCAACGGGAGAAGAGAAAAAATATGGTGTCGTTAATATACTCCACTCCATTAGACCTGGAGATGGTTATCTGTGTGGTGTTGCGTGGGTGGAATTATACGAAATTGGTCTGAATAATCGCGATAATCGAAGTATCAAACCAAAGAGCAGAGCAATCGAATCAGATCAGATCAAGCCAGGTCAAGACAGGTCAAGACAAGCCACATCGGCTAAACGAATAGCACAAAAGAGAAGATACGAGAAGAGAAGAGGAGTAGGAACCAGAGGGGGAGGAAAAGCGCAGTGTCGTATATATCTTTGGCTATGTTCATGATTTAGTTACTGTTGGTTACAGTCGGCGGATGGGGTGGTTCTTCTGGGTTGTGTGAGCAAGGCATACGCGCAAGGATAACCCTTCCCGTTCTTCTCTCTTCTCTTCTCCTCTCCTATCCTCCTATTTTCTCTTTGATGTCCGTTTCGGGAGATGGGTATGGATACATGGAATATGGAATATGAAATATGGAATATGGAATACATCGAAGGACAGATTCATAGCTCCGTTGGGTTGTACGGCGGCTTATATGCTGTGTGAGGTGATCGACGATTGGAATTACTTCATGGGTGTGGTGCTTCCGTCTGGTCATGTGGGCATGGTTATGAGAATGGATATGATTGTTCGTGTGATGGACAGGGAAGACACGGTTGATTTGGTGCGTTGAGATGCGTTGATGTGGAGGGTTGAGTGTGTGGGAAGATATAGGGTGTATTATTGTTTCGGGCTGGGGTGTATTTGGCTGTCTTGATGTGGATTTCTATACGTGTTGATATTCTGTGGTTATGGAGATGGATGTAGTTCTGACTATGATTATGCATTGAATTGTTATAATGATGGTATAGATAGGGTTAGCAATAGCAATAGCATTAAACACAGTCTACTAGCAATTATTACGCTTACCCTAGAAGCCAAATGCAAATTATACAAATCTATTTCATCGACTTCATAGCACATCATTCATCATACCACCTACCCACCACCACCCAACCAACCACTCACCTAGCCGTGAACTCACCACCCACCCTAACTCCTTCCCCTTGCTTTCCTCGTAAATAATTAAGAACAGGGAGTAAAACTACCGACACCGATACATCTCCACCATCTCCCCCCTCACCCGTCTCGCAAGCGGCCACACCCTCCCCAGAACCTGCAGTGCTCCAACCCCCAACTCGATCCTCGCTTTCAGGGAATCATCCTTATCTCTTTCTCTCTCCCTACCACCACTACTACTCTCCGCAGCACTCCTCAATAACGGAGAGCCCCGCTCCACCAACGCAGCAACATGCACCACAACAGCGATTGCCAACCCACAAGTGAAAAACGGGGTGCGGGATATGACGGAGCTAGGGAGGGTGGCGAGGTTAGAGAGGAGGTCTGCGGCGCGGAGGAGTTTCTGCGTGTGCGTGCTTGTGTTGTGGGGTCTGGGTTGTTGGTGTTGGGGGTAGTGGGGGTTAGGTTGTGTGTGGAATCGAGTGCAGGAGGTTGATGGTGGGAGGATTGCAGAGGTGCTGATGGTGGTGGCGTGGTAGGCTGAGAGACGGATTGTGGAGTGTGGGTGGTGGAGGTAGATTCTGCTTCTATGCTTTGTGTTAGGTTGGTGGATTGAGTGAGTGGGTGGTTGGGGAGGGGGCATACAGGTAAGTGATCATTAATGTTTGGAAGATCATTTCGTCGACGGTGGAGGTGTCGTGGTCGGGGAGGGAGGAAGGGAGGCGCATGAGGGAGGTGGCGAGTCGGGCATCTAGCGTCTCGGTTTGGAATTCGGTGTCTGGGTCGAGGGATTGGGTGATTTGTAGGACGGCGCGGAGGTTCTGGGTTGCGAGGATGCGGTGGGTGAAAGAGGAGATGTGGTGTGTGTCGGGGTCGGGGAGGGTGGATAGGCTGGGGGGTTGTTGGAGGGTTTGCTGGTGGTGTTAGTTTGTATGTGAAGGGGGTGGTGGGGGACTCACTTCAGAGTTGTAGGCGTTTTCATCACACGGTAGCTGCATGTCATGGTTGATCCATTTAGGACTGGACATGATGCCGCCTCCGCCGATGGCGGACATGATCCCCTCCACTACTACGAGCTCCCAGTACGTCCGTCGCCAGCTCTCTTCCAGGATAGGGCTGCCGCGGGAGTGGGCTCGTGCGAAAGAGGTGCTGTTCATCCCGAGACGACATGCCAGCTGGATGGCTTCATGAAGGAGCTTCCGTGCTTTCTCTTCAGCTCCATAAGAGTGTTCAATGATGGACAAGAGAAGCAGTCCCTGGACTTTAAACTCATCGTTCGGGGCAGACAGAGCCGTGTAGGCGGGTGCATGAAAAGAATCGCTGAATCCCGGATGATGATAGTAGTGGCTACCAATGTAGCGCATAATGTGTGGAATGTAAGCTGGAACCTGCTGGCAGAGTGGCGAGGCCAGACTTCGCCGGGGCAAAAGAATCGGATGCGAGCGATGAAAGTGGTGGTAATACAACTGAATCATGGCATCATGGGCCAGTGGCTCCGAATCTACAACTGCTGCAATATACCCTGGTGATGGAATAGACTCGGAGTGAATGTCGACACTGACGTCGAGGTCTGGCAGCTCGAGAAAATCTGGCTGCTTTCATTAGCATCATCCAATATGATCGACAAAGAGGAGAATACATCTATATCGATCGCCCCATTCAGCCAGCTAGTAAAGTCGAGATCCCCCGTATCCGGGCTGGATCGATTCCGCAGCCCCCGACGCGAACGCACATAGCGACAATCATTGTTGGTATTGTAGCAGCGGGTGCAAACCGGCATCTGAGCATCGCATTTCAGATGACGACGACGACACGGCACACATGCCAGCGGAGAAGGCTTTTGGTCGACCATGATGAGGAATGGATGACAGTGTAACGGGTGTGGAGGATATTTGTATTTAATCTGATCTCATCGAGTCTCACACAGGCCGAGATCCCCGATCGGGGACCACACATGTCCTGATCATCTGGGGTCTGACAGCGTGCATGTATAACCGCGGCGACCAGACGTGTTTCAGGGGACCACAGGCAGCCCCCCGAGAAGGCCGATCTAGAGCCCCGAATAAAGCCATCCTGCGAGATGCTGCAGGTGGCATCTAGTGCTCCCCGACTACTGACCCGACAATGCGGATCCGGATGTGTGGCTGCATGTATCGGGGTTCATTTCAACGGGTGATCCTGGCAATCTCCAGATCATCCAAAAGTGTTCCACAATGGATTGTCCGTGAGTTCGCAGTCGGGGACCATCCGACCAGCCAGGGAGAATGGGTGGGGAATTTGTGGCGCTCTGGAAGTGCGGCGTTCAGGAGGATCCCGACGCCGACCGAGTGCAGACCCCGACTGCAGGAGGTCCCCGACCGCGTGGACTCAGATGAGACGCGGTGGATTAATTGTCCGCAGTCGGTTCAATTTGCCGCATTCATCTGAAGGAATCATTGGTTCATTATACAGGCAGATGCACAGGTGACAAATCCTGGCTGAACCATTCCCCGCCCGCCACTTGGTCACCACCACACCATCACCATCACCATCACCGTCACTGTCAGTGTCACCGTCACCATCACCATCTCCCAACACCCCCAACCAATTATTGATCAACAAATAATCAGTTAATCTCCCGAAACTTTATTTCACAATGATCACGCATATCGTCCAATTCCAATTCAAGTCCTCGGTTGCTCCTGAAAAAGTCCAGGAGGTGAGTCCGATTACGTCACTCCTCACCCGCCGTCCTAACCATCCATCCCTCCAGATATGCGCCCACCTCGTCTCCCTGAAAGATAAGTGTCTGCATCCTACTACGCAGCAGCCTTACATCAAGTCCTTCAAGGCAGGCAAGCAGGACTCGCCGGAAGGAATGCATGTACGTGACCTGACGAATGTCCGGATTGGGTGGAACGTCAACAACGGTTCCATGGGATCAAGAGGCTAACGGCTGCATAGAATGGCATCACCCATGTTTTTGTGATGGAGCTTGAGAACAACGAGGACCGCGAGTATTATCTCACCAAAGACCCGGCACATCTGGGCTTCGTCAAGTCGATCGATGGTTTGATTGAAAAGGCTCAAGTGGTGGATTTCACCGAGGGTGTTTTCTAATCCTTGTGATGATCATGATCATTGATGACATGTATATAGATGCAGCGACAGTGAAATCATTTGATGCTAGCCTTCTGGTCCACCTTTTGTCCGGATAATATACTCACAAATTAATCCACCCGCTCCTCGCGTGTCAGGATCCAGCTCGGCAGACACACCGCCGCAGTCACCGTGGCGAATACTGTCTCGTTAGCTGCATCATGTCTATTGGGATCGCACTCACCAGGAATAAACTGATATCCGTACTGCAGACTTGATCGGACGACCGCCTGCATACCTGCCGGTAGGGTGTCAATATATTTGGAGTCGCTGAGCACGTGTCGCACAATCTGTCTCATTAGTAAGGATATCAACATAGGTTGGGATACACACCTCCTGAGTCCTCTCCCCAAATCGTCCCGCAATATCATGCATGAACCCTGTTCGAACGAGGAGCGGTGCGACCGACGCGCCGAGAATGACCCCCAACTGTTGACTCAAATAGTATGCTCCCACGCACGCAGCGAGATCCTCCTGCGGTGCCCGAGTCGTCATGCCAATAAACTCCCCCGAGATGATGATGCCGATGGGCGTGCTCATGGGGATAACGAGGAGGGATTCCCATACCGGGCGATCAAAATGCCACGAGAAGAAGAGCAGAGTGGAGGAGATGATGCTGACCACAGCAGAGATGATACTCATCTTTTTGTAGCGTTTGGTCCTATGAGATTAGCATAGTTCGCTCGAGAGGGATCGACTCACCGTTTGATTGAGAACCCTGAGATGATCGAACCGCCTGCCAGAGCCATGGTGCAGAGAACGAGGAACAAAGTCGCCCTCTCTTCGGGGACTGTTTTTACCTGCGTCATGTACTGGGTAATTGTGGCGATGACCTGTCTGGTCAGTACGGTACTATACAGAAAGAGGACGACTAACCCCATTTCGTCCGCTGAAGAGCACCACCTGTACCAGCCAGTACTGCCCAACACCCTGGGTGACCAGTCGCAAAGGAACCAACGGTTTCGTCGCCCAGAGACACTCATGACAGACGAACACCACAGTAGCAAATACGCACACCCCTAGCAAGGCATACACGGTGGATGACTTTCCGTCTACTGTTCCAGCTGCCGTCAACGCCAGCAGCAGGGTGACAACCGCAGCTGCGAAGCTAGCAATGCCAAAATAATCCAGGCGCTTGACGTTCTCGATGTTGGATGCCTCTGCAGCAGAGCCAGACTCTTTGTGTCTTGTGGGGAACTGCACCCGGGACAGAAGCAAACAGAGTAGGATGAGAGGTAACCGACCGGCGAATGCCCTATCCTATTAGCAACGTAGGGATCACAATGGGTGTCGTACCATCTCCAACCCAAATAATTCACCATCATGCTTCCCAGTGGAGCTCCGACTCCTCGTCCGATCATGTTCACCACGTTGGTGTAGCTACGCAACAATGCGACATCGCTTGGAGCGGCCAAATCTATAGGGTCAGCTTGTCTATCAGCCAAACAGGAGTATCTCACCTGTAATCAATATAGAAATCATGACCACCATTCCCGAAGAACCGGCCCCACTAATGACCCTGCCTGCTATCAATTGAGGCATGGAATCGCTGGTGGAGCTGTTCAAGTTAGCATCCTCCAGAACCAGATGTGAGTACACACCATATGAGACATCCCAGTGCAAAGAGAAGATATCCCAGAAGCATAGACGTTTTGCGCCCACACGTATCGGCAAGAGTACCATACTGTATGTGTTAGACGGCACGGACCACTGATCCTATAGACTCACCACCGGCAACGAAACACAATAGCCGAGGTTATATCCCGTGACCAGCCATGAACCCTTGGATAACTCGTGGAACTCGGAGGCGATGATATCGTAGGTCGCAATAACGAGGGATTCATCCGAGCTTGCTAAAAAGGCACCTATATCCTTAGCAGTGGTTACTTCTGTATTGGAGATAAATACCTAGGTAGGCAATGAAAATGGCCAGTTTTGTTCGGCTGCTTTGTATACTAGTTTCTCTGTGATCGGAGGATTGTCCATCTTCAGAACTCGTCAGTAGCTGGGTAGTTTCACTAGCGGGCATGATGCTCAAAAGAAGTGACGATATAGCTAGATGGTAAGCATTGTGGGATGAAGAATGAAGAGTGAAGAATTGAAGGCCGACATCGCGTGCTTTTCAGGCAGCACTACGCTGGGTGCCTTATCACCACTGCACCAATAATATGACTCATCACAGACCTAGAGATAACTAACTAGTTACTCGTTCTAATGATCGTAATTGGAAGGATACGCTAGGCTACCCCGCTAGCGTGATCTGCAATCAGTGTCTAAAATGTGAGGATATGGGAATTCAACGCCGAAATTGACAGCTGCCAAAACCATAAATGGCCACATTTCCACCTGTAATTCCCAGCAGCGAGTGGTTGCCTAGCGCTAGTCACCCCTCTAAGGTAGTGTACTTTAGTGAGCCCTCACCTCGTTTCAACTCACGACTGAAAGATGCTGAGAATGGCCTCCTCTGAGACCAGATTCGCCTCCACTATAAAGGTAGCTCCATAGGGACAAGGTCCATATAGGTTTCACATTATCCGAAAGAGATTACCTAGGAAGAGTTGGTCGCTAGTTTTACAACTCAGGATTCACATCTGACGCTCGGCCAGGCACATATTGAAGATGGAAGTAATGATACACCCATACCAAAAATTGTCAGTGTAGAACACGGCGACGATTGTACTCCCGTCATGGACCATCACTCCTCTATGAGGCTTAATCGTATACATCCGTCGTGGTATCGCATGGACCTGCTCTTTGAACAACTGCTTTTGACATTTTGAGAGATCTGGTCATGCAACGCAGTGCCTAGGAGTCTTTCTTTGATAAGCACTTGGCGGCCGCGTATCTTAGGCAATGTACTTAAGTATCAAGGGTACAATAAAAAGGCACTAGGGAGTCAATACCTTGCTAGCAAAGTATATCTCCAGCACTCTGGTATTTCCGATCACGTTCTTGGCAGTATAAATTGCTTCGACGCATTGGCATCGGCGGACGAATATTCGATCTCTGGTGTGTGATCTACAAGGCTATATTTGACAAAAGGTCTTCCCAGGGCGAATACATCACGCCCACCATCCTCTGCAACATAGATCCGGATAGACTCGTTGTATATGCCGACTACTGACTTCCAGTCGCGCATGGAATTGGGAGATCGGTAACTGACATGCTCTAGCGTGATGGAAAAATCACCCGGCTTGAGCTGATAATGTCTATAGCGCGGAACATCTGTAGACAAGCCAATTGTCACAGTATGAAGCAGAGCGCGCGAGATTTTGCGGCGAAGAGCGTGTGGGAGGGTGATCCTTAGGCTCTGGTACTGAAAGATGAAAGGCAGATGATCGATTTCGTGGGCACACGGTCGCTATGTATGGGTACCAATCTCTTATGTTAAGATGCGATTCCAAAGCTTCGATAATAGTCGGCTTCAGATCATGTTTCGCCTCGGTTTTGAGGGCCTTTTGTTCTCGCGTTTTAATGTCGCATGTGGATTGAGAGGCAATGCTAATTCCACTGCCCTGGATTTCTAACAGGCAAGGCCCACTTCAATACCGATCAAAGCACCTGGCTTTCTGTCAACTAGCTCCTGGAGTACATAGTCCCAAAAGACTACAGCTGGAGAGACAGTATTAATACAGCCAGGTCCGAGATAATTGTAGAAGCCACATCCCCCCTTCTGCAATTTTCCACAAGCCTATCCCAGTCGTCTCGAATCTGTCTGTCCTTCTGTATCCAGCCCAATGTCACATTGGCTTCCAGTGTTCCTCAAGTGGTATGAATACAGCTCAATCTTATGTTGTTCTTTACCCAAAGAGGACCGGTGATTGGCCGCTCAGGATATTCTTCCAGATGAGGAGGTTAAGCGCCGAAACGCAAATGTAGCGCTCTGGCCTCAGCCTGTTCCCCGCACTTTCCTCACTGATAAAGGACAGTTTCCTTACATCTCCTGGACAGTACCTTACAACTTCCTGACGGTTTCCTGGCAACATCATCACGTACAGCCATTCCAACGACGCCGATTCTGAGATATGGCATCAAGGAACAGGGGGTTGTCCTTACCTGATGCCCTCAATAATCTTGCAAAGTCCTCTAGCAAAATTCAACGCCGCGGAGGTCTCAAGCCGCACGAAGAAAAGAGAGTGCGGGAAGGTTTTACTGTGCTGCTTACAGCGCTAGATGAGCACAGGATGTACCATGCTTTTCTATCTAAAATCAAGGACTTATGCGAACATCGCGGATATGCCATGGTGGTCTTGTGTATTGTTGGTCTTGGGAAACATGCAATCAAAATATTGAAGGATCAGGTCCAGTTGGACTTGCCTTTCGAGATTGTTAAAAGGAAGGAAGACTTGTGGAATAGCACTTTGGATTACATCGGTCGAAAGTATGTTGATGGTTGGTTGGCTCTTTCCACTTATAATTCTACATTTAACGGGCATAGACTTGTCCCTTGTTCATGTAGAAAGAGCCACGGATACTTTCCAATCCAAGAATTTAAAAATTTCAACGAATCTATCAGGTGATTCGCATCCTCTATAGGTTGTTTCACTGGGCTACACTAACATCATAAAGTTGGCAGTGGTTCCCATTCTCAGACTTTGGTCATTGGTAAGTAAGTGCCCGTGGCGAATCGTGTCGTTGGATACTTACAAACCACAAACACAGCACCCCATCCTCCGTCAGGTCCACGCCACGGCTCTATATCGTTAGACCTCCGTGTCAGGGACCTCGTTAACTTCTTCCAAGAAAATCAGGAATTGGACAAGATCGTCCAAATGGAATGTCCCTTATCCGGGGACCCTTTGCCTTCTATTAGCATTTCCCTCGATTGATCTGCAGAGTCGATGGCTAGGGTCGAATTTTCTCAGCCCCTGGCCACAGTTTTCATTCAATATGTCATGCAGCACTAACAGCATTGAAGAGGTCATTCCTGTTTAACTTTAAAAAACCGGACTGTCGGGTTACCGAAGAACATGCATGTTTGGCCTTCTTTTACTGCAATAATATCCCAGCCGTTTTCACTAGGTCCTGTAATCACGTTTGGAATAGGATGCGGAGTCCCAGGCCCTGTGACTCTCACAGCCCCCTCTGCTCCCCTCCTATGTACTAGAACAGCGCATACCGACTTGTCTGCTGTTGTGAAGGACTTAGGATGAGACACACTTTTTTCGATTACTACGCCCTTCGAAACCTAATAAATCATTAGCATTTTTTTGCTACGCTCTCTTCAGACGAACCGAACCAATTCACAGGCTACCCTCTCCAATTCTTCGTCGCTCGGAGACAGCGGGTCAACTGACTTGACTTGACTTCCGAAGGACATTATTGTTGTATTCTGAGAAGTCAATAGAGCGTGTCCGGAATCCGATAATGGGTACAACGCAGGGATGTCCATATATCATAAGAATAGGAGTGCCAAGATGCGTGCAAAGCGCATAAAGGCTGTTTTGGAAATGGATATTAGATGGCGACAATCATCTGGATAGGTAAAACAAACAAACCTTTCCCTCAAAATAAGCTGGCTTCAAGGGGAGATGCAGGAGGTCTTCGCACACCATTGCGGAGGGACTCCACGTTGAGAGACGAAGTAGTTTGTTTGGCGGGGTCATGTTAGTTATGTGATCTTGATCGCCTGATGACTAAATATTGGGCAGCCGTCCGGCAGGTCGGCAATAGTATTCTTCCATTTCGGATGAATATACAGCCACGGGACAGCCTCAAGGGCGCATAGGCATACTGTTTCACATGTTCTTTTATCTCATTTCATTTGGTTCGCCTAGCCTCAGCGCGGTAATCATAAAGGCATTAAAGCAAATCATATTGGTTGATATAAAGTTCAGTTTGAGTGGGCATCGTGCAACCGCCTGCCGCCTTTCCGACAGTTTCCTGACAGTATCCTGCTCGTTTCCAGACCGTTTTCCGACAGTTTCCAATATTATTCCTCACACATTTCTCACTCCTTACTATCGGAAAGCCCCGCAATACGACAGGGTCGGCAAGACCTAATGACGAGAACTGTACGGAGCATTTTCAGAAGTCCACCCGATTCAAGGCACCCAATGGATGGCCCTTTGTGTCCGTGCTGACTGCAGCTGCCCTCCCCGGGTGCGCAGGTGCGCAATAATTTTGTGACCCTATCCCCATCCACCAAATCCGAGCATCAGCGTAACATAGATGCGCCCCAGACAAAGGCGGAATTCGCATGGAGAAGAAGTGATCCTGATCCAATAACCGTGCCGACAGCGCATGATGCAGGCATTTCATGCATTGGATCTTGGGTTCGTTTGATGCAATTTCTCTCCAAGCAAGTAACCTATCTCGCTCATGTATAATGGCTAGTACTGGGCTTTGTTGTTTGGGCCGTATTGACCCTCTTGTCAAGTATAAATTTTGTTGTGCAACTTGGACTCATGAAGGATGGAACCTAAGACGCGCAGGAAACACACACACAAAAGCAAACTGGTAGCCTTTACAGAGTCTATAAAGCTGCCTCTCGATACGTGTATGGAAAAGGCCGATCATGGAGGTTATTCTATCCAGACAGATATCGGGCAGCTGGGGTCTGTAATGTACGAGGTCATTGTGGGGGAGAAATGCGAGTTCGATATCTTTAAAGATATGCCCCCAGAACTAAGTCGGGGTCGATGGCCTCGCAGGGAGGATCTTCCTAGCATGCAGGGTGTCTGGCTTGGTTCAATTATTGACAAATGTTGGACTGAGGGCGCATTCAAGACTGCTCTCGATCTGTGCCACGAGCTGGAGGCCGCCCGCATCGAGTACGAGCCGGATGAGACCTTGCGGCCGTCCAGGAACTTGCTGTCAATGGTCGAACAGGTCACGACGTCATACCGTCAGCACAGCTTCTGCTATACAACGACGATGGCGGTAGCGCTGAGTGCATTTGCGATGTACACCTGGAGTCGGAGGCACAATTGAGTCCTTGTTTTGCATATCATGGCGCCACGAAAAAGGTAGAAATATCGGGCGATGATCGCCAGGGCGGATAGCTGAGAGTACATTATCATTCGACACACGTTCCTGACGCTGTGGCCCACGCTCATTAGGCGGCGGAAGGAGTTGCATCTACTCCTTGGTTCGATACCAACGTTCTCCCTGAGGTTCAGGCCCTATCCGATTCAATATAAGAGAATATAATGAACCCCACCAGAACCTCACATTCTTAAACTCGTTGGCGTATTATTTCTTGGGCTGGCTTGCCAAAGGCCTTCTGACGTTCGCCTGGATTATGGTCAGTATCTCTGTAGTCGAATTAAAGTATGAAAACATATTTACGGACACCGATAGTTATCTTGGAATGCCTCGGGTAAGTAGGTCATGATTCCTAGCTGATATAGATAAGTAGTCGAACCCTCTCTGGGCACCTTCCTAGAAGTGGCTAGATAAAAGATCACTGATTTGTAGTGTAGAGTTTCTCATCAGTAAGGCCTTGCTGAGGAATTAGAGGCTCCGTGGTTGGCGGTACCTACCTGAGCGAAGTTTTTGGTAAAAGCAAACAGAGTTTGTCACGATGTTAGAGTTAGCTACTAAACAGGTAACATTACTCCATCCGAGCGTTATCGGAATGCTCTAGGAATGATCGAGTGGCAAGCAAGCTGCAGATAAACTGAACTCAAAATTGAACTTGAAAGCCAATTCAGATTGATAATGGATTAGGATAGAAACGACCTACATATATAGGGGTGCTCCGTATTCCTTTCTCAATGGCATTTGCAGCTGGGCTTACGCCTCATAGGCATCGAGCGACAGCCGTGGGTGATGACGCTGGTACCTGAGACTGCTGCTGCTGCCACAGTGATCCTACAGCCAGAGTCCAACGTGATACAATTGTTGCATCGAGAAATAATTCGCCATAGCCGATTATTCGGGGGGTTGGTGTACCAACAAAATTCTAGGATTGTTGGAAAACATGATGTGGTTCTCTCTCGGGACTTTGTAACACCCGGTGCTATCCGCGGTTCCCATCTCGGGGTTTACTACCGCCCGAAGCCATGTATAAGAGTCAAAGATCGCCATTTCTTTATATCAATTCAGCAAATCTTCACTATACTCAATGATTCGCTTCTTCCGCCAAACCAGCCTCCAAGGAATCTTCTCCCCATTGGGCTCTCCACGTTCTTCAGTCCGCCACCTCGCCACTATGACCAAACCTGCACCGATCGCCATTGTCGGCGGTGGTCCATGTGGCCTCACATTTGCACGTCTTCTAGAGACTGTCGGAATTGACTACGTTGTATTCGAGCGTGACGCCTCACCGAAAGGGACATCATTATTCCAAGGTGGCACCCTCGACCTACACGCCGCGACAGGCCAAGAAGCCCTCCGCCGCGCGGGCCTGACAGAAGAGTTCGAAAAGCTGGCTCGTCGAGACGCAATGACCCTGACAGTGCAGACCTGCCACGGTAACCTCCGCACAACTATTGGTGAGGGCCACGACGCCCCTGAAATCGACCGTTTGCAGCTACGACAGCTCCTTCTCAACTCCCTCCCAGCGCATCGCATCCGCTGGAACAAGCCCCTCCACAGCATTAAACACAATTCCAACAACCAACCCACATCTGCCGCAGACTGGCAACTTCATTTTGCCGACGGCTCCACAGAAACCGGATTCCGACTCATAGTCGGTGCCGACGGTGCATGGAGCAAGGTCCGCCCACTGGTACGATCCCTTCCTCGCCTTCCCCCCAATGAATACCACTAACCTCTCCAGATCACCTCCTCAACCCCCCAATACTCCGGTAAAATGTTCATCGAAGGCCGCATCTCCCAGGGAAATCCCCAATACGCCGCGGCACAGGACATGGTCGGTGCCGGCAACTCCCTCGCCACAGGCAAGAACTGCGTCCTGTGCATCCAGCAAATGTCCGACCGGTCTTATCGTGTGTATATGGGCCTCAAGGTCCCATCAACATTTACCCGACCAGGCGGCGATGCGGACCTAACCGATCCTGAGAAGGCGCGCAAAGCTGTGCTGGAATTCTACGCCGACTGGGCACCACATTTGCGTGCGTTCATCGAGGCAGCAGAAGGGCCGTGGCGACCGTGGCCGCTGAACCGACTTGATCCGGATATTTTCCTCGAGGGGAGTCCAGATTGGAGGCATGTCCCGGGAGTGACTCTCCTAGGTGACGCAGCGCATTTGGCAATGCCAAACGGAGAGGGCGTGAACATGGCTATGTTTGATGCATTGGTATTATTCGATTCTATTATCGCTGAGACACAAAAGGGAGAGAGTGACGCGGTTGCACTGGACCGCGCTATCAACAGCTACGAAGCGGAAATGCGTCCCCGGGGCCGAGAGTCGATTCTCGACTCGATCAACATGGAGGAGATGATGTATGTGGAGGATGGAGCGGCGCAGATGCTCGCCATGATTAATCCAGATGCTCAGCCGTGAACAGCTTCCTTTCCTTCACCTTCCTGTATATCAACCCTCAAGAACATAGATAATTCGATAGATAATCAGAACCACCCATCTTCTCCAATCTCCCAACATGACCCTTCCATCCTCCACCCTTGAACCCCTCTCCCCCTCCCCCTTCCCAATACACCCCTCCCCATCCTCCAACCCATAACCTCACCGCAACGGCCCCACCCCATCCATCCAAACCCTCACCTCCGCAATCCTACCCATCTCATCAAACCCAAAAAAATTACAATTCAACATATCCATCTTCGTCCCATCATGCAACTCCCCAATATACCGCTGCTGCGTGGCCACTTTCCCCTCCTTCTCATCAACAACCATGCTCAGCACGCGATGTTCCATGGTTTTGCTGCGGGCGATGAAATCCGTGAACATTTTTTCGATGGCGGGGAGGCCGGCGAATGTGGTGTTTGTAGTGGTTATGGTGAATGTGGCGGTTGGGGAGAAGAGGAGGAGGGCTTGGGGGAGGAGGTGGGTGTCGAGGGATTGGAAGTAGGTTGTGACGGTTGTGGAGAGGGTGGTGTAGGTGTTTTTGGTGGTCATTGTGGTTTTTGGTTGGGGGTGGTTTGAGGATGAAGATGAGGTGGTGGTTTTGAGGTGTAGTGAAGTTGTAATGGCTGTTGGTGTAGATATTGGAAGAGGTGGTGGTGTTTTGGTGATGAAGAATAGATACCAGATGAGGTGGTTGTGGTTGTGGTTGTGCTTGATGATGAGGGGAAGCAAGAGGGGAAGAAGGAAAAGTTTCCCGAGAGTGGTCTGGGCTGGGCTGAGGGGTAGTAGTTGAAGTGGGGCACATGACCTATCGATTTCTATTCACCGGTGCAATTTGAGGTGATACAAGGATGGACAAAAAGAAAGTGTGGTGGGACTGTACTACATCTGACTAGTGTGTTTATGGACATTGGTTGAGATCTCGACTGAAGCTTAATACGGAGTAGGGCATGGTGAATAAACTTTGAGGCAGTGGGGCTTGGGAGATCCGGAAGTCATCACTTGTCAGACAACAGTGTACGAAAGAAAGGGCAGGCCAGAATATACTCCGGTGAAGGAAGCGTTTCCTCCAACCTGGTATCTGAAGCTAAGGTGAGACGGATGCTACCGAGGCATCGGATCTATCCGACGGAGCGGTTCCGACCATCCACATTTCAGCGCACCTTATTTTCCATCTCATCCATCAACTCCAACACCATGCTGCGCCAACTCCGTTCAGTGCCACGACACTCTCTTCCAGGGTGTCGTCCCTTATCTACTAAGCAACACCACCTCCCAGCAGCCTACTACCGCGGTGGCACCTCCCGCGCCGTCTTCTTCAAGCAGGACGACCTCCCCACAGATCGCCGCAAATGGAACCCCATCTTCCGCGGCGTCATCGGCAGTCCTGATCCCTACGGTCGCCAACTTGACGGTCTAGGCGGGGGGATCTCCAGTCTATCTAAGATCTGTGTTGTGGGCCAACCCACCCACCCGGATGCAGATATCGACTACACGTTCGTTTCCCTGGGGGTGAAAACCCCTGAGGTGGATTACTCCAGTAACTGCGGGAATATGATCAGTGCGGTTGGTCCATTTGCTGTTGACTACGGGCTAGTTTCTCCAGGTCAGGACTCTGCATGTGTGCGTATCCACAATACCAACACTGGGAAGATTATCCATGCAAGATTCCCGGTTGTTGATGGGGAGGCCGCGTCGTCAGGGGATTTCGCAATTGATGGGGTAGCGGGGACGGCTGCTCCAGTGCAGTTGGATTTTGTCGATCCGGCGGGATCGAGAACGGGCAAGTTGCTTCCTACAGGACAGGTGAAGGATGTGTTTGATGGGGTTGAGGCGACTTGTATTGATGTGGCGAATCCGTGTGTTTTTGTCCGTGCGGAGGATCTAGATGTCAGCGGGAATCTCATGCCAGATGAAATCACCATTCACCCCGGTCTGTTGGATCGGTTGGATTCAATCCGTCGACAGGCGGGCGTCAAAATGGGATTGGCTGGTTCGCTAGAAAATGTTCCCGGCAGTGTGCCCAAGATCTGCCTCGTGTCGAGCCCTGAGCGCAATACTCGAGCGGCGGAGCAGGGCCAGACGGCGGATAAGGTGGATTTGCTCGTGCGGGCCCTCTCGGTCGGACAGCCGCACAAGGCAGTGCCGATTACCGTTGCGTTGGCGATCGCTGCGGCGGCGAGGGTGTCGGGCAGTACAGTTGCTCAGGTGGCCAGTGAGAAAATGGTGGATGAGGGGGGAATCACACTGGGTCATGCCAGTGGGAATTTGCTTGTCGGAGCGACCTTTGATGGAGATGGAATGTTGAAGTTTGCGACGGTGTTTCGGACGGCAAGGAGATTGTTCGAGGGGAGGATTTTTTGGAAGAATGCTAGTGATGATTAATTGGAGAGAAGATGTCATAAAAACCGCGCTGATGATTGATCATCCGTGTCCACGAGTTGGTTGATGTGGATGGTACTTGGCAAGGGATAGCTGACATGAGATGGATACAGCTGTAGGGGCCTATCCCAGGGCTAATTATTTAACCACGTCTCGTCACCTAGGTTTAGCATCCGGTTCAAGACAATGAAATGGCTAACATATGGCAATTGTATTTATTTAGTGGAGGACTTCCCATCCGACATATCCCTGAATGCACGCAATAGACATTTGCTACGCGATATCTTGGTACACAGCTCTGCCAAGATCATCCCGTTCAGCCCCCACCCCACGTCCCGGATAGGCCATGTACCGCCCTGATTGGTGAAGCTAGCCGGTGGGGCTGGCGGCAGGGACAACAAGGCTGGCTTCGCCGCATTTACCCCCCATGGTACGGAGTACAGAGTACAAAAACAAAGAGTACGGAGTAGATAAATACAATTGCTGTCTAACGAAAGTTATAGCAAGCCATAATCGAGGTATAAACATATGGTAGTACTGCAGCGTCATTCACTGTTCACTCAAATCTTACGATCGCCATCCTGCCGCCGAGATAGGTAAAGGATCAGGCTACATGGACGGGGCTGTGCGTCGGAATGCTACTAAATCTGAGGCGCTGACCGCCCGGGCATTTATTTCAGATGCTGCATCCCCCACAACCAACTGTGGGTGTCTGTCATCGTCATGTTGGGCAATTTCATCCCCAAGGCGAAAGCCTTTACTCGTATCGCACAGAAACCGCCCTCGTCGCATGTGCGGAATGTCAGTCAGAGCGATGAGTCGGTGGTGGAAAATGGCCACAACCATCGAATGTGGATTCCTGCGATGCTGCACTCGATGACCTTGGCTGCATTTGCCGTCCTGTTTATCATTTTCATCATCGTGATCGAGGTACTCTATTCAGTGTCATGTCGGAAGGAGGGCCTGAGCACGAGTCAGGAAAAGTTCCATTACCTGTGGACCTATGGCCCAACTGCAGGTAGGTTCCCACCAAGCAGTGAGACGCGTGCTGACTTGCAGTCCTCACCATCGTCGCCGGATTCTGGGGTCAGGTCGAGTATCGAACGAAACAGCTCGCGCCATGGAAGTCGATGAACCAACAACCAAAACCCGCATCGCAGTCTTTGTTGCTGGATTATGTGTCCGACTGGAACGTGGTGGTCATGTTTCGCGCCTTGAAGCACAGCTGGGCTGTTCCTCTTGCTATCATAGGCACTCTGCTCATCAAGCTAGTCACGGTGGTCTCGACCGGTCTCTTCATGCTGCAAAGCGTCTACATGGACCACGTTCCAACAACCCTCCACACCCAAGCAAGCTTCAATGCTGCTACATTTAATGGTACCATGGTTGATGGCACCGCTGCAATGGTTGTAGCTGGAGCGTGGTGGCTCGACCTGCCATATCCGGTGGGATCGACCGACCAGTACGCCTTCCAACCGTTCACCACCAAATCAAAACTCGGTAGGTGGACCCATATATGGGCGAAAATCGCTGACTTGAGTAGGTAGCGAGGCAGTCATTTCAGGGACTGTATCGATGTTCTCTGCCGATCTGCAATGTGATGTAGGCACGGTTACAAACTGGACCCAGGGGTGCACATCTCACGGCTGCGAGCAACTTAGACTCAACATGACCATCAGCACGCCCTCCTGCTCCAATTATCCGCTGGCTAGTTTCTTGAGGAGCACTTCCTCTGTTGGAGGCTATTACGCCGACGTCTTTTCAGCCACCTGCGCAGATAGTGCCTCTGACCAGGAATTGATCTTTGCTGCCGCTCACTGGTCGGAAAATATTACGGAAATCCAAACCCTCGTCTGCAGCCCCACATACAATATCACCGAAGGGTCAGTCTCACTACTCCATGGCAACCAGAGTGTGGTTAGCATCCACTCCAATACTGCAAGCAATGGTACCATCTCAGGTCTCCGCCCAGCGGAGCTAGGAACTGGACTGGTGTCGACCCTGGCCAGTGCCGAGGACCCCCTAGATACACTCAACTATGTGGATTTATCGACGGGCAGACTACACAAGTTCCAGTACAACTTTTCGGACCCCAACAGTACCTACCCTAGCGCATTCTACCTGGTCGCAAATCTATCCTCGCCACATGAGCTGAGTGACCTACTGGATGTCTCGGTCTTGGAAAAGGTTACCCGTCCTACGTTTACTGCCATGGCCGCACAAATCGCGCGGCAGTATTTGTTATCTTCTGCCGACGCAGAGTTCAAAGGAACCTATTCCGCCCATATACAGCGGGTGATCGTCAGAGAACTCTCTGTCCGAATCATGGAGGCTACCCTGGCCGTACTGGTTGTCCTGACGGCAGCGCTTTGGGCCGTGAGGCCCGTACGCAGCACGCCTCGCGATCCTGGCACCATTGCCGGTCTAGCAAGCATTCTGAGTCGGAGCCCTGGTGTCTCACGCCGGCTTGCAGGGTGCAAAAACGCCAAAGACATAACCACCGAGCTGGCAGACGGAACATACTACACCCGTGTGACCGACAATGATGGCTGGACCTTTAGTATCGAAGAGGAACAGAAATCCGAGGGTACTCGTACTCGTATCAGCTCCAGCCCGATCACTTGGTGGCAACCAATGTCGGTGTCTCTCTGGTGGTGGATTATCTCTATCTTCTTCCCCCTTCTGATTATCGCAGGCCTGGAAGTCGCTTATCAGATGTCCGCTCAGCGGAACGGCCTCGGAACGGTGGACTCGAGCGGCTATATTCGGTACACCTGGGTTTACCTGCCAGCGCTGGTGATGCTCATTGTGCGGATCTTCTTTGACTGCATCCATTTCTCCGCCATGGTGTTTCAACCGTACCTGGAACTACGACGGGGTGGTGTCACTGCACCGGGCAGCCTGATGGAGAACCACCTGTCGAAGCTGACCCTCTTCACATTCATCACTGCCATCACGCGCAAGCAATGGGCCGTTTGCGCCTCGGCATTCACGGTCCTCCTCGCCCCGGTGCTCACCGTGGCAGTCAGTGGATTGTACTCCACCCAGGACGTAGTCTACACGCGCCCGGCATCCATCGCACGGACCGACACCTTCAACTATAGCATCACGCCTCATTCCTCCACCGATAGCGATCCCGGTCTGGGATTGACTGGGGCCTTAGTAGTGGCCGCCAACCTGTCCTATCCTGCCTGGACCTACGACGAGCTCGTCATCCCGACCCTCAGCGAGGACTCTCTGACCGACAAGAAGGGCAAAGTCCCGGCCCAATCGTACTCCAATGAGACCAGCGACGACCCGACACTTCTCGAGCTGAGCCTTCCGGCCCTGCGTGCCAATCTAACCTGCGAGACCCTCCCGTCGGACGTTGTCTATTCCATTGATCCCCCAGAAGAGGACTACTCTGCCTGGTCCATCAACATGCAGCTCGACGAAAAATGCCAGGCCGGGGCCTCCTCTACCTCCTTCACGGTTGAAACCGACTATCCCAATCAGAACCACACGGTCTTTGGCAGCCTAATCTACCTCGACACCGCCGCCTTTGGCGAGTGCCCCACTCTAATGGGCTTCTACGGCAAGTTCAACGGCAACTCGACCAGCGACCTCCGCGGCTTCACCTGCGACCCGCAAATCGACCAAGTCAACGCCACCGGCACCTTCACTCTCCCGGGCCTCCAGATCCAATCCGTCACCGCCGACTCGACTGGCCAGCTCTTCACCACCAACATCACCTCCGACCTCTATTTCACCGACTACCTCCCTCAAGCCGTCAACCAAAACAATCAAGCCTTTGACGCCTTCTTTTCCGCCATGATCAACGATCAAAAAACCCTCACCCTCGACGACATCACCGACCTCTCCCACTACCCGACGGTCATCAACGCCGTCCAACACCTCTACCGCGTGCTCATGGCCCAAAGCATCAACGGCAACTCACGCATCCCCTCCACCACCAACTCCACCCGCTACCCGGCCACCATCATCGACCCCAACCGCGTCCGTCTCATCCAAAGCGCCATCTCCACCCGCATCCTCGAAGCCTGTCTCGCCGCTATGGTTATTTCCAGCCTCATCGCATACTGCTTCATGCACACCAAGGAAGTCATCCCGGTCAACCCGTGCAGCATTGCCGGGGCGGCCACCTTACTCGCAGGATCCGACCTGCTCAAAAGCGATATCCTTCCTCCAGGCTCGGAATGGCATAGTGACAAAGACCTCCTCCGACGGGGCTACTTTAACGGTCTCATGTTCGGCCTGGGGTGGTGGGAGGGACCGCGCTTCGGGATCGATATCGGCAAACCGGGACCGTATCGCGATTAGCCCGTTCCTTTATTCTATAGCGTCTATATCTTGTTCTGATGAATTAACATCATGTATACATACAGTAACCATATGCGTCCAACCAGTAGAGCTAGATGTGAATGCAATATAAAGAGTAAATATATACAAACCCATCCCTAGATCTAGTACCCGTCCTACTTGTACTTCCTTCCACCGCCAATGCCACAATTACATCTCAGTTTCACTTCCACTTCCAGTCCCAGTTCCAATCGTATCCATTCCCCGGGCCGCCCGCCCACCCGCACAGCAATCCCAAGACGAACTAATTTAACTGCCATGAACCAGACCGAGAACCGGAAAGTCAACAAAACGGATTGAAAACATAAACAAAGAAGAAACAACTCGTCAACATAAGAGCAGTGACATTACATTACAAGTGTAGTGTAGATTCATCCAAATGCACCAGGCCAGGTAACTTCCTTATACTCTTTTCCTAACCATGATACTGATTTGATATTTATTTGTATGTCAAGACCAGTGCGACTAAATGACCAACCAATCCCACTACGGAAGATTATCCGAATATTTATTTTATTTTATTCTGTTTACTGGACTTTTTTTTTGGTTTTTTGGCTTTCTCCATTTTTAGTTGCTGGTACTGAATGTATATTGTCCTGGAAGAGAGTAGTAATATATAATGTACGGGTGATTCTATGATTTAGTTTGTATTGATTGGTTCGAGTGACTGTGGTAGTTCAATGTACCGGGAGGGTTACCTGGGACTCAATCATGGGTGGTTCAGGGCCTGCAAAATGCCTGACCAAGGGTACTAAGACTAAGCCGGTGACTCTGGTGTGGATATTTTACCACTCTCGTAATAAATGGATGATGGGATGTGACGGACGAGGTTGGTGGTCGTGGGTGGGACTTTACGAGGTGATTAAGTTGGTGTTTGTTTTGTTTTAACTCGCATTGATGGTGCAGTCTCGGGGCATGGGGAGAGGATGTATTGTTACTCGTGGGTGAGTGGATTACGGCATTCCCCTGACATGAAGTGACTAAGTACTACTAGGTATGGTTATCGAGTCAGCGTGGTCTACTGGAGGGAACTGAGGAATACGCTATTAATCCATATAGAGTATATATCGCCCCATCCCACATCATTGTTTATGTAACAAACTCATCTATCCATTACCTATCCCATCATAGTCTCCCTCCCATAGCTATACACGGGCCAAGAAATTTTAATCATAAGACTCATAGCAGTACACATACTCCAAGTACGTCTGATCGAAATACGTCTGTCCCTCGGCACCAAAGTACGCGGGGTCGCTGACGGCGTTGCTATATACGTCTTAGTACAGTAACTGTCCCGCTGAGGGAGGGAGAACCATACCTGTACAGATCGCAAGGATCGGGGCTGGAGAAGTATGTGTATGTGCCACTGCACGGGTCAGCCGGACTATGGATGTGATAGGGTGGGGTTCACGTACGGGTACTCCAGCTTGGTGAACTCCTTTAGTTGGAGCTGCTGGGTGTAGGTTTCGCCGGAGGGGCTGTAGCCGTATTCGATCTGTATTACACGTTAGGGATCATCATTGTTGGGTGGTGGTGATGAGGGGTATGCATCACGTACATTAATGAGCTGGCCGACAACGGTAGAGGAGAAAAGAGCCAGGGTGGTGGCGAGGATGGACTTGGAGAACATTTTGGTCGGGGTGGTAGGCAGATGGGGAATTCTCCGGGATGGGTGTGAAGAGAGGATCTTGGTTTGATCTGATTTAGATGCGTCTGTCGTGGAACGTTCGCTACTTAAGTACGATGGTCTGTTGATAGGGTCATACTAGTATATGTGTTGAGGCTGCTGGTCCATATTTGGTAACGAGGTGATTGTCGATCCGGAATATTGTTCGGAGCCGTCGGGTTAACGAGAGTCCGGGACTAAGTTGGAGGTGCTAGCTGAGCTGTGATCGGCGTGGGTTGGGTTTTCTCGGAAGAAGAGGTTGCGAGTGAGATTAGATATGGATTAATGTATATCCATGACCTGAGCAGTGTAGTCAGGCACATAGTTGACTGTCCAGCATTGCAGTTCATACGAGGTAGGTATGAAGCTCTGCCTGCCAGGGATCAGCACCCATCCAGCTCCACTAGTGGCCGATCGCGCTGCCACTATCTCCCGGGATCGGTTGCCAGGGTCCAACGTTGCCGAGTGCCGGCGGTGTTGGTCCCAGCTGGACCATTGAGTGTTGTCAAGCAAAGTTAAGTTAAATTGTGGGTAGTATGGGTTGTCGGTGAGTGGAATGGAACATTCACTAATATACAAGCAGAGCAGAGTTTCTGAGTTGAGCTCTGGCAGATGTGACTACATCATCGCCATGATTGATACCTGTCGAGATAAGCTAGTTACAGGGAAATTAGTCGGTGGAATAAAGAAGCTATTGAATGATCATCACTAGATCGGCATCAGCTCCGATAGTGGAGAACAGACAAGCTGCTGGATGACTAGGCGGAATCTAATAGACGTGCGGCTGCGATTATCGCTATTCCTGGGGAGAACTAGATTTGGGATTCCAGGAAAAGAACTTGCACAATCTGCGTACGATCTGCAGCAGTTGAGAGGCATGATCGGTGAGGAAGGTACAATGTAGTCAGAGACGGTAGTCGGAGAAGTGGTAGGTAGAGAGGAAGACCCGGAGGAGCGCCAGCATCTACGACAAATATCTCCAGATCGAGTCACTGTTGATAACCGTTCAATAGCCATGTTTTAACTTTGCACAGATATGTTCCGAGCATACACCAACATTATCGTGATTCGAATCAAGATAAGCCCAGCTGAAAGGCAACGGTATTGATTGTTGTGGGCCAGCGGCGATAGAGCACCAGGAGAATAAACTATTGAACTTTTTAAGCGAGGTTATCTCCCTTTGTTGTTATCAAAGGCTCAGGTTTTAGGTCGATTAGCATAAGGAATCTATTTCCATGCAACAAGGGCATAACTTAAAACCAGATAGCGCGGCAAGATCAACAAGGAGCCATCAATGGCCACGTTGATCTAAGGACTATTGATATTTGCTTATTCTTCCCCCATATATACCCCCACTCCCTTTGGTCAACACATGCATTCTAGACCGTGAACATGCCATTCATCATGAGTGACATATAAATCAGATCCCTCTCCCTGATCTGGAAACAGCCTCACACAGTCTCACACAGAACATACTCGGTGTACACAGCCGGATCAAAGGTGTGGACACCCGCCGGGGCATAGGTAGTTTCACCGCCAACATATCTGCAAATATGTGAGTTGCGAGCCACAAAAGTAAGATACTGAGACTCACTTATAGAGGAAGCAGTTGCCAGTGTCTTGGAAGGTAGTAATATTTCCTCTATTTCATGATTAGTATGGTATCAAGAGATCGTTGATGGAGACCATACGGGTGACCCAGTTCCGTCATGCTGTTGGACGGCACCGTTTGGGTATAGTAGGCTCCGTTGGAGGTGTAAGCAATCTGTCAAGTCTGTTAGATGTTGTAGACTGGACAGATATGATGATGGTGAGGGTTGTGACATACATCGATGGTGCTGGCAAAGACGCCAGACGCACAGAGGGTAATGGCCGTGGCCAGGATATTGGTGAGCTGCATTTTGATGGATTGTGTCGTAGAGGTATTGGTGATTGAGCTTGTGTGATGGATGACATTGCCTGATGGGATACTGGCTTTTATAATACTCTACTAGATGTCATCTTTTAATTACTGATGTGACCCCCCCGAAGTGCATCCTTCAGCTGAGCTGAGGATATTCCTCTTGGCATGGATGGCCTTGCATACAACCCTCAACCTCACGGGATGATCTGGTTTTGATGTGATAATCAGGAGTAGCACAGCACAGACTGCTGCCAATAGAATGCATTGAAGTACAGCATAACAGATGCAGCAGATCTGATCTGTCTCCAGATCGGCGGCCCCAGGTGCTGCCCAGTGGGATCCCGCTTGCACCGAACCACGTCGTCTTAAGGCATCCAGTGCTTACTGCACTAGAAGTATAGACGATTGATGGTAGGATAAAAGAACATTACTATAGTTCAATGATACTGAGAAGTGCACTGCCTCCGTGTATGTGACACACAGGCTGCCTAAGAATGTATGTGTCTTTTCTGACAATATTCTATGGGCGTCGCCGGGTGAAGGGGCAGCCTTATCCGATACTCAGGCGAACCGTGGTGGACCCTGGCTGGATCAGGGAACTATATTGAATTATAACAAATGCTATGTTGTTCGTCTACGGTCAATTCGACGGGCATTGGATGCCCTGTGCAGTGATGGTATGCCTTATCTGAAACATTCTGGGGGCCTCACATCGGGCTCGGCCTATGGGTGGCCTGAAAATATACTTCTAGCAGTCGATGTAGATCAGTGCGGCCCTGGCTGTAACCATGCCGGGTTATATAATTCGGCTACCTGCATAGCGCAGGGAAATATTGAAGAAATAGTAGGCATGACAGTCCGATCCACCCTTCCATTTTCAACTATACAATTCCCATCTCATCCACTCTAAACACCCACCCCACCAACCATCCTCCACCCTCTTCCCCCCATCAAGAAACCCACTCCCAACTCAACACCGGAATCTCAAACACCGGCGCCGTACACGTCGCGTTAAAATCCGCATCATGCGTACAGGTCAAAGTAAACTCCGTACTCCCCTGATACGTAATCCTACTCCCATTTGTACACTCCAACGCATGTCCATCCCCCAGAACATAATCCATCCGCCCCGTGGACGTCTCATAATCCGAACTCCCATAAAACGAAACAATCCGACCCTCGCCCCGATCCGCATATCCGCAATTCGACGCGCCGTTACCGATATCATGGACCCGGTATCCGATGTACTCGTCGTGGCAGGTCAGACCGTCTGCGAAATCGATGTCGAGCGTCTCCGGGGGCCCGTACCCCCAGGGTTGGTAGTTGGGCATGCCGGTCCAGCATACGTTTACCATGCTCCCGTTGCAGGTGGTGGGGTCCGGGGCGCACCAGGTGTCTCCGCAGAGACAGTCTTGGAAGTTGATGTCTGCTTAGTTGTGGATGCAGTCGAGGCTTTTGGACCCGTTGTACCAATGGAAGGTGGTTACTTGCCAGGTGGGGAGGGGGCAGCCGGTTGGGGGGGTGATGGAGCGGGGGTGCAGGAGGGCGGTGGTGGAGGTGGTGAGGGCCACCAGGGTGGCGATGGTAGAGAACATGGTGTTGCTGCAGTGTATTTGGGGATGTTACATAGGTGAGTGAAATCCTGGGAATTGAGCATGCCTTTATAGCCGACTTTGGAGATCAAGAATTGGGCATTCTGTAGACAAAGTAGGATATCGAAGCGAATGGTTGAGGTCTAGAATCGGGCACTTTGTATGCACATAAGCCGCAGGTGAGACATCACGAATGAACAGCCGAGACGACGGGCCGATGTAAAACATCCGGCTGGTCCGCCCTATTAATGGGTGTGGCGGTTCCTTGGCATCGGAGATCTTGGTCTTGCTGCTGAGGTCCATATTCCTGAAATAGATGTGTCGAGACTGTGATGGGTGTTTAGCCGGTTGTCCAACGGCGACTACGAGCTGGCTGTCTTTTTGATCGGGATGATTTAGTTACATGAGTGCCCTGGGACTAGAACTTAGTTGTCATAAATTCTATTAGACCTGGTAGATAAATACAATTGAATTGAAGACCTCAAACAAGAAGTCATAAATGCGATAGTCATGTGACAGAGTTCTTCTGCCTGAGAACCAAGGCTATATGAATGTATTCCGCCATCATCTACACAAAATACTACCAATCCAAGATATCGTCCGACTCCAAGGGTATATTCTCGCACAGACCAAATCCCTGCAGATCAGACCACCGTCACACCATGGCACCAGAGGCTAATTAAAGCCATAGCCAAAGTTTCACCAGAATGGCAAAACCCCCACCAATGGTCTTAAACACCTTCGAAAGAATAACAAGAAGATACTAAGGAGAGAAATATGTATGTCGATATGATCGTTGACATCAGAAGACCCAGGAACAATCAGTATCCTCTCGTATCTCTATTTTGTTTCGCGCATCCTGAAGACTCGGCTTTGTTCCGGGCCGCGCAGAAACCTATGACGTCACCACATCTGAACCCAGTTCAAATTCCAAAACGCGTCAATGCCTGTCTGGGGAATTCAATGGCTTGAATTATGGTGTCTGGGTATATTAATGAATGGTTTGTACTCGGTAAGGTTACTCTAGGATTGCTGTCAAGGAGGTGGTGGGGTTTATGGGGGTTTTGTGCGGGGTGCGGTGGATGGAATCGATGGAATATAAGTTGCGGGATAATAGGAGCTCAGTGATATCTTCGTTGCATCTAGTGACTACAACGATACAAATTGATTGCATTCATTGATCGTCTCTGCAAGGCACGAGAGTATTCTGCTGCAACACAGCTTGGACCAAGCTATGTGTGGGTCAACTCCCGAGGAAACTCCGAGCATCACCATCATGGATTGATGCGCGATTGCTTTGGGTATGTACAAACAACAGCTTTCTAATGATCAGGAGGCAATTCCTGAATTAGAATTAGATCGAGCGATTAAAGAACCCCCGCACCCAACCGAAAGACTATGTGGTAACTGGTATGAAGCTTAAGCTTATCGTAGCCAGCTACCCTCACCGGACACCCCCTAACCAGTAAGTGACCCGCCCCACCCGCTCTCAGAATTTAAGAACCGCATTACCCCTCCATCCCCTCCCTCCCTCCACCACCCCAATTGATCCCCAATACCGTCAAAATGGTCTACACGATTGTTGTTCGTACGTGCTCCCACTGACTTGATTCCACCGCAGCCAGCACCCATCTGACCCATGCAGACATGCGCGCCAAGCCCGACGAGGAGAGCATCTCCAAGCTCCACGCCAAGCTCATCGAAGCCTCCCGCGTCTACTCCCAGGACAAGGAGACCCTGTCTTGGTTCGTCATGCAGAGCGTCCACGACAAGCAGGACTTCTGCATCGTCGAGCGTTACCTCAACGAGGGATCCCAGAAATACCACCTCGAGAACCCCTACTGGAAGACTTTCGACCCCTATGTTATTCCTCTCTTGGAGAAGGATATGGACCTGAGACGCTTTGAGGAGATGGAGTAGGGATATAACTGGATGGATATGATGTATATAACGGTTGTCTGATGCCGTGCATTGGACTGGTAGGGTAATGAAGCTACCTTTGCCGAATGGATTGCGGATGATCGATCGTCGTATCAGCTGGTGATAATACGGATTGGTGTGACTGGCAGAGACAGAAGTGGCTGGAAGCTATGGTGATGACGAGAATGGCTCAGCTGACTGATATGGGATGTTGCTTGATGACGAGCGAAAAGCCATCTCGTCAGTAGAAGTCTCGCTTCTAGTCTACAACACACTGGCAACTGTGAGCGACCATTTCAGATCAGTCGTGTTTGAGACAAGCTCGGCCATTTCTACCATATTGATGCGCCGATTTCGGACTTCATTTAAAAACCTGACAAGCTTCCCTCGACCGACGTTATGCGCTGTGTTCCGCTCTGTTCTGGTGCAGGAGAAAGGGACCTAGGCAGACAGCAGACCGGTTATACACGGGACACCCATGAACACAGAGATAAGTCCGCTGCGAAAAAAGCATTCAGAGGCACGTCTTGGGGGCGTCGAAAAACAGCTAGCAAAGGCCTAGAACGACCACTGGTTTTGATTTTGTGGCAAGTGTTTTCGTGCTTAATCTCCCTGAATGGATTCTCAAGCAGGCATTCTGTTCTCCGCAGCGCAGTGACCGCCAGTATATGTGTGAGTTATAACGTCGGTGTTGCGCTGAAAGGGGTAGATGCTGTGATTATTAGATTGGGTGTTAAGAAACGACGGTCCGATGCTAGAAATGCAAGGTATTGTTCCCGAGATTGTGCATGTTGCGGCAGCAGAATAGATTGGATTTTTTCCAAATGCTGTCCACTTAAGGAAGTCTTATATTCGGGGTTGCCGAATGACGGACCATGGACCGTCAGAGTGCTCAATTCGATGGGACAGGCAAAACACTGGCTTTGGCTTAGCGTCAGAAGATCCATGACTGGAATCAGTCAAGAGAGATAAACAACACTGGAAGAAGCTAGCTTATCTCTACGGCATTGCTTGGTAGATTTTCTGTTCGCTAAGAAAGCAGTCCGCCACCATCCCTTGTCCTATCATAACTGATTAGATTCACATCACGTTCTAACAACGAATAGAAGATACCTACAACCAACCACTCAAACCCCCCCCCCATTCGACCGACTAAAAAACGGACTCGAAACATAAAACGGCCGTTCGGGCACCCCTCCCACCGAGTCTCTTCCCCCCATCAACACCTGCATCCTCTCCCTGAAAGCCACATTATCCCTCAACCTCCCCACCGACCTCCCCACTCCATCATTTCCCTCTACAAACCTCGCATCCGGCACCCCCTCAAACCCCAATTCCACCCCATCCACCCACTTCCTCCCCGACACCACACACCCCTCCTTCATCCCCTCCGCACTCCGATTAATCATCTTCCTCCAGAACTCCCCCTCGCCGTTCCCCACCATCCCAGCGCCCTCCAACATCCCCACCGCATCAGCCACCCAATCCTGACAATTCCCGACTTCGAATTCAGGAATATTTAATATATCGTTCCCAAAATCAAAGAGGAGGGTAGTGATGTGCTCACTCTTTTCTTCAGAGAAAGTGGCTAGTTCGCAGCGACCTCGTAAGACGGGGTCGTCTTCGAGGGGTTGCTCACGTGGGTCGTAGATGAAGGTCGTGTCAGTGGGGTTGCGGATGTGGTGCATCGTGCATGTCGACGCGCCGAGCTGGTAGATGGCGAGGCCCATGTGGGACGGGCTGTCGTTGAGGGTAGCGTCGCCGCGGCCGTAGATGTTGATTGCGAGGGCGTGGGTTGGAGGGTTGGTGCGAGGGCTGGTCATCGTGATGCAGTATGTGAGTGTAAGGGCTTGATGAGCGGGATTTGGATGATGGATGATGGATGATGGATAATGGTGGATGGTGATGGCGCGTAGGTCTGCCTGCCTGGAGCGTAGGCGCCAATATTGATCACGTGCAAAGTGAGTTGGTGAGGACAAGGGTTTAGTCGGGAGATGAGGGAAGAAAGGTATTTACACGTCGACATATTGTTTGCTCAGAATGTGTTTAGCTCATTGTATCCCACTCGTTTGCCATACGCCGTTTGGTCATGGGTCTTAGTTTGAAAATGTCCAATGATGACCATATTCTACATCAGACAGTTCGACAGCTAAAGACCATGGGGCTATCCTATAGCTTTCACACACGCTTATCTGCATTCCTTGATATACTTGCCGCTTCGTTGGTACTGTTGTCATATTGGACGGGGGTTGGCGGGATATTGGCGAGACTATGAGGGTACTATCGCGTCATGTTCAATCCACACTGGCGAAGATTGTGAGATAGAATGGTCGATAAATTCGTTCCCCCATTCCATACTGAGTAAACTATAATGGAGACTATTTTTGGGTATGTATGAAAGCAGCCTCCATTGTTCTGTGTTCTGTTCCTAACCTACGTTGAGGACTTCCTGGGTGGCCTCCTTATAGGCATGCCTTCGAATATGATTAGGTCTAGTCGTTTTGATTTCCCCTTTCCAATGTCTATAATTCCATCGCATATTCCCCTCAAATTTCTGGAATTTGATATAATTGACCCATCTGTAGTCATGCAGGAATCACTCGTCCTATAACCCTGATCTTAACATCACAAACATCTAAACATTCCTTCCTATATAGTATTTCTTTCCTTACAACAACCAAAAGAAGTCCAGACACCGTGAACCCCTGACACCTACGGATAAACAATCTCCAAAATCAAAAACTATCCTATAATGCTACCCCAATTCCCCTAAAGAGGCGACGTTGAGTGAATCCGCTCATCCCATCAAATACACTGTATGCGAGCACAAACCATCATCATAATCGTTATTAAACATACGTTTCCTAACCCCCACATCATCCTTGTATCTACTTTATCCAAATTTTGGGTATGTTAAAAAAGAAAAACCTCTGTATGGCCAATCAAAAGCCGAATATCGATCCCTGAATGAATAAGAACGGATAAAAGGCCGGAAAGGCTTTCTGAGGTGATGAATGCACTCACCCCGGGGAGGGCGGTGGTGTTTAAGGAGACATTTTTAGCGGTTATTAGATTCATGTGGGCTGGTCTGGTGATGGTATCGTAGCTCACGCAGACCTTGCTCTTGCTTGGGCTTGTGTATTTTGAGTGGGGGACATACAGGCGGGGGTGTATTGTATTATCTTTATCCGCGTGGCTAAGAAAAGAGCGAGTAGTTGGTATGGGGATCTATACAGCAGGGCTCATCTTACATCTGAGAAGTGGGTTACATGTCATTGTATTACGAATGGAGGACAGTTTCACAATAAATCAATTCTGATATTCAAAACTATCATGTCAAATGAAACCATAACCCGCATCATTCTTCGCTGCATTCAGAACACATCACCAGCCATACTTTAAACCAAGGACCCATCTAGCAGCTGTAGCCAGGAAGACCGCTGATGTCGGTAGTGACGATACCCCAGGGAGGGTTGCAGCCACCCTCGGCCGTGTTGTAGAGGTAGAACCATCCTATGTTTGTCAGTATACCATAGTTTTAATTAGGACAGGGCTCACGTACCGTTGGCACACTGGCAGTAGGTTCCGGAGACACCGCAGTCGGGGTCGGAGCTGGATATGGGTTAGTCTCTGTTCGAGACATCAGGCTGGGTTAGAGGTAGTGACTTACAAGGCGTAGCAGCCGCTGTCACCGCGGGCCATGAGGCCGTTCATGCTCTGGTCGGCGGCGGGAGCAGCCAGGACCGTGAGAGCGGTGGTGGCGATGACGGTGAGGATGGCAGAGACCTTCATTTTGATGGTTGAGTGGTGGATATTCTCGGAATGAGAGAAAAAGTAGATGGTGGTTGAGATGAGGATTGTTGGAGTGATGATGAGGAGTACACACGGGGGTTTTACTGGGCTTATATATCTTCGAGGCGAGCCCCGAGACGAGGAGACAGCGTAGCCTTGCGACTCATGGTGTTGTTCATGGTAGAAGGTAGTGGCACGGTGCCGGTAGACCGCTTGCACTGGATGCAACTATCCAGATCGCTAGTCTGCTAGCCTGAAGGATTGAACTATGGCTTTGTCGCTATACGAGAAGGATGAGGCTATGGCAGTTGGTATGGCTCGAGGAGGAGTATAGCGTAGAGTTCCAGTTCCATGGTCAGATTCGGAGGTATAGCCGAGCACGGGCAGGAAGAAGCCCTTGATCGATCCACTTGGTGCATACAACGAAGAAGCTACTGGAAGCTAAGACGCGAGGCTGAATGCTTACATCCTCTCGGTTGCAGATTGCAAATAACGTCGTGAGCTTGGCTTTGGCAATGGTCGCATGGGCTGTCTGGATGAACTTGGACGTGAAGAACTTGAGGTGCATCAACCATGAATATTGCAACAGCACAGGCTTAAAGGTCACATTAACAATATTCGAGATGGAATAATGATACTACACAGTGTCACCAAGAGTATGTGGGCCGATGTAAGCACTTGGTCGGCCGTAGATAACTGATCATAACCGAGCATCAGGCTGTGAGGCTTCACTGAATACTGGCGGCTCACTTCTGAGACACCATTAGACTCCGCGATCCAAGTCGGAAGGTAAACCGCATGTCCATAGCCGGTGCATGTAGCCTTGAAGGCTCTAATCCTGCAGCCTCCTCACCAGAGGCTATCCTGACATGTGGGAGCGACCATTGGTGCTCGAGTTAAGCCCATGCTGACTTCGAACCAAAGGAACAGACGAAGGGACTGATAACATGCTCACTAGAACCTAGCCTATCATATCCTCTGACAGATGTGGGCAGGTGACGCTAAGCATTGATCCTAGGGTCAGATCAGGCGCTAACAACGGTCTAGGGACGCGCCGTCGGGGTCCGGAGCATTTAAGTCCCTGGACTATCCACGCCACCAAATTGCGAATCCCCCCAGGAAATAACGCGGACCAAGGCTGATGAACCTAACGAACGTGCTAGCGAAGGGACTGAATTAGTCCCTTCCTCCGCACCTCCTTCAGTCCAAATCCCTACCCTTTCTTGCCGACTTGTTCGTCAGGCGAGGAGAAGACTTTTGCCGGTTGTCAGCAAAGATTAATCGAACGAAATTAATTGTGGCCCATAATCCTTCTGTGTGCTGTACTGAGTGGTTTTCAGGCGTCCGTATATGGACGGACCCTGATTTGCGGGTCCGTCTATCTTCGAAGTTCGCACCTTTCGCTTACAAGTGGGGTCTGGTCATTTCCGACGGATTCCGTATCTCATCAGTTGACATTTTCACTGATGGCTTGCTTGAGAACGTGAGCCGAGGTCAACTTGTGCAGAGCTGGGGGTGATTTTCGATCTTTGTATGGAATGAGAAGTAGAGGCTCTGTTCTGAATGAAAGCGTTAGCTGATATCTCTTCAATTCACAGAGCATATTCAAAGATGTCAAGCCGACGAAATCGATCCTATCAAATCATTGTAAGCAGAGACGATGTAACGTTGGATAGGCACCATAGACGGAAATAAGACTATATTCTGACACACCCATAGCATATCAAGGGAATCTCGGGCTAAAGGTCCGGTATAATCCATCTGGAGTCACAAGTGTGAGAGGGAAGAAGATATTGGTGGGAGGCTAGCCGATGGCGGGGCTTCGAACCTCTACAATCAGGTGATTGCCACACTTCACTTTCTCTCTTGTTCCATCGTGTACCTTGCTTTCCGTGCATTCTAGTGCTGGGTGTGGCCCCAGCAGAGCTGAGCTGAGCATCTTACGTCGGAGGGGTTTATTTCATCCCAGCTAACACCACCTATTGCTCTCAGGATTCAGCGTACAACCGGCAAGCTCTGGATGCTTGGGTCTGATGGCAAGTTGCTTGCACTGATTAGCATGCGTAAAATCTAGCTACCACTAATTGGACTACATTCTAGACTACTGTCGCGGCTCTAAAGGCGTCGGTCCTACGGTAGGTGGACTTGGTCTTTCATCTGGTCTTGTACGATGTTTTATGATACGGTTGGTGCTAACACATTTTAGCTACTCTCCCCCTTGAGCTACTAAGTTATGTTTGGCGGATAAGTCTCAACAGATACCCTCACATTGCGATACTTAGAGGATGCTTAGAACATCACAGACCATCAAGAGGCCGCCAGACCTTCATCCAACGCTAATCTCGGCATTAGCTATCGATCCATAGCAGGTGCAATGAGCACATACCTTGTCGTAGGGCTTGTTGGAGTCGACGAATCTCAGATCCGTGGCCAACCGGATCCGTCTTTCAAGGTCCTTATTCTTGCAGCTGGCATGCACCAAGAACGGATCGTGGAAGATCACATCACCGGCTTCGTACTCCGTAATCAGCCACTTACGTTGAGCATTTTCCCCATATGCCACGGTATCACGACTCAAGGACCCTCCGTCACTCATGTTCTTATTGAATGCTGAAACACGCTCCTCATCCGTCAAGTTGGTTGCCTTGCGTGTGAACTCGGCCTCAGTCTGCCGCCCAATGTCGGTAGATCCCTCCAGATACATCAATCCGCTGCCCTCCAGCGAGATATCTCCAATTGGAACCCATGCAGTGAGACTGGTTGGAGGTCCCGCACGAAGATACATTTGATCGAAATGGACAGGAGTTATTTCACTGTCGGGCACAAAGGCACGAAGCATTGTCCGTTGCAGCATGGTGATGTCTTCCCATCCAGTGAGTCTTCGAACAAACTCCCGCAGCTCTGCGTTCTCACAAAGCTGCAAATAGTACGGTGCTTCATGTGCGCTGATCATCAGTTCTAGATACCTTTCCGACTCGTAATCGTCTTTGAGGCCGAAGAGTCGTCGGAGGTTCCCTGGGGGCAGGAACTTGCGGCTGTCCTTTTCACTAAAAATTCCATCGATCGGGTCTGACCCTTCTTTTAATAGCCCAGAAGGTGCCATGTAAGAAAAGTATTTGCGACGGCATTCTAGGACTTGGTCCCGTGGTAGGAGGTGCTTGATCTATGCAGTATCAGCATGGAAACACACAGTTGGGTAGATAAGTTTACAAACAGATACCCATCCTTGCTGAATCGCTCCTTCATGACTTCTATCGGAGTGTCCTTTGATGTAGGCTGGAGGTATCCGACCTTCTCAGGGAGCATGGGTCCGAAGTTCGATTCCAGGTTGAGGTTTTTAGGATCGGTCGGGTAGTAATTTCCGTATTGGTCATTTGGAGAGATGAGTTTGTCTGCTACGAAGGGAGCAGAGGTGAGCATATCGGATGCACAAAGAGTTGTTGTCATCTTGGTGTGAACTGTTGAGTGGTATGGAGTAAACTGATGCTCTGCTGCAAACTGCAGGCCTTATAGATCAGGCCGGCTAAAGCGAACTACAGCCGTCTACTGCCGATCCCCGCACCCCGCACTCCTTCCACTTCTCTTCTGCCCCTTGGGTTTCTTTGTCTTCAGTATCCTTAGTCCATCTTGTCACCAGCCATGACAAAGAGCACTGGGACAAGGCTTTACCGGGCGTGCCTCCGCTGTCGGCAACGCAAAACAAAGTGCGATTTGTGAGTGTTCTTCTACCCCGCGCCTCTCCGATGGCTTAACTTTCTCACACCATCCTCCTAGACGGTATACTCGTGGAAACAATCATGAGCCGTGCTCAAAATGCGCATCTGAGGGATATCGATGTATACTGGCAACTTCAAGGAGAGGAGGGGACTACTCGCGCTTTAGGGGTCGCCGTCATACCTTAGCGACACAGCCTTCAATAGGCACCGAAAGCTCAAAAAGAAAGCCGGAACTCGACTCTAACCCCCTACGCTACAGGACTTTGAGAATGCAGAATGATAGCAAGTTTGATGGGGGAGTCCAAAATCCCTGGGAAGCACTACAAATCCTTGCTCAAACAGCTGCCAATATGGGGGAAGTCGACAAAGCGCCCCCAAGGCAGACTCTACCGGGATCAGCCTTCATGCAACGGACTAGCGACGGCCAAGAACAAGCTCAGGAACATATCAGCCCCCCTATAATGGCGTCAGAGATCATCCAAGAAGGAATTGTCGATATACATCACCTGGAGCCCCTAGTCCAATAGTACGTTAGCTCCCATGTGCGACAGTGCGGCAGCTGACTCGCAGCGTACAAGCTACGCAGATAATTATCACCCCTACTTTCCGATTGTCCCGAATACCTTCCTGTCTACCAAAAGCTCGCACTTGTGGGCTACAGAGACCTTTCTCCTCGCTTCTGTGCTTACAATTGCAACCCAGAACCGACCAGACTACTTGTCCCTTCATATGAGAATCAAAGAATACGTTGATAAGCTGCTCCTTCGTGTTGCTCTTGGTGCCAGAAGTGTACGACATGTTGGTTCTGTGGAAGGCCTACTGCTACTAGCCGAATGGATGCCGCATTTGATGCGTTCAGAGGACCATCTACAGAACAGCCATGAACGAGATAACGCATATGACGAAGATTGCGTTGCATGGAACTTAATCGGTCTAGCTGTCAGACAAGCGTACCTATTACACTTGGATAAACAATCTTTTCCTGGCGAAGTAGAGTCCGAGCCACAAGAGATTGGCTGCAGGAAGAGACTGGCATGGATATGTAGGTGGGAAACCTATACGATGGCCGTGTTACTGACTTCGCCAGTCACATATCTTGCCGACCGTCAGATATCGATCCAAATGGGCCAAGCCTTTTGGTGTCGCGGACCTAGCCTATCGACTAGATTCAGCACCCAGGATTACCCATCGCTTCAGTCGGGGATGACTGGCGGGATTGACTATGCTTCGTTTGTGCAGGCGCAGGTGGAGTTGACCACCATTTTTGGGAATATCCATGATGTTCTTTACGCATCAAAGTCACGCACCTCACAGTTGATGATCATGGGGGATTACTCTAAATACCTGGATGATGGAGCTAAGGCGATGGATATGTGGAAGGGAATATGGTTCAATATTGATATCCCGTCCTCCCTGTCCTGCCTACTCACATTACAGTTTGAATATTTGCAGCTTTATGTCAATGCTTTTGCTTTTCAAGCAGTGATATATCGAGCCTGCAAAAAGGCTCCCATGACTAGCCAGGAAGATAGCGATTCCCTCTTCCCCGACAGTGTCATGGGTAGTCCAGATGGCCGCCATATCTACTCTGCTATTGAGGCCGCGAAAAGGCTACTACAAAACCTCGTGGGGGGTGCGATTTCAGGCCATATGGTGAAATTCCTTCCCATTCGGTATTATCTGTGAGTTTTATACAACTTGGTAACAATATCTATCTTGCTCTAATGCTTTCTGACATGTGTGAGCATCTCAGCTATGAGATATACGCGTCTGTTTTTCTCTTCAAAACTCACTCCATTGGGGCAATACACTCCGATGAGGACGAAACTTGCTTCACACTTACCAGAGAGTTTATCTCTATGCTGAAAGCTGCTGCTACATCCCCAACACATCTCGCCTATCGCTATGCGAAGCTGCTCGAACGTCTATGGTTTCATTGCAACGCCACTCCTCAGAACGGCGTTGTTCGGCACGGACTCATAGCTTCAGATCAGTCACCCAGTATTCCTCCAGGACCCGATTCTTTCCTGCAAGCCCCCTATGGGGATAACGGTTCGATGGCGGACCCTGTACCAAATTCATTTTCTGACATTCTGCAAATGGATCTCGGTTCGTCTGAAAATAATAGGAATGACGATGAGACATTCTTCTCGAGCCTTCCCTTCTTCCGATGATTCCTTGACCTGGATGAAGAGACTCATCTATTGGGACTGAGGCCCTAGGGCGTCTTCACTTTATTCTAGGATTTTGTATGCGCTACCTCAGAAATCAAGAGCTGTTCAGTAATTACCCATCGCACCTATCATAAGCCCAAAGTCAAGTCATCTTCTTTGATATGATGCTAGCTATTTGGGTGCTTCCCGTTGAAGCAAGAATATGAAGCCACGCAAAATGCCACGCGCGTAGAAACAAGTCGATAACGCAGTAGAACACAACTAACAGTCCACAATGATACGCAACTGCGGCGAGTCTCCATTCTTTTGTCCTTGATACCTCATTCCTGGTTCAACCTACGCGTTTCGTGTGGTGTGGTATGCTTTCTTTCCTCAGTAGCTCACTCCAGGTCGTGATTAAGGTTTCTACCCACGTCTTCGGTGACTATCCATCAGTCCCTTAGACCTAAGTATCCATGGACAGGCTGAGGGTCGGGATCTAGCTCGACCTGACTGATTGCAGGCCTGTCTGAAGCATAAATTCGGCGACATGGCGGTTCACCTGCGGGTCTATAGTCAGTCACCCTATCCCCCAATCACAAGGCCCAGAGTCGGGACTGCGCATGAGCTAACAACTTGTTCACCCTCCACCTTCCAGGCTTCCACCGACATTTTCTATGCTAAGGAACGATATCGAGCATTAAACATCACGATGATTGCCTTTTCCACTGGCAATCACTTATGGCTGTCTTGAAAGATACCTAACCCAGATATGAGCTGCTATGCACTCCGCCACAGAGTATGTGGCGATGCGGTCTAAGCGCCAGCCTTGCGGACTGCTTTCCAGCCTTTAAACTTCGCTCCTGTTGTAGTAAGTCCACACAATTTTCGACGACAGGGCGTCTCTTGTCACCCAAAGCAGGCTTTTCAATCATGGTAATATCCTATCTCAATGGCGAGCTGCTGAATACCAGCGATTTTATTTCCCTCTTCTAAGCGCTCCCTGCTAGCCTCACGGAGGGCAGTGCTGCTTCCGTGACAGATTTATAATACAGTAATAACCCTCAGTCCCGACCGAGTTCTTTTCATTCCCTCTGCACCGCTCGTCGTTCCCTTGAACCTCGCTGCATGTCGCCTTGGGATTTCTCAAGTCATGACTGACCCCGTGGGTTTAGCTTCCAGCGTTCTAGCGTTAGGAGGGTTTTTGATAACTCTCCTTGAATTTGCTAATGAGATCAAGGACTCTTCGGAGGACCTTCGACGATATCATACGGTGCTGGAAACTATCAGGAGGGCAAGTCGACAGAATTTCGCTCTAGGGACTGATGCTGACATACGTCTAGACAACGGACCTTATGGCCTACTTCGCAGGCCAATCCGAGTCCATCAAGAACCTTGAAACAATTGTGAATGGCAGAAAGGAGAACCTTGTTCGCTTTTGCGCAAGAAGCATCAGATTATTAATATCTGACGTTGAGAAACTAACATCAACCTTGACACACTACTACGGCAATAAAAGCCAGAAAAGCAAGGCCACAAAAGAGATCCTGCGACGCATCAGAGAAGTTTTCAAGGGCGCTCGATCTTCTTCGACTTTCGTTCTCAATCGAAATCACATCAATGATCTGATTCAAGCAGCAAAACATATCGAGTCTTCACTTCACTATGCTCTGTCCACTATACTCTTGGCACGGAATGAATTCAAGTAAGGATGGGATATCTGGGCCTTCGCTTACATACTGACCGGTCAAAGAACAGACGAAACACAAATTTTGATCAACAATATGAATGACTCTATTACCTCGCATTTCAATCAATTTGAAGCCTGGTGTGAGGCTTTCCAACAGAGCAACCCAAGCGTGATATACGTAAAAGCCAAACATGAACGTCAATCCCCGGCTAAACGAAGCTCGCAGCCACTGATAGTCAAGACACGCACGGGCAAAAACAAGCAGTGCATTACCCGCGAATACAGCGGCGGTTCTACGCCCACAAGCTGTTCACTATTAGAGCAGCAGGATACCAGTTTGATACACATATCATCGCAGAGCTGTGGAAGCGTCGGCTCCACAGAATGGGAGGACTGTAGCGAAACGCTTGCTGTCATACGAAATGACGGAGCATTTCATCCATCACAGTATATCGCCCAGTTCCCGATCTCTATCCAAGGACCGCACTCCGAAGTAGAGGAGGGCCAAGATCATACATCCTCATCTGAGGTTCAATATCAGATCAGCAATGGAAATACAACGGACGATGCCGTTTTCTCGCAATCCGAATATTTTCCTGTGACGACCGATGACGAAGGGTCCACATATTCCTCCGCTATCTACGATAGTGAGGAGCTGGATATTGATCCTAATGTCGAAGCTTTTATTGACGGCGCTGTTACTATTGCAAACTGTGTGTCCGGTGATAATAATTGTCTTGAATTCTGTGTGAGGACAATGATCATACACGACAGCGAATCGCCGGTTCTAATTCTCAAAGAGCCTTGTCGAAGCAGCACATGCCGGCATATATCACTTTATGCTCAAGGAGGCCTTCGAGCCGAGCATCCAACGCCCTGTTATCTTCAGGTTCTGTTGCGAGAAAACCAGGTATCGGAGGCACCAGAGTCTAGCAGCTCACATGATCATTGTCTCAAGGTGTTCACTACGTCACACCGTGACAAAACGCAAAAAGGCAATACCACATTGATCTTGGGCCAAATTGGACGCTTTAAGCAGTATGCAGTACCGACTTCGTTTTCAGCAGATGTTTTCACGGAAAAAGAAGATGAGAGCGAGGAAAGCGACCATTCCGAAACTTCGTCAAATGCAAGTACCATACTAGACGAAGATAGGCAGGAGGAAACCAGTGAAGTACCTCCCCAAGACCCAACAGTAACTGAAGAACTGCCTTTTAGCAGTCTCCCCTGTCTCTTTTGCAGAGAGGATGCCCTTCGACCTCGACTGAGCGCTGGAGGTGTCCAGGCGCTTTTATTCCTGCAGAACAACTCGTTTGGATACACGTGCGAGCGATGCAATGAGAGAACTTGGGTATCTGCGATGAGGTATGGCCTTACTGGAGTTGGCGCATCATGGGCTTTCTGGTGAAAAGTGTTTGGAATTATTTTTGAGGATCGATATTGCAATGATTTGTTTTTCGAGGTGGTCTCCTTATCCTGGTTTCTTTCCAATTTTCCGTCAATGACTGTTACGAGGAATGTTCGGACCAAGATCACATCCTCTTCCATGTTTTTACGCAGCTGCGTTCTTCAAGTTGATTAATCATTCTATAAACTAGTGCAAATATCTTCTTCCTCACACTCAGACAACTGGAGAAGTGATACTATAAATATATAATCCAAGTTGACTACTCCGTAGAGGAACCGCGCTTATCGTTGAGTGAGATGGAGAAATAGAAACGGACAGTGTAGTTGCATAGCGGGTCAAATAGCAAGCACCCCGCGTGTGTTCTGGGCTATCTTGGACGGGAAGGTGTTCAGCAGTGCACAAACAAACTATCACGCGTATTTATTCAGAATTGAAGACAAAATCGACATCCAGACCGCTGCTTCCAGTAAGTAAGTTTTTACTGGTCCTGTGCGTCCCTTCTAAAGACGTACCCCAGTACCACCGAGGAATCACCCATTAATTACCTCCTCTATATATATGTAGGAGGGCCTCCCTCGTTATGCCACACAACAAACTGACTGACTTACTGACCTAGACCACCCACCACCACCACCACCAAAAAAAAAGAAGAAAGATGAGGAAGAAAAAGGAAAAAAAGAAAATACAAGGCCCGAGCCGCGGATCGAACGCGGGACCTCTCGCAGATATGCTTGGGTTTTGAAGGCGGATGAAGCCATTCCCTAAGCGAGAATCATACCACTAGACCACCCGGGCTTGTTGATTGGATGGCTGCAGTCTAATTTGTAAAATAAAATTACAAAAAAGGGGAGTATAATGAAAGAATATTAGGAAAGTATAAAGAGGGATAAAGTATAAAGGATAGGATAAGAATGAATCTAGCAGTTCTGTTATTCAATCTAGGATGGGTTTACAATGTGGAGATGTTATCTATCAATCTTGAACAAATTGCAATATCCTGGGTCTATCCATAATCTATTATTCATTGTGATATTGTAAGTAGTATCCCGAAATGTAAGATCCACCATCTGTCGCCGGATATTGGCTAGTAATTCTCCAGGAAGCATGGCACTTGGCCTCAACCAATACATACTGGAGACATCTATCCACCCCCCAGACCGAAACACCCCAAATTTGTTGAGAACGAGGCTGCTAATCAATCAGTCAACCAACCGTTCCATAAAACTCAAATACTTCCCCAACACCTCCGTCCCCTCCTCAATCTCCTGTTTGGCAAACATATCAGGCGCCCACTGAAACAAGTCCCGCCCACCCACAGCAGCACACAACCCCCTAAACGTCGCCATTATCCTCGCCACGCGCATTTTCCTCGGCGTCGCTATCCCAGCTCTCTTAAAAGCGGCATATAAGTCTCTTCCCATGGCATAGCTAAATTCCGGATCTTTAACCCTCCTGGCACAGGCGGGATTATCTAGTTCGCGGAGATCCACGTCCACAGATTCCTTTTCGAATCCCTCGAGGACAGAGCGGTAGAGAAGGCCCCAGTCGGGATCGAGAGGGAGAGGGAGGTTTCCGAACATGCTGTGATAGGAGTTGAAGAACTCCGTTAAAGGGTGGGAGATGGTTGCGTAGCTGAAGTCTACGATGTAGATTATTCGGCTTTCCAAGAACAAGTCGCACATGAAGTTGCTGAGTTCTGGGAGGTGTTAGCTGTGTTGATGGATTGGGGAGATGGTTGGGTTGGAAACTTACCGATTTTGTTGAGTGTGAATTGTGGCTTGACGTCGGGTATTTTGTTCAGCAGTTTTTCCAATCCTGTGGTCGTGAATTCATCGAGTTTTCTTTTCAGTTCGGGCTTGTCGGACCATCCTCGAATCGTGCCGTGTTGCTCGCATCTGCTGAGCTCGAACATGTACTCCGCACGCATCATATCACGGATCGAGGTGAAAGGACCCCCGATGTTCGGATTCTCCATCGGTGCGACACAAACCTGGCCAGCGGAATCAAAGCCGAAACTTCCATACCCTTGTGCCGGGCGTGGCATCTTATACTCCTGAAAATATCCCTGTAGTTCAGCAATCTGATCAAGTACGAACTCCTGATCTTGTTCGTTGCGCCTGAAGTGCTGCGCAAGCGGTTCCCACTTACGAGTAGCACTCTGAACAACCCATGCCTTGTCGCCGGGCTGACCAGCTCCATCTGACCAGGCGTAGACATCGGGAACGGCGATATCGAATGGAGTGTTGTGAAGGATCTCGCGAGCTAGTTTCATGGCTGCTACTTTGTTGCGCGCCCAGAAGGCATCGGACATGGGGTTTTGCCGGTTTGAGCCTTTGAATTGGACAATCAGGCGATGGGTGTCGATCGGGGTGCGTACGGTGCCGAATTGTACGGGTGCGAGGCCAGCATGTGGAATGGGGCTGTGAAGCTCGACTAGATATGATACCGTGGAGCCGTGAGGGTCGAGCAAGGGACACTTTTCGGCTCTGGCTAGTGGGAGTTGGAGTATGTCTCTGATGATGTGCTTTGCGTGTCCGATACTGCCTGGTTCTTCGGTGGACGGCCTGGTGGGCAATTGGAGGAGTGGTGGGGTAAAATTATCGAGTATGATTGTTGACCCGGTCGAGTTTGGCGTGTCTGGGTAGTCCATTGAGTCTGATGTTTCGGTGAAGCGCATCCAGTCTGATGTGTCTGTGGTGTCCATCGAGTCTGAAGAGTACTCCGTTGGTGGTATTGATAGCTCTATGGTAGGGTAAATGAATGGGGCCATAGCGATTTATCGAATCAACCTGAATGTCCTAACTGATATATATATAGAGTGTGGGTACGTAGCATGGATTGTAAGATCCTATATCTTTGTTGCTATATTCGACCTTTTATAGTCGAGTTCCGAGACAAAGGATTGGTCTCCATGTGTTGAGATGAAGAGAAAATAGCAACTTTCCTAGTTATAGAAAGGGTGTTGAGACATCTCGCAAAAGTCTCATTGATTAGTCACAATTGCATTGTGACGTGAAAGACCTTTGTCAGTTGTCTGGACCAGCTTCATGGTCTGCATTCTTTGTTTTGTCTTTTATTGGAGCTCTTTTGTCGTGGACAACATCTCACCGTTACCCTATAGTTGATGAAAAAAGCCTCGAATGATACTTCCATCATTGTTGCCCGGTTCGTGATGGTGTAGAGTAAAGCTGTAATCTTCTTAGTCCATCAATATACCCTCCGACGCGAGAGCAATACAGGGGACAATGTCCTTTATATGGACCTCAATATTTCCGACTGCATGCTAAATCTGTCGGAGTTCCCCTGCTTCAACATATCCGTAGGTTAATTCGTTGAGATATGCTGCTATTTCCTAAAATTTAGTGCGTTCCGTTGTGGTCATGAGGGCGGTTATTTGTTCTCAAAGACAGTATAGCATAATGCAGTATGCCATACTATGCTAAGGGCTTATTACCCAGAAGAGAGCGATCTCATGTTGCTATTGAGGGATCTAATCCGACTGGAATAAAGAGTTGCTTAGAGAGAAGTTAGTGTGAGTGGAGAAAATGTGAAGAGCTAGGTCATATGACAATGCACTAAGGAAGAATTTTATATGTAGCTGTAAATGGCAGTTGCCGCTTAAAGGATTAGCTATATCGGATCTTGTCGTTGATGGTTTGCCATACCATGCGTCTTGGTGGACCGCGATGTTAATTAAAGTACTCCGGTTGTATCAGATTCGTTCCCAGAGCAGGTGAATCTACTGACTCTTGTACTTGGGGCTTGATCTGCAGTTCCCAGTACATTCGATCTTAGATCTGGAACAGTGGTAGCTTTTGCATGTATCGTGTGCCAGATATCTCACTAGTATGATGTTTGAATGCCTAGTTCAATGTTGGCGTTGATTATAAATTTGGCTTATTTCTAGACACATTAGAAACCAGAACAAGGCATCAACAGATACCATATTACCTGATCATTGATCATCAGAGAAGAGAGTAGCTCCAGCTCCGTTCGCACAAACGGAAAGCGAAACTATGCACGGGCCATCAGGGTTGATGTTCATATTACTTCGATAGGGGGGATCCTGGTAGCACGTGCGATTGGTGACACAGGATGTGGGACTTGTTCATATGGTTCTTGATGGCAAGCTTCCTTCGTGGCAAATGCGGGGACGGACCAGCATCAATTTGCTCTGGCATCCCTTGGATATGGTGTCAAGGTATGCCTCGAAGCGAGGACAGCGTATCCTTGGGCTCAGCAAAACGCTCAGGTGTAATGGTAGATTCTTGGTCCGTCAGTGGCAGTGTATCTGACCATCCAATGGCGTAAGCCTCGGCAGTCTTCAGAGTAACCTTATGACAGGCACTAGGGCCGAGAGACCACATCGCCCCTGACTCCGCAGGCATCCATGTGGCGTTCAAGCCAACAGCCACTATGCCTTGTACGCAGCCATGGACAAGGGTCATGCAATCCTGTGAAGAGCACAAATGTGTGCTTCGATTATGCCCAGAGACTCCAGCATCGGTCTTGCCGACATCCGGCACAACCAGGTACTGACCGTCATCATTAGGCAATTTGAGCGAGAAACCTCGCTCGAATGGGATTAGATAATCTTTCGCACGTGTGGTCTCTAACCTTGGATCGTGAAGCTTTCCTTGACTCGTCGCACTCTCCGGCCGAGTTGGAAGCTGTTACCACCCAATTAAATCCACCCGTTCAGATCTAGGTTCAGATTAGTAACTACCTCAATGACTATTGCGCTTGGCGGGTGGACTGATGCCTATGCCATCTCCTGATGTCAGGGTTCCAACACTGATTTCTGGGGCAATTCGAGCTTCCAGAATGCTGCTGGGGGCCCACCACGCCGTTCGGCCGTGCCTTATGCCTGGAGAATTGAGTTCCAAGCCATCGGCCGTCAAATTGGCCTGCAGAAACACAGCCAGGCCTAGAAGGGTCGAAGACGTCAGAGACGGGCATTAAGGTTTCCGCGACCCGCGCGGACCAAGTGCCGCTCTCTCCTTGCCGGCCATGTCCATCTCCTTACAAGATGATGAATCCTCCCAGCAAGTTTATTTTCCCTGATCTTTGTCACGGAAGCTGCAGTTCAATTCCACAATTCCACGCAGAGTCTGGCAGACATGGAGCTGGTGGTAAAGTGGCAGCTCATGGGCCAGTTATAGAATCCGTCGGCTTTTGAGCTCCTTTGCTTCTTTCACAGATTACCCAGTCGCTAATCGCCAGTCGATATGAGATTGCTGGCCCCTATAGACCGACCGATCTTGGTACGATGTCACACAACGTCAGTATCGACACCTCTAACGGCGACTTTTCATCCGTCACCCCGAGCGACTCAGTCCAGAGATATGTCATCTCTGCATTTGCTGCCATCACCTGGTACAATGCGATCGAGCTCGTGGTGCTCTGTCTGACGACCTTTCACCGGTACCAGGGATGCTATTTCTGGAGCTTGTTCGTCACCTCCGTCAGCCTGATTCCTCACTGCGTGGGATACCTGCTTTTTATCTTCTCCTTTGGAATCTCTCCTTACATACCCGTGTCCCTGATCATCCCAACATGGATCTGCATCATCACGGGACATTCCCTCGTTCTATGGTCGCGATTGCATCTCCTCCTGCAGGCACCAAGGCTGTTGCGGGGCCTCCTCTACATGATCATCCTCGATTGCATTTTCCTCCAGATACCCACCGCAGTCCTTCTCTATGGATCCTTGAATGACACCCCCAACTTCCCCGAGGGGTACGACATCATGGAGCGGATCCAGCTCGTGGCGTTTTCCGTCCAGGAGGCTATCCTTTCCGGTATATACGTGTTGGAAACCATCAAGATGCTGCGTCTTCGCCCAGAGCGGCCACGGTTCATCATCCTTACCCAGTTGCTCGTCATCAACATCTTTATCCTCATTCTGGACGTCGCAGTCGTGGCCATTGAATACGCTGGATACTATGCGTTGCAGGTCATGTTCAAACCTGTCGCCTATAGTATCAAATTAAAATTAGAATATGCGATCCTGGGACGGCTGGTCAAGATCGCTCGCGGGGCGAGTGCGAGTTACGACCCCGACCCATTAACACCAAGTGCTCGCGGGTTCAACGTTACGGCATCTGGGTACGAGGACTCGGGCAGCAATGGTGCAGGCGTCACTGTTGTCCGACAGGTCAACTCCGACCCGTTTATCAGGCGGTGGTCTGGACAGACTCATGACAGCTTGGGTCCCTGTTAGGAAGACCCCAGCTCGATGTGTTAGTATGTCGCTGACTCCGTGGGACCAGTGCGAATATATTCCGCAAACGTCCATAAGCCGGCGGTCGTAAGAGTGGACCGAGAAGAGCCGTAATCATGACCCTGAAGCCACCGAATTGCACAGATACCCAACAAGCCGACTCGGCGCCCTGCGACCATATATTACAAGTGGCGGTAGCCATATTGATATGGGGTATCAAGAGAGAGGTATATACAGCAGCAATGCTGTTGTTGCTGGCAATTCTAGGACTGTTGTGTCTTGGGAACCGGCTAGAAGGTATAGAAGGCATAAACCATCTCAAGGTCCGCTGCTGTGGAGAGATGCTCCTGTATACGTCATAACTAGATGATGAGGATAGATGAATCAGAACCCACACAAATCACACTGACCTTCCAAACTAGTTGTGGAGTAACAAGAATCGTGAAGCAGATCTTGCGGGGTGGGTCTTGCGCGATCTCAACCAATCAAACAGCCACTGCGAGTAATGCTATATTAGTCACTGATGCTGCCTTAGTTAATGCCTGACACAGTTGGAAGAGGTGGCTGGGAAGCTCACCGTATCATCACCAATTGGTAGCCACGCCGCTATTCGATGGCCCAACCGCCATTACAATAGACGTGCATAAATCTTGAATGGCTCCATTGCTTCGATCTCATGCCTTACCTCGACATTCTACGATCGAAAGAACATGTGATTCCCCGAACCATGATTTGGGGTACTTGTTCCCCGCGACAATATCCGGTTGCGTCGAGGCAAGGGCGAGGCCGGAACCTGGCAGGGAACAATACTGCTGCAAATAGCTGCAAAGGGTCGGTCAATCAAGGGGTATAATTGTGGCCACGCCGCGCAAAAAGGGCTAGACCGGTCTTTGTTGTCCTGGTGTTCATCTTTCTAGCTTTCACTGGTATGCGTCTGTATAGTAGAGTGCGACCTTGATTTTCAATGGGGCCCCAAGAATGGCTGTTGTAATCTTCCATCCCTATTTGCAACGGATGCTTTTAATCAGCACGGACGAAGAATCCTGCGTTGCTTTGTTTGAAGAGACAAGTTCTGAGAAGACCGACCAATAAGCTGGAATGTCTTCAAAAATTGATTCCTTGCCACTGTCGGTGTGGGATGGGAATAATCCAGACGGGCGTTTAACTTGACCATCCATCATGGGGATGCAGCAACCGGTATACTGCGTAGAGACAAATGGGATATTACTCTGTATGGTCGCCGTCCACTACGTCCACTAGGACTGCGGGAATCGCGGAGGGCGGTCTGGGGACACGCAAAGCATGCAGTTGGGCAACAATGCATCCCTGTCAATTAAACCCCGCAACCTGACCACCGGAAACATCAGCCGGCACACTGTTGCGTACGCCTTGCAAGCATCCAAGACACCGGCACTAAGCATGGCGACCGCAGAAGGTTTGCACGTTCAAAAGCCTGTTGCGCTCTTATATAATGTGTCACACAAGGCCGCTCAGGCTGTGTCACGGGTTTTGCAGGAGTGGGTAACCTTGGATAGTTATTCCAAGTTGGCACTCCTCGTCAAGGTGGGTGGCCAGCCTCTGATATGATGGGATCAGTGGAATGTTGACTCTGGTCTATTGTACAGCAGCATGCTTCGTCGGTTGAGCAAGCCTTATCGGGCGTCTCCCTCGGCCTTGCGGGCATTGTTTCATTGGCAGACATTGCGACCAGTTCTCAACGCACCGTTTTAACAGGGACAGCGACTCTCCTAGACAGTCTCGTGCTCTGTCCAGGTATTCATCGGCAACAATATGTCGCCGATCTCAGCAAAAGCGAGTATCCAGCCGCAGCGAACATGGTTACGGGCTATGTCTTTCGCATCGAGAACCCAGCCACCGTGTACTATCTCCAGAGGGTTGGAAAGACTGGCTCTCTGACCACTGTCGCGGTTACCAATGTCCATGGGCACTCTCCAAGGTCACCAGGGATTTTCTTCTCCACTGCTAATGCCACTTATGTCGCTATGGTAGCATATTCTGGGGCGGTCTTCCTTGCCATCACCGCGGTCGGACTTTTCATTGTTTTAGAAGACTGGTGGGCTGTATCCTCCACGGCGGTTTTGATGTTTGCGCGCCTCCTTAATGTTCTCCTGATCCGCCGACGAAGCAAATTCGAGTGGTCGGGTGCCCGTGAAGAGGACGAACCGGGTGATCTCCTGGTTCTGCTCAGCCAGGACCGCTGGATTAAGGTGGTTGGCAAGGTGGGTGACATCAAAGCTGTGACGTCCGGTCAATGGGTTCGAGATATGTCAGCTGCGGAGAGCTGGATAGCTGCGTTCGCCACGGTGATGGTCTATGTTAACGTGGTCTTGGTCAGTAATGCAACGCAGGTGGGAAAGATTGGACTCGTCTTCTTGTTGACTGTGTCTGCGGGTCTGCTTGCAGTGGCCAACCAGTCGACAGAGAAGTTGCAGATGCACGGCCACGTTCTCAGTGTTACAGCCCAACCAAAACGTTATAAGAGACGGCTTGATCTGGCGACGGAGCTGATTGAGGAGTATGGGGGAAAGACCGAATGGGCGGTCGGGATGGGCCTGGTGAGGCACGAGGATATACTTGCCCCGGGATCACGTGGCCATTCATCCCCAATCCAGCCTGTGATCATGTAGGACACATCAACAGCTGCATTGTGAGAGTCAATGACCAATAGTACGGAGTATATCTCTGGGGAAACACAGTAATTAAATAAACATGATATCATTGGTGCAGCTTACAAGTTCATTGACCTATAGAGTTATCCTGCTGATCCTGATTTGCAATTGGAATATGTCACTTGCTCATCGGAACTTGCAGTGAGTGCATTGTTCAAATCATTGATCACATAATGCCATTTGGTAAACCGGAAAGCTTCTGTTCACGTGATTTAACACTAGTCCGAAAGAGGCAGTTAAACGGAGAGCCCCAGCGGCAGGCACCGAGAGGGTCTCTTGGTTCCTGGTGGCAAGGATGAATCACCTCGAGTCTGAGGTCAAACAATGATCTTGAATCAATAGCAAAGTGTCTGATCTGGACGAATATCGCCTCGCATCAGAATGGCCTCGACACTGCCTGGGGTCCCTATATGCAGACCTTCCAGTGATTGTTCTAGAATCCGGAAAGCATATAGGGCTGGACTGGATCTCCGGACCCATACGTAATTTTGAACCCACTGGCCGCCAGCTCCACTCCCCTTCAAGCCCATATTTCTTCCCTTCACTGCCCAGTTCCTGGCCGATGGAGCCATTTCCTAACCCCTTTCGGTAAACCGGATGCGATTTTGCCGACAGGTGAATGTCTTATTTATTGCGATAGATTCCTGCAAGGAGCCCGGGCTGTTTGGAATGTGCCTTGTCCTGCACGACACAATCCGTCTTCTCGCGTGGTGCTTGTCATTAATACCGCTCGTCTTGTCTAGTTCTTGGACAATAAAGACCCGCGAGGTCGTCTGACAGACTGTTTTGCTCTTCATACCTCTTTCTGAGGGTGTTGTCATCTTCTCTTCCATCGCAACATGACAGTCGGAGATGACGGGGAGAAATCCTCGGGTAAGTGCCTGCTGCAATTTCTTTCCTGTGGTTGTATGGCTGACACAGACAGTCCCCTCCAGCGACATTACTGAGGTGACAATTGTTGACTGGGACGGACCCAAGGACCCCAAGAATCCCTTCAACTGGTCTAACCCCAGGAAATGGCTCATCACGATTACTGCCCTCTTGACCACCTTTGTGGCCCTCATGAACGGTACCATGATCACGGTGGCGCACGAAGCGATCAACGACGAATTCAACATTAGCGATGCGAACTTTCCGAACTCATATTGGCCTGTGGCCTCTTGGACCATGGGTGGCGTCTTCTTTTCTCTGCTCATCCTCCCCATCATGGAGGATTTTGGCATCCGACGCTCGTTACTGATCACCCACTTTGTGCTCATTATTTTCATCATTCCCCAAGCTGTGGCTCAAAATTTCGCCACCCTCATTATTGTCCGGTTTTTCGCTGGTGGCTGTGTGGCGGTACTTGGGAACAGCTCAGCCAGTATCATCGGTAACCTTTTCGAATCGGAGATGGACCGCACCAAGCCCGTCGCTCTATGGATCGTGGCCTATCTGGGTGGAAGTAGCGCCGGACCGGTGATCGGTGCCGCCATTTTCCAATTTCTCACCTGGCGGTGGCTGTCATACTTGCAACTGATCTGGTGCGGGGCGTTGTGGGTCGTGAATGTCGTGATTCTCAAAGAAACCCGAGGGTCGGTCATTCTACAACGTCGCGCGAAGAAACTCCGAGCCAAGGGGGAAAACGCATACACTCAACACGAACTTCAAGCGGAACCCCTGCGTCAGGTGTTACTGACTAGCATTCATCGGCCTTTCAAGATGCTCTTCACAGAGTACGTCATCTTCTTCGCCACGCTATGGTCGGCCTTTACCGTCGGCACGCTGTATCTGTTCACGCAATCCGTCGAGCAAGTTTTCGTGGGACTTTACAATTGGACCCCGGTGCAATCGGGATACATTCAAGCTGCAATTGTGATCGGAGAAGCTTGCGGATGGACCTTCTCCTTGTTCTCTGCGCGGGTATATTTCAAGTCGGCCAAACGGAATAAAGAGGATCCTGGGATGCCCATCCCGGAATCCAGACTCTATCTCTCCGTGGGCGGAGGTATCTTTGGTATCGCCGGCGGCATGTTCGTGTACGCGTGGACCTCCTACCCATCCATGCCATGGATCGCCCCAGCCATCGGTCTCTGGATGGTCGGAGTCGGCAGTGTGGTGGTCGTCAGTGGTATTGCCGATTACGTGGTCGACGCCTACTGCAAATACGCCGGCAGCGCCGTGGCCTGTTTCGTGGTAGGTGAGAATACTGTCGCCGCGTTTCTGCCTCTCGCTACCTCGAACATGTACACGACATTGGGATTTCAGTGGGCGAGTACGCTGTTGGCGTTTATCAGTCTGTTGTTGACCTTGGCGCCGTTGTCGTTTATTGTCTGGGGAAAGCAGATCCGGGAACGCAGTCCGTTTATGGCCGAAGCCATGCTCGATAAGCGGGCCGAGATACATCATACTGATGGACCGGCGAGGGAGATCCGGGAGACGTAGGTGTTGGATGTCTTGGACGAGTAATGACTGAGCATGGCCTGGAGCCAGTGTACGGATAGATTTATTCCTATTGTTTATGATATTGTTGCCGGGTAACCACCCTTCCATATCAAAAATATTCCACAACCTAAGCATCCCCTGATCCCGACGCAAGAAACTTCAAAATGGCATCAAATCCCTCCGGCTCCTTAATCCAATGCCCATCCCCCTCCGCCCCAACATACTCCACCCACTCCACCTGCACCCCCGCCCGTTTCACAATCCCAAGCACCTGTCTTCCCAACTCCACCGGCACCATCGGATCATCCACTCCGTGGCCTAACAGTACCGGCGTACCCAAAACCCTCATATCGATATCTCCCTCAACCTCACCCCGCACAATCCCAGAACAAAACTCAACCACTCGTCTCCCCCCATCTAAATCTAAATCCTCATTCCCAAGATCATCCCCAAACCTCTCTGCAAATGGCATCCACCCACAAAAACCTATTACCCCACCTAACCTCCCTTCCACCTTGGTACTCGCGCAAAAGAAAGTCCATAAAGCGGTCGCCATACCCTGGCTAATCCCTCCTAGATAAATATGGGTGGTCTTCCCATCGAGGAGATTGATCTCATCTTCTAGGATATTGAGAATATACGAGACCGATTCTTGCAATCCAGGAATTTGTGATTGCTGATGCTCGGTGATATCCGTCAGTGAATACGCATCGAACCAAGCACAAATGTCCTCTTCGAAGCGAGCATTCCACCGGTCTTTGGATGTAGGGAACACCCAGCGGAAGGTTGGGAGGTGGGATGGGAGGGATTTGCCCGTGGAGGTGGAGGAGGAGAAGAGTTCGTCGGCGAATTCAGGACCGTTGCTGCCGCGGCCGTGGAGGAGGATGGCGGTGTGGGTGTGTGGTCCTTGGGGGAGACGGATATGAGGTTCAGGAAAGTCGGAATCCATGCCTGTAGATCTGAGATGGTGGGGGAAGAATCGTATGATGAGGACGCGGGCCGGGCGGGACGAACGTCTGTTCTCTCCCACCCCCACTAGATTGATTCTCGGCCTAGAATTAGACTGTCAGTTGATCGTGGTGGCAGGAAAGATCCCTGAACCGATACCACCCTGTTTGCTGTCCGATTTGCCGCCCGCAGTGAGGCTGAAACACAACCCCGCTTCTTGAATGCCCTTGCATAGTGGGAAGAAACCAACTTTGGTCTGCTCAGAGTCTACCGTCTGTCGCTTTGCGACTTATCGGTGTATTCCCAGCACATTGGACGTTAGCACATCGCTATAGGTCAGAGTGGCCTATAGATCCAGCCTCGCGGTATGCGTTGTGTCCATGCGATGGCCTGGCAAACCACCAACCTCATGTCCTCCTAGGACAAAAGGCGGGATACAATGCTATGAGCAGTTCGGGCTATTAGCCCATTACACAGCGATCTTACGATCTGTAGCCTTTGGGGGGCCGCTGCCAGATCAACCATGCCAGCTACTCAGCATCAAGTCGACAGCATGTTCTTTAGGCCAAACCCCAATTGTCGTTGGCAAATACGCCCACCAATCGTCGAAGTCGCCCCCCGGAGAGATCGTGTTCAGTGCTTTCACGTATTCCCAGTACTCCGGATACCAACCAGACATTTCCCAGTCCAAGATACCTGTGATATTTACCTGCGCCCAGGGTAGGTCATCTGGACCACCCAAGGCTTCGGATGGATGCAGACACAGTCCTTTGACTCTATTGTGGTCGGGTGAGCACGGGGTAAAAGCCACCATGATGTTTCGAGGATGAAGATCCCCATGGGTCATCACGAGCTTGTGGTCGGTTCCCAAATACGATCGAATCATCGCAATGTTACCCGTTTCGGTACGTCGGGGGTCTGAAGATAGGAAGCGGTTGAACTCCGATTCATTGCCAATAGGCGCGTCCGCCATACGGATCTGCCTTCGGGTATCTTTACACCGGCGAGGCTTGCCGCCACCATACACCGCATTAGGTTCATCCGATGGCGCAACAGGGACTGATCGCAAATCAGTGAAGATTGCATTGAGCTGTTCCTTAACCGAGGCTTTCTGCTGCGGACTTAATGTCTTCCACATCAAATCCAGGGGCTCTCCCGGGACACGCGACATGAAGACAAAGTTCCGCGCGGTGCCTGACTGTCGAAGGACACCATGGATTTCCGGCATAGGGATACGTAGGTTTTGTTGTCTTATATATTCCAACGTTTCTAGATGATCCACATCGATGTCATTGCCGACTTTCATAACCAGGTTCGGGGTGAGACCTAGCACTGCGGTAGACCCTAGATGCCAGATTACGTCACTGCGCGAGATAAGATCATTGAGACCGATGATGGTGGTCGAGAGTTCAGGAAGCTCGCCAGCGAAGGACGAGTCCGACTGCGCTGCCTGGGTCACAGCCATACTCATGGAACGTATGACGAGAACATCCCGGGGGACACGGAATTGTTCTCTTACATCCGGCGGAGAGGCAGGCTAAGATTCAGTGCTCTCCGTTGAGGCAGCTTCAGACTGCACAGCTGAGTCACAAAAGGCTTGACGTAGAGGGGGATAGGTTTTGAGCTTGAACTGTAGCAACTGCGTCAAATCCATGGCTGGGTATGCTTTGACTTTTGCATTCAAGTCATTTAGAAGAAGCTTGTTGACTTGTGCCGCAGCTTCTTCTACCGCATCCAAAGTCTTATCTGAAGGGTTGTTACACCCAGATGTCTGGCTAACCATGATGAACGAGGATTTTATGGACGGTTGTTCGAACCATGTCTGAGGCACTGAAGAACAATAGTTGACGGCTGGTCAGCAGCCGACCGATGGTTACCGTCCACGTGACACTTGATCGGATCTTTTTGGGGGCCAATGGTTGGTAAGTCCCGGAACATATTGTTCCCGCCGGCACTAGCCGGTTCCGGTATCCCGCGGCTGGCCCATGATCGAAGCCGGGTATGGAAGATTGATGTTGGCTGTCTTATTCCATCAGTCACACAAGCCAGGCATCTTGGGAAAGATATTCCAAGGGTATGGTGTTTGTCTAGCACTTACCATGATCTATTAATGGATTCAGAGGCAGACCATCACCTAGAGACTGATATTCGCTTCAATGAGAACGCGCCACAGAAGCTTCCGAGATCTGCTGCAGTGTCGAGAGCTGTAACAGTGAACAAGACACAAGAAGCTAAGATGCCGTGAATTCCTAGAAGTCATGATTAATCCGCAGAATATGGGTAGATCTGTGCCAATACCGCTACGAATCGGAGGCATACCGAGCCCTATCCTGTATGGGCACGGTGTCCATAGCCTTGAGATACGGTTCCTGTCTACAATTTCATTTAGCGTCATGCTAAAAAAGCAAAGAAAGAAAAAAAAGATGACAAGAGTGGGATTCGAACCCACGCCCCTTTCGAGACTAGGAATATTCCGAAGAACATATAAGATCAGGTGACCTGACCCTAGCGCCTTAGACCGCTCGGCCATCTTGCCTGTTGATGAAAACACGGTTCAAAATTAATTATATCAGGCCATTAAAAGTTGCTGCTTCGACATACATCCCGCTGGCTTTTATCGTTGTAAATAGGTGCATATGATATAGTATCGTCGCAAGATAGGATGAAACAAACTATGGAAGTAATGTGGTAAGTCCTGGGGTTGAAATAATTAGGATTACTTCGGTAAGGAGTGTTGCTGAGAAATCTATGGAATGATGGTGTGAGTGTAGCAGTGGATATATATTTCGGATCCGGAGGCATCCAAAGAACTCAAACACTCGTCATCATAATATCCAATTAATTGGATATACACAAAGAATTGATTTGTTCGACCTACTACAACATACAATATCATTTACTTAGTATTCTCTCTTCAATATACCCAACTACAGGTCTGACTCGAGAAGAAATACGCACCCCCATCTGAATCATTCGATGCAGCTAGAGAATACATCAAGGTCACCATGACCCTACCCCTTCCGAGCCAATCCTCAGCATAATGACCTGGTAACCATGCAAAAGCACTGAACTTCTCGCATCTGTCTCCTATAAAGTCATGCCAAATTCTCGGATCATCAGCTGTCACGAGGTACAACTCCATCCGAGCTAGCATGCTTGCGGATCAACTGATATTTAGACATCAAGCCTTCCAAAAAAGTACTCTGCGCTTACTGAAGGAGAGAGTGAGTGCTCTGCACCGTATCCTGTGAAGACTATGTTCGGCTGTCGTGCCCACGCCACCTGGTACTCGCAGATTTCTCAGCTGATATTTGTACTTGTCTCGGTGGGTCATGAATGGGTGATACGGTATCCAGGTAGCCCATATTGTTGATGCGGATCTTCAACAAGGCATAATTGAGGTATGTTTGGATATTCAATCAGGAAAGAGGAGATGTATGTATTGAGGTAGGTGGCTGCGTAGTAGAGCGCAGCATACAAGGAATCGATATCCCATATTGCTGGTAAAGCTTTGGATCTTGTTCTCCAACCGACCACAATAGCAATTAGATGGATGTGGTTCCGATAAATTGGAATAGAGCCATATCGGCTACCAAGGAAAAACAACCGAAGACAAAAACAGTGCGAATGATGATTTACAGCAGTGAGACATCAGCATTTAGCGCTTACGTCAGGTATACAGTGGGTATCTCCTCCACCTGATCCGCCAGCTCTGCATCTTTCAACGTATCTGGCACTCAACTTCCCGGATTTGATTTCGGATACCCCAACTGCCGAGCTAACGTCCGAGGTGGCGCTTTTGATGCCTCATCTGCTCAACCAGACCGGATAGATAGCCGTGCTGACGCAACTCACTACGATTTAAGCAGGAGCAAATCATATTTTATTAAATGTTCCTGTTTTTCTTGCTGGTTATCTTACCCCGGATTCTGGGGTGACCTATCAAAATACGGTTGATCAGAGCAATAATCTCCATCCCGCCCATACCACATGGTTGCGCATCTTATTACAGTGCGATGAAAACTCAATCTGCATGCATCATGCTCGAAATGCTATCTAAAGAGATTCAAAAATTCCACGTATACAGGGAAAAGCTGCCGAGTAGCCTCCGGATAGAAATAGCCAGCCACAGCAGCTAGCGGCAGCATGAAGGCTTAAGCCCCATGTCAAGTGACAGTATCATTCACAAGCTATCTCATATCGTCCTATGGGAGCCGTTCCGGCGTCTGGGAGTAGCTGATGTATCCCTAATCCGGATGATCCAGTATCCAAGAAATGCTTGTCACAGTCAAGTATGCATCTATACGAGTGCGCCATCTTCAAAACATTCAATCATACAATAGCAGAACACAATAGTCATCTGTATGTCTTAGAAGACCTCTACCTTGACACTTCGACCTGTGCCTTTTACCTTCATACATCCTGATTGTAAACAATGCCCGGATGTGGATATAAAACCCTCTGCACCACCCACTCCAACTACATAACCAGCAACAGCAACACAGACAGCAAGAGTAAGAGCAAGAGCAAGACCATCAAACAACACCCCCCCTAATCAACTCCAAATCAAATCCCAAAATGAAGTCCAACACCCTCCTCACCCTCCTCACCACCGCAACCACCACCCTCGCCGCCCCATCCCCCCGCTCCCTCAAACCCTTCAACGTCATCGACTTCAGCGCCAAAACCTTCACCAACGATACCGCCTCCATCTTCCTCGAAGCCAGCGATTTGAATAATAACCAGACTGCTACTGCTTGTGAAGTGTACTGGTTCGTATACCCCCTCCCATTCTACCCTCTTCTCTGTTCCCATCCACTGTCCAACAAAAAGCAAGTTATGTTTATACTGATATCAATGTCTCTGGACGACAGGCAACCAAGCACCCCCATTTCCGCATCAACCGTAATCGACTGTCTATATACCGCCTACGCGCTAAGTTTTCCAGATGGATTGGGGAGTGATATTGAGACGTTTACGTTGAAGGTGCAGACGACGGAGATTGCCTATGTGCCCGAGGAAGGGGAGGTGAGTTTGGATGCGGGGAGTGGGGATGGGTGGGTTTGTGAGGATGGGGAGGATGGGGTTGAGGTGGAGTGTGTGTTTGAGGGGGTGTTGGATATTCCTGTTTAATGCCTAAGGCTTAGGATTAGGGGTTAGGGGTAGGGGTAGGGGTAGGGGCTGGGGGAGAGGAGGCTTATTGCGGGTAGTGATGGAATTGTGCAGGGGTTATGGGGATTGTAGTGGTAGTAGGTGATAGTTGTTTGATTTGTCACCCCTTATCATAACATCCATCAATCTGACCCACCCAGCTCGTAGAGTTATTCACACACGCAAATCATGCTACACCCCCTCTCCCTTCTTGCGGGGATACTTCCATGTCCAACTCCGAATATACTCCGGATCCACCCCATCATCATACGCCTTCTGAATAGCCAGCAATCTCATATTCACCAACTTCTCTCTCACCCCCGCCGCTGTATTCCCCAACCCCTCCACATAATCAATCGCATCCACCGCCAAACTATACCGATCCGTGCCATTCCGCACTGCCAACTCAAATGGCGTATCGATATTCCCCTTTTCGCGATACCCTCTCACATGGAGGTTCGACTGACCGGGTCTTTTGTAGGTCATGCGATGGATGAGCCACGGGTAAGAATGGAAGTTGAAGATGATGGGTCGGGTTGCAGTGAAGATGGCTTTCCAGTGTTGGTCGGAGATGCCGTGGGGATGATGGGATGGCGAAATGAGCTTGAAGAGATCGACGACGTTGACGAAGCGGATTTTCAGCTCGGGGAGGTGTTCCCGCAGTAAGGAGGTGGCTGCTAGGGCTTCGTGCGTGGGAACGTCTCCACATGCGGCCATGATGATGTCCGGTTCGTGGCCTTGGTCGTTGCTCGCCCAGTCCCAGATCCCGAGACCCTTGGTGCAGTGCGCGATGGCCGTGGACATGTCCATGTATTGGAGGTGGTCTTGTTTGTCGGCGACGATGACGTTAACGTAGTTGGTGCTGTGAAGGCAGTGGTCCATCACGGAGAGCAGAGAATTACCATCAGGAGGAAGGTAGATGCGCACGACTTCGGGGGATTTGTTGGCGACCACGTCCAGGAAGCCTGGGTCCTGATGGGTGAAGCCGTTGTGGTCTTGGCGCCAGACGGTTGCAGTTAGGAGGATGTTGAGGGAGGCGACTCTGGCGCGCCATTCCACTTCGAGGCATTTCTCAAGCCATTTGCAGTGCTGGTTGACCATTGAGTCGATGATGTGGATAAAGGGCTCGTAGCTGTTGAGCAAGCCGTGGCGACCTGAGAGAACGTAGCCTTCCAGCCAGCCTTCGCAGGTGTGCTCGCTGAGGATCTCCATGACCCGCCCGGAGGGGGAGAGATTTCCGCCGTCAGTCGAGTCTTCGGGAAAGTAATCGGCTAGCCAGACCTTTTTGCCGGCTTTGTAAATCTCAGAGAGTTTGTTAGATTCGGTTTCATCGGGCCCGAACACGCGAAAGTTGGTCGGGTTGGAGGCGACCACGTCACGGAGGTAGTGGGACATGTTCACCATGCTGCCACGGATCGTGGCCCCGGGGTCGACGGGGCCTAAGGCGTAGGTGCGAAAGTCTGGGAGATCCAGGGGCCGTCGGAGAAGGCCACCGTTGCCGACAGGGTTGGCGCTCATGCGGGACTTGCCAGTTGGAGCGAGGGTTTGAAGCTCAGGGATGAGATGGCCGTCTGGGGTGAAGAGCTCGCTAGGTTTGTAGCTCTTCATCCAGGATTCGAGAAGTTTGAGGTGTGCCGGGTTGGTAAGCACGTCGGTGATGGGAATTTGGTGCGCGCGCCAAAAGCCTTCGAGAAGCTTGCCGTCGACTTCCCGAGGGGCAGTCCAGCCTTTGGGGCTGCGGAGAATGATCATGGGCCAACGAGGGCGGAACGGCTTCTTGGACTCGCGGGCTTTGGCTTGGATGTTTTTGATTTCCAGGATGCAGTGCTCGAGCGTGGCGGCCATGGCTTGATGCATGGTTTCCCGATCACTACCTTCGACAAAGTAGGGGGTCCACCCATAGCCGCGCATTAAAGATGACAGTTCGTCGTGGCTAATGCGCGCAAGGAGAGTGGGGTTGTTGATCTTGTAGCCGTTCAGATGGAGCACGGGCAGAACAGCCCCATCGGTGCAGGGATTGAGGTACTTGGTGCTGTGCCAGCTGGTCGCGAGAGGGCCGGTCTCAGCTTCGCCGTCGCCCACCATGGTCAAGGTAATAAGATTGGGATGATCAAAGACGGTCCCAAAAGCATGGGAGATGGAGTAGCCCAGCTCTCCGCCTTCATGAAGACTCCCCGGTGTTTCTGGGGTAGCATGACTGCCGATGCCGCCGGGGAAGGAGAACTGCTTGAAGAACTTTTGCATGCCTCGTTCATCCTGTGACTTCTCGGGGTAGACTTCCGAGTATACGCCCTCCAGGTAGGACTGGGACAGGATGCCCGGGGCGCCGTGACCAGGACCTGAGATGAAGAGCACGTCCAGATTGTACTTCTTGATTAGTCGGTTCATGTGGATCCAGGTAAAGGATTGACCCGCATCCGATCCCCAGTGACCGAGCAAGCGTGCTTTGAGATGCTCCACTTTCAACGGCTGTTTCAGGAGGACATTGTCGCGCAGATAGAGCATGCCCAGACATAGGTACATACTGGCACGAAAGTAGGCGTCCGTCTTTCGGACCTCCTCGAAATCGAGGGGTTGACCCTCGACCGTGGAGCGAGCAGCTCCATAAGCAGAGATGCTCTCGTCAGGTGGATCTGATGGCATGGTGGAGTATCGGGCTGTCAGGTTGATGGTCTTGAGAGATCAGTGTACGCGGCTAGAGGTTTTTTAACAAGACTCCAGAGTCTGGATCTGGCCATTTCCCTATGGCCTGATGCGTGTTCTTTGTTCGTTTCTCACCTGGTAGCATCAGCATGTCAGTTCATCATACGGTCCATGACGCTGCTTTCCGTCACTCTCGTCTTGTGCCTCCTGCGTCACTGGTGGGTTGGGTGCGTTCCTATTGGTTCGGATAGTATTTGCAACAGGTGGTACGCTAATCCCGTTCGGGCGGTATCCCTGTCGAGACCATCCTATTGTGCTGTTTGCTATCGTTTATTGAGGTTAGGTGAATTTTTGAAACCCATTACAAGAGAGGAGACGGATTCAAATCGCTCAACCGACTCACTGTTGGCGACGGAATCCCCGCACGGGATTTTTGCCTTGATAACCCGGAAAGTCGGCGGATTGGAAGTCGGATTCCGCCTGTCTGCTTGCCAGTCGTAACTTTTGATCCAATCTAAGACAGACTTGATGTACCAAGTGATACTGTAGTGTTTGTAGACTGATGAGAGCCGATCCCGCCAAAAAGCGCCAAGGCATTCAGACACCTCAACCTTCACATATGTGGCTCCAACTAACAAGTCCCTTGTGGATTTGCTCTCTCGGCGCCATTGGATCTTGATTCCAAGATATGGATTTCGGTGTCAGGCCGTAGCAAGTAGGTCCTCAGGTGCAATGATCCCGGAGACCTCGTGCACCTTTCTCCTACTACTATGATTCTGTATCCCCCCGCATGGTACGTAAGTCTCCTCCGATTATTGGGCGAAAGATTCTCAAGATGCCCCTTGATTATGCCAGGATGGCGGTGACCGCAAGGTTGAGGAATTCCGGTGGAAGCGAGAAAGGCAGCGACATATCCGTGGATTGAAACGAGGACGGGACAGCTGAAAGACCGGGTAAAGCCTGTTGCTTTTGATACTATTCAGTCACAATCGTGTTGCACGGATAAAGTAGAAGGATGTCATTCTAACATACCATGAGGTGGGTTTCTTTTTGTGACCGTAGACGAATTCGGGATTTCCGGTCCACATTTTCTTATCCTTGTGAGCATCGGACGCAGCTAGACTAGAGTATATTCGAGCTGTGAAATCGTCTGCCATATTGTCAACCTGCGCTGTGCATGGCCAAGCATTAGTGAGTTCTCATAGGCCATTCTCTCGAAATGATTGCCGAGGAGAAAGATTGGGGGGGGGCTGTGAACAGCCCGTTCGGGAGGGACAGGTCAGCAAGGTCTCACATGGACTGCCCATGACAGTTTGCTTTGCATCAGCTGGACTGAAAAGATCACCGTGTGGGTTGCTGACGACGGGATCAAACTGGATGTGGGAGAAATCAGTCACTTCGTTAGCGACCGCAGGTCATGTGGCGGACGCTTCCAGGCACCTTCCAGCCATCTTTAAGGGAATGCAAGATACACAATGTCTCACTAGGTCGGGGAGGACTATTTCTCCTTCAAATACTGTCTAATAAGAAGACTGTATGGGAGAGATCACTACTGATCCCAAACATTTCAGGAATACTTCATAAAGATGGCATTCGTGGCAACAAGGGGGTAAGGTGTATGAGTGGCATATTGTCTTCGGTCAGGAATGGTAAAATACTAGCTCGTGATTCTCACGTCCTTAATATTAATACGCAAACCTTTCACCCACAATCTCCTCAGTCAACTTCCACAATTGTTCTGCTTCAATGGGATCACGAGCCCAGCTGCGCACATCTTCCCGCTTCAACACTGTGCAATCCTGGATATAACTTCCATTGTTTTCTGCGAGGTTTGAGTCAGTATAGGTTTGGATATGCGCACAGAATAGCTACCTGTTGCTGTGAGGGACGGGTGGAACGCGGCAAACACATGTGTTGCCACGCCTTGCGACAGCGTCTTCCATGAAATATCATTCTGCCCGTCACGAAAATAGCCCAGTACCCTGAACCATTTCGCTTGAATAATGTCAGCCATCATGATCGGTCAATAAGATCAAATGGCTCGTACTGAGTGATTTGAGCAACTCGTCCAAGTTACCCTGCGTTATATGTGTGTGAATAGTCCCCGGATGCAGGCTGACGGAGGTAAGGCCCTTGTTACCAAGCTTCTGAGCCAGAGACACGGAGAAGAGTATGTTGGCTGATTTGGTTTGCCCATAGGCCAGCCACGCATCATAGTTTCTGCCATTCTAAGCCTGCGTCAGAACGATTCTGTCAACATTGCGGATAGTGCAGTTATACTCACATCAAAATTCCAGTCATGGAACCGGACGGGACCCAGCTGGTGGCCATTGCTGGACACATTGACGACGCGACAATGCCCAGACTTGACCAGTTTACTCATGATCAGGTTGGTGAAGAGAAAATGTCCGACATGGTTCGTAGCAAATTGGCTTTCGACTTTGTCTTCTGACAATGCAAACGGCGATGCCATGATGCCGGCGTTGTTGACGAGCACGTCTATATGTTCGTCATATGCCAGGACTTCCTGAGCAGCGTTACGGACCTGGGTCTGAGAGGCCAGATCCAATTCCAATACACGAGTAGGCACTGTTGGAGCAATGTCTGCAATTTCGTCTGCAGTTTGCTGCGCCTTGAGTCGATTGCGGCTGGCCAGGATGATGAGGGAAGGACGATGAACGGCAATGACCTTGGCAAACTCTGCACCAAGACCACCAGGGCTAACACCTGTTACCAGCACGGTTTTGTTGGCGATAGCATTCTGACAGTCTCGAGCCACCTCTTCTGCTGTGGTTTGGAAGTTGTACGGGGACATGGTGTTAATAGTATGAACTCTGAATGTTGTGAAGAATGGTTTGGAGTTGACATGTCGGGTTGAACAGAGATATAAATACGTTTTCCAGAGACTCCACCGGTATTCCCCCCCCCGATCTTAACACCGTGCGATTACACTTGAGCTGAACATAGAGTGGTCATCCAATTCATCCGTCTAGCAGTTCGGCTGGCCGATTACCCTTTTGGGTGGAATTAATAGAGGACTGGCATCCCGATGGGGTTAGCGTCCCGAGTGGGCGGAGATAACAGCACGCTAAGCCCGGCCTCATCGTTCGTTCTTCATCTTCCCCCTCCCTCCTTCTTCTGACGCTTGGAAGATTCTATGCTTTTTTCGTTTCCATCATAATGGAGAGCACTCCTAGCGAGGTGGTATTTTCAACTGTGGGACCGTTGACCGAATCGGTCGTGGTCCGGTATACCAACGGGCCTGTGAAAGTGGATATGCCGCGAAGAAGAGGGCGCCCTGTAGGATGTGAGTCGCAGCGGCATAGCAGGGAGTCACGCTAACTGATAATAGCCACAAAGAGAAGACCAGAGGAGGGCAGACACCCCAAGCCTGCAGTCATTCCCCAGTTCGAATTCGTCAACCTTGGGCCCTGCGAGACCGAAATCAATCCAAAAGCTCGCATGACAATTAGAAGCCACACAATGCTCCATCGTGGTCGCCACAATCAGAGACAAGTGCAGACCGTCAGACCAGTCCTCCCGACGCCAGAAGTCCACACTCCTTACGTATTTCCCCTGACAAGTCACGTTGATCCGTTCGATACTCTTCCAATCACCCTCGAGCCATACATGCAAGATCTGCTTTCATTCTGTGAGTATCCCGCTCCTACGAATGATGCGAGCCTATCAATAACATCCACCGTGAGACACCGCTCATGCTTGGGAGACCCTATATTCGATTGAGAAGAGAGCGGGCTGTAATCCAATTGATGACTATTGGGCACCCATAATCTTCCATGATCCAGCAATGCTACACGTGGTTTTAGCGTGTGGTCTATTATTTACGATGGAAGCGAACAGGGTGGGAACGAGCCCGGCCTTTATCCGACACACCAGTCGAGCCATGAGTATCATTCGAGAGAGAGTGGTTTGTTCCGCACACGCTCCTTCGGATGAGACATTAGTTGCCGTTGCTAGTATGGCTGTTGCTAAGGTTCGTAAAAACACGATAGCGCAAGAGGTGACTGACCTTTCATAGAAGGCCGTTGGTCACCATGACCAATGGGGTGCTGATATGAGGATTCTCAAAAAGCTGGTTGATCTGCGGGGCGGATTGGACGCCTTAGATGGCAAGCCGCTGGTTCAAGGAAAGATTTATCGGTGAGTTGTGTGCTAGCAATTGGGTCAGGACATATTCTTATCTGTCTTGCAGAGCCGACATCTATGGATCGGTAGATGGTGGAGAGGTGTCCTTTTTCGGTGATCGGTTTCAGCAATTGCCACTGGCATCTCAGAACTACTGCTTGTGTCAGGGGTTTCAAGATCTGGATAGCTTGCTGCAAGTGGAAGGGACACTGAAAGCAGCTATGACCGATCTACAAGATGTAGTAGATGCCTTTTCAAATATCACCAAGAAAAGTGGCGAAGCTATTGTAGCCCAGGTTCGCTTCTGGGTGACGTCAATCCAGTATACACTGCTTTCAGTGCAATACGGTGTTGAAGGCGATCCCCAAAGTCAAGCACAGGAGGTCTGTCGCCTCGCTCTCTTGCTGCTAATTAATACTGTCTTTCACGAGACGCCACAAGGCGCATCAACTAGCGACAGACTGATTGCACGTCTTGGGCAGTTTCTGCATAATGCTGCTATATGCCGCTGGCTCCCATCCCACTTTCGTCTCTGGACCTTGTTCCTCGCTACTTGCAACGTTCTTTCCCCTACATTGCGAGCATGGTGCACTACAGCTATGTCAGAACTGGTAATGCAGATGGACATCCGTTTTGTGGAGGAATTCCATCGCATGCTCACGATGTATCCTCACGACTCTCATGCATACGGCACCACTTCTCCATTGATCTGGGACGAAGTGCAATCAATTGTACTGAAAGCCAGGGGCGATAACCATGGTATATAGCTATCATACAGACGCGTATTGCCACAGGAACATGCGGTTGTGTACCGCCGATAATCTTCCTGATGTGCAAAGTATTCAGTTTCTCATGTGAATTCCCCTTTCACAGCCACATCTAACGAAAGAGACAGTAACTAAATGAAAATACTTGCCACCGAGACACTGGCAGCTGAACTTCCTTGTACTTGTAGCCGTCGAGCTACATCAACAAAGTTCCTGGACGAAGTGAGCCCTTTGAGCAGGTACATTCGGAGGCTCCCCAGCTATGCTAAAATAATGGATGCTACAAGAAATTTCTCGCTTGAAAGTACGGATTGCTTAGGGCATATTTTACCACGGCAGATTCATCATGAATAGTACGGCATATCCTGCAGTCAAAGGACAAGCGAGGAATTTGTCTAGTGCTATGCACCGTTATTTACGAAGCGCGCTAGCGCTGAGTAACTCTAGGGTTGCTTTTACTAGGTCTGTTGCCAGCCCGTTCGCTTCTTATTAGTTTAAAAGTTTCGTAAATTCAGTTTCTTATTAGTTTTTATTTTTTATAGATAATATGACTTTGTTCCTGTGATTTCTCTCTACTGTTTTCTTTTCTTCTTTCTACTCGGCTTTCTGAATAGTTTCAACTTTGTATTATTATTATATTATCTGCTGCTGGCCCTGTGTGAGGCCCTACGTGTGAGGCTTCAGCCCCTCACATGACTCACCTCCCGTGAATGGGGTTTATAAGAGATGCGCACTCTAAGCAAGTGGCTTAGAGTTCTAGTCTTTTGCCAGATAGCCTAGTTGGTAGCAACTAGAGCCTGGTACGATTCACTCTAAAAGCGCACTTAGAGCGGATCGTGACACTACGTGAGGCCCCGCGTGTCTCTATATAACAGTCTGACCCTGCATAAAGCCCTGGATGAGGCCCTACGTGAGGCCCTGCAAGTTGGAGATACTTATCATTAATTAGTTTTTACAAGTTAAATAATTTGTATAACTTGAAGAACTTGCGTACATGATTTATATAATTTAGAGAGATTTGTTGCCTGCTTTAGTAAGAAAATGCACTTCGGAATGCCTTGAGGTGTGTGCGAGACTGTAGGCGGCCACGACCTAGTATGGGAAAGCTCCAGCTCAGGAGCTTACCTGGCGGTATGTATCTGAATGCAAGAGGTGGCTCACGACAAATTAATGACCTAGGATATATAGAGCGAGGCAGTTTTCACGGATTGTGACAAGTATCTTTCTCATCCAGCATTTCACTGAAGACATAAGGGCGCCTGGGGCCACCTGCCCCGAGCTTGTCATTTTTACTTCTTTCGATACTCGTGGGCTCACGGTCCTCGGGCTCGAGATAGAACACCCGTGTACGGCTCAACACTATAATATATCACAGACTGACGAGATCTCGACATAGCTTCTCTTTTAGTTGTAGGGTTCAGTGACACCATAATCATATTGTGAAATATGCCATGCGAGATCAATTACAATCCTCCACCATGTCTATCATCACCAACGTTTGCATCCTTCCGGGTACTATATACATCTATCAAATTTCGCAATGCCTGATATACAATTATAACGTCTTATGGAAGCCTCAATCCCCTGAGCAGCACCTGGTGGAATATGGCTGCAGATTTTCATGATTCGTTCGACAGCAGCGCAGATTATTCACGGGCGCCATGTCAGGGGATTTTACAAAGCACGATGTGGTCATAGCATAGAATCTTGCACCATGCATGGTGTCGGGCACTCATGATGATAATTCTTCATCCAATGAGCAAGTCCTGTAAGGGGAGTGGGTGGATGGGATGGCTCGGGCCTTTGCGCCATTCCAATATCGGCTGGACCTGTACTCTAATTGATATTTGACATCACAAGGCACCCTAGCCTTGGTTATAAGTCATAGAACCATCGACGCCTCGGGATCTTGCTGCGGAAGCATGAGAATCTTGCTGTCCTCAGGTATTCTTACATTGAATATCATTGATCTACGCTTGATACTGCCGATCTCCCGAACTCCGCACGAAGCTCTAATTATTCACTGTCAGTCACACAAGATCTTGGACGAAACAAATGGTCAAACTCTGTCCCTGTCCATTTCGTTGCCATCCCTATGCCATGAAGTGCGGAAGGGCATGTGGAACACTCGTGGCTGGACATTCCAGGAACAAAGTTTGTCACAGCGCTGCCTGTACGTTACCACGAACGAGATATTTTTCAGTGCCCGGAAGCCCAATGGAGAGAGGGGTATGACTACCAAAGCGAAGGCTCGCTGGAATCACAAATTCGGGTGACCTGACTATTCGCCAGGCTCAAGGCATCCCGCCTCATCTCATGGCCCAGGCATCATTGTGGTTTCCTTCCGACACATGCCGGCCACGCGAATCAGCCGAGGGGTTTTCCTCCTGGTCCTGGTAGGTAAATATCCGTATATAGATGGTTGTGGCTAACGCTTGGCAGGGCCTCATGGGTTGGCCCTATCGAGTTCATTTTCGCGGAAAGCCTTTGGTTGTCGAGGAGCATCTCGCACGCCCTTCGGTAAAAACTCACCCCTGCACATAGCAGTTGCCCAATGGCACTTTGGTAGTGCGGACGGTGGCATCTGGTCGCACCGTCTGTGGCCGGCTGCAGAGGACGCCGCCCGAAACGACACAGAAAAGCACCAGCTCAAACGAATATCGGACCACGCGAAAGTTCCTGACCGATGCCCTCGGAATCCATGTGAAGAGACTGCGAGATAAATCCGTTCCCTCATTGCAGGCCGGTCTGGGGTGTGGCCAGCTGGGCTTTATTGGTGCATACCTGGACCCTCGTGACTTTGACCTCGCTGGCGCCGGCACTGAGCGGATTCGACCCTTAGTCGTGTCTGGAGTTCATGCAGGGCAGTTCAGATTCGATGGCGACACTGCCGGACCGGTGACCGAGCTGGTCATTACCTTTGTGTACAACCACTATCATGGGTTTCCCGCGCACAGTCATGGTATTCTTAGGTATGGCCACACGTGATGGGGTCTCGGTCCGGGTGGGAGTGGGATATACGTACCTTTCCATGGATGCGGGAGCACCCAAACCACGCTGGGGGTATAGATTCTTTGTCGTGAATGAAAAAAGGGTCTCCTTGTGATAAATCAGAATTCTCAGCTTCCTGTTGTGGGTAATTTATTTTCGGGAACTGAGGCATCAGACCCGTGCGGAATTTCAGAAGAAGCTCTTCATCTTCCGCGATATCGCGAAGACAGGGCCCTAGTAATGAAAAGTCATTGCGCGATTCGGGCGTGGGCTTTCAGAATAGGATTGCACTGCTGTTCCGGGTGTCAAATTCAATCACTATTATTACTATTAATTCCTCTCACAGTTATATCTCCACTTCTCCCTACAGTGTCTGGATAGATTCCCAGATTATAGCATAATTGATGTCAGAGAATTCGGGAAGCTTATTCTACACAATAGCTGTAAAACCATCGTATTCCACCAAGTAAAGATTCTGATGGGTAATACAGGATGGCCACGATGCACTGTGGCTCTCGTTGCCCACTACCTCCCCGAAAGACTAAATGTTGGGTTTACGATTTCAAACCTAGAGATAATATACTCGGTTGACAAAATAGACAGAGATCGAGTTCATGATCTGAGCAATGCCTGGATTATATACAGTTTATAATAATTGTCTGCAGGCACTCAGACATCCTATCGGATTGATCCAATCTCAAAAAGACTAGTGATTATGTTCGCTCACTCTGCAGCACGTTGGAATTGTATCAGTATTCCTAGACTCGAAGAAATGGTCATTATGCCGCTCAATCCGAGGGGTTGATGGATATTCCTCTGGATCGATTCCTCAGGCATGGACCTCATAACAATTTAATATCGCCATCGACTGACCGCGTAAGACGGGACGAGAGGGATGATATCTCATCCGAGATCGCAACCGCTGATGGTCTTGGATGATACGATATTCCGGGTAGTTCACCCTGACTGTCGACGACAGTACTCTCGTGCTGACGGACTTGGCATGTCTTACTATCGATAAGGTTGACCATCTAGGCGTTCACCAAGAGTTTTCCTGTCCCTGGGGTAAATGTCTCGGTTGCTGCAGCTGGGTATGCGGTGCCAGTGGGATCAGAGCGGGAGTTGGGATAAGGGCAGGAAGTACCGAGTAGTGACGGGGATTACGATTTTCTGCCAGTGGACCTGGTGATGCATCAACACATCCACCGGGTGGTTCGACAGGCAAGATTTTCCATCGTGGACCAACTGATGGAATCATCCGCGCACTCCTACCTGTAGAATAATCGGCATTCCATTCTCCAAGGTCTTAGCCCCGAGATGCCCCCCCGAAGCACCATCAATACTGTGGAACGACTAGAATTCGGGGTGGCTTCCATCAGCTTCCACTCTGTAATTGGAGTCGACGAATGAATGATCCACCGGCGGCTGCTGCAGAACCAGAGAATGGGTTTCACCAGCCACTCTTGGCCATGGCCCTGAAACCCAGAGGGAGGGTGCCAAAAGCTACGCGTAACTCTGCTGCTAAATCCTTTCCCGGGAACCAATCAACGGCCCCGACCCGCCGGGTTATCGCCGAGACGAACTCCTGGCGTCGCAAGCTTGGGCTCCACCCCTGGATCACCTTAATTGAGCCATCCGGTTCTGCAGAATCAGGGTTTCTGAAGGCGAGACCGACGGTTGGATTCAGCAGGAGACGAAAAAAGGTCAACTCTGGGCGACGCCGCCCCCTACCCGGTGTGATCGACAACGGATGCTCTCACTAGTGGGAAACAGTCCGGCCCTAAAACAACCGGTAGATGCGATATCAGATACAGGGCCATGGGCATCAAGTGGGTCACGAGCAAAAACCTTGTGCGCGTTTAATTTGATTAAACTTCATCATGCACACACGGGAAGAAAGAGGGTCGTTCCTGCAGCCTGCATCGTTCAGGAGACCCCGACCCACCTGTCATCTAGGCTTCATTCCAAACATCATGCCCGATGATTGCCACAGATGGCCCCTGGCGGATAAGGATACAACAACCGGAAACGGCTGGCCATAGGGTCTGACGTACGTCGCCCCAGCAGGCTGTTTTTCTTCTTCTTCTTCTTCTTCTTCTGTTTTTTCGGGTTTAAATAGCTTCATCTCGCCACCTCGACAGTGACTTTCCCAACCAGCTCCTCTACATTCTTTCACTTCCCCCATTCACTCCCTTCTTTCGCACTCGGCGCCTCCCAATCCTTCTTCTTTTCCTTTCCAGTATGCGTCAATACTCGCGCTCTGCCGCGGCCGCCGTCGCTCTGGCAGCAACGGCCCGCGCTGCCAACTCGACCTCCCTGTCCTCCGTCTGTACGGTGGCCAACGTCCAGGCTGCGCTTCCAGCCAATGGCACCCTCAACGGCATCAGCATGATCCCCTCCTCCGTCACGGCCAAGACGGCCACCAGCGGATCTACCGACTACTGCGCCGTGTCCGTCTCCTACGTCCACACCGGCACCACCAATGAGATCGAGCTCAACTACGGCCTCCCCAGCCCCGAGGACTTCAAGAACCGTTTCTACGTGGCGGGTGGCTTCGGTTACTCCCTCAGCAGCTCTTCCACCGGTGGTCTCGAGTACGGCGCCGCCAGTGGTGCCACGTCCGCGGGCTACGGTGCCTTGAACGGCACCACCATCGACGAAGTCAACTTGGCCGGCAACGGCACCATCAACTGGGACCCCATCTTCATGTTTGCCTACCAGGCCCTGGGTGAACTGACCACCATCGGCAAGCCCCTCACCCGCGCCTTCTACGGCCTGGACGATGATGCCAAGATCTACACCTACTACGAGGGCTGCTCCGATGGTGGCCGTCAGGGTATGAGCCAGATCCAGCGTTACGGTGACGAGTACGATGGTGCCATCATCGGTGCTCCGGCCTTCCGTTACGGTCAGCAGCAGGTCAACCACCTGTTCTCCAGCGTCGTCGAGCAGACCCTCAACTACTTCCCTCCTACCTGTGAGTTGGAGAAGATCATGAACGCCACCATCGATGCCTGTGACGCCCTGGATGGCCGAACCGACGGTGTCATCTCCCGTACCGATCTGTGCCAGCTCGACTTCAACCTCACCTCCATCATCGGCGAGCCCTACCACTGCGCCGCGGAGGTGTCCACCTCCCTGGGCTTCAACTTCAACAAGCGCAGCGACGGTACCTCCACCTCCTACACTCCCGAGCAGACCGGCAACGTGACTGCCGAGGGTGTGGCCGTGGCCCAGGCCATCTACGACGGTCTGTTCAACTCGGCCGGTGAACGGGCCTACCTCTCCTACCGGATCGGATCCGAGTTCACTGACGGTGAGACTGCTTACGACAACACCACCGGCACCTGGGGCGTCGACATCCCCTCCACCGGCGGTGAGTTCGTCACCCGCTTCATCGAACTGGTCGAGCTGGACAACCTCGAGACCCTTGACGGTGTCACCTACGATACCCTCGTCAACTGGATGAACGAGGCCATGGTCCGCTACATGGATACTCTCCAGACCACCCTTCCCGACCTGACCACCTTCCAGTCCTCTGGCGGCAAGCTCATCCACTACCACGGCGAGAACGACCCCAGTGTGCCCACCGCGTCCTCCATCCACTACTGGCAATCCGTCCGCAGCATCATGTACCCCAGTCTCAGCACCTCCAAGGCTCTCGACCAGATGAAGGAATGGTACCAGCTGTACCTGGTCCCCGGTGCCGCCCACTGCGGTCGCAACGACTACCAGCCCAACGGTCCCTTCCCCGCGGACAACATGGCCACCATGATCGAGTGGGTCGAGAGCGGTATCCAGCCCACCGGTCTCAACGCCACCGTCGATGCCGGCAAGTACGACGGCGAGGTCCAGTCCCTGTGCCAGTTCCCCAAGCGTCCCATCTGGGAGAACGACGAGTGGAAGTGCGAGTCTGACAAGGAGGGTGCCGACACCTTCTACTACACTTTCCCGGCCTTCAAGGTTCCCATCTACTAGGGAACTACCGTGCCTGTGGCTAGACTAGATCTGGGGACGTACCATGTACATTAGAATTAGACAAGGATTACTTAAAGCAGAGTTGTTCCGCATATTTCCCCTTTACGTTACTCCGTACTGTGCTGGTGTTGCACCATTGAACTCCAATCTCCCCATGATCCGTGGCAAATCTTCTTGATCTACATCTGAATGATCTTTTCCGCGAAATCATTGTCGATCAAACAATTTCCCCCACGACATCAATACTTATTCTTGCTCGGGGCTCTCGAACATAGGTCTTCTCTGCCATGTCATTCACATGGCACGTCGTGATCACACTCATTTCACCCGCTGGCCAGCCACGAGATCTTATCAGTCCACTCCAGAAATAAAACACCCCTTAACCACTGAAGAAGATCCATAAAGCCTAGTCCTCAGGATACCTGATCTAATAGCTCCAGAGTAAATATACCCAACTCCCAACAGTATGTTCTAATCCAGAATAATAGACATAGTTCTCAACTATTATATCTGTCGGTAAATGTGGGACATTGTAATCGATATAGTTACACGGGATGAAGATGGTGATAAAAGAGGGTGTTGGAAGAGGAAAGAAAAGTAAGTTACGCTGGTCAAAGGTTCAGTCACTTTGTAGGTAGGTAGGTAGGTATGCTTGGCATCACTTAATGCCAAGATGTTGGCCTGGGTGCCTGGAGCTGGAGCGAGCCTAAGGTGGGGAAGAGAAAGAGGTAACTTGAGCCGAGGCTATAGGGCCTACCGAGCAGATCGACATACTCTGTCCTCCGCATTGAGATACTGCACACAGGCAACATCTCCCACTTGTCTTGACAGGGCGCAGAGTGATGCGCAGGTGGCAACATGATTGGTGCCGGACGCCGTCGGAGTCACGGGATGAGGGGTAACACCGGCTTATCGCTTATCGGCGGCTGTTCTTATCGCCTATAAAGCCCGCCGCGGTCGATTGACTTTCCCAGCGATCATTCTGCCTCATCACCATGCCCTCTCTCAAAGTCGCCGAATATCTCTTCCGCCGGCTGCGCCAGCTGGGCGTGGATTCTGTTCATGGCGTCCCGGGCGATTTCAACCTCACCCTCCTGGATTATGTGGAGCCTGCTGGGTTGCGCTGGGTCGGCAACGCGAATGAGTTGAATGCTGCCTACGCGGCTGACGGGTATGCTAGGATTAAGGGGATTGGGGCGGTGGTTACGACCTTTGGGGTGGGGGAGCTGTCGGCCGTTAATGCGATTGCAGGGGCCTACACGGAACGCGCGCCGGTCGTGCATATCGTCGGGACTCCTTCCCGGGAACTCCAGGCCGGGCGCAAATTGATCCACCATACCTTTAATGACGGCGAGTACGGACGTTTCGCGAAGATTCATGCGCAGTTGACTGTCGCGCAGGCCAGTCTGCGGGACCCTCGGACCAGTCCGGAACAGATCGACGAGGTGCTGCGCCAGTGTCTGCTGCACAGTCGGCCGGTGTATATTGAAGTGCCGGTGGATATGGTGGATCGATATGTGGCGGATGATCGGCTGGGAGTTGCGATCAACCAGCCGGAGGTGGTTCCTTCTCAGGTGCAGGATGATGTGGTGGCTCGGATCGTGGAACGTATCTATGCGGCCAAGCAGCCGATTATTCTTGTCGATGGAGAGATTCGTCCGTTGGGCATTGTCGAGGAGGTGCAGAAACTCGTGGATGCCACCAATTGGCCCACCTGGACTACAGTGTTTGGAAAGGGTCTACTGGACGAGACGAAGGCAAACTTCCACGGCATCTATCAGGGCACCTACGATACTGCAGCAGTGCAACAGTTCTTCAACGCCGCCGACCTCGTCTTGTGTTTCGGGCCTCATTTCAGCTCCACCAACTCCTACTTTTACTCCATCATTCCCAAACCCGAATCCGCCATTCTCTTCACCGATACGGAAGTTCAGTTTGGCACCGACATCGTCCGCGATCTTCCCGCAAAGCTCATCACCTCCCGTCTCGTGCAGAGCCTTGATCTCTCTCAAACCTACCGTTACGATCCCTACCCCAGCCTGCCGCATGACCAGCGCCTCTCTTTTTCCGATGTCGACAGCAGCCAGTCAATCACCCAGGATAAGCTGTGGCGGTTGCTGGCCAACTTCCTCCGTCCGGGTGATATCATTCTCGGTGAAACTGGCACAGCAGGGTACGGCGTTCGAGAAATGGCCTTGCCTCCACACACGCGCGTATTCGCTCCAGTGACCTGGCTATCCATCGGATATATGCTGCCAGGCGCACAGGGTGCGGCCCTCGCCCAGGAGGAACTGATCGCGGCGTCCAAATACCACGGAATCAACGATGCACGCACGATCCTCCTCATCGGCGACGGCAGTTTCCAAATGACTGCCCAGGAACTCGCCACCATCATCAACCACAAGCTCAACGTGGTGGTATTCCTGATCAACAACGACGGATACACCATCGAACGATGCATCCATGGCCGGAAGCAGCGGTACAATGATGTGCCGCGGTGGAGATACCTGCAAGCTCCTAGCTTCTTCGGCGCGAGTGAAGATGCCTACACGGGGACGGCTCGCACCTGGGGTGAATTGGAGGACGTTCTAGCCAACGACGTAGTGAGCAATGGGAAGGAATTGCGCATGGTAGAAGTCTTCATGGATCGCGAAGATGCGCCCACGGGTCCATTGTCGATGCTGATACAGAAGCAACAAGCGACGGACGGACTGTAGACACATTCACATGTTCATAAATCAATTAATGAGCAAGTCATCTATACGATCTAACAATATCGCCTAACCATAGTCTATTTTAACCAACAACCATCTACTCTAGACTTATTCACGCTGCTCATATCTATCAGCTCCGTACTCTCTCGCCAGCTTGCGATCTTCGCCCACGCCAAACTGCCGAATGACCAACCAGGCGGGCAGCACGGCGATGGCCCAGAGACCAAAGTTGAGATAGGTGCCGCCAATCGAGGCCATGATGCCGACGCTGCTGAGGCCGTACTACACTCGTCAGTACCTCTCGACCATGGGATCGGACGACTTACCGAAACCGCCTGCACGGCCGACTCGACGCCTCTCAGCAGCCCACTGATTCTCACCACCTCCTCCTCATCCGCCGCCAGGTTTCCCACCACAAAGTACCTATCCGTGTCAGCATCAGACCTCCCCACCGCAGATCAGCAACACTCACAAGAACATATAGTTCAACTGAAACCCCAACACCCACATCAAATACAACACAAACCCCTTCGCAAACTCCCCATCCGTCCAATCAATCCCCGTCCTCCCACTCTTCCAATACCCCGTCGTCACCACCGTCGCCCACACCCACCACCCGCCCTGCAGCGTCATCACCACCCAAAACGCCCCCCGACTCCTCACCTGCAACTTCAACCCACTATCCAAAAACATCCCCAACACATTGCCCCCAATCAGCGCCAAACACCCGGACAGAAAACTCCCCAACGCCCGCACCCGCACACTAAACCACAAATCCAAATACGTAAACATGACCGCCTCCGTATACGTCGCCTGCGCAATCAACGGCAGAATCAACAAAAACTCCCTCCGACAGAACAACTTCACCATGGCCTTCACCTCAAACCACGGATCCTTCATCACCGTCAACTTCACCCGCAACCCATCCGTCCGCTGCACCTGCTCCGGCGTATTCAACAACAACCCCCCGACCGGCCCCAACGCCTGCAGAGCAATAAACACCCCAAACACCGAATACGACACACTCCCCGCCGTACTCCTCCCCACATTCAACCCCAAATTAATCGCCCCCCCCAGGATCTGCCCCCCCACGCGAAAACTCAACCACAGCCCCAAAAACCGTCCCTGGTTCTTCGGCTCCGGGTACGACAGCGCAATCGCACTCTCCGCCATCCAGAACACTCCCGCGGATAACCCGCACAGCGCTGCCCCAAACAACACTAACCAATCCGTTCCGAACCGGTTATGCGTGTATAATCCTGCTGCGTAGGGCGCGTATCCGATCGTCCCGACGACAAGGGTATATTTGATCCCGATGTACCGGACCAGGATACTCCCGAAGAAACAGGAGAATACCATCAAGCAGAAGGTGAGTGCGTTGGCCGCGTCAACCAGGTATGGTGATTCCGACCCGCCCCCGCCGAGACTGTTCATGGCGGTCCAGATGCCGGGGGCGAGGAAGTTGCAGAGCCCGAGGATGAGGGCGTTGTAGGTGGTGGAGCGGTACCATTTTACTGGCTGCTGTGTTAGTGGTGAGGCATTTGGGGGGGGGTGGAAGGGAGGGAATGTACCTGGGTGTTTCACGGTATGATCAACCACCGAAGACGGAGTGTCCGATCCAGTATGTTGAACCTGGACTTCCTCATCACTCGCGTGGATCTCTTTTTCCAGCGCCATTATGAATACCACCGAAGCGTTGTAATGGATAATTCCCGACCAACCCAGAAATTTAAAATCAGGGGCTGGATGCAAGGGATACCTACATATATACACCATCAACAAAAACCGGTAGATAAATACCATCACATCCACCGGTCTCGTCACAAATCCGACAGAAGAAGACCGTGAGCATGTTATCGCGCGCATGGCATCAGCACCCTTTTCTCAGGAAGCTGATTGGAAGGGAAATGTTGTGGTTTGAGGGGGTGATTACGTGCTCGCACGGCATTTTCGCTGCTCGTGGTGCTGAGTGGGTCGGTCTGGCAGTTGACGGGTAGGATGGGATCTGGAGGGGGAGTAGATAGATTTTAGATAGTTTTTGCAATACAAAGTGTCAAGTATGGAAATCAGTATTGATGGTATTGTTCGTTGCTAGGCTGCATTGTGGGTTCTCGTTCCATCCACCCGTTTGTTCTTATCGATAAAGATATATGATACGATAGCAACAGTGATAGTGACAGAAGAAACAGACAGCCCTAACTATCATCCATCCCCTAAATAATCATTCTCATAAAACAAACACCTCATACTACGCACATACCCTGCTCTGCTCGCCTCGCATGCTTCGCATGCTTCGCTCGCTCCGCAGGTTTAATCAGTATCATCCTCATGAAACACCAACACCCTAACCTCAATACTCTCCCTGGCCTCCTCCTTCTCCGTCCCCGGCACCACAAACGCACTATGCGGCACGCGTCTCGCCCGCCCATCCGTCTTCGAATCAAAACACTTAATCAACGTCACCAGTTCCGGACTCTGCCTATACCGATAATACCACTTCACATCCGGATTCGGCTTCACCGAGCACGTCTCACCCTCGCGATCCGGGTAGATGAGTTTCGTCGGGAGGAGATCGCTATCCGGGACGGAGTGCGCGTCTGCCACGGCGAGCGGGTCCCGGGTGATGGTTTTGATGGGCCGCCAGACGTTGATGATTTGGTAGCGGCCTTTTAGGAGCGATGGGGCCAGGTCGGGCAGGTGGTGCTGGACGCGGGCCGTCGCGGCGGAGTAGCTTTGGTCGATGTGCACGCGTTGGACGGGGGTGCGGAGGTTGGTGGGGGAGGAGGAGGGGCGGCGGATGGTGTGGTCGAAGATGAAGGTGCGGGTGCAGTTGGTTCTATTATTGCTTAGTATTGTAGGGTGGTGGGATGAGATGTGGAGGGGGATAGGGATGGTGGTGGGATGAGATGTGGAGGGGAATAGGGATGGTGGTGGTGGATGTGACAGGGGAGGAGGCAGGGGGCCTTACGCATCCTTCAACAACTGTTCAATTTCCGGGTAATATTCCCGTTTGATCTTCTCATCATCGAGAAAGTCCTTCTCCGCGCTGGTGTGGTAGTAGAATTGGAACCCGTGGCTGTCCAAAGTATAGTCCAACTCGTGGCCACTGACATCGTGGACGGTCACCGGGAGCTCCGTGCTAGGCCGCTCGTAGCTGGACGGGACGCCGACGTACGCTGGCGCCAGATGGGATCCATCCGGGAGCTCTTTGATGAAGTTGAGGGTGGTTTGGACGTGGTGGGGACCGGAGGAACCGGATGGGGGTGGTGGAGTAAGGAGGGTGGTGGGAGCCCCTGGAAGAACTGCAGCGGCCATACTACTTGATTATTCTGGATGGATTGTGATGTGGTGAGTTGGAAGTTGTGAAGGTGATGTGTGGATTGTCAGCGATCTGTAGGGCTTATATATTATCAAGCACGCCATCGACCAGGATGCGTGTCGCTGATAAATCCAGTCGGCTGATGCATACTCCGTTGGATTAATAATAGGACTCTGCATTTCTAATTCTCACTACGACGCACAAGCTTGGTAATCTTGATCCCGTCATCCAATACCTCGTCTTCTTCCTCCAGGTGGTAACCGCCCCAGCGGGGTAGTAAGACTGTCCATACATACCAGTAGAGAACACCAAAGATGATCCTACCCTCGTTAGATTGATATCACGTATACAGGTATAGGGTATACGTACACTCCCATTCCAACGATTGCATACGTCGCGTAGAAGAAATTCACGTCGCTTTTGCCATCTCGCGGGGGAAAGAATGGCGCTGCCAGTAATGATACGCAGATGGCGATTCGAAGCCATACAGCTGGTAGCCAGGCCTTGAAGGGCCGCGGAAGATCCGGTTCGCGGTCGCGGAGTAGCAAGAGACCGCCTGCCACGGCGAGACTAAATACCTGCCCGGGGTATCCTTCAACATCCAGAATAAAGTTGTATACATCTCCTTGCGGTGGGAGCGCAATCACCAGCAATGAAGGGATATAATGCACGATCAACCCCCCTAATGGCGCGCCAAACGGTTTCGAAGATGACAGCAGTCGGGAGCACGGGAGAAAGCCCTGTCGGGCGATTTCTTGGTTGACTCGAGCCTGACAATTAGATAGATTCCGCAAGGGAGGTGGCAGACATACCAATGCATAAGTCACCACCATGACATTGCCCGCCGCCGAAATGGCAATCGCCAGCGGAAACAGAGTCCGTCCGACGCTGCCAAACAGCCGCTCAAACAGCAATCCCGCCACCAACTCGCCGCTATTCTTGATATCTTCCAGCGGAACCACCAGAAAATACGAAATGTTAGCCAGAAAGTACAGCGCGCCTGCCGTGAGCAGCGCCGCCGGACAGACCGTCAGAACTGTTCGGACCGGATTGTGCACCTCACCCAGCACATTATTCACATTGTTCAATCCAGCATAGGAATAAAACACCTTGAGCAGCGACGTGGACAGCAGATTCCAGCTCCAGTTGGAATCCTCCCACATGGTATCCCACGAGAACACATTTGTCGTGGGGGCCAGATCATGCCCATACGGACGCACCAGAATGACCCAGATCCCGGTCAACGAGATGACCCCGATCAGGAAGATCTTGACCCATCCGAGGGCATTCTGGATCCAGATGCCCGTCCGTAAGAAGCAGCCATGCACGATCGTCACGGCGGTCATCAATCCCACCGCCAGAACCTTGTGCTGAAACTCGGTCGGCTGCACATTAAACGCGAAAAAAGTATACTTGGCAAACACAATGCAGTTGCTAGCTGTAAACCCCAGCACCACCGCCTGCACCGCCACCATCGTCGACGCGAGAAACCGAGGCCGCGGATAGGTATACTCCAGGTACACCTACACCAGTTAGACCCGACAGCTACGGGGTACTGACGGAAACTACCTTTTCTCCGCCCGAGCGAGGCAACATGCAGCCGTATTCCATCGACACGGCCAGCGAACACGCGGCCAAAACCGTCCCGGCGAGCCATATCAACAAGGATAATCCCACGCTGCCGGCAGATTTCACGATCGTCCCAGGGGTCGCGAAGATGCCGCTGCCGATAACTCGAGATACCACGAGAATGTACGCGCTGATCCAGGTGAGATGTTTCTGGCCGGGTTGGACCTCTCGCGGCACGTCATCGAGAATATCGGCGGTCGCCAACAAGGGCTGTCGTTCGTGCGTCATGATTGAAGTGAGAATCTCAGCTGTGGAAGATTCTGAGATTGAAAAACGGCGGAAATCATCCCGGCCAGGCTGGCAGGCACGTCATTCCGACCGCAGGTTGTGTCGTTGCTGATAGCAGGTGATCGAATCAGCAGTCATCCTACATGTCGATAGCAACAAACCATCCTCCTAGCATCGACTGCAGCAGGAGCAACTGATTGGAATGCTGCACTGGTATTAATAATGCTGCCTCTCGCTGCATATCACATCATATTTGATAGAATGATGCCAACGGGATGCTGATTCGTCGGCATTAAACCACCCATCTCGCCGTATCATGAACATCGCGTATCCCAACCATCTCAAGAACCATTATTCAGAAAACAAGAAAAAAGAGAATCCAATTCACTCCGTACCCGTCCCCTACCCCGTATCACTCAAATACCATCCCCGACGATCAATGATGCCATCGGCAACGATAACTTTATCACGCCATCCCGACCCCGCCCCGCGCAATCCCAGTCATCCTGCCGCCTGATGACCGGCTATCAGCATGCTCCCGACTGGTTCTCGGCCGGGTATGCATATAACTGCCGGATACTACCTCTGTACAGTCGTCTGCTGAACACCCGTACCATCAACATGACCACAATATCAACCTATACCGTGCCCGTCGCAGAGGGAAAGTACCCGACTGTCTTTCATCGGGAGTTTCTAGTCGAGCAGCGCGCAGATCCTACATACACAGTCCAGCCTCAGTCAACGACGATACCGCCCCCCACGCAAAGTGCCTTGTTGCTCAAGGGTGTGGGGGAGAAATATACCCTCGTGACGGATCATGCCATACCCACGATCTCCAAGAAGGATGAGATTTTAGTCAAGGTACCTCCCTTTATCTCTTACATTAAATTCGATATTAATATAATTTATCAGATCCAAGCCGTCGGTCTGAACCCGGTGGATTGGAAAGGCCCGTACGATCCCCCCCCGCCTTCTCATAGGTGAAAGATAGCTAACGAAAGCAGAGCATACAACTTCGGCATCCCCGCCCTCCCATGGATCAATGGCCGAGATCTAGCAGGCACAGTCATCCAAGTGAACGACGAGAACAGTCGCGTGCACGTCGGCGATAAAGTCCTCGTCCCCTCGACCGATTACCGAGATATCCGCAAGGCCGCGTTTCAGGAATACGCGGTCGCGACACACTTTAACGCTGCGCGCATACCGTCTAGTTCGGATGTACATGCATCCGCATCGCTAGGCGTCGCGTTCGTGGCGTCGGTGCTGGCGTTGGGAGTGTCGCTGGGGTTGGATTTCAGGGGGAGTCGGTGTCCGGGGCCGGATTTGCAGGATGTACTTGAGGGGTTGGATGTGGAGGGGATACCGGGGGATATTCGCGGGGAGTGTTTTGCGTCGGTGGCGGAGGGGGAACGGTTGAGAAGGGGGGATTGGGTTGCGATATGGGGAGGTGAGTGATACCTTGCTGTGTTGGCTGGTGCATGCTAATGGTGTAGCGTCTACAACGACGGGGTATATTACCCTGCAGCTGGCCAAGTTGGCCGGGTTACATGTCGTCTGTGTGGCGGATATCGCCCGGCATGGGGCACGATTGCATCAACTGGGTGCGGATGTTCTGGTCGACAGACAGGATACGGAGCGCGCCGTGGATATCATCCGTGGTGTGACGAAGGGGAAGTTGCGATATGCGGTGGATATCGTTGGGGCGGAGACAGCAGGTTTATTAGAGCGGACGCTGGATGATACAATCCGTGAGGATGGATCGCATGCGCATTTACTCGGATTGACGGGGTTACCGAAAGAGCGGAAACCCGGGGTGGTGTATCATACGGTGCCGATCAAGCTGTTTCATACGTCGCCGGTGGTGGGCGAGAAGATGGTATCCTGGTTGGAGAGGTTGCTCGAGACGGGCGCGTTGCAATTGCCCGAGATTGTCCGCCATGAGGGGGGATTGAGCAGTATTAATGAGTCGTTGGAGGTGTTGCGACAGGGGAGTGTATCGGGGAAGAGAATCGTGGTGGATTTGGGATTATGATTGATGTACATGATTGAATTAGACGGATAGATGATTGTTACCCAGGTAGATCATACATGACAAGAACTTACTACAATCCAATAGGGCAATCTCATCTCATACAATATCAAATCTCCTTATCTGAATGCAAATGCCAAGATGTACCACCATTACCCCTCCCGAGCTGTCACCATCACCACCACATCTCACGCAATCACCCGGCAATCGCACGTCTTCCACCAGCAGTATGCAGCCAAGCATGTCATACCCGGATATAAGTATTTCTCGGACGAGAACCATGAGGGGTAATTCTATTGCTATTGCGCTATCGGCGAGACTAGTGGATATTCCAGGGGTGACGGAGTAGTGTATACCAGTCTGTTTTTGCAATTTTGCAATACTTGCTGTTTCAATGGCGATGAAAAGACTCTTATAAATTGATTCTCCCCTTACTTCTCTCTTTCTACCCCTCCCTTCAAACTCTCACCACTCAAACCACCACAACCACCAAAATGAGCTCAACCACCCCCCCACCAGAGAAAAAACAACTCATCCTCAATGCCTTCGCCATGCACTCCCCCTGCCACCTGAACCCGGGCCTGCACCGATACCCCGCCGACCAAGGCCGGAACTACACCTCCCTAACACACTGGACCAAACTGGCCCAGAAACTCGAGGCCGCCAAATTCCACGCCATCTTCTTCGCGGACGTGTTGGGCGGGTACGACGTGTACAAAGGCCCCGCGAACCTCGACCCTACCATTCCCGCGGGGGCGCAATTCCCTATTAATGATCCGCTATATAGCATCCCTGCGCTGGCGGCAGCCACAGAGACGATTGCGTTTGGCGTGACCGCGTCCACGACATATGATCCGCCGTACGCGATGGCGAGACGGTTCTCGACGGTCGATCATCTGAGTAATGGACGCGTGGGATGGAACATTGTTACCTCGTATCTGGAATCCGCGGCGCGGAATTACGGACTCGACACCCAGATCGAGCATGACGAGCGGTATCGCATCGCGGATGAGTATCTGGACGTGGTGTATAAGTTATGGGAGGGGTCGTGGCGGGATGGCGCGGTGAATGTCCACCCCGATGGGGTGACGGGATATGCGGATCCGAAGGGCGTCAGGCAGATTCATCATAGGGGCAAGTATTTTAATGTGCCGGGTCCGCATCTGTGTGAGCCGAGTGCGCAGCGGACGCCGTTTCTATTGCAGGCGGGCACGTCGAGTGCCGGGAAGGCGTTCGCGGCGAAGCATGCCGAGGCGATCTTTCTCAATGGGCAGACGCCCGAGTTGGTGAGGCCGTCGGTGGATAGTGTGCGGGAGCAGGCGAGGGGGGTGGGGCGGGATCCGAAGAGTATTAAGATTGTGGCGGGGGTGTTGGTGATTGTGGGGGCGACGGATGAGGAGGCGAGGGGGAAGTTTGAGGAGTATGCGCGGTATGGCGATCGGGAGGGGGCGTTGGCGTTGTTTGGGGGGTGGTCCGGGTATGATTTATCGACGTATGATGATGAGCAGGATTTTCGGTTTGTCGAACAGCCGGCCGTGCGGAGTATGGTGAATCATTGGGCCAGTACGGTGCCGGGGATGGAGGGGAAGAAGTGGAATAAGAAGACCATTGCGGAGTATTTGATCCTCGGGGGCAATGGGTGCAAGATTATCGGGGGCCCGAAGACAGTGGCGGATGAGTTGGAGCGCTGGGTGGAGGTGGCGGATGTCGATGGGTTTAATCTGAGTTATGCCAGTGTGCCCGAGACGTTTGAGGATATTATTGAATATCTGGTGCCGGAGTTGCAGCGTCGGGGGATCTTTCATACGGAGTATGCCGTGAAGGGGGGGACCATGCGGGAGAATATGACGGGCAAAAGTGGGCAGACGAGACTGGATGAGTCGCATCCGGGGGCGAAGTATGTGTGGAGGGAGGGAGAGGAAGTGCCCAAGTATGCATTGACTGATTGAAGCAATAGTAGTCTAGAAACAATGATCTCGATAATGACAATAGAGGTGTCGATAATCATCTGGTTGGATACCAAAACTCATATTCTCCATCATCTTCAGATTCTTCCACAGATCGACCCACATTAGTCCTCAACGATCGATCGTAGCGAAACAGGATGAACGAGACGAGCAGCGACAGCGCAATGAAGAATGCCATGACGAGCGGAAAGATGAAGAACGTGATGAGCAGCGATTGCAGGAGGAAGCGTTCGATGTGGAGAGACAGGTCACGGACGGTCGAGACCAGTCCCCATTTTCCGGCAACTATGCAAATTAGCAGCGGATAGGAGGGAGAAATAAACAGGCTACTCACCAGTATCAGTCATCAGGGGCAAGAATGTCAGTCCAATAGCCGCGAGCACGCACGCGCCGATACATCTGGTGATAGACAGTCCCGAATCCATGTGGGGTGGATGGATGAATGAATGAAGAGAGACCAGGAGGTGTAGGTAGCATTGCATCGTGTCGGAGCTGACTTCCAGCGTGACTGTATGATTGCACTGTTGATACGCTATGGAATTGAATCGAAAGGACCCGCTCGGGATCTCCGCCCGATCGGAGCTATCGAGCTATCGAGCTACCAAGCTGCGAGCATCGATCATGCGAGTCATTATGCTCCACCGGTGTTGCCTCAGACCGTCTCAGCCTAGCTCAGTAATATAATGACCACGGTTTAACACCTCACCAATCTGTCTTATCTGAGGGGTTCACATGGGCTGTGGCTGCATGGACTAGTGTGGCATAAGACCGATGGATATCTAGTTGTCCCTTGTTTTAAAAGGGTGTGATACAGGTATTGCCCAAGGACCATCGAAAAGCAAATGAATGAGTTGGCAGTGTTGTGTTGTTGTGTACTTCGTATCTAGGTGTGCGTATTACTGCCAGTCATACATCCCCATCCATACGCACGGGAACGGAATAGGAACAGGAATATCTCCATTAATACCAACATTGATATGAATCTTTAGTGTTTTAGAGGTCCCACTCTCTATTATCCCATCCGAATCCTGGATCGCCGGTTTAGTTGTTCGTGCCTTGGGATGATGTGTATACAGTTTTCATCGGAGGAAGAGGAGGAGTATATTAGTATGTGGGGATGGAATCGATAAGCGGGATATATTGCTCTAGGAGGGGTGATGTTATGAATAGCGAGCTGACTGTGTTGGCGTAGTTGCTGATGGATAATGTTCGGGCAGCTGAGGGGTGGAGGGTGGTGCCTAGTAGTGATGTGGGTGGATGCGTCGGGTTTCGGAGATGTGATATTTATGATACTAATGTGGCTTGGTAAATGGATTGAGGGATGATGAATGAAGAATCTGTGAATTGTAGTATGATTGGAAGTATATCACAGCCAGCTACAGATTGAATAATCCTCCCCGTCGCTTTCCACTCGGATAAACCACCATGGCCGACAGGAACAGTCCCACGGTAATCCCCAGCGCCGTCTGCACCATACTCAACGCCAATCCTCCCAAAGACTCCTCGGTGGAGGCGGTGGTCTGGTCCGATACCGTATCATTCTTGACCGCATTCGCATACGCCAGTCCTGAGATGATCGATCCGCTGCTCGCCAGACCCGACGATACTAGCGTCCACATGCCTGGCACAATAGCGGCTGCAGCATGTCCATGCCACACTCGACTGTACAGGTTCGCACACAGTCCAATGGTAAACGCCCCGATGGTGCTGCCAAATCGACTGTCCAAATGATTCGCCGTAAAATAGTTTGTCGTGTAGCCTGCCACGCCCATGAAGGACATGATCGGCAGCTGCTTCCATTTGGCTTGGTTGAGAATGGCCGCAAACGCGCAGTAAATCGCCACAAACACAAATTCCTGCACATACACACTGCCGTAGATGTTGTCCGTCCGTGCCGGACAGGTCGTCGCATTCGTCGCATTATCATCAAGCAGTCCGTAGATGGTAAGCCCCACCGTCACGCCGTAGCCCAAGAATAACGAGTAGATGATGGTATACACCAGTCGGATGGATCCCGCCACGATCTGATGCGATTGCAGCTCCAGACTGCTGCACAGGACTGAGTATCCCGGGAGGATCAGCGCGATGGAGGATTCTGCCAGAGCTGAGAAACAAAACACTGGCTGTCCGTTGGAATAATAGATACTCCCGAACGCGCGGGCCAGAAACGACGTGACCATCGCCACCGTCACTTCAAACACATTCGAGTACAGTGCCGACCGCGGCGCAACCACATGCTGCATCACCCCGAGAATACATCCGAGCACGAAGATAATCGGCATGTCCACCGGACGGGCCGAAAACGCCCACGGGCCGACGGCCACACTAGCCAGTCCGGAGAGTAGCACCAGCATCCAGGCCTTGTGATACTTGCTCGGTCGCGTGATCAAATCGTCCATGACTGGCAGAGCCTCCTCCGCCGACAATCGTCCGTGCAACACATTCTTGTAACAGTTGTGAATATCCCCCAATCGTCCCAGATCCAGTCCATGCACGGTCCGGACCAGCTTGACCGTAGCAGTCCGGGTGAGCGGGTCGTCAAATGAGATAATCATGCAGCCTGGAATGTACATGAACTGCCCCTGCACCCGCAGCACGTTGGCCGTCATCTGCATGTATTCTTCCAGACGATGCGTCGGGGCGCCAAACTTCATCAAGGCGCGACACAGCTGGATCATGTAGCGTTGGCGGGTAAGCAGCGACCCGATCTTATGTGTCAACAAGGCCTCCTTCATCTTCTTCCGACCCTTCTTGTCATTCGTTGGATCTTCATCATACCACTTCTTCTTCCGACGTTTCCGCAGCTCGCTCGGTAACGGCGCCAGGCCGTCTTCCGTCGATACCGGCACCGCCCCATCGTCGTGGATTTCCTCCGGATTATGTCCCATCTGATGGCTCAGCAAATGCCACAGCACTCCTCCGATCAGATTCTCATCGTTGCTGTTGGTGCGTGACGGCGTCTCGCCCAACCCCAGGTTGTTGACGAGCAGACCAGCATCGGAGCCCAACACATTCTGCAACTTGGCCGCATACGCCTCGTCTTCCTCCTTGTCCATCATGTCCCGCATTTCAATGTCCTCCTGGTAACCGTAATCCTCTGGATGCCAGGCAGAATCCAGTCCATCACCGCCGTCGGGATCGCGACCGAGTTTTTCGGCCAGCTGCGAAGTGCCGTCGCGGATGGCTTTAAAGAGGACACCCCACTGGGTGCCATTGCCACCGGCGGGCTGATCGCGGGTCAGGGGACGTTCATCGTTGTTGGTCGACCGGGCGCCGAGGGGGTCGTCATCGCTGGCGGGGTCGGTGTCTCGCCGACCGGGGAGATGGTTGGGCTCGGGGATGGACATGTTGCTGCATAATCTGTCTGCTCAGAGGTTGTTAGTCAAAGTTCAGTGCCTGACTGAGGCCGTACCACGGAACACACAGTGGCGAGACAGTGAAAAGGACAACGAATGCGAGTGTTGCTGAGAATTTGGAGCAAAAACAAGAAAGGTGGATAGGGGTACCCACTCAGTGGCGATGATGTATTCGTTAGATACCTCGTAGTGTAGAAATTAGACAGTATGCCAGCAGTGCTAGCTGCCACTGCCACTGCCACTGCCACTGCTGAGGCTCTGAGCAGTGAGCACAGAGGACGATCCTGGGGAACTCCTTTTCAAATACGCGGCCTCCCCTGAAGCAGTCTTCGGCAGCGAGACGGCCGGTCTGAAACCGCGACGGATCCGCCCCCACAGCAAAGCTTCGCGTCCTTGGCACTGGCCGTTGGGATGCCTGTGTTACCCCGGGGGGGGAAGATTAGAGAAGGATCGATCTATAGTCGGGGTATTATAGATCGCGATGCCTAAAGATCAGAGATAAAAGGAAAAGCTGCTATGTAGATATGGTGACAACCGAGGTCAATCGACTACTCCAGATTTGAGCGATAGTGGTCCCGGCAATTCTATCCGAGGGGTCGCCCGTGGTTGGTCGGATGTCACCGGCTGTCCCTCGTCTGTTTGCCCGTTTCGCACGTTGGCTCGCTTGGTTCCGGAAAGTGGCTAGCGTCGCCTGCCGTGTTCCAGACACATTCTTCCAGTGCCAGCAAAAGAAAATTCAGTCTAGACCTTCACCCACAGATTCTGAAACGTTGACAGACTAATCCTAATTTATCTTCCAGCATTTGTTCGGGATGGCGTTTAGTGCCACTAACATCCTTCACCGTACCTGTCAACTTTGTCATGAAAAGGGAAGTTGGAGCCAAATAATTCATATGTCAACTAGGCAGAGGCAGACTGGAGATATTCATCCATTTCAGAATCCATTCATCTACATAAAAGCGAAATAATCATATCCAACCCTCTCTTCCGTATTCCATCTCAATTCCTTAAAATAGAACATAAGGTAGCAATCATAAATCCATCCAACGATCAATGCACCTGGCAATAACATGGCGCCCCCTGTCGATGGCATGGGCAGCTGACCTGATTGTGGGCATACTCACACCAGCACGTATTTTTCTTGTTACACATCATGCCGTGACAGATCTGGTCGTCAGCATTGGTTGCAACTAGGCTTAGGGACTTACTTTGGGTTGGTTTTCTTCGGAGATTCCGAGCACATCGGCTGGAGTCATGTCCCGGCTGTAGATGATGCCGTTGATGGAGTTGATTGTTCCGATGTTTTCGGGGGGGACATCACTGTCGTCAGTGAGACTGTCGTCTGCAAGATTGTCATTGGCAGTGTCCTCTGCGAAAGTGTCCTCCGCATCAGTATCATCTGCACCCGCATCATCAATAGTGTCATCGGCACCTGTATCATCGTCGAGAGCGTCTTCTGCGCCAACATCATCTGCACCAGTATCATCCACATCAGGATCCTCCATACCAGTATCATCACCATCATCCCGCCGCCACGGCACTCTACACTGACACTCCTGCCCCGCATTATAACACCGGCAATGCGCACGACCATTCTTCGCCTTGCAGAAACATCCATACTTGGCATCACAGATCCCAGAACACCTCTAAACAATATCAGCCAATGCTCAATCAGTAGAAAGAAACTCACCTCGCGTCTAGGCACCAACACATGGTCAACCACCGAGATACCTCGTTCCTGGTTATTCTCCTCATCTTTCTGTTCATAGTTCTTCACAACTATCTCATCACCATTATTGGCCATCGTCGTATCCGTGTCAGAATCATCGGATGCAGTCCCGCCCCTACCAACAAGACACCTGCACTCTTTACCCACATCATGACATCCACAGTGAGTTTTGTGATGGGAAGATCCACATGTACACCGCTTGTGTTTGTTACAGTGACCGGAACAGATCTGTTTCGTCAACACTAACCCATTATGAGGAGTGAGGAACGGTAAGGAATGACTTACTTCCCGACCAGATACCGAATCATCACCGTCACCATCTCCATCTCCATCGGATGGGATATCATCACGCACATCTAGTTCCTTGCCCGTATCTCCCTCGGGCGGAGTATCAGGGACAGGGATGGCCTCAACCTCAACCTCTTCCCCCTCCGGAACCGTGATAGGATCTCGAGTAGGAGGAATCCAAGTCCGACATCCACATCGACTATACCGACCTTTACAGTTGCAGACGAGGATGCGATTATTCACTTTGCATTTGCATTTGTTTTGCTCGTTGCAGACGCTGTGGCACTATACTCAGGTTAGTGGGTGGAGCTGGTGGTAGGGAGAGGGAGTGGACTTACTGTGACGGGACCGGCTGTTAGGGGAGACACGGGGGAGATTCCGGTGTCGAGGTCGAGGTCGGTGAGGTCTTCGGGGTTGTTGATGTCTTCGGAGTCATTGGTGCTATTGGGGATTGTGGTGGTGATGGCAGGGCCATAGGACTCGGTGTCGGTAGTAATAATAGCGGAGGTATGGAATTGGGATAGGGTGGTTTGTATGAGGAGAGTGGATAGCACTAGAAAGAGGAATAATGGATTTTTGTGTGAGGTCATCTTGGGTGTCTCAGTTATGGATAGAGAAATCAGAAGAGGGGAAAAAAGAGAATGGATAAGGGGTGATGGAGGGTAGAACGGGCAAAGTGGGAAGAAAGGGATTGTTTATATCTTCCAGGTCCTACCGTGAATAGGATTCGTGAAGGGTAAAACATTAGTGCTACAACGTGAATTACTCAAGGTCTGGATCTGGGGCACTGCTCTTCGTGAATTTCAATCGATGGTCAATTACAGGAAAACCATCCATTGACAGATAGTAAAAGTGGCACGCATCCTGGCGCTACTTCACACTGCCAATGTGAATTACTTGTGATTGACAGTGTTTTACTTTCCATAGATCTGAATCATTTTAAGGGAGGGTGTGAAGAAGAACTGTGCATTGAACAAGTTCAGAAGCTGCTATTGATAAAAGAACAGGAAGCTACTTACTATCAGTAACACATTATGTCAGAATGAATCTCAACACTAGAATATCATTCTCTTCGTCATACGGCAGGGTATAGATAGCTAGTGAATTGTCCCTATTAAGGGATATCTCGGGTCTAAAATCCAATTGCCTCTACTATAGCCGCTCTAGAACCCAAAGCATAGCATAGTGTAGTCCATCTCCCAATAGCTATAGGACCAAAGATATGCCATAGTATGACCACCGAACGCATTCATAAGTGGCATTCAGGCACTCACCTCCACAGAATTAGTATTCATCAGCACAACCAGCTGATACGGCAAACAACCGCAACAAACCATTGACCATGACTCAGACACATCAACACATATTCCCATCTGCAGTCAATGCCTTACAGTACTTCTCTTGTACATGAGGCAACTTATCTAAGCCTTTATCTTTTCTTACCATGGATATCTAGGTATGCCTCCTAATTAGGTACTATTCTCGTACTCGTACCGGGCCCCGGTCTTGGCACTGGCTCAGAATCAATGATGCTCGAGGATTAGGGAAATAATACTTTCTTGTTTGGAATGAGGTATATAATCAGATAGAAAGTGATTTTAGCATTGTTCATGTCTATTGAAAAGTTCAAAGGATAGTCGTTGCAAAATTTGTGATGATGGACCAGGGATCGGAGAGTGCTAAACTCATGTAGGCAATTTAGTTGGATATATATTTCGAAGTCCAACACTCTGGTACGGTCCCAAAAACTGCCTAACCATCCAGCCACCAGCAATGGAAACGATATAAGCCAATGAAACATGCCTACTAGGATTCCAACCCCTCCAGTACCCATTGAACAAAATAAAAATAACGCCCTGCTGTGCATGTTCGTATACCACCGAAGCGGCCATACGGTCCAACTAAGAATGAAAAAAAAATTAAAAAGAAAGCCCAACGCGGGGCTCGAACCCGCAGCCTTGAGATTAAGAGTCTCACGCTCTACCGATTGAGCTAGCCGGGCTAGTTCGGTGAAAGCTGCTTCTTAGTTTTGTTACTTATTCCTAAACACAGTGTAAAAAAATTCAAATTTGAGTGGGGATACACTGCTAACTATGGGTACTCAACTATTAGAAATTTGGTCGATTGTAAGTTATTCGCGGAGTAGGTCTAGTGGATTGACCTGGCCATCGCAGTGGTGTCAAGAGTAGTAGAATTACTAGTCAACTGCGGCTTTCGCCTACGTTAATCCCTGCTGACGTTCATAATGAAGAAACAGATCGTGTATATCTAGATACGCATGTTCTATTCTAAGAAACAGCCGTGTTTATCAATCAACGTGGCTTCTCACCACGAAATCTTGGCAACAATCCCCCCCGGAAACATCCTCACCAACACCTTCCTCAACTCATCCATGACCAACACCCCGAACGCCAGCCCCAACGGAATAAACCAGAACTCGAGCGGGATCGACGCCGTATTAAACAATGACTGCAGGCCCGGTTCTTCGGTCACGAAGATCGCAATCACCAAGGAGACTACCATAGCGAGGAACAGCCACGGGTTGCGTCGGTCTTTGCGGATCGGATCGGCTTGCAGGATGGACATGCGTTTGCTGCGCACGGAGAGGATGTTGCCCCATTGCATGATTACCAACGTCACGAAGTAGACGCTTTGGCCGACGTAGTTGAAGTGGGTGAGTTCGGCTTCGGTGTAGCCGTAGAAGCCGTCGGAGTATTTTTCGAAGGCGAAGATGAGGGCGTGGAAGGGGATGCCGGCTTTTTTGTACATGTAGAGGAAGAACATGATGTGCGCGCAGAAGGCTTCCATGATGCCGACGAAGAGGTAGGATTGCCCGTAGATTTTGAGGTTGATGAGGTGGTCGGTTTTGTGGTTGCGAGGGGGGAGGCTGAGGAGGTCGAATTCTTCTTTTTCCATGATCAGAGAGAGGGAGAGGAAGAGGTCGGTGAAGACACAGATGATGATCATTAGGAAGGAGCTGAGTGGTAGGGGCACCCCAAAGAAGACGTTCATCAACACGGGCCAGATCTCGGACCAACTGCCGGCTGGGAGTAGATAGGCAATGACCTTTTGAAGGTTCTGGAAGACTAGTCGGCCCAGGCGAATGGCTTCGACGATGGAGTCGAATCGGTCGAGCAACACCAGATCTGCTGCTTCAATGGCCACGTCGCTACCGGACACCACGGCAATTCCGATATCAGCTGCGCGTAAGGCAGGGGCATCGTTCACTCCGTCGCCTGTCACCGCCACGACGCTATCGCGGGCTTTGAGCTCCTCCACGATGCGAAGCTTCTGCTCCGGGGTGGTGCGGGCAAAGACAATCTCCTCATACTGGCAGATGGCATTCCACTGGTCCTCGTTGAGGGTAGAGATTTGAGATCCTTCCACCATCAGACTACGTCTCGACGTTTCTTGGCCTTTCTCCCCATGGGTTACCGACAAGAGATTCGCAACGGAATCAGGCTCGGCAGTCCCGGTGAAAATGCCAATCTCTCGAGCAATCGCGGCAGCAGTCAGGCCAAAGTCACCTGTCACCATGAAAAAGCGGATGCCAGCCCGACGACAGGCCGCCACGGTGCCAAGGATCTCTGGACGAGGAGGGTCGATGATGCCAAAGATGCCGATAATCGTCAGGTTCTGCACGCCGTTGGCCAAGATCTCCTCGTTAAACTGATTGGTGCCCACCGCAGCAGATGAGACATATTCGCGTTGGCACAGCACAATCACTCGTTGGGCGCGTCGGGATAGCTTCTGTTGAAAGGCAGAAAACATTTCTCTGGCGGTAGCATCTAGAGGCTTGGACACTCCGTCTCGGGACCAGTACGCAGTGCACTTCGGGAGAAGTACATCCGGAGCACCTTTGACATAGACCAGATGGTGGGTCGACGAAGCCGGGTTCTTGTGCACAGTGAGCATCCACTTGTTCTTCGAGTTGAAGGGAATCTGATGGATGCGTTCAAATGCATGGAGACCACTCTTTCCATTTGGTCCCAGGGTTTCGGCCAACCGCAAAACAGCCGCATCAGTTGCATTTCCGTTGACGACCCGCTCATTGATAGGATAATTGATTGTTTCCTGGTCGAAGAAGGCGTCGTTGCAAAGCTTGGAGCCTCGAAGCAGCGGCTCAAGGGGCTCAGGAAGTGGAACTGCCTTTTGCTGCGCGTTCACCAGATCCTCCACTCCGTATTCCTGGTCGACGAGTCCAACGGACTGCACAAACATCTTGTTCTGTGTCAGTGTGCCGGTCTTGTCCGAGCAGATGACATTCACGCAGCCCAGGGTCTCCACGGTGGCCAGTCCTTTGGGTAGGATGTTATTGGCCTTCATCCTTTTCGCAACGATCATCAGTGTGAGGGCAACGCCAACCGGCATTCCTTCAGGGATAAAGGCGACCACGCAACCCATAACGTCGTTGAGCATCTCCACGACATTCATAAATGCAGGGTGGTCAACCCGCAGCCAGCCAACCCACGTGAAGAGGATAAGAGCCGCTAGGATGACTGTGAGCACCACGATAATCCGCACGAAGCGAGTAATCTCCTTTTGAATCAGTGTTGGCTTTTCCTTCACCCCCGCTGTGATCGACGCCAGACGCCCCATGACCGACCGACTGCCAGTGAGGACAACAACACCAACAGCATTGCCATTGGTGACACTAGTACCCATAAAAGCAATGTTGCGAGTCTCAAGAAAGTTCTGGTCCGTGGCATCGGTGGCACCCTCGACCTCGTCGGACTCGCCCGTCAGGATGGACCGGTCGAATCGAACATCCCCTGAGCTCTTGATGATGCGCATGTCAGCAGGCACTTTGTTACCGATGGAAATGTGAACAACATCGCCGGCGACTAGGTCGGTAGCCGGTAGTCGGATCAGGTTCCCCTCGCGCAGGACCAGTGCTTCCGCAGGCAACAGACCCAGAATCGATTTCATCACACGCGACGTCGACCAATCCTGAAAAGCAGAGAACGAGGCCTGCAGGACAATGACGATAATCACCAGGATGGCCATGGCCAAATTGGTGACAGAAGGAGGGTTGCTGAGAGGCTTCCAGCACAGAAAGAAGATGATGACACCAATCCAGAGAACAGAGCAGAATCCACCAAAGACATAACCCAGGATTTTCTTCAGATAGTTCTCTCCATGATGTGCGATGACGTTCTTTCCGTCGCGCTGCAGACGAGTCGCGGCCGAGCTGGTACTCAGGCCTTGGTTGGTGTCGACATTGAACTGCTGACACAACCTGTCGGCACTGAGCACATGAAAGTCCAGGCTCTCAAAGTAATCCTGGTTTGGCTTTTTGTCCTCCTTTCGCTCTTTCAGCACATTTTCTGGGGCGGCCTGGGACTCGGAGATCTGGAAGGAGATGGTACGGAACTCGATTGGGATACCGGCTGCTGGTGAAGATTGGGGAATACTGCGCGCGCTGCGGATGGTATCGCGACTCCGGGAACGTTTGTCCACAGGAGAATAGATCGAACGGGTGCCATCTGGGGGTTGAGGACCGTAAAAGGTGATGTGCTGCGATCGGGCAGTGCTTCGCACATGGTCGTTGAGAGTTTCTTCGTCGGCCTCGAGGTCGAGGGTGGAGGAAGCGTCTGTTGGCTGGTCTACAGCTGCAGCACCGGTTGTGGGAGTGGACATGATGACAAGATAAGAGATTCAATCAAGTCAGGGGATATCAATAGAAGGGGATCATACGCCGAAGCGTAGTCCGTATAGCAGGTATAGGAGAAAGGCGTTGGAAGATGCGGCTGCTAGAGTATGGAATGAGTCCAGGGACCTGGGACGTATTTATCCCCCCGACACAGTCATGATGGCTTCCAGACCAGACCTAAAAGGTCATGGCATGGTGTGGTAGTCCATCTGCTGCACGGAGTAGGGCAAAAGGAAATATGTCTCGTGTGGGATGAGCAGGCAACGATTTTCGCTACAGTGAATGAAACTCCAAGCAAGCAAGCCATTAGGTCATTGTCCTGCTGCCAACCCGATGGAGGTTGACACATGTCATGAAAGGTGTCTGAGAAATCCCTCACTCGCTTGTGGATCCAGGGCTACCATGGATTGGTCAAATGGAAGTACTCCGGAGTGTTCAGGCCCATCCCAAAAACAAACCAAAGAGATAACCCTAGTTAGTATAGATGTAGGCAGCTCACAGCTCAATGCAACAAGTCCATACGAGGTCTCCAAAGTATGCCGTCTCGAGCCTCTGCTGTATAGAAGTCATCCCATGAACATGACGGTCGCATGCTGTCCGCAGTGCACATCCTGCCAGATGGTAGCAAATCTCACACGTGGAGCCCAGGCGAAACGGCACTCGGTGGACAAGTGCAGCGATGCAGACTGGTCATAGCTCCGCAGCTGAGCTAGACTCACCCTGACTGGGTCCCGATTGGCTCGTCTTGGAACAAGCATCTCCACGTGGGGGTGAATCGATATCTACCAAGTACCAGGAAGTCGTCGTTGTCCATCTGTCCATCTGGTCGTGTTGCCTGCGCATATATCCAGCTACATGCGGACCGTACAAGATCCCTTGATCGATTTCCCGTATTCAGGATTTTGATCTGATCTCGGGGAGAGATGGTCAGGCTTGCACCCTGTCGTATCCGCCCGCTCCCAGTGAGAATTAATTTCGCTTCGTGGAAACCGCCTCTGCGGGATTTTTCTGGGCCAGAAGTTGTTTTCTTTTGGTCGGTGACGTCCGGGGACCTGCTCGGTGGGAGTCTGTGGGGGACGGACGGGTGGTGGCGCAGTCCCGACAAACGAATCGCTCTGAATAATCCCGCATACAAGAAGGCCGCGGGTGCCACCTCGCGACGAGGGGAAGAATTTTTCAGTGGGTTCACACCATTTTGTTTGTGTGAGATAGTGTGTGCTATCACAATCTCTAGCCCAAGCCCGGGTTGGAAGCGATTGGCACGCATCTTCGGTGTGCGTTTGGATGGTGAAGGATTTTCTGTCGCCTCGTGTATCCTTGGACCTGCCTTCCCAATCCCAGGTTTTTTTTGTGCCACGTGAATTGATCTTGACTGGCAATTCACTCGATAGTGGTGGCCTTGGTGGTGGAATCGCATGGCGAAATTGCAACCTGTGGCCCTCGTCACACAATAAGACGATCCGCCTATAGGTTCCCTTTTCAGTACACCATGCTTGATACAACTCGAGGTCAGCTAGACCGATTGCCTGCCAAGTTGCCTTGCTTTAGAGCCCTCGATCTGGCCGGAGTTTCAAACATACGAGGATCCATGGAATACAGATAGCTTGATCATCTGAAACCCTGGACTTCCTTGGTTGCCATTAATCTGAGTAATAGATTTCTGTTTCTTATCTCTTGGAGACATTCTACTCACTGTCTAACAAAGACAACCTTTCTAGCTAACCAGCATCCAAAGACAACGCTGGTGATAGCGCCATGATCGTCACGTTGGAATACGACCGTCCAGTCCCCCGGCGCCGGCGCATCCAAGCCACGTGCGCACCTGAGAAGCCAGATATCATCTCCTAGATATCGCATGAGCTCCACGGGCCCTTGGCCCAGGAATCCGTCGAAAAATCCGTACAGCATGAAACCGCCCCCCCTGCAGTGGAACGTGGAGTCGACTTCGGCGCAGTGATAATCGCCGACATAATCCTCGGCCGGCTGTTGGCCTGCAATGATCCGTTTGGTATGGATGTAACGTCCATCCTCCATACGGTGAAGGATGAGGTGATTGACACTGATCGTGGCAGCTGTAGAGCCCGATTCCGCGTGACCTTCATCAACCAGGTTCAATGTCTCGCTATCCCCCGTATATGTGACGATGACTTGGCCGGGTCTGCCTACACCAACATGGACTACCAACTGAGCATCCGGGTCAAAGAAATAGCCTTCCCAGCTAGGGGACGGAATAGAAACCAGGGGAACCCGTCTAGGAAGTCCGAGGATTTCGTGAAGGATGCGTCCCGCCACCGCGGCAGCATCCGCCTGGTGATTGAGCATCACCACCACCGACAGTCGCTCCGATGGAGCCTGGATCCGGTGCAGACGGAATCCACGGATAGCTCCTCCATGGCCAATCGTAGCGATCTGCCCGATCTTCATATGCTCCAAGCCATATCCATACCTAGCAGGCCTGCCGTGTTCAAATGTGGGATCTTGGGCCATCTCGCGATACAGACTCTGCGGGTCGGCCCAAGCCTGGTCCAGGTAACATTCGTAGGCCACCATGTCTTCTAGAGAAGCCACAACGCCTGCATCGCCGGCCCATTGCGTACGGTTAATCGCAGGAATATAACCCGAAGTCTCGTCCCCTTCATATCCCACACAGGGCGGGGGCAGATGGGCGTTGTCGGGACAGAGGGCGGCAGTCGTCATCTGGGCGGGAGAGAAGAGACGCTCAGCGAGCAGTTCCCCGAGTGGTTTTCCACTGACGTGCTCGACAACTCGGGCCAGTATATGGAAGTTTAGGTTACAGTATGAGTACTGCGTGCCGGGCTGATAGTGTAGGGATTTTGTGCGACCGAGAGCTTTCTTGGCATCGTCCGCGAGAGTGAACTCTCCCTCCGGCTGTGTCCCCCAGAACATCGACATGGCCCAATAGTCCCGAATGCCCGACTGATTCTTGTGCAAATGGTCCAGCCGGAGCCCGGTGTCGATCAGCTCGCGGGGGATCACTTCACAAAGACCATCCGCCAGCTGCTGAGACACGTTGCCCCGCTTTGCCATCTCGGGCGTGGGGTTGCGCTCGAGATCTTTCAGGATGAGACACAGCATCTGCTTCGTGATGGAACAGATCGGCATCAGAGTGTTTGGGCCCATGAGGATCCGACGCCGTAGATCGGCATAGCCCCAGACCTGCTGTCCGACAAGCTCGCCATTCTTGACGACCGCGACCGCTCCGCCAGGGCCTCGATAAGAGGCCGGGAGTGTCTCGAGGAGAGCTTGAATGTTTGGGACCGTCACTGAGACGTTAGTGAATGATCTGCAGAGTAGGGGATAGCTTACTTGTATGAATCCAATGTCGAATCGATGACTAGCTTAGTTGTTTGATAGCAGAGTAGCAGTAGAGGAGAGTTCTGGCCAGAGTCAGTGTCGCACTACCGTCTAACCCAAATCGGCAGGTCCATGCGGGGTCATCTTATCGATAGTCTGATACTGTATACCTGGCAGGATCAGAAGCATATGCTGTCAGAGAAGTTACAAATAATGTTTACTACTCCGTAGTATCCTTATGAACACAGACACGCTATGACCGCCATCTCATCATTTCCGGGAAGCAGACCTCGGCGGTTGAAAGGGACAGAAACACCCGGTAACCACCAGGACAGCCTGCAGCAACGCTCACCGTCTCATCCGGGGCTCTTCTGTCACCCTCAGACTCGAGTATACGACCAACAGTAGCAGATCCCACCACGACTGAGCCGCCAGAAACATCAGCCCCCAGTTTGGTTGCCGTGGACCTATGACGAGATATTTGTACCCAAGCCACACCCCAATGTGAGCTCCCGCCAGAACCAGCTTGCCCACCACAGATGCACCGACGACGATTTTCCGCTGCGTGATTGAACCCCCAGCCATATCATAGAGGATGAATATCATGTAACCGAGCCAGACGCCGAGCGAAATGGTCAGACATAGCGAGGCGAAGTAGGGAAGTAAGGGCGCTGATTCTGGAGGAGACTACGGAGTACAACGGTGAGATAAGAACCAGTGATGAAGAGGGAGGGGGTCATACCAGATCGGGAGGTGCGTAGCTTCGATGGGCCCAGGCCGTGGAGACGATGGCTGTCCCGGTGAAACTGAGGGCGCTTAAGGTTTGGATGACAGAAACGGCGGGGATGACGATGGAGTTTCGTCGGCGGGATGCCTGGTGTCTGTGGGAGCTTGCATGCTGGGTAGCCGAGGCATAAGAGGGTAGAAGGGGCTCTGTTGACATGCTGCCACTGCGTGTTCCGTGTTCTATGTATACTTCGGATTCAATGGAGCCGTGGTGAGTGGAAGCTAAAGTGTGGGGAGCCGGTGGAGATCCACGGAGATCACATGACAGGTCGTCAGTTTGCTGTGTTTGCTGCTTAGTCTGTCTTGAGAACATTATTCCTTTGATCAGCACTTTCAGTCCTCAGAACTTCCAGCGGCATCTTCTGTCTACCTCTAGTATCTTCCTAGTAATAGTATGATCCAGCTAGGAACGAGACACCCCGCAGTGTGACATCATAATCATATAGCAGAAAGTTGCTGAGCCGTCACCGAGGGAGACAATATTGACAATCAACCGCGCGATATTGGTCATATCAGGGCCCACCGAGGATCTCATGTCTTCTGGAAGCCCGAGGGCGACATCGGATGGCAACGGGCCGCTATTCCCCTTCCAGATGACTGACTCGACTGAGAACCCCGCACGACTGACTCGACATCCTGACTGAGGGACAGGCAACAACGAATGATGTCTCATCGTTCTTCTAATTACCCCTGCAGCTATATAAATAAGAGCTTCCTGCTGACCTGATAGTTTGTCACCCATCGAATCCTATTTCTAAGATCAATCTCAGTCCAAAATGACCAGCGCAGAAAGCGAACGCGCCGCATATCTTCTCGACGCTCAAAACAAAGCCGTCCAGTTATTTGAAGAGATCGGACGAAATCTGATCCGTCCCGGTGTCAGTGAAAAGGTCCTCAGTCAAGAGATTCACGAACTCGGTGCGAAGCGCCATGGGGTTCGGACGCACTGGCATAAACGGGTTGTCCGCAGCGGACCCAACACCTTGAGTCCTTTCGCCGAAAACCCTCCGGATCGCATCATCCAGCCGGACGACATCCTCGTCATCGACCTTGGGCCAGTATTTGAGGAGTGGGAGGCGGATTTTGGACGCACATATGTTCTGGGAGATGACCCGGCGAAGATTAAGTTGCGGGATGCGCTGGAGCCCATCTGGCATGCTGTCAAGGGGCGCTTTCGCGAGAACCCGGATATGACTGCGGAGGAGTTGTATGCCATCTCCTGTGAGGCGGTCGAACAAGCGGGATGGGATTTTGGTGCTCCCATCGCGGGTCATCTGGTTGGGTCTTTTCCGCATGAGAGGATCCCGAATGACAAGATTAGTCTGTACATTGCCAAGGGGAATAATGAGAAGATGATGGTTCCGGGGCGTGATGGGCACATACGGCATTGGATTTTGGAGATTCATATCCATGATCGGGCTCGTGGATTCGGTGGTTTCTGCGAGCAGTTATTGACCGTTGATTGAGCACCAGTATCCAGGATTGAGTGGCAGATGAAGAGGATATATAATCTTGGTGCTCATATTAGTCTCTAAGCTTGGCTATCTTATCAGTATATTCATTGCCAGAATCCGATACCTAGAGCATGCAAATGACGTGATCTGACGATGAAGCTGAACGGAGTCTGCTGCAACACAAGCGCATCATATCCATGATTCATTCTCCGAATAAACCATAACATTCTTTCATGAGATGAATCGTGGTTTAATTGAATCTTCTACTGCTTAGAGATGTGCGTTGCACCGGTGCCACCGGCGATAAGCGGGGAAGCCGTCGATAAAGCATGCCGTAACACCAACCTCAATAACCTCCAACTTCCTCCAGCCTGCAAAAGTGAGATCATTGAATACTATCACAGCATCATGTCCCGCCCCGTCATCGCCATCGCCGGCCTCGCCTGCGAAACCTCCATGTTCACCCCCGCCCGCACACGGGCCCCCGCATTCCATCCCCGCCGCGCTACCGAGATCATCGACGAATACCCCTTCATCCAACCTGGCACACCGCTAGGTGATGCCGCCGACTGGCGGGGGGCTCTGATCGGCCACGCCCTCCCCGGAGGCATCGTAGTTCGGGAGTCATTCGAAGAACTGGCGGGTGAGATCATCACCCGATTAACCGACATTGTCGCGGCGACGCCACTGGATGGACTATGGTTCGACATTCATGGTGCGATGTGTGTGGAGGGCATTGATGATGTGGAAGCCGAGCTGCTGCGTAGGATACGAGCGGTGATCGGGTCGGAGGTGCTGGTATCGGCGTCGATGGATCTTCATGGAAATGTCTCGCGTGACCTGGCACATCTGACGGATCTGATTACTTGTTATCGGATGGCGCCTCATGAAGATGAAGCGGAGACGAAGGAACGTGCGTGTCGGAATTTGGTCGATTTGATAGCACAGAGGGGTGATGGTGTGCACCGGCCTTTCAAAGCGTGGATACCTCTTCCTATTCTTCTGCCTGGCGAGCAGACGTCGACGCGCGTGGAGCCTGCTAAAAGTCTCTATGAACTGGTGCCAAAGGTTGAATCGTTACCGGGTATCATTGATGCAGCAATCTGGGTCGGATATGCCTGGGCGGATGAACCGCGGAACCGTGCAGCGGTGGTGGTCACAGGAACATGCGAGGAAGTGGTTGCTGCAGGGGCAGAGCGACTGGCGAGGAGGTTCTGGAAAGTCCATGCAGACTTTCATTTTGTTGGCCCGACTGGCTCTTTTGCAGAATGTATTGATGCTGCAGTGAAGTCACCAGCACGCCCATTCTTCATCTCGGACTCGGGTGACAATCCGACAGCTGGTGGCTCAGGGGACGTTACCTGGGGCTTGACGCAGCTGCTTGCACGACCCGAGTTTCAACAGGAATCCGGCCCGACAGTCATCTACGCCAGTTTACCGGGGCCACAAGCGGTGCAGACGATGGTGGCAGCAGGAATTGGTGCTACTGTCACTGTCACGGCAGGGGCTGAAGTGGATTCCACGCATGGGGGGCCTCTGACGATGACCGGACGGGTCCATGCCATCCGACATGGTGATAAAGATGCTGTCATTGAAGCAGTTCTGCAAGTTGGCTCGGTGTTTGCAATTCTGACCCAACTCCGCAAGCCATATCACCACGAACATGACTTTACTGATCTGAATTTGGATCTCCGGGCAGCGGACATTGTCATTGTCAAAATTGGATACCTGGAGCCGGAGCTCTTCGACATGGCAGCCGACTGGTTACTGGCGTTGACGCCTGGGGGAGTGGATCAGGATTTGGAACGTCTGGGACATCGTCGGATCTGTCGTCCGATGTGGCCATTTGATAAGGAGTTTCCTGTGCTTCCGGACCTTGGTGCACGAATGATACCTCCTTATGATTCCTCCTTATGATTGTCCCTCGAATATTCTAGCAATTGATGCAGTAAATAATCTTCTATAGCTATGTCTGACTCAGTGTGATAGTATGTTTCTCAATAACTTGCATTATCTCTACTTGGCAACCAAGAGCTGTATCCCATGATTGAATCCCACCATAAACCTACGCAAACAAGTCAACACTCTGGCGCGACTACGGCAGACCAATATGCCTATAAATAGTTAAACCCCCCCCAAAGCCATTTCGAGACATAACCTCATTCCTAAGAAATGACATTCAATAGTCTGTCTTAAATATGAGACCATCTAATGACGTCACCTGATACAGTCCAGAGAATACCCCGAATCAGGCTAGCTCCATACCGGACCACGTGATAAATCTTACCAAAATAGAATCCACAAACTTTTGACTACCTACCAATCAAATACCCCCGCACGTGTTCACCGTTCTTTGTCTTTCCCAGCCCCTCTCCCCTCTCTCCTCTGCTGTCGGAACCAGCCATAATCCTTAGGAAATGTCGATGGCTGCATTCGTCAATTCTCCGAGACATCCTAAATTAGTCCTTCTCTGCAGCCTATCCGTTTCGTAGGGATACGAGCGGGGTATGCCAAGAGATAAGACTGCCCTCCCCAGGTATCTCTATTCTCGAGAAAATTGACTAGATGTCTTAAATCATCCAGACTAAGAATACCACCACCAGGCACCAAGGATTATAACCTGAGACATGATTTGACACCTGTCAGATTGGTTAATGGTGAGATGGTGGATGGTCAATGGTCAGATTTTGGGGAATCCTGTGGCTTCACTAGCCTACTACCTGAAAGGAATAAGCATGGAATCGTACCACTCCTTTTTCTCAGTGTGTTGCTACAATAATCATTGGAAGATAGACACTCGTAATTAACCCTCTCACGGAATTGAATAATATCCCGTTTAACTAGTATTACTACGGTACGGATACGGAGTACGCACCCCGAAAATAAGAAGGCAATGGCTGGACTCCTAGGACACTAGTGAGACACTATCAGTGGGGATGCGTAAGCTTCCTTCATTTCCTGTTTGCGGTACTGCTGCTGTCACTGCCACTGCTATTTGCAGCTTGCTATCTGGAGTAATCTCCACAGCCCGCAGGTGCCTGTTTTCGCATTGTGGTTTCTGGGGAATACCATTATCATGCTTAACGATTCTTAGGGAGGATTGACATGAAATTAACATCTACTATTGAATAAGGGATTAGAGCATACAACAATGTATATATTACCTGCACATTCACTAATACACCAACAAACACATCCCCTCACTCACCCCCCACCATCACCATTAATCCATCAAATCACAAACCAAAAACACACAACCTAACCAACTACATCACATCTACAGCAAGATCATTCCCGTCCCCGACAACAACCCCACCGCCACAAACACCACCACCTGTCCGAGTCCAACCTTCGTCGTATAGCTCGAATACCCCGGCACACCAGCAGAGCTACTCTTCGACCCACTGGCACTCGAATCCCCCGTACTAGTGCCCGCAGCAGCAGACAGCGACACCGTACCCGTACCAGCCGTTCCAACGGCCTTCAACAATGACGAGCAAGTACCCGTCGGCGACGTAGTCGAAGTGGTAGTCGCCGACCCAGCAAAATCACACGCGGACGCACCATTACCCGCCGACTTCTGTTCCTCGTAATAAGCATTCAAAGCCCAGTTAAGCATCTGCTTCGAGCTACACATCGAGTACGCGCCGTACACGCCGGAGGTCGTGTTGGTGTCGATGCCCGCGCACACGCCGTAGCCGCAGACTGTGCTGAAGAGGTCCGAGTAGTCTTTGGAGGAGACGGAGTCTTTCACGACGCAGGATAGCGTCTCGGACATGCAGGAGCAGAGTTCGGCGTTGGGGGCCGGAGGGAGGTTGCTGGCCGCGTCCCAGGAGGAGCCGACGGTGGGGCATGACCGGGCCACCGTGTTGGTGGGCGTGTAGCTGGCGCTGTTGGTGCCCGTGGGGCTGACGGAGTTGATTTCCTTCGAGTAGGAGGAGAAGGCGGTCGAGGTGACGACGTCGCCGTCGGAGATGCTGACTAGGCCTGGTGGAGGGGTTAGTGAGAGGTAATATTTGGGGAGGGAGGGATGGGGGTACCGTAGTCGTTGGCATCCTGGAAGTACTCGTAGACGATACCACCGCTGAGCCAGTAGTCCATCTCGGAACCGTACATGACGGGGACGTTACTGAAGGAACGGGGCTGGACGGTGATACAGCCGTACTCGGAGAAGAAGTACGGGACGGAGTAGTTCTTCAGATCCTCGGTCATGACGTTGTAGCCGGACTCGGTGTAGGTGGAATCACCGCACCATTCGTAGACGTTGTCACCGAAGAAGTCGACGGCATCGTCCTGGTCACCGCAGTTGAAGTAGGCGACCAGATCATCACGGATCTCGGTGACATCGGCGGCGGAGTAACCGACACCGATGGAGCGGTAGCCCTTGGTCTTGATGTAGGCCTTCATGTCACGAACGGCGGCCTTGACGAAGGCGCTAGCGCCGGTGGTGTTGGCGCTGTTGGAGTTTTCGTTACCGGCGAAGAAACCCAGGGTGTTGGTGTAGTTGGCGAGGGAGTCGACGACGCTGGCGTAGAAGTCGTACAGCTCGAGGTTCCACTGGGGGTCGGAGCTGACGATGGAGTAGTCTGAGGTGGACAGATCGGCCAGCACGTAGATGCCGGCGTCGGCCAGCAGGTTCATGCAGGTGGTGTGGTCGGCATCCGGGTCGATGTCGTACACCCGGACCACGTTGGTGTTGAGTTCCTGCAGGTAGGGCAGATCCCGCTTGCAGATGGTCTCGTTGGCGAGCGGATCGACGAAATCGACCGAGCCCGCGGAGGTCGTCGTTCCGGTGCCATCGTAGGGGGCTATCTAGGTTAATTGACGACTGGTGAGGGATGGCTGCTGCTTACGTTGGTAGGCCACACCACGGATGAAGCTGGGGGGATTAGCAGGTTGTATAGAGGATCCAAGGTGGTGGACTCACAATTCAGTGCCGTTGTTCTCGTAGAAGAATTTGGATCCCTAGAGAGTCAGCACGGTCGGTGTACCGGATGAGGAGCCTACCTTGATGACAATGGATGGGACGGAGGCGACAGCCACGTCAACGAGAGCAGCCGCCGCTGCAACAGAGGCGGCGACCTTCATAGTGAATGGAGACGTAGAACGAGTGTGGTATTACAGTAAGCGAGTGTGGTGGAAGAAACAACGAGCAGGCTAAGCAAAGACAGATGGATGAAGAAGAGTAAATTCGGAGCGAGAGACTGAGAGGATAAGAGGACGAGGGATCCAGAGATTAAGGAAGACGGCGAGGCGAATCCTGCTAGTCTGGACTCTTATTAGGGCGCATTGCCTGCTGCCTAAGCGATTGGCCCCTGAAGCCTCAGACTGGCCAGTGGCCAGTCATGGCCACCAACAGCTGGCTGGAGCTGGCAGGGCCGCCGGATGGACTCCAGGAACGGCGCACCCACTGGCCCCTCAGCTGGCCTCTCAGTCTACAGAATACATGTGCTGTCCGTTGCAACCGATATGGCATCCGGATTAGACTTCATGAGCAACCTCTTGGCCCATCTCTTGGCTTTGCTTAACAACTCTTGGGAGTTCCCACGGGCGGGGCTCGGATCCATCCGGCTCTGTGACTGACCGACGATCGGTGCAACCAACTCGGACCTGGATAAGTTTTGTTCCCTGGTGGGCGAAAATTCTATAATTACGACTAGCTCAGGGAGTGAGAGGGTCAGGGTAAGGACAGGGACAAGGGACAAGGGTAAAGGGTTCCAGGGTCATTTTGCCCACCCGCCCACCAGCCCCTGAATGAGGGTCGATGCGGAAGAATCTTTCCTACAGAATTCAGTGCGTTCGGACTTACTGCTCGGATTAGTGCTCGGACTAGCGCTCGGACAAGTCGGCACCGCGAGCCATGGTTACGCACGCTGTGGTGAAATTGATTCCACGTGTGGTCGACCACTCATCACCAACATAATAATAGCAGCGCCAGTGTCAGACAAGAAATCATAATAATCACCCATTTAATTGCTGTTGACGCGTTACGAGGGATCATCCCTGCACGTCGTCGCTCGGGAGCCCTCCGACGAGGAAATTTCATCCAACCGTCCGACCGCGGTTTCAGAGGGGCGCCCTCGGGGGCGAGAAATGAGGACCGAAGCAGGATGAGATTGGGGGTGGCAGAAGCAAGCATCTTATGGAGTCGTCAGTCGTCACCTCCTTCGAGGCCAGAGGGTAAGGATCGGCACTGGTCGGGCGGAACCCCGGAGATCCGTCGGACTGCCGAAAGCACCCCTGCATTGGGCCTAGTGCAGACTGGCCTTGGTGCCTCAGTGCCCGGATGCCTTGGGATTACGTGAGACAATTTATCCAATATTCTCTCTATCTAGTGTACTCTATCTACGGAGTACTCGGTATGTATGCCAGTATCTAGCAGACAGAGGATGTGTGTGTGTGTGTGTGTGTGTGTGTGTGTGTGTGTGTGTGGCAAGTGGTGTGAGATCCAACCAGACATTCAGCTCATCCTCCAGGCACAATGCTCTGCATCCATCTGCATCATCGGCTCCCGTCGGCCATGAGACATTCCAGAACAGCCCGAGAGGCATCAGATCCTTATCGGCATCCATCGCACCACAGCATCGCATTGGACAATGCCACTCGTATGCCGGGGGCTAGGGTCTGGGGATAGCACCCTACCAGTGGCTCATCGCCCGCCGGCTTTCAAGCGACGCCAACCGGGCTGCCACTCCCTTATCAAGTCCAATGAGCTCGTTTGGATTGCAGCAGATACTATCATCCGTTACACACCATATCTTCGGAGAGATCCTGGCTTATCGGAGGGCTGCGCTAAAAATGCTTAGCATGCATGCTTGATTGCCTCCGACCCTGAGCGCTGAGAACAGCCACTCGCGCGGTGTGGTTCTTATCGCAGGAAGACCATGTGGCAATCATCAGGTGCTGCTGCTCGCCAGATAGCCGGTGGTATTCCTATATAACTCGGCTGTCCCGTGTCCTGCCGTTGAAGCCTCCATACGCACCTCATCACCATGGAGAGCAAGTCGGCTAGTGTATCTCCCGAGCTGGAAATGCCCACCAGCTATGACGAGAAGAAGGGCAGTCAAGAACCTGCGTCTGTGGAGCCTCAGATCCTTGAAAAAGGCCAGACTGTGCGCATCGGCGAGGATGATGACTTTGACAGTGACCAGGTGGTGAGCACGGCTCAGGATCTGGTCACCCATATCATCAAAGTCGAGGATGATCCAAGTCTGAACCCATGGAGCTTCCGGATGGTGTTCCTGGGTAGGTATTCTCTGCCAGGCAGGCGACTGGACTAACATGAGCAGGTGCCGGATTGTCCATCTTCGGCGGTGTGCTTCAGGAGATTTTCTACTTCAAGCCACAGACCATCTACGTCTCGCAGGTGTTCTTGACCGTCATTGCCTACGTTCTGGGGGAGTTCATGGCCTATTTCATTCCCCGTCGGGGCTATATTGGTCGGCTGCTGAACCCTGGGCCGTTTAATGCCAAAGAGCATGCCGCCATCTCTCTCATGTCCTCCGCTGCCACCCAGTCCGCCCTGGCCACCGAGGCCCTGTCAGCCCAACAACTCTTCTACGGGGGCTATCCGAACCACGCCGCCGCTGTGTTCATCGTGTTGTCCTCCCAGTTGATCGGTTTTGGCATTGCGGGTCTGCTGCGCGATGTCATTGTTCGTCCTACCAAGATGATCTGGCCCATGACCCTGCCCATCAGCAGTCTGCTCGAGTCGTTACACAAGGATAAGACTGAGGCCAAGGCACGGATGAAGATTTTCTACATTTTCTTCTTCATTCTCTTCTTCTGGACCATCATTCCCGAGTACATCTTCCCCATCCTGGAAGGTTTCTCGATTTTCTGCTTGGCCGATCAGCACAGCCTGGTGTTCACCAACCTGTTCGGTGGTGCCTCTGGTAACGAGGGCCTTGGATTCCTCTCCCTCTCTTTCGATTGGAACTACATCGCTTCCCTGGGCTCACCGCTGTGGTATCCGCTGTATGCCATGACCAACAACTTCATCGGATACTTGGGCTGCATCATTCTCTTCATGGGCATTTACTACGCCAACATCTGGCGCTCTCAGGACTTTCCATTCCTGTCCCAGTTGCTCTACTATGGTGACTCCAACTCCACCTACTACCATGAGTATAACCAGACCCTGATTCTCAACTCGGAGTTCATCGTGGATCCCGCGGCCCTCAAGGAACAGGGTCTGCCCTGGCTGACCGGAACTTATGTGGTGTACCTCATCACCTCCAACATGGGCGTGACCGCCACGCTGACCCACATGTTGCTGTGGGATTTCGACGACATCAAGATCGGCTGGGCCTGGGCTGCGCCGAGCAAACTCAAGAAATGGCTGAAGCCAGAGACCTATAAATTCTGGGCCAATCAGGAGACTCCTGAGGAACGCTTGGCGCGTCGTGTCAACGACGACACGCTGGACCCTCACTACCGTCTCATGCTTCGCAACCTCTACCAGGATACCCCGTTGTGGTGGTGGGGTGCCGTGCTGATTGCCAGTTTTGCCGTTGGCCTGGGCTGTCTGTATGCCATGAAGTCTACGCTTCCCTGGTGGGGGTTCATCGTCGGAAACATCCTGACCCTAGTCTTCATGCTCTTCTTTGGCGCCCAGTACGGGCTGACAGGGTTCCAGTTCAACGTGCAGCCCATTTGTCAGATGTTGGCGGGCTACATGTTCCCAGGCAAGCCATTAGCCAGTATGTTCCGCCTCTTTTTCCTTCCCTCATCCTCTTCACTCTGTTCTATCTGTGCTAACCATGCAGACCTCTACTTCACCTGCTTCACCTACAACTCCCTCCAACAAGGCCAAGTCCTAGCCAAGGATCTGCGTCTAGCCCAGCAGGTGCACCTCTCCCCCCGATGCACCTTTTTCGTCCAAGTCATGGGCTGTATCATCGGCGCTCTATTCAACTACGTGATGATGCTAATGTACGCACCCCACACCACTACTTCCCCCTCACTAACCAACACACCCAACAGCATCGTCCGCAACCAATCCGAAGTCCTCATCTCCATCGACGGCACCAACATCTGGAGCGGTGCCAACGTCCAGATATGTCCCCCATCCCCCTTCCCCCCAAATAACCCACCTAACCCCTTCCACCAATTCAACAGTCTCGCCATCGCCTGGAGTATCGCCAACGACATGTTCTCCATCGGCGGTCGCTACGAATGGGTCACCATCTCCTACCTCGTCGGCTTCATCGTCCCTGTCCCCTTCTGGCTCGCGAATCGCTTCTACCCGCACCCGATCTTCTCCTACCTCAATACCTCCATTATCCTCTGGTACATGGGTTGGTTGTTCGTCGGTATCAATGCCTCGATTCTGTCGTATTTCCTCCTCGGATTCGCGGCGCAGTTCTGGCTCCGCCGGTACCATCCGCAGTTGTTTAATAAGTATAATTATATTGTTTCGGCGGCGTTGGATGGGGGGACGCAGATTTGTGTTTTTATTCTCACGTTTGCGGTGTTTGGGGGGAGTGGGACTGAACATCCTTTTCCGTGGGTTGCCATATTCCCTGCTTGTTTGTTTGCTCTACTGACGTGGGTTTAGGACGTGGGCTGGGAACCCCAACACCGACATTCACAACTTGGATTACTGCAAGGTGAACCCGGCCACTCTATAGCTCTGAGGACGTGAATAACCCGACACTGTGATCACATGTATGGGTGATACATAGGTGTATCATCGGTGTTGAGAGAGTGAGGAACTTTTGTTCTCCGTCTTCATTTCCTTGCAGTGTGATTAATCACTTGACTCGGATCCTGTCTCACTTTTGTGTGAGGATAGATGTGTATATTGGATAATATCATGAATAAAAGATATATTGCATGGTCTGTAACATACGTATTGTTATGAAACTGTGTCTGCAGGACTTCTCACTGGAAAGTTCTCATGACAATGAACCTGGAGACCTGAGAAGTATCAGCTTTCGTATTCTGTATCTTGCGCTGGTAAGGAACAGAGGGAGCAGGTATAGCACTTACTAGATCTGACATTGCGACTTTGCAGTTCATGCGGCAGATTTATATCCGATAGCGCTCCTGCAGATCTGCCGATCTCAGTGTTGCCCTTGAAGGCCGATCGGCCTCCACACGTGGGGTAAGCGATCAGATGTGGTATACCGTCTCAGATGCAGCATTACCTTGGGGTACAGGATGAATCTACCTTCTTTGCCACGTCTGTTTCCACGAACGGTACTCCGTATCTTGGCCCCCATGGCGTATCGCCAATCGGAGAACCAATATCAGCCAAGCTGAACCAGTTATCGGTGTCTCGGCTCGACCAGTCCAGGAGCAATCTATTCAATCTATTTTCGATATTGCGTGGGCCATGGACATTGTCCCTCTGACCAATCACAGCTCCTGGTTGGCCACGAGGGGGCCGACCGGAACTCCACCGGGGAAAGATTCCACGGCAGGAGCCAATGGCAGCGCACGGGGATCAGGCTGGCTTTTCCGCCAGTCTCCGGCTGCACCGACCAGGTTCTCCCCAACCACCACACTATCTACCAACTAATTGTTAGCCGTGGCGCGATGTGTAAGTGGTCTCTCTCTATTGGAGGTTGGCTTGGTCTAAGATCTCACCCCTGATCGAATGGCCCGGGCATTTACCTCTCGTCGACACGCGACATGGCCTGACCTGGTCACCCACAGTTATCTTTCATTTGGACAGAGTATTAAGCAGATTGCATGCCAAATCAGAAGCAGCAATTGCGCCGGCCATGTCTAGGCATGTAATTGAGCAAACTCTCCCACTGCGGGGCAGACATAAGAACCTGCTGACTCAATTCCATCCCCTCACAATACGGAGTGTGTGTAACAGACCCTTCGCCACTGGCCATTGTCAGCTCTCGCCACTGTCCATCTCATACCTCTATTGCCAATTCATCATGCACAGTGCAATTAACCAAAACCAGAGGCAAATGGCTGCATCCCAACCGTTGCGCACGCCATCTAGATAGACCATGCGCTATCTCGAACACTAAAAAAGACTTTATGCCGGCTGACATCCCCACTGCTAGCACTGTTTAGTGCAATTCCAGTGTCACAATACTACCATCCAGCAACACAAGGTACCGAGGCCATTGCTATAGGCCACGTCTCCTGCAAGCGGGGACGACAGCGTCTGGCCAGACTTTTATTTATATGCCTGGTCTTCCCATCCTCCTTCACTCCAACAAACCTCTCCCCTCCCTCCCTAACCACATCCCAATCCTCGCAATGGGCGACACCGCAGGACTTCCTGACTTTGTTCTGGACCCCAATGCGGTCCTGAACGACAAAGACGCCGCCTGGCGTCACGGCGGACCCCCGGATTACAGCAAAACCCGCGCCTACTACGAAGAGAGTAAATGCCCCCCTCCCTTACCAAGCAAACCCCCCACGAACGAAATCCATACTGATTCTCCTCCCCACAGCCAAAACCCAAACCCACGAACCCGGCACCCTTCCCTTCCTCGTCGAAAACCTCGTCAAGAACTGGGAAATCGAAGCCTCCTTCAAGACCTCCCTCTCGGACTGGCGCACCATCGACCACGACACCTACCACTTCACCCTCAATGGTGGACCCCCCTTGAGCGGCGAACACATGCTAAAAGTCGGCACCTATAATGCCCTCCTCACGCCAAGCGCCTACTACGATCCCGCACACAATGACTTCGAGCAGAGCCACAAGTCGTTCAAGCGCATGATGCCCACTTTCGCTTGGGAGGTCACGGAAGTCTATAGTGGGCCGCCGGTCGTGGTGTTTAAGTGGAGGCATTGGGGTGTGATGGCGAGGGATTATGTGGGGTTTAATGAGTATGTCCCCCCACCTACCTCCCCCCCCCCATCCCTTCATTCTCTTTTACCTCCAACAACCCCAAGGGAAACAGTACTGATGTGATGGTTTAGCAAGGGCGAAAAAGTCAAAATCGCCGCTCACGGCGGCACGATCGATATCCAAGGAATCGTGATCGCCAAGGTCAATGACGGACTGAAGCTGCAGCGCATCGACGTGTGGTTCGACCCGCTGGACATGTTCCAGCAGATTGCCAAGGGTCATGAGCAGATTAAGGTGGGGGAGGGTGAGGCGGCTTCTGCTTCGGGGTGTCCGTTTGCGGGGGCCAAGGAGTAGTGGATGCTAAGGATGTATGTATGTGAATATGTGTTAGGATAATGAATATTTAGTAATTTTGTGCTTTCGGGGGTTGATGGATTGGAGGTTAGTTCCGTCTAGTGTAGGGTGGATGGATGGGTGTAGTAGTGGGGGCGTTGTTGGATTAGGGACTTGGAAGTCATATCCCCGATCGGGCATAATTCTGATCTTTACGCAATGATGTAGAGGTGAGTATGGCGCCTCGTTTGAATCAACTGTATGCATAATGGACAGGCTGTATCAGCAGTATCTCTCTTGTTGTTTTGACATCCACTTGTATTTCAATACTGCAAATAACAATATCCTGGACTACCCAGAGAGAGAGGGGGGGAAAAAGAGTTGACCAGGTCTACTAGCCTATGCAACTGTAAAAGAAGATCGGGACTGAAGTATATAGAGTCTAGAGAACAAGATATAGAAAACTAAATGTCGAATAAGTACGAGGATGTAGAATAACGCATGATATACTCCCGGGACAGCGCAAGGATCGCAACGAGTAGTAAAGTACTACTACTCCCTGTGGGGAGGCTTCAATCAATCGATCAGTTGATCGAGAGTACATACAGACATTCCCAACCCGCTCTGCCAACGAACACAATCCCAACACTCACTGGCCAAATTCAAGAACAGTAACACAGCTCGATTGAGCCCCCACAGGTCCATGTCCTAGAGCTAGGACCCCATATTTAATAGCCACCTTCCCACGATACGCAGGGGGTAGCCATAATATTCTCTTGCCTTGCAAGGTAACCCACTGGCCTTTCTGGATACGGACCTCCATTTCAGGCTTGACATTGGAGCATGTGCTCTGGTATGCTGGTGGCAAATCATATAACCCCAGGTCTGTCTCAAGATAGGGTCCAGAGTTACTGAACGAAAGGTCAGACACAAATCCTCGTGCATCGATGTCATGTAGCAAGGCACCGGTTGTCGCATCCCAAAGCTTGATTACATTGTTGGCGGATGCGAGCCATCGCCCGTCAGGCGAGAAGGCCAGAAGCCTGACAATGTATTCGTGACCTTCAAGTGTATACTGCAGCGTGCCAGTGACTAGGTCCCAGATTTTGATGGTGTTATCTTCCGCGCTAGATGCTAGCCTTCGTCCGTCTGGAGAGAGGGCCACTATTGTAACCGGGCTTTTGTGCCCCTCCAAGGTTTGGCGCAGAGGGCTAGACGCCGGATTGTTGAGAATGGTGTCGAATGCCCAAACCTTGATGGTTTCGTCGTAAGAGCCAGAAACGAGCCACCGGCCATCTTGTGTGAAAGCGAGCGAGCTAACGAAAGATTTGTGAGCCTCGAGGGTCAGCTGCGGAGCACTAGTTGGGCCTAGTTGCTGGATACTGATGATGCCGTCGTAAAAGCCCGAGGCCAGCCATCGCCCATCCGGTAAAAATGCTAGGGATACAACGGGGTTATGGATTTGAGGGGTCACCTGGAGGTCATTGGATAATAGATCCGAGAAAGTGGTGTCCAAGTCCCAGAGCTTGATGATGTTGCCCGCCGAGCAGGACGCCAGCCGTCGCCCGTCCGGTGAGAAAGCCAAGCATTGGGCACTCCAAGCATGCCCTTTAAGGGTGCGCTTCAGTGTACCTGTGGTCAGGTCCCACAACCTGATTACCCTGTCAAAAAAGTAGCTTGATGCCAGCCACCTCCCATCCGCTGAGAATGCCACTGCCCATGCTTTATCTTGAGGACTCCCGAGGGTTTGTTGTACGGTGCGATTCACTGGGTCCCAGATTTGGACAGGGCCAGCACCAGATGCCAGTCGCCCATCCTGTGAAAAGGCTACTGACTCAACAACTGATTGAAGGGCCTCAGAGGTATGCTGCAGGGTGCCAGTGACTGTGTCCCAGAGTCTAACGGTTTTGTCATCAGAGCCAGATGCTACCAGTCGACCATCTGCTGAGAAAGCAACCGATCGAACAGGCATCCAATGGCCTTTCAGAGTTTTATGCGAGTCGGTCGTCATATTCCACAGTTTGATAGTATCGTCAGCGGAGCCCGATGCCAGCAACTGGCCATCTGGAGAGAAGGCCACTGACGTAACACAGCCTTCATGTCCTGTCAGTGTCCGATGTGAACCGTTTGTCGGATCCCAGAGCTTCACGGTACAGTCAGCAGAGCCGGAAGCTAGCTGTCGCCCATCTGGTGAGAATACTATTGACTCGACAGGGCCAGTATGGCCCTCAAGCGTCTGCTGCAAGGTGCTCGTTGACACGTCCCATAGCTTGATGGTTTTATCATTAGCCCCGGATGCCAGCAATCGCCCATCCGGTGAGAAGGCCACCGATCGAACAGGCGCGCCGCGGTGACCCTCAATGGTTTCCAACTCTGCGCTCCAAAATTCTTCGGTTTCCGTCAACCTGTGTATCCACGACGGCATCTCAAATTTCTGTCTGATAACTGATCTCGATGGAGCAAAGATTATCCCGGAACAATAGAGTTGAAGTGGCGCAATATCGGCTATACCTCGACATTTTAGCACAAAACGTTTGGCATCATAGAGAAATCTCGACAGTTCGGATCCTTCCTGGTCCTGCATTTGTTAGTCATTGCCGAAGGAAGCACGCTGGTAAAACCAACTCACCTTGATGAGCGACCGCAACATCTCGATGTCTTCCACAATCTCAGATGCATAACCTAGGATGCACAGTGCTTCAGCCCAGTGAAGGAAATGCTCCTGTAAAAACGAGTGAACATTATCTAGTAGGGCTATCGGAGATTCACAGAGTGCTAGATGCCGCGTCCAGTATCGACAGGAATATTCTAGTTCCGGTGGTATATAATGACTGACCGGCTGACCGATTGTTTCTGTGTTGATCCCGGTCCGCTTGAACCCTTCATATGGTAAACAGCAGATGTTCGTTTTTAGTTTGCGATGCATTAGCTCGAGGGACTTGGTAGTCAGGTTTTGGTGCGCCCTTCCACCATCTACCCAGAAGTCTGTCTTCTCACGGGTCTCCGGGTCAAGAAGGAAGTCTCGGAACGATAAGTGGAAAAGCCCCACGGGCATGGCGTCGTCACCCGGTATGTTCAGCACTGCATGCAGCCGACTCAATCGGGTATTGATGACCCTCGCTGAGAGGCCAAGAATCTCCGACAGAGAAGTGATTGATAGGGGGGATTCAAGTATGATGATCGTACCAACTACCTGATGAAATTCTCCAATGATCATTTCCTTCCGTTTCCCACCATGAGTTGGGATTTTTTGCAGCACAGGAAGATATGTTCCGTCCAGTTTTGACTCTTCGTTCTGATATTCGAGGATCTCAGAGAGACTCTGTACCGGATCCAAATCATAATCCTCGAACACGCGGCACACGGTGGCTGCAAAGATGAATAAGGGAACTGACATTTGGACCAAACTTTTGAACTGTATGTCGCCAGGCCAGTCTGGAGGTAGTGACCTGGTTTTCTCGATCATCTTTAGCTTATGCTTCAGGAACAGTGATATGTCATGCTCAATCACCGGTTTTGGGATCTTGTGGAGAACAAGATCTTGATGGTTATCCCGGACAAGGTCATCTTGGAAGCCAAGCTGTATTGGTAGTTCCGGGCGGCTGGTTACGAAAACACGTAGCTGAACAGAATTTGACCTTTGAGCTTGTGGGGATTCTTGCAATTGTGGCAAGAGTTGCAGCAAAAGGCGTACATCTTGTTCTCCTTCACATTCATCCAGGGCGTCGATAACGATTACCAATCTCCTGACCTGCTGACTTTCATTTAAATCACCAAGTGGCTGAAGAAGAAGCTTTTCAAACTGGATCCTGAATCCACGCTTTGAGATATCAGGGTCATCTTCAATAGCCTTCGAGACGCTAAGGGCAAGATCTGGGATTGCAGCAATGAGCTGTCTTGCAATGGTTGAAACAAATCTCCGTGCATGCCCACGATCACCCTCGCCTCTTTTGAAGAAGTAGCTCGCTCCAAGTTGTCCCTTTTCCTGGAACATTCTGGATAATGAGCGTGACATTGTCGACTTTCCTGTTCCCGCCATTCCGTTCAACCAAAAGATACACGGGCCGTCTGAGGAGCCTCCCCAGTCGCTGACTCGCCGAAGAAGCTCTTCTCGAGTACCGGCAAGGCACTCCTCCTCGTGTTGATTTTGATACGAGTCAAAAGAAGCTCCTTCAGCATCTGGTAGGTTGTAAAGGTCGAATCTTCGGTGGAGGTCCTTGACTAGATTGATGAGATCATCTATCCTCCCAAGCAGCTCTTCTGCCTTCCCTTGCTGCTGGAGATGCTCATCATGCCTGACCCATTGCCGTAGCATTTCCTCATCGCTTTTGATTGCTGACTCAATCTGCTTGAGTGGATGATTGGTTACCGGAAATATACTTTCCAATATTCTCTCACCGATATTGGATTCTTGCATCCTGTACACTTGTGCTGTATAACGCAGTATACCTTTGTAGACTTGAACGATGGCAGTCTCGACTTGATCCTGCGTTTCATATTGATTTTCATGGTAATGCTCCTTTTCCACAAAGGCACAACGAGTTAGGACATCTGTCAGGAATGCAGATGATTCAAATTGCGCTTTTCGTATGTTATGGTAGTTGTGTGCTATCTGGAGATGATTGATTAGCTTGTTATCGCAATCTTGTATCTTAGGAACATACTGTCATTCCAAGTAGGATGATCCCCCAAGCACTTGATGCAACGAGACTTTGGTCGCCTGATACAAACACGTCCACAATGGCTCTAAAAGATAGTGTGGCATTCAGAATTTTGTGTGCAACATCTCGAAGGTTGATATCGTCCTTGTCTGCGCCCTGTTTTATTTTTAACCCCCCTTTTTGATAATCCTCATACTGCTTTTTTGTTGCTTCGATAACGTCATCCACTATATGCAGTATCTTCCCATGGTGTCCCTTTGCCTGTGCAACTTTCTGGGTACGTGCTAGGATGTCTCGGTCTGTTGAAGCTAGTTCCTGATATGCGATTTGCCACAGGTCTCTTCGAACCGCATCCACCTTTTCTTTCTTTATTTCAGGCACCGTTTCCGCTTTATGAAGAGCGTGGGAGGATTCTGATACTGTAGGGAGGCTCTTGAGTGAAGGAGGAGTATCCTCTCCACCCTTTACTTTGCGCCATATTTTCTTAGAGTAACGTTTCATGTTGGTGGCTTATTGTATGTATTCCGTGCATAGTCTCCAGTTGCAACGGCATCGATGAAGTTTTTATGTGAACTCGAAGGTGAGAATGAGGCAGTGTTATAAATGGCGCAGCCTCAGTAGGCGCTGGGCTGGCGCGCGGCTGGATAGCGGGGTAGCTGGCCATCATCCCTGTACTTTTGTACTCCATACCGAGAAGATAGTCCAAATTGCGACCATTGGAGCCTTACGAGGGCTTAAAGCTATTGGTCGTGTCTTAAGATGCATCCGGTTTGTAGCCTATCGCGTTGCCGCACAACTGAGGTGCTCGATGACCAAACTCTAATAGCCGCCAAACCCGTGCATCGCACGATAGAGTTGAGATTGTGTCTGAAATCGTTGGGGGATTGGTTTGAGATTAATATTCGATGGTCGGCGAGCCTCTCTTAATGGGCTGCTGGCCATGGTGACTGACAACCAACCATCATCCTGATTGTTAGGTGGTGTCCTCTTGACTGGAAGAGTCATGATGGTTCGGACGGGGCCGATCAGCAAATAGGCGGCCAACAGCCAGACAGCCCCTTTGTCGTATGGTAAGACAGATGGGCTACATTCGATCTTGGGGGGTTTAGTGTGCCGCAATCGAGCCCGAAGGTCGTGGAAGTAAGAACCCAGGGGGTCGGCATTATTGCAGACGGATCCGGGATGACCCGAGGACAGGAGCAACTTTGATCCGGACCGAGCTCCTTCAAGGCAGCAATTTCCTGAGAGCCTCAGGCAAACAGCCGGTCAGAGGGGCGGTGCATGTTCTGCCGAGCTGATTCCCGGACAGGCAGGCGGAGTGGTAAGCTGGCCGGCGTGGCTGGCGTGCACCCCTACGGAGTGTTCCAACTCCCATGATAATGGGACAAGCTAGATGACATAGTATGCTGGGAGTCTACCTCAGTGTACTGTATCAGTGATGAAGGTGGCCATGTACAGCACAAAAAAAAAAAAAAAAAAAAAAAAAAAAAGGGCTGTCAGGTAACCAGCCGGGTAGAAGTGAAGCAGAGTGGAAGACTTCACCCCCAGCCAGTCGCTATATGTTCCCTCCCATCAAGAGTGCTGCCAGTTGGCAAGCATGTATATCTCGAACTACATTCATACTACGGAGTAGGTAGTTGGTGACGACGTCCCACCACTACGAAGTACTCCGTACGGTCTGGTGTTTTCCTAGTGAGGAGGGGCCCCCTAGACGTCATAGTCACCCAAAACTATCAGCTGTGCAACTGCTAGAGTCTTGAATCTGATGCAAGTGTCACAGCTGAAAGCACAGGTGAAAGTGCTTCGACCGAGAGTCGCAGATAGCACCGATGATTGACCCCACCCCAACGATCGCGGTGGATGAGTCTGGCCACCTGGAGTCTGCAGTGTGCATCCCACTCCACTCCATGCCGCAGCTGAGCTTAATGACACCTACCCATTTATCTTAAGGCCTTAGAGAAATTGGGCAAACCGAATCTCGACCATCTGACTTATCGAGGGTTGGGGACTTCCAGGAATAGAAACGGCGCAAGATGACTATATGGCTATGACCCTCTGGTACCTAGACTTGATGCTGAAGGGAAGCAGGGGCGAGTTTAAGGTGCTTCAAGGCTTATCCGGAACCCTTTCTGAGTCGCCAAGACCTCCATCCGGCAATGGGGTTTCGGCCAGACCGCTTGTCTGACCAGTCTGGCATCACAATTGAGCTATCTCCCTACGAAACGGGTCGATGATATTGATGGAAGAGGACATGCGGGCGATGATCCTTCGATATCAGTGGGGATCGGAAGAATGAGGCTGCCCCGGCTGGAATTGCCACAGTGGTCGGATTTGAGTCCCCGGAATATGATCCAATCGTACTGATGGCGTTCCACCCAGCACACCTTGCCATGACGAGTCGAGTACTTACATAGTACCCGCTGCACGACTGTACATCCTACGTCCCAGACTTGACGCCTTCATAAGCCCAGGCTGTGCTTTGTGACATGACGACGTCGACGCTTGCTTGCCCGAGTGGCAGTGCACCACAGGGCGTTGGGCCTCACCAGCCACAGTCGCCTGATTGGTACACCGCTCGCTTTATTTTCCGTCTGGTGGGGGGAATGTGGGGATGAATGAATGGCGGCCATCGGAACCAAAGAGCCAATAATTGGTCAGCATGGACAAATGGGCCGAAACGGCCATCGGTCGGAGATTCAATTCGCCCAGCTAACTGCCGCAGATCTCTCAGGTTTCGCACCTCTTCCTTCGCCGGGATTCCATCAGACTGATCCAGGGGTACGATAAGCGGCTGTGGAGGGAGTACTATGCCTCATCTATTCGAGACTATGGACAGGGAGGATTGCACCACCTCCAACGCGCGTCCCCAACCGCTGCAGCAAGCCGAGACGTAATGGCATCATTTGGCGCGACCGGAGGCGGAAACCCACCATGAGATGATGAGGGAAATAACGATGCACCTTTGCGGTGAGTCCCGAGGGTACCCCTGACTGGTCTTGGCGGATCTGATTACGGAGCTCTCCCTCCGGCACCTGCATTCCGTCCGCCGCCATGCTTTCGATTGATCCGATGGGGTGTGGCTGTGTCACTACTATCTTCCAAGTTCTGGGTTTCTGTGGCACATGTTGGCTGTTGCCCAGTCGATACGGAGGATACTCCGTAGAGAACTGTCCTTCCCCCTTTACACCAGGCCGTCGAGTAGCCTGCCAGCCAGGGAGGTCAGCGAACAAGAGGATTGGGTGAAACCAGCTAGCCCCCTTCAGCTGGAGTGGAGGGTGAGACGGCTAAAAATGGTACTGGTGCTCGCTGCCGAGGGACCACGCCTCCCTCTGTCCGAAAACGAAGGAAGGCGATGGACCAGGTGGCTGATGAGGTGGGCCAGTGGCCATTCCGATCGTTTCGCTATACGGAGGATGCGGACGAGACTTCAGTAGGCGAGGGATAGTCGGGTGGGATCCTCGATCTGCAGCCATTTGAATGGCCCACGAAGCCCATGTTAGCGGGGGGCCAAGGCCCTGGTAGCCACTCAGGGCCCAGAAGGCCTCCCACTGGAGCTTGTCTCGACTTAGCTTCCACATCCAAGCCCAATCAACCCCCGCCAAGGATTCCCATCCACCCACCTCAGTATGCCCCTCCATTACCTTTTTGGGAGTCCCTGACAAGCCCCCACGGCAACGGAGGAGCTCAGCCTTCCATGATATCATTTACCCCTCCATCAGGGGCCGGAGAGAGGACCATAAGTGAGGCAGATTAACCTATATCTACCCCTCTGCCCCCCCTACTATCCTCTCCTTCTTCCTCATCAACAAACAACTTCTTTATTTCACATCCCTCTCTTCACTACACTTCAGCAAACATGCCTGCTTGGCTCGGTGAGTCTCCCTTGAAATAATTGGGGCTATTGGCAATGTGCTCTAGCTAACGGGTGTTGTGCAGAGAACTTCAAGTCCCACCGGGATGAGTACGAGGACGCTCCCGCGGAGCACAAGGCCAAGCTCAGCCACGAGGTTATCGGCGGTGCCGCTGCCTACGAGGCCATGAAGTCCTGGGAGGAGCACCAGGCCAGAAACGGTACATAGCTCTTCACCTCGCCTACCTCGATCAAACATACTAATTCCCTCTCAGGCAAGCCCGACAACCACGCCCAGGCCAAGGAGATCCTTGCTGGTCTTGCCGGTGCCTTCATCGACAAGGAGTTCGAGGAGAAGGGCATCCCCTTCGCTGAGCGTGAGAAGATGAAGTGGGAGGCCCGCAAGCACATCGACCAGACCGAGGAGAGCCAGTTCGAGTACTAAATTAAGTACTAAGCTGGGGCCACCTATCGAGTTATGATGTATGGTAGTGTGTATGACATGATCTAGAATATACCTTGAACACACAATATTTGCCGTTTCTACATGCCACATCCCGATCGTAGTGCAGTCTTCATGATAAAACCAAGGGTGATGAAGATCTACTGCTGCTCCGATTTACCCCGCGGGAAGACAATGGTGATGCGATGGCTGCTGACCGAAGCTGCATGCACTCGTCATCGACCCCGCCAACCCAATCCCAATCCCCAACTCTCAATCAATCCCTCTTAACTCCCCCAAGTAATACCTCCCTCTTCAGAACACAGAAAACACCAAACCGTTCCATTCTACCCCGTACAAACACAAAATATACTACTATTTACCTTAGCTATGAATCTCTTTGTTTGCGACCGTCCATAAAAACACCCTGAATAATTCGTACAGGGGTCTCATTGTTCCCCCCTCCGGAGGTAGATTTCCGGCTTCTTTGCTCTTGCATGGTTGGTCGCTTGGACCGCCAGCCCTGTAAACTTTAACTGGGATACGTGGACAAGGATAAATGGAGGGGTAGTAGTACCACTAGGGAAGGGGGGATGAATAGGGGGCGGCAAAGAGAACTTCAATTTTGGGAGGGATACGATGCGATCAATAGGATAGCTTTTAGAGAGGCTTTGAGTGGGGTAGATTTAATTCACTGTATAATCTGTTATTGTAGATGTTTATATTTTGTGATGTCCGATCGCATACCGGAGTACGTAGTACAGAGGATGTATCTAGCATGTCCGGCAGGTTTTGAGGGGAGGCATCAACTGGTCACTAGGTATACCACGCAGCCACAATACAGTATTCACCTAAATCCCGTATCCAGGACCCCCAGATGATAACAGTGGCAGTCACATGCTAAATGAACGCCACGTAGCGAATTCTTTAAGGGATGGCAATTAACTCCATCCCGCCGATCCGTCCCAAAGATGCGCCGCGTCGGATCCCGATCTACCACCTGGTCCACGGATTGAGAGTCTTAGGATCCGTGGCTTGCGATCTGATAGATTCGGTGATCGCTCGTATTTTGAAGGTCAGGTTGATCATATTTGAGATGCGATTTAATGGTGGCAGTTATCTTAACTACTAAGCGACTGGATTGAAGGTTAATGTGATGGTGGTGCGACCGATAAACTTCGCACGGGAAGCGCCAAAAAGTATGGCTTTGGTTGGATTAACTTTGAGTGGACTTTTATGGAGAGTGGTGCTTTGATGAGGGATGTGTACTTAAGGGAGTCACCTTGCCAGCATCTCAACCCGGCACATTGGAGAAATTCTGGAGACATGCCAAATACTCAATACGTAAAGGGGAGGTCCAAGGAAGATAGTAGCACAAGGGGTCAGGTACATATGGATAGTAACATGAGCCAGGGCTTCTATTAAAGCGACCGAACCTCTTGCTTCTGCTTCATGTCCTAAATGGGAGTGTGGAAGATACAAGATGTAATAGTTGCGGTTCGATGTTAAGTATACACTCTATACATGATACACGATATATCTAAACTGCTATGCAGCAAAGTTTCACCCTAACCAATCTAGTGTAACTTACTCGCCGCCAGCTCGTCCAGCCCCTGCCCCATACTCATCATCCGGTCCTATACACATTAGCAACAATAGTCTTCTTGAAGCAGACAGCAACTCACAGCCAGCCACTGCGGCATCCACTGCGAGATGAATTTAATTGCAGCACTATTCGGTCCTCGCCAGAACATGCCATGACCACTCTGACCCAGCACATCGGGCAGGATCAACTTCACGATGTCCTCGGCCGGACACCCCTTCGGACTCGCTTCGCCCGACGCCCAGCGGGAAATCGTCTCCGTGATGGCCGTATACCGCGAGACTGGAGGGAGAGTGAACGTAGGCTCATTTGCGTGAAAAGGCGTCATCACGGTGCCGATCATGAGAGTGGCAACTGACACTCCTAGTGGTGCTAATTCGAGACGCAAGGTCTCGGAGAGATTCGTCAAGGCGGATTTCGACGAGGAGTAGATGCCTATGTATGGTCAATGGCACGCCACGCTCTAGCAGATCGGAAACAGGTACCGATCCATGGCGTGGGGACGGCCGCGCCCACACTGCTTATATTGACGACCCGTCCGCCGCGGGCAATCAGTAAGGGCGCTAGGGCTTGAGTGAGTCCAAGTGGGCCCCAGATGTTGGTCTCGTATACTTGTCGGGCCTGGCCGAGGTCGACGTCTAGCAGGGGCATGGTGTAGCCTGTGCCTGCGTTGTTGATGAGCATGTCTAGGCCGGCTCCGTGCTGCTCGATGGCTCGGACGGCGGCAGCTATGGACTCAGCGTCGGTAACATCTAGTGGGAGAGTTGTGACATTTGATAGAGTGGTCAGGGAGGAGGGAATCTTGGAGGTCGAGCGCGCCGTGACAAAGATATGGTGGCCCTGATTGGCGAGGGCTTCCGCCAGGGCTGATCCGATGCCATTGGCGGAGCAGCCCGTGATCAAGATTGTCTGCAGAGGAGCCATTGAAGTGGTACTTCCGAGGTACTTCGGAGCAAAAAAAAGAATTGAGTGGTGGCTCTAAATACGCGCGAGCTGACAGCTGACGGCTGACAGTTCCGGGACAAGGCTGTGGCAGGATTTACTAGTATAGTACATCCCTGTCCGGACCTTGTGCCGTACCTTGTCCAATAATGAACCGACGGGCGTCAGACCGGAAGCCGGCTACGAAGCTGCCGCCCATCTCTCTCTTCCATCCCTACCATCTGCTCCAATACGCATCGATCAATTCTCTGCCTCATTTGTGTTCAACATGGATCCATCCATCCCGGGTGCGACAATGCAGCTCAACAGCACCGGTCCCAGCGACTTCAGCGGTGCTTGTGTAAGTTCCTCTGGTAACGTGGCTGTAATCCAAGGCTGACGGTCTAGTGTCTGGCGCTGTGGTCGGTACTCGGGGCTACCAAGGTGACCTTTCCAGGCTCCCAGATTTACGACTCATCGGTGTCCTCGTACTTTTCCCAGCAAGAGGCCCAGATCCAACCGCTCTGCGTGGTTGCTCCCTCCACCGTGGAGGATGTCTCTTCTGCATTGAAAACGCTCACCTCCATCGCCGTGTCGCTCCCTGACGAGGAAAAGTCGTCCTGTGACTTTGCCATTCGCTCCGGCGGCCATGCCACCATCGCCGGGGCAGCCAACATCCAGGGAGGTGTCACTCTTGACCTCCGGGGCCTCAATTCGATCGAGGTCAGCAGCGACCGGGACACCGTCATGGTTGGCGCTGGGGCCACTTGGGGCGAGGTGTATGCCATCCTGGATCCATTGAACCGGTCGGTCGCTGGCGGTCGCGCGGCGCAAGTTGGCGTCGGGGGGTTGACCACGGGCGGAGGCATCTCCTACTTCTCTCCCCGATACGGATGGACCTGCGATACCGTTCAGAACTTCGAGGTGGTCCTAGCGAATGGCTCGATTGTGAATGCCAATGCGCACGAGAATCAAGACCTGCTGGTGGCCCTGCGCGGAGGCTCCAATAACCTAGGGGTCGTCACCCGACTGGATCTGACGGCCTTTGAGCAGGGCCCTATCTGGGGTGGCAGTGTCTTTTACTCGCTCGATACTGTCGAGCAGCAGCTCAAAGCCACTGCCGAGTTCAGCGCCCCGGAAAGCTACGATGACTATGCCTCGTTGATCGTGAGCTTCGGCTTCTCGGGTGCGCAAGGCGCGGCCGTCGTCAACAGTATTGAGTATACCAAGGCAGAGGAGAACCCTCCCGCCTTTCAGCTTTTCACTGAGATTCCTTCGTTGTATAGCACGCTGCGCATTGCTCCGATGTCATCTATCGCCGCCGAGCAAGGGGCATTTTCACCCAATGGGAAGCGGTAAGTCCCCTCCATTTTCCACAGCTAACCCTGACCTAATCGCTGGATCCAGACAATTGATGGTCGTCACGACGTATGTGCCATCTTTGCCCATGCTGAATGCAACCTACCGTCACTGGAATACCAGTCTCGCCGAGCTTCACGGAGTGCCGGGCATCATCTGGTCTGTCTCTCTTGAGCCGGTGCCCCCATCAATCTACGCAAGGGCAGCAAGAGAAAACTCGCTGGGACTGTCGGATGCGTCTGGAACCCTCATGGTGGCCCTTCTCAGCGCGACCTGGGATGATGCCGCCGATGATGCTCAAGTGGAAAAGGTCGCTCGCGAGCTGTTCACCGCTATTGAGAGTGATGCTCACCGGCTGGATGCCTATCACCCATTTGTGTATCTTAACTACGCGGCGCCATGGCAGGATCCGATTGGTAGTTATGGGGAGGCCAGTGTTGACCGACTGAGACGGGTGGCAAGGGACGTAGATCCGAAGGGAGTGTTCACAGCGGATGTACCGGGGGGATTCAAGATTCCGAGGAGCAGTTGATCGTGCCGATGAGTGTCGCAGGTAGTGCTTAGTTGTCAGACAGGGATTAATGAATAGAAAGATTAGGGGCTTTCTTGAATGCCGATACCGTAGATTTGATTTCAGTTCCTAGATAATATACTGTGTAAACTTGGGTCTGATACGGAATAAGTAAGTCTGATGAACTACAGAAATAAATCGAGCTCAAACTCCATAACTTCTATAATAGTAGTATATGACTGCATTCTTTCGGGTATTGTATCGTATGAAAAGCCGTGATAAGTGTTGACCGCTATATCATAGTGTATGCCAGGATCCCTCTGAGTGAGTATCTACTTACAATGATTATCTATCGATAACTAAAATCGCTAGGGTAAAATATCATCCGTAAAAGAAATACACATACAGTGCTAGCAGACTATACATACGGTTAAAATTTCTTACTGAACATAGTAATCTCTATACGGAGAATACTGGCATCGTAGGGCAACTTAGAATTGAAAGCTATATCACGCAATGAGAATGACTACCCCTACATTCCATCCCCCTTACCATCTCGCAAAAACAAAAGCATCACCCATCTACCAGCCCCCCCATCCATCCTCCTCTCTTCCTCTTCACACCCCCAAACAACCGACCAAAGCAACCCTCCACCTCAAAAACCTAACCCTAAACTACTATACCTCAAACCTCTCCCCCACCAACCCCTCACTCACCCCCCAAAGCCTCTCCGCCCCCTCCCGATCCCTCGCAAACCCCGCAACATTCACCTCATCCACCGCACACTCCGCCAAATACACCCCTTTCCCATCTAGATTACCCCCCGGAACTAACCCCCCATCCACCGCCCCCCAAACGACCGTATTCGCCCCCACCCTGGGCTCCTTCTGTCTCGCGTCGAACCCTAATTCCTGAACCCTCTTCAACGCCCGCTCTACCTCCCCTGGCTCCGCATACCGATTAATATTCGTGTCCACGGCGCCGGGATGCACCGCGAACGAGGAGATGCCGTACTTGGTGTAGAGTTTCTCGTTCAGGGAGATGGTGAAGAGGATATTTGCCGTTTTGGATTGCGCGTAGGAGAAGAAGCCGGTGTAGGGGGAGGTGGAGGTGGAGGTGGAATGGGATGTGCCGGTGAAGAGTTCCGTTTTTTGGAAGTCGGGATGTTCGGACGCAGGAAGGGAGGTGTGCGGGAGGGTGAAGTTTATGTCGCTGAAGCGGATGGGGGAGAAGTGGTGGGCGAAGGAGGTGAGGTTGATTATTCGGGGGGGTGGGGATGATGATGATGATGATTGGGCGGCTTTGATTATCTTGGGGAGGATGAGGTTGGTGAAGAGGAAGTGCCCCAGGTGGTTGGTTGCGAAGGTGGTTTCGATTCCGTCTTCGGTTAGGGTTAAGGTCGGGATGGCCATCACGCCGGCGTTGTTGATTAGGATGTCGATGGTGGGGATGGTGGTGTCGTTGTTGAGTTGGGTTGCCGCGGCTCGGACGGAGGATTGGGAGGATAGGTCCATGAGGAGGGCGTGGTAGTGGGTATTTGGGTATTTGAGTTTCAGGGAGTGGATTGAGGCCTCGAGTTTTTCGCTAGATCGGCCTGTGATGATGAGGTTGGCGGGAGATTGGGATGCAAAGGTGAAGGCAGTGGCAAGGCCGAGGCTGTTGGGGGAGACACCGGTGATGATGATGGTTTTGCCTTGGATGCTCTCTGGGAATGCTGCTGCGATATCAGCAGCGGGGGTTTGGGGGTCGAATGTGCGAGTGGTTGCCATGTTGTCTTGAACATTTAGGGATTGGACTGTGAATTGACAGAAGTATGCGACGGGGCAGGCTCCTTTTATGTTAGTAAATGCCGCAGTGCCACTTCATACTTCATTCTTGTATCAACATTCTTGTCGACTCGAATGCCTCAAAAACTATGGAGACTCGATACTATATTTGGACAGAGTATGGCTCCATGCTACCAATCACTCCAGTGCTCAATTAATTACGTACTTGTAGCCACTCCGTATACAATTTCTTCAACGTTGGTTTGTAACTTGCACAGACCTATGTTTGACTTGGCTGTCAGTTGCTGTCAGTCATTGGCCAAAATCCGTCATCCTGCAAGGGATTACATTCGGATTCGGATAACTAACTACGGGCAGTTCCGGCTTAGTCAGTGACTCCTCTTAACTAACTAACATCTAGACTTTAGTTGTTGTATCGCAGGATCAACTTTAACATGATGAATTCTTAGCCAAGATTCTTACAGTGTTTAGTGGATCCTAGCACGTTAGTCTGTAAATGTACAGAGTCCTGGATAGTGGACATCGACATATCCTGACTGCTTCGCGCTAATGCACCTGGATGACGCTCCATCCACCACACGCCATCACCATGACCTCTGTGTCCATGGAGCATCTCGCTGCTTTGTATCCACAGATCTCGTTTATTCTTTCGTTTCCGGGTGTGGTGGGGACGCGTCTGGGTCGGGATTTTAGCACCGTTACTAAATGTGCTCTTTCGGCGATGATGGTTCTCGCTATGCCCATGGGAGATTCCATTGGATGAAAGTGGAGAAAGACATTTGTATGCGGCGACGAGTCTACGGTTCCCGCCACGGGAGTACAAGGATGTATCTGATGCTGCGGACGGTTCGGATGGGGATGCTGGTAGTGGGTTTTATCGAGTGAATGCAACCGGGGCTACGTATAAATCTAGCACGATTATGGGACAGTATCGTGCGGACGGGGTGAGAAGCCATATATGGAAACATACGCTTGATGGTTTTGTAAAGGTCCGTGGTGCGGAGATGGACCCTGTTGTTGCTTAGCAGTGTGTTCATGCAGAAACCTCACGACTGAGAATGCAGCTACTAGTCAAATATAGCATTTCCACTACACTGCAGCCGCAGAAGTATACTACATAGACCCCACTTTAAGCATCCTCAACCCCCGTCTCCCCCTCCAATAATTACTATGCACGAGAATCTCAGGACACCCCTGAATCACCCACGCCCACTTTCGAACAAACAACTCCGAATGTAGGCATGGTGGGTTCTTAGCACTGTTGGATGTGGAAGGTAGGTTGAGTAGGAAGTCAACAGAGAATAGAGGGCTGAGAATTGGAAGTTGAAGGCACAGGCTGGCGACAAGCCTTCGTATTAAAGTCATCATCTGGCGAACAATGACCTGGATAGTGCTCATTGTATCACATAGTATCATCAACAGGGAATCTGACCGAAACTTTGGTCCTTCAGCATCGATCGATGATTGGTTGAAAACCCGTCATCCAGCTGCATGGTATCCACTCACATCCAGGGGCCGTTGGCAATTGGTTTAGAATCTGTCATCCAACGGACGCTAAACCTAGGTGAGGCAGTGGTGGGTCCTGCTGGTTATTCGGTGCCGCAAGCACCACGTTTCGAACACCATTTCAGAACTTTCAACCTAGACTGCGGAGATATAGTCGGAATTCTCCCGGATGTGCGCGCAGAAAGCCGGAGTACTGACTATCCGTCTTTTGATCTATAGAAAGTTTCCTGATCGGAGGCGCTACAGCCAGACCGACACCGGCCTCGACGCGGCTTCCTGAATAGAAAGTGCTTGTCCTAGGGCTGGGAGAAATCAACGCTCACAGTGACGAGGCCTGAGGCCTTAGTTATATATGCCTGAGGCTGTCAAAAGATCTTTGTAGTGATGTACTCGGTGATCCTGTAAAGGCCTTTTTAGGAAGCCTTAAAATTTCTGATAAATGTCTTTCATAAAGATCTTGGAGTTAAGAGTCAGCTTCCATATCGAGCCGCCAGATTACGAGGTACCTCCGGATCTGAGATAGCCTTCATAGGCCTCTCCATAGTTGAAGGGTAAACAGTCGGTTCAGCAGATGTTTTCTGCTTATTGGTCGTAATGTGGTGGTAGACGGACTCCGCAATGGTCTCCTGCTTGGTGGTAGCATGTGCAGGGGTGCTGTGAGACTGGAGAATGAAGCTTTGTTAAAAACCGACGCATTTAGAAACTGCATAGAGTAGTCACAGGGAGGAGGACAGAGTTCCAAATACCGCAAAACGAGCTGCAAAGCGTGCCCAAGAGTTCATGATCGAGAATGTACTCGGCTGAGGATGACATGATTGATGAAAAGGAATAAGATACTTTCCAAAGGATATGTCAGTGGCAGTACTCAGGCTTAGGTAGTACTAGTAGATAAAAAGGCTAGGATGTCTCACAATAGTTCTCTAGCGCCGCATATACCCTGCAGGTGCTCCACTACATGGAAAGAACCACATTGTCAGAAAATTACGGGGCGACACTGATTGCGCAATTTTATGGCGGTCTCACCAATCAGTCTCAAGGAATTGACTAGGGAATAATAGTAACAAGTTGTGACCCTGATCCGGTTTCTCTTGTCAAGTGCCTTGTGCCCAGAAGGAGTTTTCTGTGGGGCAATCTGTAATGTTTACTGCCAATGATAAGCTGGCCGTTCGGAGTTAAATGACACCCGGGTCTTGTTATTTCTGATTATCTGGCGCTCCTTCGACTGGCTAGGCAATATATGAGAAATTCTTTTAGATGCATTAGCAACCGCGGATGAACGCTTACAGGAACTGTACCCATGATTGATCTCATGGGACACTCTTTTCGTTTAGTGCTGCATCATGCATGGCCTTACCATACACGCCCGAAAAGCGCCATTGATGACATGGTTGGCTCTAGTGGGTCCCGCATGAAACGGGGTAGGAACCAAGGGACCAGGACATAACCTTCACACGTATCAGATTATCCCGGTGGCTAGCCTAATGATCCTTCGCATGTCCTTGCATGCACTAACTAACTTCCTCTAGTCAGCGACCCATCTGATGGGACAGTCATATCTCTCATGGTCCAAGTCTCCGTGGATCAACACCAGACGAGGTGCATCCTACTAGGGAAGAACAATATGAAGCTCCGTTACGAGGAAATCCTGCGAACTAGGTTCTGGCTTGCTGACGCTGATAGTCTAAGCGATGCAGATGTCTTAGGAAGTTTCTCGTGAAGATGCTGCTAAATCCTTAGGGTCTTCGCAAAGACCCCGTCAAGCACTTCCGAAAAACTTGTCAAGCACTTGAAAGGAGTACTCAGCTATTATCATAAGCGCCCTGTTATGTCCCTTCGTGTGAAACATGATCGTCCAATTGTACAGCTGGAATCTATATTAGTATCCTACACATACTACAGGAGATTGTTATTCCAGATGACTGTCTGGCGGATGTATTAGGCGCTTGCAATATCCACATCGACCGTGTTACGATCATTCCGATCATCCAACAAATCCAGGTTTGCAGTAAGATTTATACGCCAATGAGAAATAGAAAGCTATTGATGCGCCGTGCTTCGAAAGAAGAGTCGATTCCCGCGTGCGTCCATTTGGTTGGTTCGGCCTAGGCGGCAGGCATCATTCATCGATCAGCTTTAGACAATCAATGAGATAGTATTTTAGCGGTCAGTGGCCACGAGCATGGACACATGGACAATCTTGGATAAGACACTATCCTATATGTAGAATAGTCTATCCTGTCAATTCGCCTTTCAAAACGGTTTAGCGTTGTTATTACTCAGGCGCCATTCGGCGAGTGGATACCTCAGCCGCGCGCACTTTCTGTTCGCCTCTTTCCTTGTACCTCAGGACCGACACTGCACGATGGGGGGTTTCTTGCCAGGAACCCCACGCCTCTGGCGCTGGCCCTCACTGCAGGCCTTTCGATATCGTCAGGTCTGGGGCGGTGCGCGTGGGAAGGCGGATGCAGAGGTCGAGCTGGTCCCTGCCTCTCCCACAAGCACCAATGAGGCCGGCACCTCCTGCACCCCAACTCGCGTCAAGCCCATCACGAGCTGGAAGCCCTCTACCTATCGGCACGGTGAAAAGAAATGGGTGACAGGAGTTTTGATTTGTGCCTACAGCGCCCTTGGCGTCCTGCTGTTGAACATCATCCTGACTCTCGTGGCGGCCGCCGTGTCCTCCGCGCGCCATGGCAAGCAAACGATGTCCGCGGCCACCATCTACGAAGGCAGTTGCAGCCGAGCAAAGGCGTGGACGACGGGACTGCACTTGCTGATCAATGTCCTCGGCACCATCATCCTCGGGGCCAGTAGCTACTGTATGCAGTGCCTGACTGCGCCCTCCCGCACCGAGGTCGACCGCGCCCACGAGGAACGCGTGTGGCTTCATATCGGAGTCGCGAGCCCGCGGAATCTTGCCTGGGCCGGACGATTCCGTGTTACCTTGTGGTTGCTGCTCGCGGCAAGCTCCCTGCCAATCCATCTGATGTATGCTCGAAACCCAATCGCCGAGACAAACCGGGCCTAATGACCGCAGATACAACTCCGCCGTCTTTTTTGCCCTAGGCACCAAGGAATACAATGTCGTGCTGGCGTCGGCCAATTTCGATTTTGATCGTCCACCGGCCGAATATAATGTGTCGTACGGGGAGTGCTTCGAGCCGAACACGGCGATGAACATGTCCACCTTCTATGCCGACCTCCCCAACTTCAAGAACCTGACCCGCCAGGAATGCCTCGAGAAGCATTTGACGGATTTCCCCGCGGATCTGGGCACCCTGATCCTGGTGACGAGCAATCTTACCGTCGCCAACGAATCCCTGCAGTGGGTAGATGTGGGGAACCCTCCCGCGAACTATGAAGGCACCGTCGCGTATAGCTTTGAATGGCTCTGTGATCAGTTAGATGTTGACGGCTATTGCACTCGATCGAGGCTGCTAAGAGCCGTCGACAGTTGGGCAGTCCCGTGGCTGATGCCTTGGTCGGGCCCGGTGATCAATGCCACTGTTGATCTTCCCCGGGGCTCGGCGACCATCAGTGGGAAGATGATTGAGCTCTATGACCTGAAAACCGATGAGTGGCCCGCGGCATTGATTTCCGACTATGATTCGCTTGCGATGAAACTCCAGGGATTTCCATCGGAGTATTACCTGCAACAATTTTTGGACAACGCGACGTATTGGCAAAACAGCACCTGGGCTCAAGACGTTCGTCTCCGGGCCACCGACGAGGAGGCATGTTCCGCCGACATCAACTTCTTCAGCGTCAGCACTTCCAGTACAAGCCAGACCGCATACCCCGTGGAATATTGTTTAAGTCTGAAGACCGCGGAACACTGCGAGTTGCAATTCAGTCCGGCGATCTGTCTGGTGGTGATCGCCTGCAACGTGGTCAAGTTCCTTTGTATGCTGTTGACGGCCCGGTGCGATCGGAAGGATATCTTCCTGACCGTCGGGGATGCCATGGCCTCGTTTTTGAGCCGACCTGATCCCACCACCGAACGGATGGGCTTGCTCTCGCGGTCGAATCTGACCACTGGGCCGCAGCCGTGGCAGTCCCGTCGGAAGAGGTATTGGCGTGTGGCGGCCAAGGATGCATCGCAACCCCAGGCGTGGGCCCGGCTCCCGCCTCGCCATCGATGGATGCGGGCGGTTCGACTCGAGCAGTGGATCTTGACCATCAGCGTGTAGGTGAAATGCAGCTGCAGTGCATAGAGTTGCTGACCCGTGTACAGTTGCCTAATGCTCCTCGGCGTGGGGGGCTATATGCTATCGCTCGCGATTGGGGGTCTGCAGAACGAAGGCCAGGACTGGAGCCTCCCGGCGCTGTGGAACCTGGGGTTTGGCTCGGCCACGCCTCACACGATCATCATGCTGCCCCATGCGTCGGTCATCTCCATGGCCCTTCTGGCCAACTGTCCCCAGATTGTGATCTCGGTGGGCTATTTCCTGTACAACAATCTGCTGACCCACATGCTGTTGGCCACCGAATACGACGACTACGCGACCCAGCGGAAGTCCCTTCGGGTTTCCTGGCCGGAGGGGAATCAACGCGCGACCTACTACCTGAGCCTGCCGTATCGCTACAGCGTTCCGCTCATGCTGGCGTTGATGCTCTTGCATTGGCTGGTCTCTGCCAGCTTGTTCTACGTCGAGATTATTCCGTTTGACACGCAGGGAAATCCATCGTATGCATACCAAGTCATTGCCTGTGGGTACGCGCCCATCGCTATTATATTTGCTCTCGTCCTGGGGGTGGTGATGACGAGCACGATCGTGGGTATGAGCATGAAGCGGTTCGACTCGCGCATGCCCATCGCGAGCAGTTGCAGTGCGGCCATCAGCGCCGCCTGTCATCCGCAGGGGGGTGACGAGCATGCCCTGAAGCCGGTCATGTGGGGGGAGATTCCGATGTCATCGACGAAAGCCGGAGTTAGCGTCGACATTGAAAGCCTGAGTGATACTGAGTCGGACGATGGGGACCTTGGTCGGGGTACTCGTGTCCGGGGCGAGCGATGGCGAGAGCGATATTACCCACCGCTGGACCGCGAATCGGCTGGCCAGGATGGTACCTATGGTCATTGCAGTTTCACCTCGGAGGAAGTGACTACTCCCGATCCATCCCGACTGTATATATAGGCTCGATTCAGCCAGTAGGTAATCTAATGCCTTTCCATGGTTGGCGCGACGTAGCGTAGTGTTGGCTGCAGCACTCATCAAATATTGAAGAATACGGTCGATGCGCCTGGAAGCAGGGGTTTCTCGTAGCGGGCCGAGGCGGTTCTAGGAAGCAAGCACGCTGGTCAGATCAGCACGAGATCGAGGATAACAATGGTGATAAAGCTGAAGCTCTGCCTACCGACACCGCTAGTATTCACTCCATTCCTGCTTCTGCTGCATGATCGGGCAGTTCATCACCGAGATGCCGCGACCGATCGCAGATGAGCATGCATCTGGACTGGAATCCACTGGTTGCTCTGGAATCACGAGGATCAACTAATTAGACATTATGGAGTAGTCATCAAGTAGTGATCGGAGCTGGATCGAGCTGGATCGAGCTGGATCGAAACAAAGAGAACAAGAGGATTGTTGGGACACTGAGAGTTCCTTCAGCTGAAGGAATGGCGGGCCGATCGACAGCGTCAGGGACGATCCTGACCCAGTGGGGAAAGAATGGCCGGGCCGAAGTGGGCGTCCCTTGCCTGACTGCCTGAATGCCTGGCGTGGAGTGGGGATCCCCTCGACCTCGACCGACCGAAGTCCCACCGATAGTCTAAAACACCAGCAGCTCGAGATGAGAGCAATCACACGGTGCCACCACCACCCATCCACTACTCCCACTCCGACCACGCCTCCCATTCCCCCCCCACCCCAAGTACGCCCATCCACGACGCCAAAGATAAGAGTCCCTCGTATTCCCGGGTTACTCCAGCGCAACATGTCGGAGCGAAAGAGACGACGGGCCTTTGCGCCCCGGGCCCGCACCGGGTGTCGCACGTGCCGGTCAGTGCTCCCTGTCTGTCCGCTCCACATCACACTGACTTTCCCTCCCAGGATCCGCCATGTGCGCTGCGATGAAGCCCCCGGTTCGTGTTACAATTGCTCCTCCACCGGGCGGAAATGCGATGGCTATGACCAGACCCACTTGCCTCTGGCCACCGCCCGGTCTCGCAAGTCCATCGTCTTGCAGATGCCCGCCAGCATCGCGACCAATCTGCGCGGAATGACCCCGGATGAACGCCGCGGCTTTGCCTTTTTTCTCACCCAAACCGTCCCCATGATCACCAGCTGTTTCAATTCCGACGTCTGGCAGCGGCTGGTGCTGCAGATGAGCCAAGCCGATCCCGCCGTTGGCCATGCCGTCGTCGCCCTCAGCGCCATGCACCAGGATACCCAGCTCCAACACATCACCCTCCACCACAGTCCGCTCCGTCGCTTTGCTCTCGAGCAGTACAACCGGGCCATCTCTATGCTTCACACGCGACTCCCGTCTAACGATCCGCAACTGCGAGGGGTGGTGCTCATGTGTTGCTTCGTTTTTGTCACTTTGGAGCTACTGCAGGGCGATTATCCCGCAGCCATGGCGCACTTGCAGAATGGGTTGAACATTCTGGGCATGAACGGTCCGCGGACTGACCCGGTGTCGGCGTGGGGCAAGGCGCGGGGATTAGAGATGTCTACAGGGGGGACGGAGATGGCCCTGGTGGGCGCCTTTCGACATCTCCAGGTCCAGGCCGTCCATTTCGCGCCGCCAGGTTCAGCCGTGCACTCCCGCCCGGAACAGTTCGAGGAGATGGACGAACAGCGCCCATTTCACAGTTTGGCTGGGGCCAAAGAGGCCCTCGATCCGATTTTAAGCGACGTCCTATACGGGTTTCAGATCCGCTGCGAGTTTGCCGTTCAAGGGGACGCTACTGATTTCCTTACCCTCTCAGTCGAGCGCCACTATCTCCTGCGCCGACTGAAGACGCATCGGGTGGCGCTGGAAGCGCTCGTCGCACAGGGGGATGGCGAGTGGAGCCCTCGCGACCTCCGTTGCATCAATATTATGCGATTGCACCATACGACTCTCGGCGTCCTTTTGGGCACCTTGCTGAATCTTTCCGAAATGACCTACGATGCATACCTTGCCGAGTTCAACGAAACGGCCGACCTATCGGAGAGGGTTGTCGAAAGCTTAATGCAGGAATACGGGGGCGGTGGCTTTCCGAAGATGGTGATGGATATGGGAGTGATCCCCGGGCTGTTTTGGACCTTTTTCAAGTGCCGCGATACGAGTTGCCGTCGGCGAATCCTGAAGATCTTGGAAGCATGGCCACATCGGGAGGGGCCATATGAGTCCAACCTGGTTCTGCATGTTCTGCGGACCCACATGGAGGTCGAGTGTGAAGGTGAACAAATCATCACCGGTGCTGATGGCCAAACCACGACTATCATTCCGGAAAGTCGGCGGGTACGAGAGGCGTGTCTCGAGATCTCGCCGGATCGGGGAGATATATTCCTGGCATATCGATTATCAGGCGACAGTCAAATGCAGAAACGGCGAGTTCCGATGGCGGATGAGAATTTTCGATCTTCGTTGGACGAAGTCTCTCAGGGGAGTACTCAGTATCTTTGGCTTACTTCTCATCAGACTTCGCTTTCGCCAGCTCAGGCTGTTACCCCTGGAGATCTGTGAGTCGGTTCGGATGAGTCAATGGATGGATCTAACCTATATTGAGGTGTCGTTTCGCGGGTCACCTGCCGGTAATTTGGCGTTGTACGACTTGATGTCATTGTTGAGACTCCACTATGTTGTACGGTATGCTCCTCCTATGTCAGTATATGGCTGCTGAATCTGACGGCATCCAAGATGTCACCTTCCACGATTTATTCAATATCTAATCTCCTGTACATATCAACATCATCAGTGTCATGTTACAGTAATATGACAGAACGTAAATGCATCTGCGTTCTCCCTACAATCACATCAAGTCATCAACCTCACTAGCAGCATCACGCGCTAAATTTCTCTTGATTCGCCTCCACCCACTCATGAAACCTCCTCGGCGACCGGCGCAGGTACTTTTGGATATTACCCACCGCCTCGCCATACAAAGGGCTATCAAGGAAGGAGTATCCTTCCGTCGCGCTCCGACAGAACCCCAGAACCGATCGCGCAATCCCCTCATGCAGTCCGGACTCATTCACCAGACTATCCAACGCCTCATCCTCCTCCACCTCAGAGACCTTAATCTCCTTGCCGAGCACCCGTCCCGTCGTCTCAATCATCTCTCGAACAGAGATCTTCTCCGGACTCACCAGATTCACAAACGAGTCTGAAACCAGATCAATCCCCCTAGCCTTGTGCGCCAGAATCGTTCCACACACCCCGCCAATATCCTCGGGGGATATCCAATCGAATGCTCCATTCGGCCACGCTAGCTTCACGTGGCCTGTTTGAATCGGTGCCTTCCACCACAGTGCGTTGCTGGCATAAAACCCAGGCCGAACGGCCACATAGCCAGAGGGCCCAAACACCTCCTGCAGGGAGATCTCCGCCTGGGCGTGCAGAAAAGCAATGCGATGCTCCGACGACACGCTGCGAATATCCTCCTGTATGCCGAAACTACTCAGCAACACCACGGATTCGATACCAGCTGCTTGGAGCGCCGTGAAACTCGCTCGCATATGGTCCGTCGAGGTTAAATCGGTATAGATGAAAGCATGTTTGGCGGTACTCTGTGCCACGGCAGTGGTAATGGTCTCTGGTTGAGAGAAATCGGCCCGCACGCGTTCAAATCCTCCGTCTTGTTCCGCCTCCCTCGTCAGACCCGGCACCGGTTTAGTGGTATCCCGCAGCGCAAGATAAACCTTAGCGCCCTGTTGCTGAGCGGTCCGAGCGGCAGCCGAGCCCACCGCACCCGATGGACCGAAGACGATAACAGTTGCCATGATGTGCTGGAGCAGTAGGTACTGGTAACGGCGGTATAGTTGGCACGTTACGTACATGGGGACGTTATATCAGAGATTTGAGTGGTATTTGTCAGCTTCGGCATCGGCCCGACGGCCAGCGAGTCAGCGCGAGTTCCGAGGATTGATCCTGATCCTGATCCTGATCCCACTAGATATTGCAATTTGCCACTGCCGGCGGAGTACTTGGATGATGGATTTAGTTAGGTGCCTTAGGTTATTCTTTAATCAAGTGGGTCCGAACGTGCATTTACGACTGTATCTAATAGATAAGCACTGGTTCAGTTTAATATAATTAATCCGCATGATATAAGCTTACCATAGGGTTAGAAGTTTGACTCACTCTGCCTAGCTGAGTCAACTTTACCGTTCCAACACATAAACCTTCATCAATTCCAACAACGGTATCTAGTGGTTAATGATTCTTACCTATAACTACCCGATACTCATCAACATCAACATCACGAACAGATAAGCCAAGCTATAATCCAGATAGTAATACAAATCACCCCCACAAGGATACTCCTTACAACCCCTCAGCACCCAACCACCCCTCCACCATCTCCCTGAAATCCGGCTGATACAACCATTCCAACTCGAACGGTTCCATTCCCTCCTCCATGCCCTCCGAACCCTCCCCGGGCTGCTTGGGCATCCTCCGTCGATTAATCTGCCCATTCAGCTCCACCACCCTATCTACCCGCGCCTGTCGTCCCTTCTGCCATACCTTTAACCCCTTTTGCAACTTCCCCTCATCCCCATCCCCACCAAACCCACACCGGCTAACAACGCACGCGAAAGTAAAAACATCCTCCACCCCCTGATTCACACCCTGCCCGGCACTCGGGGGAATCGCATGCGCCGCATCGCCCAATACCACGACCCTTGCATGGTCCGAACACCAACTCTCCAATCTCGGAACGATATAGAAGGGCCAGAGATTCACACTCTCCGGCGAGATGGATGAGACAGCGCGCTGCACGATAGCTGGGTACGAGGTGGCGTTGTCGCGGAGAAAGTCCAAGCACCAGGATTTACTCTCGTCGGTAAGGAGGGACGTCCATTGTTGCCTGGTGAGAGAGGGAGAGTGTTTCTGGCGCCCGATGAGACATTCGGATCCGGTTGGGTGTTGCGGGGCGATCACGAAGGCGCCGTGCGTGGGATTGAGGATTGTAACGGGTAGTGGGTAGGTCTTCTCCTCCTCTTCCTCCGAGGGGAGGGATGGAGGGAGAGCGAGTTGCGAGGTGGGGATCGCGGCCGTAACACCCACGGCATTGGTGAATTGCGGTTCCAGGTCTGGGTAGAGATACTTCCGGACCGTGGAATGGATGCCATCCGCGCCGACGAGGATGGCCGCTGAGGCAGTTGTCCCATCCGCGAACTCCCATGTCACGGATGTGTCAGATTCATTGAGAACCCGGCTGAATTTCTTATGGTAGTGGATGGGGATGTTTGCTTCGTGGACCATGGCGGTGAGTTCCTCGATGAGTATGTGGCGGTAGATCCGTACCCCCGGGTAGTTGTATTTCGGGATCGAGCCGAATTCGTAGCTGTCCAAGGGGTGGTCATCGGAGGTCCGGAAGTAGAGGTGGGAGAAGGTGTAGCCGGATGGGAGGATGCGGGCGTACACGCCTAGCTGGTCCAGGATGCGGAGGGCGTTGGGCGAGAGCATGATGGCGCCGCCGATGTTGAGCGGGGCGGAGCGCGATTCGTACAGCGTGCACGGGATGTTTTGTTGGTGGAGGGCCAGGGCGAGGGCTAGGCCGGAAAGACCGGCCCCGATGATGGCGATGGTGGACATGCTGGATGCTTGTGACGAGGGTTGTGAGGGGGTATGGAAGTGCTGATGTGATGGGTGGCTGTATGCGGTGCGGGCTGTATACTGCTAAGCTGTGCGTGATGTGTTGATTGCTGAGCTTGGTGAGCGAGTGGGTGCTGTATTTATATAGATCCCGGAGATAGTTGCAGCACTTGTGCTGATGTGGATTGACCCATGGCTGTGCTGAGATAGATGCGCAGTCTCCGGATCCGAGTTCGGATCCGGACAATCTCCGAGCATACCCTTTGGGTATCTCCGAATGCATGTCCGAATGGACTACTCCGTATTGTGAACATGTTTGACGAAATGTGTTCATCACTACATCTAACGCAGTGTTGCATAATTACATTCAGTGTAGCATAATACTGGATCATGGTATAATACATCTATTGCTCAGCAATGCACATGCTTACATATTCCATGCAAACGACCCATCCTCCAAGGCAAATGGATCTTCATGAAAGTTATTAAACTCCGTCGCCAGGGCCGACGATTCCGCCAGAAAGTCCGGCAGCTGCGGCTGCGTGCCGGGCGTGTAGCCTGGATCGGTGGTTGTCGGGAAGATCGGCTGCGTCGTTTGGAGCTACAGTGGTTCATTAGCGTCGGTCACTGTGGGGGATAGGATCATACCATTTGGGCAAAATCTGCGAGATTAAAGGCAAATGACTGCTGCGCTACCGACGGGAGTAAGTGTTGTCGACATGCTGACAACGCTTTGACGGCTCCCTGCTGCATCCAGCGCTCCTTGAGCTCGGCGGAACCGCGCGCCCGCACGGATTGCAGCACCACTGCCAACAGCAGCACGTCTTTGATGTTGCTGCCTGTTTCGCCAATTGTCCGTGTTAGCCCGTCCAGTGTGTTCTCCACCACGCGCGTGAGACTGGCCTTGGTGTGTGTGGCCGTCGGGATACTCGGAGGGAATGATGTGGGCTGCATCGGTGTCTGGCCGGTGGAATGCTGTTGGTTGGACTGCTTCATATAGCCGCACACGCTCAGCGCCGCCCATGGAATATCGTTCTTGCAGAACAGCTGAAAGACGTCCCAGTACGCTGTTGACTTGAAGACGTCCAGGTCCGCCACGTTCGGGTCAAAGTAATCTTGATAAGACAACACGACTAGCGACGATTCCAAACACGCTTGTTCAATCTCCAGGAACAGCGGGTCCTCGCGAGTGTCGCCCATGACAATAGGCCGGTAGAGGCACAACAACGGTCGACGCATGTACACGTCCAGTAGCACGCGATTCAACAACAGGGCGGGCCCCGGGGTCTCTCCATGAATCGGAGCCGGATCCAGCTTCAACGGGGCAGGAATCTGTCGGAGACATTCCTCCACGCGGCGCCCCTGCTTGACAATCTCGGTCAGATCCAGCCCCGGGCTGGACGTCCGCACCAGCGACATGGCCCGAATCCGTTGCGGTAACGTGGCGGCCAAGGTGATCTGCGCCAGAGTGTCGGTCCACTCGTGGGTGGGTTTGGCCGGTGGCAGCTCCGTCATCGACTCGTCAAAATCCACATCATTCAGATTGCTCGGGATGAGCGGTTCAAAGTCCAGGTCGGGAATGGTCACCGGCATGCCAGATGCAATCGAGGTCTGCAGGTCCATCTCCACAATGGTGATCCACAAGCGCCGTCGCACTTCGATCTGAAAGACGGACAGCTCCTTATTCCCCGCCAGGTCCAGATGCAGCCCTACGACCATGGCAGAGCGCACGAGCGTACCAGTAGCGCGCCACAGCTCTTCCTGCGAGGGCAGCCGTAACCGTCGGGCCAGGATGACAAGAGCCTCAATCTGCAACGACACCAACTCCGTGCGCTGCTTGCGGCCGAGCTTCTGCAACCACACGCGCACGAGGTTCACAGCAGGCGTCTGCAGGTATTCCCACACGGATGCATACTCCAGGCGAAAGTTCGGATCCTCCAACGGAAGTGCCGCGGCCAGCACGGCAGTCAGCTGGGGAAGAAAGGTATTGGAGCGCTCCCGGTCCGTGGCGGGCGTGGCCCAAAAGTCGGCATACTGGCGGAGAAAGGTCGGCACATGCAGCATGCGGAGGGTGCGCTCAAAGTTGGTTGTATACAGATTCACCAGTCGGTCACACACGGCTTGAGGCGGCAACGATGCCTGCATCTGTAGCAGCTCCGGCGAATAATCCAGATCGGGCATCGACTCCGGCGAGCTCATGGGCAGTTTGGATTTGCTCTGGAGAAATTGCACCTCCTTGGCCAAACCCAGGATGGCGGAGTCGCGGGTGCAGCGTTCAATGAACTCGCGGGCCTCGGAAAACTGATGCAACAAGGTGGTGCGATTGTTTTGCCCGTGGTAGCGAGAGCGCGTCCCCTTGCCTTTGACCACCAGGGTGCCCGGATACGGGGGCGCAGGGGTATCCGGGGTAGCTTGGCGGGTCGGGGAGGTTGGCTCGCGGGCGGGCAACTCCGTGAGCGGGCCGGAAGACGGCCGGAGGGGGTTGAGCGAGAGGAACTCCTCGACGCGGGCCAAGCGTTGCTGAAAGTCCTCGAGGAGACCGATGCCTGGCGGCCTGACCGAGTCCGTCCGGGGGTCGGCGGAAAGCGGAGGGTCGGCGGGATGTCCCCGCGGCACGCGCTTGGAGCTGGGCTGATCGGACAGCCCATCGAGGCCATCAGGGTGAAAGACACAGTTGGTAGGACAGCCGGCCTTGGAGCAGTTCTCGCACGGTAGCACCCGGTCACATTTGAGCTTCTTCTTGCGACAGCGCAAGCACGACACCACCGGTCGGGGGCGTTTACGGGGAAGGGAGGCGTCCCCCTCGGGCGGGGAGACGTGACCGGACATGGGGTTCATGCTGGCGGCGATAAGAACAACACTTCAGTCTGGCTGACAGCGGGATGAAAGAGCTGCCACTGCTGCTGAGTACTCCGTGCTAGGTGGCAGCTCCCCTCCGTCGGCATCTCCGGGCATCCACAGCCACCTCTGGTGCAGGCTCTTTGTTGCCCTGCAGCTGCTGTCCGGGCTGGGCTCAGCGTCACCTCGTATTCTACAGCAGGCAAATGCGTGGCCAGATGCTGTAAATGTCCATTAATGCGCTTCATTACCATCTAACATACACTCCTGCCAGTAACCAAGTTAATCTACCCAACCATACCATCCAACCTAATGGTATCTAATTCGTAATCACCGGCGCGGTATGATCCCATTCCGTCCCCTCCGCCGCATCCACCAACCACCGCGCCACACTCCGCCGACTCGTACTGGCCATCAGGGGCACGCCCCGCCCATGCTCCGGCCACACCTTGACCGGGAGTGTCTCCTCCGACTCGACCAGCCGGGACGGCCGCACCAGTACATACTCCACTCCGCTGGCCGTCACCGCCCGCTCCGTTGCATTATGGTCATCGTATTGATACGACATGTTGGATTTCTTCATCAGCAGGCGCAGTACGCAGTGCATGTTGGTCCAGGACTCGCCCACCCCGAAGGCTTGCAGGATGACCGTCTTGCGGACGTGGAATTCTTTCATGGCGGTGATTACGTTGGCGTTGCAGTCGGTCATGAGTCGTGGGGGGGAGATCGGGGCCGCGAAGGGACTGTCGCTGGCGCGGGGGGCGTTGAGGGTGACGATGACCACACTGGGAGGGTCGGGTTGGAAGGCCTTGCGCACGTCGTCGAGGTTGGTGGGCGTGCCTGTGGGGTTAGTGGGTGTCAACTGGGGTTGGTAAGTACTAGGTCGGGCATACCTTGTATGATGGTTAGCCCGGCGCGTGCGCTACCTAGGGCATCGGGCTTGCGGGCTAGTGTGGTGACTTGGTGGCCTGGGTAACAACATGATATATGTTAGTTGAGATCCGGGTGGAAAGGTATCTATCGGCTTACCGCGACGGAGTAGTTCGTCAATGACCAGTTTGCCGCACCGGCCACTTCCGCCAATGACGAGGACGCGCATGGTGTGAGATGATGAAACGAGGATTAGAAAGGATAATGTAGAGGATTTACTCTCTGCGGCGTTATTTCAGTTGCAGTACTGGTTCCCTGCGATCTATATAGCCAGATGTGGGTCCGGAGCAGTCTTCGGATCCGACCGGACGAGTCTTTTCCTCCGACGGGGTCACCGGATATTCACCCATGGAGGCAGATGCTGTTGACTGTTGTCTATGGTGTTGGCTATTGGGGTTATTCTCCGGCGCATGCTCTCGGCATTTTCGTTCTCCTTCAGATGTTATCTCCGTCGGGGTAACCGGCTGGCGTGGTATGGGTGGATTTTTGTTGCATCGTTCGGGTGAAGCAGGGATTATACCCTAGCTATAATATGAACTTTATATTATAGCTAGGGCGTACCGGGGTATACATGGTGTGTAGTAGTTGGCAATCATTTTGTTGTTGGCTGGAAATATATTCTCGCTGAACGAGCATTCCTCCAGATGGTGGATGAGGAGCACTCGAAAGAATTATCGTATAGGAATGAATGTCCAAGAAAGAAGGAGGGCTTCTATAATTGAAGCCAATATATCAAAATATCAATGTAAAGGAATCAGAAATTCCCATCCTCATCCACCGATCATCAGGTTCACGCACCACCAGCAGAACTACCACGATTTCCATACATCTATCACTCATCAACGAAATCTATTCAACATATCCACCATGGAACGGTGGAACCAACAGGCAGATACCCAGGTTGCTCCCGCTCCCGAACCAGACCCTATCCATCTCTACCCACCTCCACATCCACACATCCACACCTATCTTCATAACCGGCTAATCAGTCCAGATCTTTCTATTTCCCTCCCACTCCTCTCCCTGATAATCTCTAGCTCAACCCCTCCTCCAACCCCCGGGTAGATTACTCCCTGCCGTTCTTTGTTTTCTGATGATGCGTGGCTGACGGATACGGGCAGTAAGCAGATACTTCGGTTGGACTACCTGATATGCGAAGGAGATATACACCCATTACAGCATCCACATCCTTCACATTCTACCTATGCATATACCCCAACTCTCATACAGACATCAAATTCCACCCAACGGTAAGAGGCCATCAAGCAACATCCCTCACATTTGCAGACGTATACCCCGTGCTCGCCACCCCCACCGGAACCCAATACAACTGCCACACACTCGACACATTCGTCTCCTTGACATAGAACGTATCGAACAGCTCCCCGGAATCATCCTCGTACATCAACCACGCACCGTACCAGATCCATCGGTCCGTCACGGCATCCGAGGGTGTGTCGGCGCCGGTGAATCCCACCTCCGTGATGGCGTCGTCGTTGGGACGGATGTATAGCAGGGTGTCGTCCGGGAGGGTCACGCCCTCGGTTAGTGCTTCGGTGGAGATTTGGCTGTCGCTGAAGGTGACTGGATTGGTGTTAGTATGATGGGTTGGATGGGTTGGATGGGATGGGATCCTGACGGGTTATGTCGGTGACGATGGAGCCGGAGGTCCAGTCTGAGGCGGTGCCGAAGTAGGCGAGGCCTGATGAAATTAGTATTGGGAGGAAGGAGTAGAGAGGGGGGTTGATGGCTGTACCATCGGCGTAGAACAGCTTGATAGGGCTCGAGGTGACGCCGTAATCGTACAGGGTGAAGTTGCCGTCTGGGCTGCGCTTGACTACGTCCTGAAGAGGACGCAGCGGACTGGCAGTCACGCCGGTGACGGCGGCGAGAGCAGAGAGCGCAGAGATGGCGAGTGAGGTTCTCATGGTGATGGCGATGGGATTCTCGAGAGTAGATGGTTCGATTATCCCGGGGTGTGTCGTCCTTTTATAGGTGGCAGCGCTGCTCATCTGCATTTAGTCTCTGGCATAGCCACGAGGCATCGGTGGATGGCCCTTTTCCAGGTGATGGGTAGAGTCATGGCCACTCTGCACGATACGACTGACGCGTCATCAAGACCGGAGTTGGAATGGGAGGAAGCCCAAGTGGAGGGCCAAGCGCCGGAGATCTTTAGCCCAATCCACCGATCCTGATCGTGTTGTCCCATGTGGAGCGAAACGAGTGCCGAGCCAGGAACAGTCTAGGGTGAGGCTAAAGGGGAGGCTAAGCTCAATTCCTCAAGCATCAGATGCGTCCCGAAACGTGCAATTCTCCCGATCCCCACAATGCTATTGCTGAAGAGTTGAAGGATCCGAGCTTGTCTACGAGGCGGAATTTGTCATGATTACGGCGTACTCCGTCCTTCAGGTCGATCCTGTTCAAGCTGGATTCCACCTTATGGCGTTCCTCTACCAGATGCCGCCTATCAGGTCTGAGCTCGTGCCCACTCCGCATTCCATGATGGATGGCAGCCTCGTGACGGAGATCATCCTCGGCCATGTCTGCTATCATGGCCGCCTGAAGGAAATCAGAAGCGAGGCGATCGGACGGGAATCCAATCGTCGCATGAATAGCGGAGTGCGGACTTTGTCTACTAGTGTTAGTTGTCCTGCTATTCTAGCACCAAATATCGGTTGCAGTGAAGATAATGCCGACAACATGGAAGCTACCTGATGTGCTTGTATGCTCTGCACGTGGGCATCCCCGCGACGGTTCATCCGGTGATCTCCCGTTGCATGGGTCATACCCTCCTCGGTCACACCGGCAATACCTTTACCCTGTTGAGACCTGCCTGCCTCGCCTGAAGACGTCCTCCCACCTTGTGAATTGTCGTGGCATGATTTATCGCATTATCATTATGGCAAGGGCTGGTTCTTGGTCAGTCATTCCACGAGGAATCGAATAAATTCCATATCAATGTTACAGACAAGGCATTGAATATAGGCCCAGAGAATCTATGACTTTGATATGAGGAAATCAGATATGCGTGCTCGAGATGATATCATCCCGCAGAATGACCTGGAGTGAGGCACTAGTGATCGGGGTTTCGTGACTGGATGATGGACTATTAGCTATGAGATGGTGAGATCTATGAATGTGTCCATTCTGTATAATTCCTCGAGTAGTAACGATAGGTGAAATAGTAGAAAGGGTTCATAATTTGCAAAGTACGTGCCTTAGTATGTGGCTCTTCTCTATCTCCACACACTAATTCTAAATCTCATACTACATTTCCAACTCTGATACATGTCGCTGATATAGTTTTCGTATAATGCAGTATACTATCTTAGGTCGGGTCTGGGTTGGTTAACTTCTACTTTGTGGTACATATTAATACACTTGGTCTCGATCTTTCTTAATTTTGGAATGCCTTCTGGGAATGTATGCTTTAGAGAACGAATGCACGAGAGTTACATATTATGTTGAGACTTCTGATAGAGAAATCTGTTCTCTATCCATCATTCCGACACTTATATGTATATGTACATGTCACATGGATTATCATGGAAAGATACTTTCCTCTTCTCTGCGAATGGAGTATCCCCACCCTAGGTCCGGAAGTAAGTACTTGGAGATAAGACATGGTCTCCGGACTACAAATCAAACTCATATTTTGATGTAATAAGAAGGGTTCTCATTCTTCGATACGAAGCATTCCCTGGTGGTATTCTCCACGACGCCACCTGTAGGCCATTGACATGGTGTTGCTGACATGATTATTCAGGGGCCCTCTGTGCTGCCAGTCGCTATCAAGAAACACAAACATCGCAAATGCACAAATCTGACAGTAATCTTAGCTCCCAAGCACTTTCTACCCGGATCATCATACCACCACACCATGGTAAATACACATCAAGTAACCAAATCAAGCTCAATGAGAATACGTCGCCAGAAAAGCGCGCATACACGACCACCCAACCACCGATTTCACCGACCCCAGGACCTCCATCGGGAACGTACGGGGATCTTTTCCCTCCATCCCCGGCTCATCCGTCCGTCGCACAGGCGTCCGTCGCTGCCGTTCCGTAATCTCCCGCAGAATCCGTGTCGGTGAGAACTCATCATCGTCCGAAACACCCGCAGCCTCACTGAGATCGAGACTCGCTCCCGGCCGCGCCAAAAACTCCAATCGCAATGCCTCCTCCGCCAACGACGCCACCCAGTTCGAATCAAATGGCCCTTCCCGATGCGGCCACGCGCGCAGGAGCTGGATGGCCCGCCATCGGACCCGATAATCCCGACAGCTCAGCGCGGAGTGATACAGCGGGGCAATGATACCGTAACCCACGCTGACCGTCGGCCGTTCCGGGTACCGTTGTAAAATCCCCTCCGCCAGCGATACCACCGCCTCCAAGTCCGCGGTAAAGCCCGCCATGGCCGCGGCATTGCGCACCACCGTGCACGTTTTCACGGAGACCAGTAATCCCCGGTATTGGAGATGGATGATGTCTGCGCTGCGTTGGTCTTTGTAGCTGAGGTGGGAGTAGGACGTGCGGTAGAAGGGCTCGAAGGAGTGCCAGAAGTGGGCGATTTGGGAATAGATGCGGAGTTGCTGGGGGAGGAGGGTGTCGTAGTGGTGGGCCAGTTCGTCCTCGGACATGCCCATGCAGGGGACGATGAAACGATAGGCGGCGCTGATCACGAGGTATAAGGCGTCGTGGGCTTCTCGGATGGTCGGGAAGATGCCGCCAGATTCCATGTGGGCGTGGGCCGCGGTGGGTAGGGCATCAATGCAAAGCAGGGGACATCCCTGGCCAAAGTGCGCGGCACTGATGTCGAGGTGGGCAAAGGCGGCCACCAGACCCTGTTCGACGCGCTCTTCGCGTGGGGTGGGCGCGACGAGTTCTCGCTCGGCCTGGAGCTCTTGCAGAATGCGGAGCCCACTGCGCAGATGGGCAAAGGCGCCGTCGTACTGGCCGCGCAGGAGGTCGGACAGGACAAATAACAGGCAGCAGAGCAAGGTGATGTTGCGCAGGCGGGGATCGTGCGAGGCCCAGCGGCGCGTGAGAATCTGGAACGCGCGGCCGAGCTGCTCCTGGGCGAAGCGCAGCCAGGGGTCTTGGTGGGTGGGCGGGAGGTCGGCGGCCAGCGGCATGCCCTTGGTTTCGGAGTCTTGATGGACGGCACTGAGGGCCACGGCGGCGTGATACACGGCGGGATCGGAGTGGGCCATCTGGAGGACCAGGCGCTGCCAGAGCGACGAGTCGAACAGTTCGCGGAAGGTGGGCACGGTGTGGTGTTGGAAGTAGGTGAAGCAGCGGCGCTCGTCGGAGGTCATGGGCCAGCGAAAGCCGCTGCCGATGTCGAGGGCGATCGGGGAGGCCCCGAGACGCTTCCGCATGGATTTTCCCAGCGCGGGCAGTCGATACATGTCGTAGCCATCGCAGGCACGGCCGGTGGAGGTGCAATTGCGACAGACTCCGGGGGTTTCGTCACATTTGATATGACGGGCTCTACCTCCTTCAGGATCGGTTGGCTGGCGGGGGACGTTATTCATATGACCTTCATACTTACCGACAGGTGCGACACCCAGATATCGATCTCTTTCCCCGGATGCGTCGTGGCCGGGAGTCGGGAGGGGATTCGGAATGCATGGGGACGGAATGGTGGTGGTGGTGGGTTGAGGTCCCAGAGCGACGAGTGGGGAGATACGGGGGAAATTAAAGAATCCCGAAGCCCTTCTCTCGACCGGCCACAAATGACCATGCGTCCATTAAGCGACCTGGCTAGTGCTGCCCGGGCTGCAACTAATGGGCGCCGGTCCGGGCTAGTGTGTAGGGGCGGAGCCGCGAGGCTGACAGGGATGCGACGAACAAACAAACCACAAAACAACGCAGAAGGTGACTAATTGAACAGGAACTGGAACTGCGTGGTAAGGAAAGAAGAAGCGATCTGGTGCCCCTAAGACCGTACACTGTCATACATGTCATGGTGTTCCTTTTCGCGGGCCTCCAGATGGGCCAGCTGCAACCGCTTACTCCCGGATCGCAACACGCCACTGCGCGCATCGACCAGGGGCCGGACCCATTGCTGCACGGTCTCCGGCGTGGCCGCCCCCGGGTCCCGGACGGGAAACCAGGTGTTGGCCAGGCCGGTGGGGTGGGTGTTGAAGTAGATATTCTCCCAGTGCCCCCGGGGCACCAGATAGGTCTCGTGGTAGATGCCCAAGTGGGGATGGTCCTTGGCGATGCGCGACCACCACCGCACCCCGTCCATGTGGACTTCGTCGTGGGCGAATCGGTGCAGGTCCTCGTAGCTGCGCAAATAGAAGATGTTCAGGGACTCGTTCCCCGCCGGACTGTCCTGCTTCAGCCAGTGCGTGGTCCCCAGCAGGCCATACTTGACGGGTTCGGCCCGCATGGCCTGGCTCATCCGCGCGGCGCCCTCGCCCAGCTCTCGCATGCCGGGCGCCAGCATGCCCAGGGGATGGTTGCAGCGGGCGCCCAGCAGGAACACCACGAGGGACTCGGCGGCGGGCTCGCTGCCAAAGGTGCCCTCCGGGGTGGGGGCCTGCGCGCTGTGTTTGGTGGGGACGGTGCCGGCCAGATAGCGGTTCGGGGTGATGTGGCAGGCCATCAGCACATGGTCGATGGTCCGATACAGCAGGATGCAGACGGTGGGCAGGAGGGCGAGGGGACCCAGCGCCATACCGGCGAGCCCTTGGACTAAGCCGCCCAGCAGTAACCAGGACGTCAGGGTGAGGTTATCCCGAATCATCGGGAGGGGGGAGATCGGTGCGACGGGGATGGGCGTGGGACCCGGCTGGTCGCGGGGTACGCGCACGGGGGGGAACAGGGGTTTGAAGGTGGCCATGATGGTGGTGATGAGGATGAAGATGGAGATGAAGATGAGGAGGAGGATGGCAAGGAATCTATAGCTGGGATAGGGCAAGAGGGGTGCTTTATGGGGCCTGGGATGAGTTGTCGGGACGGGGGCCATTCAGCGCCCGCTATATTCTGACCACCCTGCAGACGAAGGCTCCAATGAAAACCGCCCGTGCTGGACACACCCAGTGGGCCATCGGGAGGGCCGTGGGCGAATCTCGTCTCCTGGAGACTGGCTCCTAGTAAGGTAAGATTTTCGATCGGCGGTCTGGGGGTTACGAGCGCACCAATGGAAACGGTTCACTGCCACTCGGCTCAGCCCCCCTTGGAGGGTCCCGGCATGATGACTCGACATTGACCCTCAGATGCGACCGTGGATACTCTCTTGATACCTGAGGTTGAGACATCTCTCATCCTCATCCTCCATCGACTGTCTACTATACCTCGCCCCTCCACCAACAACATCCATCAACATGGCAGCCAGCGAGCTTCTCCCCTCGCGGCTAAAATAGGGTTTCCCTCTCTGCTGCCATCGCCGTTGGTCTCTATGCCACCCTGCTGGGTCTGCTGACCACCGAGACGGTGCAGTCCCACGTCGTCTACCTCCACGCCATCCAAATGACCTGGTTCAAAGACCTTAAGGTCCCCGAATCCTTTCGGCTTTTTACGCAACCAAGTGACTCCATTTACTATCCGTACCTCCGATGGCGAGCAACTACACGCCTGGCATATCCTGGTTGGACGCGCAGGTGGATTTAGGTGCTGATGGGACCGTCATGGACTGGCGGACCGACCATGGTGTGATCCGTGAGCAGATCCTGAAGACTGGTTTACACGATGTCATCATGGGATATCCGGTGGGGACCATGGCTGTCATGCGTGCGTTCGAAGCGGCGGATCCGGATTCACAAAATAAGGCAAAAAACTAGACAAAGGCCTCAACCAGACGCCACATCTGGTCGGATCAGATGCCAGATTTCGAATATCGGCCGTGGATGCTCCCTTCCGGCCTAGGAGCGGCGGATCCAATTGTTGGCATGACCTTGGGTCTTATAGATGACTAGGCCTTCCGCGTGCGGCAGAGAGAAGTCCTTCACATCATCAGGATGCCACGGATAGATTTAGGGCGGCGAGGGAAGACTGACGAGCGTCAACAGATCTTCTCCAGGAGAAATAGTTCTCACAACATCCATTAACACAGTCTTTGATAGCATTCACACTCCAGCGGTAGTATCCATTGAGCGCCCTGCCCTCGTAGGTTGAGGTACTAAAGGTGATTGATGAGGGGCAACTGAGTACACATTCGTTTGCTACTTGCATCTTACAGACCCTAGAGGCCAGTGGATCAGCTGCATCGCTGGCAGAATGCGGGATCCAGCGAGAGAGGCTTCTGCTCCAAGCAAATGGCCCGCGTCGCCGTCTACCATCATGAATTCTAGACTCAGGGTCTGGAGCCGACCACAACCCATGATCCCCGAAACTGCAGGCCCCCGGCTCATCGAAGGGTGGCAAGGCTGGAACACGATCATGACACACTGGGGACTGAGCCGCCCCAGCCCCTGGTGGGAGAAGACCTGTCAGGGCCTTTCCATCATTGCACCTTGCCATCGCGTGGTCATTTTTCCGTCGTAAACCATGCATCAAAGCTTGGTATTTACTGGCGTTCCGATGCCACGGAAGAGACGGTGCCCCTGGACATTGGTGGCAGCGGCCTATGTCACGATCACGTCCACCATTGCAGTGGCCCATTGGAAGAAGCCATGCACAAGTGTGACTGATTACATCTGTGCAAGGCAATGCCAAGTCCCCTGTGACTTCGATCGGCCAAACGGTAGTCTTGGTACATGGCTTCCGTTCGCAGGCGCGATCAGTAGTCCATGCGATTGGTTTCAAGACCACAATGGGACTATTCCCAGGCCAAACAGTCTTAGATCCAATGCCGACCTTGCCAGGCAATGTTAAGGTGCTGACCGGGTGATCCCCCACAAATAATGGGACAAAGCAGCCGTATCGCCGATTGGGGCAAGCTACAGTAAGGCCTCGACTCCAACTTGATCTCATCAGTTCCACCTTACTGGTCATCGCGTGCCTATCAGACCGGATATGTGTCGTACCTTGATACCCAATTGCGGCTTGGGGTCACTGTCATGCACGCTCCTACCAGGGTGATGCGGTGTCGCCTCATGGCTTCCTGCAAGGGCCATAGTGGCCTCACTAATCAGAAGCCACCATGTCACGTTGTACAATGCTCTCAACAGTGCATTCTGCCGATCGTGCTCTTCGCTTATCTCATTGACTGTATATGGTAGACCGAACCGATAGCCTGGCAGCTGATCGGATGCATCCGGAAGATTGCGCTGATCTCGGACGCCACTTGCTTGTTTCCATGCGATCATGACGTGCCAGGGGAACCATCCACTAGTGCTCTGATCGGTGGCTCCATCATGCCGCCGGCAATATGACAGGTCTGGGAACCGCTGACCTGGAACGTAGAAATGCCAGGGAAGCTTGCTTGACTGTCGTTGATCGGCAAGGAGTCTGCTGAATTGACGGCAGAGATCGATCGGTCACAGACACCTGGCTCAAATGGGCAATGCTGTCGCCCATCCCGTGCTTGGATCAGCCGGTGGCGGGACTACTTGCCCTGGCTGTCAATAATAGACTTTCTGCACAACCTGCAGAACCTGTCAATGACATCGGTGAGGTTTCCCGATCGCGATGGCCTTGCCCGCCATGGACTCCTGGAGTACGGACTCTGGGGAATAGGGACAAACGTCCCTTTTTAATCGGGACCATCCCCAGTTCCCATGCCTGAAGCATCAAGTCAAACCTGTTGCTGGTCCCGTTATGGCAGCAGTAGCTCAAGCTGGGAAGGTTGGATATGACCATGACAACCTCCGCCATGTGGTCATCACGGCTACATGCTTTGCCCTGAGTATCTCCACCATCTCGGTTGCCCTGCGCCTGCTGTGTCGGAAGATCACGGGCACCAAGGTGTTTTTCGACGACTATTTGATTATAGTGGCCTTGGTAGGCTGCCCATCTTGATTGCCACCATGCTTTCCTGGGCTGACTGGCGATAGGTGTTCTTGTATGGTGTGTCTCTGGCCGGTGTTGTCCGTATGTCCCTTCGATCCATTCACAAACTTGGGTGCCATGCTAATGAGGTAGTGCTCTACAATGGATTGGGCACCCACATCCACTTTGTCCCGGCTGCCGACTTGGTGGTGTATCTGAAGGTATGCCACATTCTCCATCGATCTTTTTCTCGCTGACCCGGCAGGTGCTCGCCACGGGGAGTTTCCTGTACCCCCTCTGCATCGCCTTCACGAAGCTGTCCATCTTGGCTCTGTACAAGCGGATCTTCTCCATCCGGCCGATGATCCTGGCCGCCAATACGGTCGGAGCATTGGTCATTCTGTGGTGCTTTGGAGTGTGCCTGATTGGGACCGTGACCTGCATCCCGCTGCAAAAGCTATGGGATCCCTCAATCCCCGGGGGCTGTATCAACCTGGCCAAGTTCTACTACGGGCTGCAAATCCCCAACATCGTGACTGACGCCGTCATCCTCGTGTTGCCGATGAAACATGTGTGGGAACTCCAGGTGCCGCGGTCTCAGAAGGTCATGCTGACGGGTATTTTCCTGCTCGGAGCGTTGTACGTATCCATCTGTACTATCAATGCTGGCTCGCTGATGGTGATACTTCAGAACTCTCGCCTTTGACATTGTACGCTTGGTCACCCTGATCGAGCTGTCCCAGGCGGGCAACGACATCACCTGTAAGAGACCTGTTTTCTGCCGTGAAACCCCAACTGACGGTCATCTCAATAGACAACCAAGTCCCCGCCAGCGTGTGGACCTGCATCGAGCCGTGTGTCGGCATCACGGCAGCCTGTCTATCGAACATGCGCCCGCTGTTCCTGATGCTGACTCGGATCCCTATGAAGATTCCCCGCCTGGCCTCCCACCCATCCAGCACGGACACCCGCGAGGCCACCCGATCCAAGATTGTATTTACGCGCACGGTGCGGGTGGCCAGCTCGCACGGGGAGCATCGCGATGATCGTTCTACCGCCCCGAGTCGGCTGCATCGGTTTCCGTATATCGGCCGGTCGCCGAGCATGTCTATCAGTATCGGAGGGGCTGCTTGATACTGAGGGGGTGTAGACCTGGTGCATGCGCAACGATTGACAAACTAGTAGATCTCGTCTCGGGTGTGGGTGATGGACACCGTTGCAGCCATTCTAGTATATAATCCAGTAGTAAATAATCCAGTGGAGGCTAATCACGTCAGACTCCATACATCGCTGCCTTGCCATCGATCTCACCGTAAGCCATATGCATAAGCCCGAACGCCGGGTTAACTCCGTCTGATCCCTGCTGGCAGTTACATCCTATCTCCGAGCGAGCCTTCCGTATATTAGAAGACTTCCAACCCATCGGACAGTATGTTATCTCACATCATCCATGATCATCCCTCCACCATGCCTACCACGAAACCCTTAGTGCTCATCACCGGCGCCAACCAAGGCCTCGGCTTTGCCACTGCCAGCCAGCTCGCCAGCACGGGTCGATACCACCTGTTAATAGCGTCTCGATCCCGAGAAAAGTCAGCGGCTGCAATTCAGGAACTGCAAGCACTGTCCAACACTGTAGACGCAACAGCATTCACACCCCTGGTACTGGATGTCACCGACGATGAATCCATCCGGACAGCCGCCCAAGAAGTCACCGATCAGTTCGGGTCCTTGGATATCCTCATCAACAATGCAGGCATCAGTCGACCCGCCGATCCTAGTCTAGGCCTCCGGGAAAGTTTCCGCGCCGTATTCGAGATCAACGTCTTCGGGGTGGCCGTGATGACAGCCACCTTTCTGCCACTGCTCCGGGCGTCAACGTACCCCGACCGACGGATCGTGAATGTATCCAGTGGACTGGGCCAGATCGGAGTCGCCTTATCACCCAGTTCTCCCTATAACGTGAATGCGTTCGCCCTGCCCATCTACCGGAGTAGCAAGTCAGCCGTGAATATGATCACAGCCGTGGATGCAGTCACGTTGGCGAAGGAGGGCATCCTGGCAGTGGCGGTGGATCCGGGCTACTGCCGGACGAATTTCAATGGGAATCGCGGGCGCAAGGATCCGGGGTTGGGGGCGCAGGTGATTGTACGGGCGGCGACGGAGGGAGATCCGAAGGAGATGGTGGGGAGGTTGGTGGATGATGATGATTCATTGGCGGAGTTTGGATGGTAGGCCTCTGACTATGGAACTAGGCCGGTTTCCTCTTATCCGTGTAAGATACTACTACTTCAATTAGTCTTGATTGTAGCTTATCACTGGCCCGAGCAGCCGCCACGCGATAACGCGAGCCATCATTCCGTGGCAGTGTCAGAGTCATCGGTGTTCCTGCGGGGAGGCTATCGCGGCTTATCGCGTGCGGAGAAGACGCCCACCAGCTGATATCAACGGGCTACTCCCTCTCTCTCCAACTCTCATCCCATCAGCATGGCAGAAGGTCGTCGGTCAGCTCGCGCGTAAGCCCATCTCTCCAACACCCGTTTCGATCGCTGATAGGATGACCGCAGATGCGACGAATGTCGCCGGTTAAAGGAAAAATGCGAAGGCGGCATCCCCTGTCGCCGCTGCGCCCATTTCCGCCGCCCCTGTGAATCCAAAGCCCTCGCCTCGCGGGCCCGCGATTTTCGTGCCTACGTACCGAGGTAATACCCTGCTCCGGTACAGGGATTTCAGAGTGAAGTCTTGCTGATCGATGGCGTAGAACACGTCCAGCGAAATCAGACGTGCAAGAATTGGTAGATCGATGCCGATACATGGAACAGATCTTGAAACATACCGTCGAGGGTATTGCATTGGACACGAAGAGTCTGGCGCGCATGGCCAACTCTCTGACCATGGAGCGACCATCGGATAGCCCAAAGGTGCCCAGTCCCGCCGGTCTGGCCATCGAGGACGAGTCCTGTACCATTGACCCGGTCGGGGATACCACCACCCGTGCGTCTCCTTCCCACCCCCTGGACATTCGGCTAAGATGAACAGATTTCTCCGGTGAATTTTCCTACTGGAACTTTTCCATGCGCATCAAGCAGCGCATCCAGAGTCGTATGCGCACGAAGAGTCCGGATCGGGTATCTGGCTACTGGCGGGCGCAGCAGCTCAAGACCAACGAGCATCTCTCGGCAGCGCTGGCTTGTTTTCCGCCGCGGCCAATTACGGGGTTCCTTGTTAAGACGTTCCTGAAATATGCCACCACGCATTGGTTCCTGGTGGATGAAGACTGGCTGCTGGACCGTGTCCATCTTTTGTACACCGATCCGGCCAGTCTGGGAGATAAGGCGGCCGCAGTCACCAGTATTTTGCTGTCAGTACTGGCTATCGGAACGCAGTATGCTCATCTGGAGCAGCCTAGTGAGCGCGCATCCAATGACCAGGCATCTGCATTCTCAGAGGAAGATGTGGGCGTGCGGTTCTACGAGCAGTCCATCCGGCTGCTTCCCGAGATCATCGAGCTGTCTTGTCTGGAAAGTGTACAGGCCTGTTTGCTATTGGGCTTCTATGCCCTGCCAGTGGATGCTTCTGGGCTGGGATACATCTATGTGAACCTGGCGGTGCGACTCGCCATGCAGAATGGCATGCATCGCAAATGCCACCGAGATGCGTTCACACCGGTGATGACAGAAACGCGCAATCGAGTCTGGTGGACTGTCTACTCGTTAGAAAGGTCAGACCTACCTCCCATTGTGATCCCCCCGCTCACAGTACCAGGCTCATCTCGATTTTCCACGGTCGGCCCTTGTCAGTCCGTCGCGGGGACGTTGATGCAGATCTGCCTGCAGCGCGCGATGATATGACGCAGACACAGTCGGCGTGGAGTACACAATGTGCGATTATCTCCATCCAGATGCTTGACTGGCTCGAGGAATTCTTCAATGACATGTAGCCCCCCCTTCTCCTTCTCTTTATCTATGCTCGCACTGTTCGACGCTGACAGCAATAGATCCCGTCTCCGCCACGCCCAGCAACAAGACCTCCCCGCCATCCTGGCCCGGCTCATGACGCGCAAAGAATCCTGGACGCGCTGGTGGACAGCTATCCCGGAAGATATCCGCAATCCCGCCCAACCATGGCAGCAGAACCGGGCTGTCATGCACCTCCGGCTGGAATCGTGTCTCGTCCGGATGTTTATCGGTCGGCCCTTTCTCCTCCGAAAGGAGGCCCCTGCAGATGGTCCAGCTGCACCAGAATCCCAAGATCTCCATCCGTCTGATCGAGATGATCTCATCGGGGATTGTATCCATGCGGCTCAGGAGGCACTGGAGATCTGTCGTCGTCTGCGTGTCCACGGTCCGGGACTGGCGCGGGCTTCATACTTGGAGTACAGTGCCTGTCGAGCGGCTCTTCTGGTATTGATTGCATATTCGGTTCAGAGCTTATCGGATGCTCTCCGCCAGCCCATGCGCGAGGGTCTAGCCCTCCTCCGAGAAATGTCAGCCGCGGGTGATTCAGCACGCTCCGAGGTATCTTTCCTCGAGGCACTAGAACGATCCCTGGCCCGGCTGCAGACCGTCACGCAACGACCTGAGGCACCCCAATCTGCCACGCTGGTGTCTGACTACGACGCGTTCCGACACTGGGGGTCCATGTACAAGAAGCCAGCCGACCCCCGCCAAGTACCCAACACAGATACCACCGCATGGCCTCTAGTGGAAGTAGACATCCCGTTTGATCCCTCCCTCGACCTGTCCATTTTCGGCGGCACCAACCTCTCTCCATCAGCCACCTGGCCCACTCGCACGGAAACACAAGTCTTGGAGGAATTCCTCGCGGGATCGAATCTCGATCCGATCTGGAACCACGTGGATCTCCCATGACTGCACTACAGCCAACTGTACCCTACTGTCCTACCCTACAATAATCCAACACCTCACATAACCAAATATGATTACTGCACATTAGACATCCGAATAATCCCCCCCGCCATCCCCTCCAAACTCCCCTCCACCAACTCCAACCCCGCCTCAAACACCCCAAACGCCCCCTCCCGCTCATACACCGTACAATACGCCCCGCGGAACCCGACCTTCGTGGCCGCCGCAACATCCCATAAATGCGCCGCGGCAAACCACTTCTCCCCGCCCAACGGCTCCAATTTGTCCAATGCAGGTCGATACGCAGCCAACGCCGGCTTCGCCACCCCCGTCGTATCACAACTGATAAAGTTCTCCAATGGCATATCGACCCCCGCGCGTTCGAAATAGCCGCGTACCCGTGCTGTATCCCCCGTGGTGAGACACCACACCGTGAATCCTGCGGCGCGGAGCTGTGCGAAACAGTCCCGGGTGCCGGGGCGGAGTTCGAGCGCGGCGTAGCCCTCCACGCAGAGATCGCGCTGTTCCATGGTGGCGAACGCATGGGGATCGGCAATGCCAATCATGTGGAGGGTTTGGTAGAACAGTTCCGTGAGGATGAGTTTATAGGGTTTATAGCTTTCCGAGATGGAGAGGAAGGTGAATTGTAGTTCTGCGTTGGTCATCCAGGTGAAACCGAGGGTTTGGGCGGTGAGGTTGTGGGCGCGGAGTTGCGAGCCGAGGGTCGTTTCGATGGTCTGGTAGAAGGCGTCGAAGGAGACGCACGTGCCGACGACGTCAAAGACCACGTGGTTGGGCATGGTGGATGGTTTTTTGGAGATGGAATCGCTGGGAGGGGGAAGTGCTGGAAGTGGTGGGGGATCGGGGCGGGCAAAGCATCAAATACGCATCCAACCCTCAATGAGGGGTGCCGACACCGGCTGATGTTGTACCTTGCCTGAAGTGGCAGGACGGGCCGGTGCCAAGATGTGATGCAGCTGTCCACTAGTGGGCTAGTGGCAGGCTTGCAGCGCGAGATACGCTCCTGCAGGGGATGATAGCAGATAGGTGATAACTGATAAGGTAGCTAGCTGCGTTATCTTGACTCACGCCGCTTCTGATAGCTATCGCTGTCTCCTGCCCCTGGACGCCGGGGAGAGTTCATACTCAAGGGACAGACTTACAGTGTAGTTGCTGACGAGAATATGTTGAGACATGCCATATTTCTACCTTCTACGCCCGAGGCTAAGAAGGGATATATTCCTTTTGGCCTACGTGGTTCTTGACAGAATACAATATACTATGTAACTGGAGGTGAAAGGAATATACATTACAAACATACCCAGCAAGTACAATACATACAACCAATACATACAAACACAAATAATAATCACTCCCACAAAAAGTTTAACCGCCGCAACCCCCGTTTCGGCGCCGGTTCCGGCTCCGGGTTCTCCTGATAATGCTTAATGAACGGTCGCACCGGCACCTCCTCCAACGGGATAATCGTCGACTTCATCCATAGCTTATATCCAAAGTACAAGACGAAGATGATCGGCACGTTCAAGTACGATGAGATGAACGTCTCGGTACTCCAGTGTCCGTGGATGAAGGTCGTGTAGCCACCGGTGAGGAATAATAGTCCGAATAGTCCGAGTGTGATCCAGGTACTCCAGGGTTGGAACGGGGCGGCCCAGGGCAGCTCTTGGTGGCGATCGATGCCCTGTTTCTTGCATGCGTAGAAGAATCGCAGGTACACGATGCAGATGCAGCCCCAGTTGACGAGCGTGGCAATGGACACAATGTCCTGCAACCAGGTGAACACCGTGCTGGCCGAGCTGGACAGCGTCATATAGCCCAGCGCCATGAAGATCCCCAGGATGGTCACCGCCACCCATGGAATCCCGAACCGGTTCATCCGCATGAACCATTTCGGGGCGTGGCCTTCCGCGGCCATCGCGTACATCACGCGCGATCCGCCCAGCATGTTGGAGTTGCCGGCTGACCAGGCCGAGGTCAGCACCACCGCGTTGATAATCGATGGCACCACTTTGATGCCTGCATTGCGCGCCGCAATGACAAACGGCGACTCGGATGCTGTGCCTGACGATCCTAGGAGATCCGGATCATTCGACGGCACCACCAGCCCGATCATAAACATGGTCAAGACATAAAACAGAAGAATCCGGACGAAGATGCGACGCGCCGCCATAGGAATCGACCGGCGCGGCGAGCGCGTTTCCGATGCTGCAATCGTAATATTCTCGATCCCCGAGTACGAGTATAGAGCGCTGTTCAGGGCGGTCCAAAAACCCAGGAACCGTCCCAACGAGCCGCCAATGTTGAGGTACTGCACAAACGGCCCCGGATCGCGCCAGTACCGGAAGCCAATACTGGTATGATTCGGTCCTCCACCACATGTAATGACCAGCGCCATCAGATTGATCCCAATGACGAGCATAATCTTGAGAATGGAAAACCCAAACTCCAGCTCCCCATACACCCGCACAAACAGCAGCGCGGTAACCAACATCAACACCCCAAACACCGTAATCCAAATCGCATTGTTGATCGTCGTCCAGAATTCAATCACCACCGCCGCCGCCACAATCTCCGATGGAATCGACACCAGGTACGAATAAATCTGGTTCCACCCGTTGGCAAACGCCAGGGCGGGGTCGACGAAGATCTCTGCATACCGGATCACACCGCCGGCCAGCGGCACCAGCGCGCCCATTTCACCCACCGCGAAGACCACGCTCGACACCGCCAGGCCCATGATTGAGTAGGCGAGGAAGGCACCCAGCGGTCCAGCATGGGCGATGGCGCGACCTGAACTCAGAAACAGCCCGGTGCCAATCGTGCCGGCCAGCGCGATCATCTGAATATGTCGCTGGTGCAGACCCTGCTGGAACACCTGCGTCTCATCCAGCTGGGCGGCGACCTCAAGGTCCCCATCCTCCTCATCGCTGTACGGCTGCGGGGCTTTTTTCTCCGAGGTAATTGATCGATCCATGGATGCTGCTGATGCTGAGAAGACGATTCGTGTGAGATCCGACAGCAGCATCACTTGTATATGTTGGTGCCCGACCCCCCGCATTGCAAATGGGGATTCTCCCGTTGGTCCAGCGCATGATGATCCATCCGGAGACCTAGTGACTGTCTAACCCAACTCGAACGCTCTCGTGAGGGCAAAACCTCCGGCCCCCAATCCCCAATCAGGTAACCCCGGCACCGGCTGATAAGCTCGGCGCTAGGCTCCGATAGGAATGTCCGGTCCGGTGGACCGCGATAGCATCAGATAAAGACCGTGCTCAAAATCATTCTTCCTGAATCTTTCCTCCGTCCTTACAGACACATCATGGCGCCCTCGAACTGTTTTCCTGTCGCTACTCCCGGCGAATGCTTCTGGCAGATTCAGCCGGATGAATTGAACGACTTTCGCTCGACGGAGCAGCTCCCTGAGCATTCCGACATCGTGATCATCGGCGGTGGGTACGCGGGTGCCAGCACCGCGTATCATCTGCTACGCGACCACGGCGAGAAGATCCATTCCATCACCATATTGGAAGCCCGCGGAGCATGCTCTGGTGCCACCGGTCGCAATGGAGGACACCTCCGACCCGATTTCTACGGGCATATCCCGACCTACGTTGATCGCGCGGGCGTGCGCGCCGGGGCGGAGATTGCCGAGTTTGAGATCTCCCATCTGCACGCGATGAAGAAGGTCATTGAGGAGGAGAAGATTGATTGTGACTTTACTCTGGCGCGGTCGATTGATGTCTGGTGCAATGAAGAGGCAGCCACCAAGGCCAAGGCCGTGTATGAGCGCATGAAGTCGCTGAATTTGGAGTATATGAATGATGTGGCGTTTTACACGGGGAAGAATGTAGAGGGGGTGAGACTGCTCCATACCTGACATTCGGATTAGGTATGCTGACCAGATAGATCTGCGGTGTCAAAGGCGCCCTCGCCTGCGCGTCCTTCACAGCCGGCACCATGTGGCCCTACAAATTCATCCTCCACATTCTCAAATCCGCCCTCGCAACCGGCAAGCTCAACCTGCAGACCTTCACCCCCGCCACCGCCATCACCCCCGCCACCGAGGGCGGCTTCACCATTACCACCCCCCGCGGCACCATGCACGCCAGCACAGTCATCCACGCCAACAACGCCTACGTCGCGGGTCTGCTGCCCGAATACGAGAAGAACATCGTCCCCTGCAAGGGTATTTGCTGTCGGATTACGGTGCCAGAAGGGACGACCGCGCCGCTGTTGAATAATTCCTATATCAACCGCACGGAAGATAATACCCTGTCGTATTTGATTCCCCGGCCTGATGGCAGTATTATTGTGGGAGGGGCGTCGTCTAAGTTCCGGCCCTTCCAGGAGCAGTGGTATAATAATGTCGATGATAGTGTGCTCATTGATTCGGCGAAGGATTATTATGATGGGTACATGCAGCGGACATACCGGGGGTGGGAAAATAGCGGGGCTCGGGTTGATAAGATCTGGACGGGGGTGATGGGGTATTCCTATGACTCGAATCCTCATATTGGAGCTGTCCCCGGAAAAAATGACCAGTTCATCCTGGCGGGGTTTAATGGCCACGGTATGCCGGTGATTTGGCGGTCCGCGCAGGAGTTGGCGCGGATGGTGGTGGAGAAGATTCCTTTTGAGGAGACGGCGATGCCGCGACTGTTCAAGACGACGCAGTTCCGGATTGATCGTGCGATGAATGGGAAGGAGAGTGATGGGGATATCCTCGGGACGGGGAACTTTCCTTCGACGAAGCCATGATGTGTCACGATTGATTTCGAGTATATAGTTACCAGTTCATGTATTATATTCAGATGGGTTTTCGTGTATTTGTCGGATGTAGTGATTGGCTGATGCAGAACGGGAATAGAAGCTTTTGGTATTACTGTTAAGAGTTGTTGATATATAAGGACTGAACATCGCTTAGCTATGGGTTCAGTCCAATTGACTACACTGGCAATATATATATATCAGCGCCGCAGCCTACATTGACCATCGACAACTCAAAAGCCCTCGCAAAGGGACCATACTCGACGATAAGATAATTACCAGCACTGAGTCATAGATATATATTCATACCCGCTCAGCCGACTGAACGAGTCTGCTTCCGACCCAAACAAAAGCCACCCTCATCCCCATCCCACAGCAACTCCACTTCAGACATGATTTGATCCCCCGACGAAGCAATGCTGCGACCATACTTTTGGTCCTCACGGATTGAAATCCACTTGGCCGTGGACTTGCTTGCGCTGGCATCGCCAGTCTGACCATCTCGTCCCACCGTGACTAGCATGCGCAGCATCTGGTGAATCAGCTCCACGTCCACCACGTCGGTCGTGACAGCAGCTCGCTCAACTGGCGGCTGAGAACCCTGCCTCGCAACAAGTCGAACACTCGCTTCCAGCAACGCCAGATCCGGCCGCCACGATTCCATTGCATACATCTCACGCAACCACTCGATCACTGGAACTCTCCAATCCGATGAAGACCCGCGTGAGAGCTGATACAGTATTGTCCAACGCTCCCGATTGGGCTGAGTCGCAGGAGTAAACCCCATCCAGTAGATCTGTGTGATGTCCCATACATCCGGATGCTCGAGGGTCACCTCCACGGAGGCACGGTCAGATGATGGGTCCAGTTCACTGGCGCGTTTTGCCCCCCGAGCACGGAGAAGACTCAATATATCTGGGAGTGCTGTATAGGATTCGGCAGCGCGTGCAGGCCCGCCTTGTCGCGGGTCATATACCGTTTGAGCGGCGAGAGCCCGGGCTCGTGGTGCCCCAGGGCTATAGGCTGCGAGGAGGTCGATGTGCATGTGTCGGGCTTGTTCGGCCGTGGCGAGGGCATTGTCAAGAACAGTGAGAAGCTTGTCCGGAGTTACGGATGTGTTGATAGACTCGTCGAGGCCGACGTCGAGGAGGAGAGTAGTGGTCTTCAGTCGTCCTGTTGTGGCCGCGTTGTTGAGAGCAAGGATGGCGCTGGCGTGTGGGCGGTAGTATTTCTGGTACACCTATTCGATGCTAGTTCCATCCCGCTGGGCCAAATGGGACAGCAGCTTGTGGATCAGGTCGTGGCTTTGCTGATCACTCAGGGTCTTGTTGTTGGCTACCAAGCAGAGGACATCCTTGTCGCTTCGGGTGCGACTGGTGAGATCGGCGCCTTTGGCGACCATGTAGAATGCTTGTCGCTCCGGATTCTGTTCCACTTGATTGGTGTCCACGGCGATGTGTAACGGAGTGAGCCCTTGTCTGTCGCCGAAGTTGATGTTCGGTGGAGGATGATGTGCAAAGAGAATGTCGCAGGCGGATTCGAATTCCTCTTCGGAATGGTATATTGTCACCAGAACGTGCAGAGGCGTTTCTTCGACGTAGTCATTCTGAACATCAATGTCTGTCATCGCCAATACAATCTTTTGCATGACGTAAAGATAGGAATCGGTGTAGGCGAGTCGAGGGCCAGTGATGCCAGCCCATTGATGAAGCACTTGACCAGACATCAGTTAGAAACATATTACGGCAGGGTGGTCTACTAACCGGTGTCTTTGGAACCCCCTCGAGGGCTGTCGACATCCGCCCCCGCGGCAACAAGGGCACAGATCGCTCCCCCGTTCCAGACTCCACCTTCTGACGCCCTCACGATGGGTGTCGTTCGAGGATATACCTCGTCCCGGTCTTCCAGATCGGCACCTCCCTTGACCAACGATGTTACCAGGTGAGTCATCTGTTGGAGATGCTCATCCCATGCCCCATGGCGGATCCAGTAATGCCACGCTTGGCGGAGATGACCGTGATGCTCCGGCTGATGAAAGCTCATCATGTGCAGCGTGTTCCGTCCACGCGAGTCTTTTGCCTTGCCATTGGCACCGTTCGATAAAAGGTACTGCACGATCATCGCGTCGCCGTACCAGCAGGCAAGCCCCAGCGGAGTGGTGGCATCATCTGCATTGTGATGAGTGGCGTTAATGTCGGCACCTAGCTCGAGGAGGATTTCCATGGCTGGCGTGCTACGAGCAAAGACAGCCCAATGGAAGGGTGTTCCCATGGGCAGTTCGAAGGGGCTATGTCAGTCAGTTGCAAGCCGGATTAGGGCCATGTAATTGGAACATACAAATGAGGCATCATCACTCGACGGGCAGCGTGGGCACCGTTCTCGCCCATCTCGGGCACCATCAAAGCATTGGCCGCAGCACCTGCCTCACGGACTAGTCTCGTAGCGATGTGGCGGATAGAATCCTCTGGAACCATGAATAGCCAATGCAACGGGGTCAACCGGTCACGAGTCGTTGCCATCGAGGCAGCACCCTGGTCAAGGAGATACTCGATCACCTTGGTCTGTCCCGCTTGACAGGCCTTGTAGAGTGGTGTCTCCCCATGATCATTGGACACATTCACAGGCACTTTATTCTCTTCAACCAGCATCTGGACAACTTCCAGGGACCCCAAAGCCGCTGCCACATGCAACAGTGCGTTCCCATCAATGTCGACGACCTTGTTGGCCTTCTGCCACTCCCCAGCTCCTTGTCGGTCTCGGGCGATGGCTATAATGCTTGGCTTTCGAGTGAACGAGTCTGTGCAGAATCCTCCTGCATGTCGAAACCTCTCCCTCGCAGCTGCAACCTGCTGATCAGTCACCCTGGGCGAAGGCGTAGCGAATAAATACCCCTCCGCCACGGCTTGAACGAGCCACTTATCCAGCACCTCATCCGGAAACTCTGACGGTTGTCCATGGGCCTGCATGATCTGCGCGTAGATTGCTCTGGCGGGCGAATACCCACTTCGCGCAGACTCCGTCACATAGCGGATCAGCCGGTCCAGGTAAGACGGCTTGGCGCCGGTGATGCATTGGGCCATGCCCAAGAGGACGTCCCCGGCATGTCGCAATGACTGGTCGTCCCTGGACGCGGCGAACTGTTGTTCCAGTTCCTTCAGGACGGACTGATCTAACCGGTACCAGAATCGCGGACCTTGATTATGTGCGGGATCGATAGTGCCGACATGAGGCGCAGCTCGGCGGGTGTCCTGCGAGACAGCAAGCCTGTAATTGTTAGTGAACGGTCCTTGGACTTGAATCATAACAGCGGTCAGGTCCTACCAAGCGGCAAAAGCAGGGCCGTCCAGCTTCAACAAATCCGGACTCGGGAGACTGCGCTTCCAGGGATCGTCGGCCAGAAGCTGACGCAGAGCCTTGCCGAGTTGCATGCGCAGCGGACTGGGGATGGCCGGGTCTTCCCGCAGCAGATAGAGGGCCACCTCACTCGGTTCCTCTCCGGGTATGTTCAGATCCACTGGTTCACCGCGGTTCACAAAGACCGAAAGGATCACCAGTCCCAGACTGTAGGCGTCAAAACGGAACATGATTTCCGGCATAAAGGCACCAGCACCCCATCGCGACAGGTCTCGCACTTCAGGTGCCAGCCAAGTGCCTGTCCCTCGATAGTCATCAATCGTGAGCTGGTCCTCTTGCGACTCCATATCAATACAGACCCCAAAGTCGCTGATCTTGGCGCACACGGGGACCCTGTCGTGCCCCATCGTCTCGCGGAAGATGAGCACATTGTCGGGTTTGACATCCCCGTGCACAATGTGCAACCGGTGGAGGGCCTCCAGTCCCGAGGTGACATCCAGTGCCATCATATGCTTAACGTCGACGGGATGTGGCCCAAGGAGCCCTTCGTTTTCCACTTTCAGAAAGTCCGTGAGGGTCATCAGGGCTGCTTCCATGAACAACGCCGGGACCGGGGTGTCAGGCAGAGGGTAGTCATACCCCCAGGCCACGAGCTTGGCGATATTGCGATGGTGACGAAGCATCGGGTTACAGAGCGCCAGGACTTCCAGCTCCAAGGACCGCAACTGGACCCGGTAATCAGAGCCCGCCGCAAAGCTGGCTTTGCCCTCGCGCGACAACGGCACATTGACCCGTTTGATGACCAAACCTTCGTTGCCAAAGAAGCGATCGGCAATCTCCTTGTAGACAGTGAACTGTGCTCCGCTGCCAACCTTGACGGCACGGCGCTTGAGGTTGTAGGTCTGGAGATGGCGCGGTCCATGGATTCCTGTTCGCGATAGAATACTGGTAAAGTCGGACATCGAGGTCATCAAGGGGTTGTCTCCGTTCCGCACGGAGGTCACCCTCTCCTCCAAGAGGTTGGTTGGGGGTAGAATGGACCCATCGTAAAACTCATCGTCGTCCACCAAGCTGAGGGGGTCGAGATCGGGAACCTCGGGCCCGTCATCCAAGAGCATCTCCAAGGACCCCTCCGATGCCCCGTCGTCAAAATGTAGATCGAGGGGATCCAAACCATCCACGTCATCCTCGTTGAGAGTATCAAGGGCATCCTGCAGCAAGGCCTCGCTGTCGTCGTTGAGTAAATCCATCCTGTTGAGAACTGAAAAGTGGGTGAAAGGGAAAGGGTCTGTCGAGCGGGGGTTTTCCGAAGGCATCCCCACGGCCACTAGTGCCGACGCTATTCCCGGCCATGCAGGAAACACGAGGCTCACGTCAGCACTAGGCCCCTCGCAGGCTATCAGGCGCGGCGGTTTGGACCCTGACATGGTCGATCAGGAGCCTCCTCGTACTTCATCAGTGGCCGTCTCCCATTCCTCCCTTCGTCTGCTGAAATTGTGAACATCCCACGCTGTCAACATCACACCCAAGACGATGGATATCTATGGCACCGCCGTCACGGCTGTCCAACAGGTCATTCAAGTGACCATCTTCATCAAAGGCGTCATTTCCGACATCAAGTCATATGACGATGATCGGGCCGCCATCCAGCTGCGACTGGACCTGCAGCTCACCTCACTCGAATTCTTCCAGCGTCGCTTCTTGGACAAGCAGCGCGGCCTCTTGCTTCCGGGCCAGTTGCCCAATTGGGTCGGAGAGACCATCTGCAATCTCTTGCTGAAGATGGGTCGCGTGCTCGTAGATTACCGTCTCCTCGTGAAGGAGTACGAGATTCTCGATGCCTCCCCATTGACCCTGAACGATGAGGAGCCTGCCGAGAAAGAGAAGTGGAAGCAGTCGTTCCTGGAACGGGCCAAGGGCAAAGCCAAAGCCCTCAAGCTGAAGGGATACGACTGGGCGCTCTTTGACAAGAAGAAGCTGCTGGGCGTGTTGGCCGAGTACAAAGAGTGGACCGACAGTCTGCGCGATCTGATGCAGCACTTTTCCCAGGAGGCATTATACACCCTGACCGATCACCCGGCGCCATCCCCGTCGGCTGGAGACAGCCTCAAAGGAACCGGACTGGAGCCGGTGGTGAAGAGGCAGCAACTGGCGTTTGTGAACGCACCGGATGATTTTCGGGAGCTCCAGGGCGACATCGTCGAAGGCGACCGTGCATCGGATCGGTTCTACCTCGGCTCCTGGACACATCAGGGTGAATCCACCCCGGTGGTTTTGGAATTCCGGGAATATGATCGCCGCCTGCGGTACGATGATCTCGAGCCAGACGAGATTGCCGAACTGAAGGCCCCCTTGCGCAACCTGGCCTGGCTCCTGCAGAATGCCACGTTTTCCGAGGGGAAACCGGTCGCGGAAGAGGAGTCTCAGCCGACGATCTATTCCCTGCAGTGTCTGGGATACCAGGATCAGGCAGAAAAGGAACGGACGGTGTTTGTTTATCGCTTGCCCGCCCAGAACGTCGTGGACCATATTCCAGAGGGCGTCCAAAGATTGACGACTCTGCACGACGTGATCAACTTGGTCGACCCCCAGACCAAACGGCCGACCAAGCCCTCCCTGGAGGACCGGTTCGCCATGGCCCATTGCCTAGCGCTGACCACCCTGAATGTGCATGGGTCCCTCTGGGTCCATAAGAACATCTGGAGTCGAGGGATCCTCGTGTTTGAGCAGGCGGAAGGAGGCACGATCGGACTCTGGTCTGGCCCGACGCTCGCGACCAGCGTGTCACCCGGTGCTGACCGCGCACGACGACCACGTCTCTTGGCCTTCCTCGGCGACTGGGGATATGCCCGACCGGTTGAAGGGGCCACCGACATGCGGAGTGATTTCGAGATCGAGCCCAATCTGTACCGACATCCCGATCGCCAGGGGGTTCCCACGCGGCAGTTCTCCCGACTGCATGACATGTATGCCCTGGGGGTGGTGCTGCTGGAGATTGGGCTGTGGAAGACGGTCTCCCGGCTCTTCGAGAGTCGCATCAAGGAGGGCCAGCGGACGGGCAAATTGCCCAAGCCCCGGGATGTGCGGGCCGCCTTGACCTCGCTGGCCCAGCGCGACTTGCCCAAGGAGATGGGGGGTGCCTATGCGGAGGCGGTCGTGGCCTGTCTCTCCGGGAATTTCCGCAAGGCCAGTGAGGTGGAGCTGTCGCTGGACTTTCGGGAGAAGGTGGTCGACACGGTGGCCGGGGGGTTGCAGTTGTGATGCCTACCTTGCCTGGACCATGTTTATATATCGAAAGCTACCAGACACCCTGTTCCTCAATTTGATCTATTGGGTCTGTAGGATTCCTGAAGCGTGCCGCCCCATACCATACAGGAGTAGCATGAATACCACTATCGTATGGGTACGGATAGCCCTAATCACTGCAATGAAGCTGGTGCGAGCCGGTCGTTCGGCACTGCCAAGTCAATCGAGCGTGTGCTCGGATGCTGGATCTTATTTCCAGATGAAAATTGCCTCACTGGAGTCCTGCCTGAGACCCTATCGTATGACCACCGTCGGTGGGACGCACTGACCGATATGGGAGAGCGTGTGAGAAAACGAGCGCCTTTCGGCCACTACAGCCTTGGGCGGCCCCGAAGCCTAAGGCTCCAGCTCGCCCAGCTACGACTTCGAGGTTTAACCCGCAAGGCTGCCATGCCAGGGTCCCGCTAGCGCCAACAGAAGGTCCATGCTGTCTGCTTGCCAGTGCAGGGTACATTAGTGCTTATGCTCGGCTGGCTCAACGGACCGTACGCAATTTACGCACAGAGACAGTGGAAATTCCGGACATGCGCATGATCGCGGATGTAAAGCAGGGGAATTGGATGGCCCTGACTCCATGGGTATTTATCTTGTTCCTGTCGTCCTCCCCAACAACTGTTCTGGACCTTCCCGGCCGATTGTGACATTCACTTGATCCGTGGGATCCTCAATCAAGATGTTTCCGGATTGCCCCAAGCACACGCTTCTCCCGCTCAATCCTTTCCTGGCTCGGCCTATGGTACCAGGTGTTGGGCCCGTTGTACCCCTGGGTCCAGGATGTACGTCCTTCCCTTCAGATCCCCTTCCAAATCGCCCCAGCACCACCACTCGACTTTACGTCCAGCGCGGCTGGATTCATGATTAGGGGGTGGGGGAGGGACCAATACTTTCAGAAGCGTAGATGATGACAGAGACAGGGTGGGCGGGGACGGCCACGGTGACAGCAATAGTACGCTCGTCATTGGCGGAGGGGAAAAGCATATTAAACCGCAATGAGGACGGCTTCCTGGAGAAGGAAATTCGCGTGGGAGCAGCGGGGGCCGGGGCGTACACTATATAGTTGCGGTGACACGGCCCTGTTAGTCGGCGTGGAGCAAGGGTGGGATCCACTGTATAGTCCTGTTCCATTCGTGATGGTCAAGCCAGCAGGAGTCTAAACATTAATATCATCATCCTCTGATGGCTTCAACTACGTGTCCAATATCGAACATGTCCCCTCTCAACAAAGCAGACTTGTTTAGGCTGCAGTCTATTTGAAAACAGCCCCCAAAACCATGCATCGACCGTCCAGGACCTGCCGTGGGAGAAGTCCATTATAGTGCGGTGATGCCATGCCCTGGTAGGGCCAACATGGCCCCCAAGTCATTGATCGAGCTAGCCAGGCAGACATTCAATTCAAGTCCCGTCGAACTCGCAGACAGGGCCAAATGAGAGAATGTGCATCGATATACATCCATTGCGCCATGTTGGACCAGATGCCAGGCGCCTGAAAAGGCGAGACATTCCCTCCCCTAAACTGGTCTGCCAGTGCCTTCCCCTCTCCAGTCTTTCGATCAAGTTGAAATCTATCCATCGTTTCTCCCAGTGGCATTGAATTTCCCCAAACACCATGCCATCAATTGACAGCCTGTGCTCCGTTGCAGCAGCCATCCTGTCCTTCTCCAGCTCGGTTGTTGCTGCCGCAATCACTCCACGGGCCCCGATATCTTATGTCGAAAGGTATGTCGAATGCGATGCAGCGCAACAGGAAAAGATAGAAAGGGCATTCGGGGACGTGCACACCCTCGTCACGACCGCGGCAACCATTGATATTTCCAGTCACCCGTGAGTCACCCCTCTCACTCCAGCCTTAAACATGACGTGTATCGATGACACATAGGTGGAACAGGTGGAAGACTTACTTCTGAACGACGGGCGACGGGCTCACGGAAGATGAGAGATATGCCAAGGCCATGTGGAGAGCAATTGCATCCCCCAACTTCAGAATTACGGTCACATCTATTGGAGAGGACAGCTCCCAATGCGGAAACAGGTGTGTATCTACGTCCTTTGCGCTCTGTGGTTTGGGGGGGGGGGTGTTTGCGAGGCTAACCGAAAGGCCTACGGCACAGTCTTGCGTTTGCCGATCCTAACCCGGGCCATAATGATATCTTTATCTGTCCCACTTTCTTCAGGGAGACGACCCGCGAGAGCAAGAATGACTGGAGCTCAAGAGAGATGCATCCACCTGCAAACACTCGACCGAGCCGAAAGGCCGGCGGAGAGGAAGGAGTATTGGTGTCAGGCCAATGAAAAAATCAAATGGTTTGAGATCGCCAGTAAACATCTCCTCCATGAGATGACCCATCTGGATGCTGCTGGGCAGCAAGCCGGTTATGCCGCAATAACGTAAGTGCCCGTCCTACTCAGGTATCACTGACACCGCCAGTCTGATCGACGAGATTAATTCTCTTCTGTATAGGGACGCGGACGGCAACATCTCACACGGGACCCTGGACGTTAGTGGGGGGCGGTATATTGAAATGGCACGCAGGTTGGCGACCCGGTGGCAGCAGAATGAGGCAAGCTGCAAGAAAAAGAATGCAATGCTTCCGTACCGAAACGCTGATAGCGCTACAATGTCAGTATTGGGTAAATATGAACTCTCTCTCAAACCTTCGGTGCTCCGCAAGGCTAACCCCACTGCCAGAACGGTACTTCAAGAAGAATTGCCCTCTTGAAAACTCGATTCCCCTGTAATAAGGCATCATTCCAAGTCTGGTAGGCTAGGGCTCTAGCCTTCTTACCTAGTTAAGATGATGGTCTTACCCACCAGGAAGCCACCGAGAGGTTTCACTCTCGACACGAAGGACTGGCCGCACGAGCTTTATATGTTGATTCCTGCTTTGCCCAGCTCTTGATGTAGTTCATTGTTGGCTTATTTTGCTTACTATTTGCTTGTGTTTGTCTTATACATGTGTGTGTCATCAGTTACGTTTGTAGTTTCTTGGATTGTGTGAATGATCAAGTCTCTGCCGATGTTTTTACCCTTTATTTCAAGTCAGTCTTATCTCCGCCTCGTGCGACAGTCTTCCATCCTGAATCCGATTCAGTTGGATAATCCTACCACGACCGGGGTATACATGTCTTGACTAGAACCACCGGATACTATCTCGGCTGCAAGGCCGGGGTGATGAATTCTCGGATGATCTTGACATCAACCGATCCCGTCTGCACCTCGACCAGGAACTTCTCTTCGTCCCCCCCGTCACATAATTCCCCCGCTCCATCTCCTCCCGGGTCGGTGGCGGTAGTTCCACGGTCAGATATTCACTCTGGGACCACTCGTGGAGGTCCTTCCCCTTCAGGTCTCCGTCGATGTCCCCCCAGCACCACCACATCACCCGGCAGTGATGAGGATTGACGCGGAACTGGAACTCCTCGCCGGATTGGATGTCCTCAGGACGTAGTGGGCGATTGCGGGGAATATAAGGCTGGGCCGCAGATCCGGCTTGGTCAGCAGTGCTGCTCTCAATTCATGCCGACGTTGTTTTCATACCCTTGTATACAACTGACAGTACTATAGGTCAACTGGCCAGAATGTCCATCCAGTGGCTGTTCCCGGCCCATCGTGTCACGCCGGGTGGGGCAAGGCAGCCGAGTTGGATGGGGCCTTACGTAAGGTCCGCCTTCACTCCGGGCCAATGAGAGCGACCGGTCCGCGGAGGGAAGGACACCCGACGCCAACTGGTCAGTCTCAGTCCACAACATATTCTCTATCTGCATTTCTCATATCTTTTCATCTTCCGTGTATATTTGGCTTAGTTCATGTGTTCTTCTGAGTCATGAGCTTTGCTGCCATATCGCACAGATATATATTACACTATCGGGTGTAGGAATTGGCCATTATCCTGACAAGTTGGTGACAAAAAGTGCCAAAATTAGAGGTCAGACCTGGTTACTGCTGTTACCCTACGTCAACCCATCAGCACCACGGCATGGCTCATACCATCGAAAGCTACCCGTCGACGATATCGTCCCACTTGACATGTGGAAAATGCGTCTAGAAGAGTCCGGAACCCCACATGGCGCCCGGTGGATCCGGGCAGTGGTGAACAGGAATAGTTTGCGAGACATCGGCCAGAGTCAATCGTCAATACTCAATGGACCCCAGTGGGAGCCTGTTCGGACTGTGAGAACCGCAAGGACTAAGACACCTGGGTCACGGACTGGCTTCTACCAAGTTCAGCCTGCGGCTCGCACGGGAGAACCCAACTCGTCCACCATCGGTTCCAGCTTACTGGTAGGATTGAGGTCCTCAAGTCAATCACCACCAATAGGCTGCAACACGCCGGCAACCCCAGTAAGGGACATATGGCTACTTCCACGCCACGCGAGCGACGACCCGGGAATCAGGGGCTGGAAGGTTTCCATAGTGCCAGCATGGCCCACCACCTAGCGCCACTTTTCTCCCTCCCTCGTAAAATTCTCGGGAGTCATGTTTCAGAGCGAGCCACCTGGGTGGAGGGTCCACAGGAACAGTGGGCCGATGCCATCGCGAGGAGTGGTTATTCGCCTGTCATTTCCGGAAGTGACAGCCGGCATGGCCGCTCGGAACCCTAATTGCGCATGGGCCGGACCCAGCGTGGATACATCACTTTCCATCGGCCGGGGTGGACGCAGCCCACTTCAAGCGATCGCGCACAATGTTATAAGTAACGCAGGCTGGAGACAGGTAGTCACCTTTCGTCCACAGTCTGGACTACTGACCCGTACCGCAACATGGTTCTCCACAGCCCATCTGACAGCGTGCCCCGCCATGTCGATCGGAAGGCCCTCTATACCGATCTTGAGGCCCGGGTTCGCTACCTGCAGCAGTTTATTGGATTTAATGCCGGTCGGCTGTTCCATTCCTCCCACTGCATCTGTTCTGACATCCAGACTGACTGATGTAGACGATGTTGCTGCCCTCAACAAAGGATCCAAACACATCAAGGCGCTGGCACCGACGCTGGTTGATCGCGTATACGCCAAGCTCCTGGAGGCAGATATCACCGCCCGTGTGTTCAAAACCCGCAGCACGGCCTCGGAGGACTATGACGGGGATTACCCCGAGTTCAAGAGTCCCTATATACAGTGTCGCCGGATGTTTCTGCGATGGTACATGACCAAGCTCTGCTCTGACCCGACGAAGTTGGAGTTCTACGCGTATTTGAATAAAGTGGGGTAAGACTTGATGCTGTAGATTTGGGAATGACAAGTTCCACTGACCACTAAACAGACGAATGCACCACGGCAAAGACCGTATGCTCTCCTTCGACGTGGAATACATCCATATCGGGGCGTGTCTCGGCTACATCCAGGATATCCTGATCGAAGCAGTGATGGGATACGACAAGATTTCCTTTCCCTTCCGACTCGCGTTACTTCGAGCTCTCAATAAGGTCATCTGGATTCAAAACGACCTCTTTGCGCGCTGGCGGCTACGGGACGGCGGAGAATTTGCAGCGGAGATTGAGGCCGCCCATCAAGATCGGGCGCCGGAGTCGGGGACAGCCAGAGCCAAACCGGCCCCGAAGGAAGACATTCCTGATCGTCCCAGCAGTGTCAAGACCAGCTCGTCGTCTTGGACCGAATCGGCCAGTATCTTCTCTGAAGCAGTGTCTTCCGTACCGACATCGTCGATGACGTGCACAGAGCATCCATCGTCTCATGATACCATCTGTCCGTTCTCGCATAGTGGGTCGTCGTCGTTTGAGACCAAGGTCTGGTCGGGGGGTGAGTCCAGCAATAGATCTTGACAAGAGCATGGAAGTGAAGATGGAGAATTAGAAAGGCTGAAGATATATGTTGAATTACAAGGACCGGCCATCGGTCATTTGCGGGTTTTGGTATATTTTAGTCGCACGACTGGTTAAAATAATAATGTAAGCTTGGCCTAGCCCTTTTATTCGGGATCTGCCAAATATATATAGAACATGAAGGAAAAACAATTGACGTGGATTGAGCAATCACATTCATATCAGACACATAACATAACGCAGTAGTCCTCCGCCACATCCTAAGCTATATACTATCCTCACCATCACCAAGACCAGGCCGTGGAACGACGGACCAGGTCTCTGCCGCGTCGCTCAACTTTCCTCTCTCCTTCAGGGGATAGGATTTACATAAACATCCATTCCCATTGAGGCGTGGCCCACTTTGAAAACACGAAAGACTACATAAATAAAGTCCGCACTGCCAGCGCTCGTGCCAGACGCGGACATCTGCTGCATCTGTTGACGAGAGTAAGTCGCTTATAGACAGGAACGGGACGCTCAACCTACCCTTTGATGCAGGCGCTTTCTCACGTAGAATGGCATCTCGCATGGTGATGTGGCTGACTTGACATCGATGGAATATTTTGGCCGCTTATCCGACCATTGATCTGCAGGGAGATAGCCGTTGTCAATCAAAATGGAGGTCAGAACCCCTTCGCTGTCAGTGTACGTGATGGTTGCCGCCTCTTGACCATTCCCTCGCCGTGTGTCGGTATACCGTTCATGTAACATGGCGTATCCCCTATTGCTGCTCTGCCAATTGTCACGGGAAAAGCCGGGAAGTATTGAACTTAAGCGCGATAGGACTTCGAACACCTATGCTCGATGTTAGCTTTTCCATTGGATAATATGAAAAGGGACTTGCGTACCAATAATTCACCGACAGCTGCGATTCTCTTGTCCCGTTGAATCTTGTCCGATGTACAAATACGAACGACTTCCCCATTGGCGTCCGGGTGTTGTAACTCGAGCGCTTGAGCGACGGCTGTCGTGTCGAAAGCACCTCGACTTGGGAGGGCAGCTCTCCTAGCAGAGACAAACACGCGCTGTAGCAGCTCATGATATTTAACATAGATCGTCTTAGTGGTCGATTCTCTGTCGTGTGACAAGCCAAGGAGTGAGCCAACAGTCGATCGAGAAGTGAACGCATGATGAGGTGAGACGTGAAGAATGAAAGGAGATACGGTGATCGATCTGGTGAGCTGTTGTGCAACTGCTGAGCTCACAGGTGGTTCATCAAAAGATAAAGATGTTATGTCCCTGACCGGTTGGTCGCCTAATCTCTCTGGGGCATCCTGCGTCTCGATGGTAACCGTGCTTATCCATGCACAGACATTGCGAGGGTCGGTACCAACCAGCTGTGATAGGCCCTTTGTGGTACATCAGTGCATGCTGTTCAAATTCCTCCCTGCAATGCATCAGTCATATAACCACTGTGCCAAGCGTAGGGGGCCCACCTAACACTGTTCGCCAGATCGGCATCCATTTCTGGCCGTCTACTATTTCGGCGTATACTTTGTAGATCTCGTCCGCGTCGGCGGAATGGCCATACCGCAGCTTTTGCAGATCCCTCAGGAAGTCTGTCACATGCACGTTTGGGATTCCCAGTATGTCGCAAAACAAACCATGTGTGCATTTGGTATTTCCGAGCTGGTCGTACCTGGATTGCAGAGGGCATTTGAGATTAAATCTGGAGGGGCTTCCCACACACAGTGGGGCAGGGACGTCCAGCAAGGGCCGTGGGTGCTATAGGCCGGAACATAGATGAGGCCTTCTGACGTGAATGCTGTCCTGTGCTCAAGTCAGATGGGGACGAGGAACAGAGAGGCCCCCTTACCGCAGCATACTCAGGGCACTAGATGGAGAGCCGACCTCATGATAGCGGGCCTCAATCGCCCATACAGATCGTACAGCCGATCAACATCCTGTAGCTTTATAGAGTCTCTGTTTGCATTCCCGATATGACGCAGGATTGTGAGGTGAAACTCCAGCTCGGATTGCGGGTCTCCAAACCCTAATGCCTTTGCCATCTCATTTAAGACAGCCGTTTGGGAGGCATCAAAGGAGGTTCCATGTTTGAGCCACAGAAAGAATCCCCCTGCCTTGATGAATCGTCCGACGTATTCGAGCGGAGGGGTGTGAATGTAGGTCTTGCCGAGCGGGTACATCGATCCGTTCTCGCACAGTACATCAAGATTCAGTAAGTCCTTCTTCAGCGTCTCATTCCCGCTGATCTTCCCGGCCTCGGACTTCCAGTAGGTCACTAGGAAGCCCAGAAACATCTCTGGTTGGTGCCGAGCAATCTGACGACATTCGGGGCTCAGGGCGTGGTAGCCAGTGAGGGGGATTTCGAAGCGGATCTGCCACATTTGTTGCAGCCACTGCTTCCAGGTTCGGTGTTCCCCCTGTGGGGGTGATGGTTCCTCCTCCGTGTATTGGGCATGGAGGAAGGAAATGTCGAGGGCAGCGCCAACATCCTGAGACGGGTCCGAGACCAGCGGCTGGAGGAGTCGCCAGGCGCCAAATGGCTGGTCATCCGGATAGTAGAGCACGGCGGATGCGGGGGCTCGAATGTGGTGCAAATGGTCTAACAACCTTAACCCGGTGTACGCCGAGGGAATGTCGCGGCTTCGGGTCAGATGCGCCCTGAGGTAGAGGAATTCCAATTGCTCTAGCGAAACGAATGGGCGACGCCGGCCGTTCGAAACGATGATCCGTTGCATCACGCTTGGGTCAGGCTCCTGCACCCCCAGGAGGTCGAAGAGCTGCGATCGACCGGGGTTATTCGCCGCGCCTGCGTCAACCAAGTGCAGTTTCAGGTCGCTGGGCTCCCACCATGGGCGTCGACGATGCCTGCATCGCCAGCACCTGCTTGACTGGTAGAATAGAAGATAACTCTGGGGTTGAAGCTTATGCTGAAGCAAACGTCCTGAATCCTACCAACCAGTCCAGCTGGCGTGCTTCAGAGAAGGGGGGACGGGGGAGGGGGACAATTGGGGTTTGAATCACCCGCGAAGAATGGAAGGGGGAGATACGCCAGATTGCCCTGGTCACTGCTTAATGACCTGCTTAGATCACGAAGAGTGGCAGTAGCCGCTGGGAGCGTTGGAACCACCGTACTTATACCCGCCTACCACTATATAATCGATCCCCCCTGCTGCTGTTTCGCTATGCGCCGGTGTGTTTTATCGCATGTACTTCGCAGGCCGTCGAGCTGTCGGGGTGGCCAATCATTTCGCCATCGCGCTGCCATCCGGGATAGGCGCGTACAACGCGGCTTTCATTGGGGACCTGGAGGAAACACGTTGCAGCCTTATGGGAGCCCCCTGCAACAAGCTGCCGCGGTCGATACTAAATCAAGAAACCCAGTCTGGCCAGGATGGCGGTCAGACCGATCGCTCCATAGGCCAGACACCTGTAGTGCCTCCTAGTATGTGTATGTTGGCCATGCCGCATGCCATGCAGCCAATCACTATCCCTCGAGCTTCTCTCTTGCCGCTGGAGGTCGCCACCATTGCTGCTGATAGGAAAGGGCAGGGTTATAAGGATTGTATACATCGAAACTCATTTGTTTCATGCTTGCGCCAACACCGACCATCCGTTGAGTTCCTGCTGGTCACCTCTCCTTGATCGTCCCGGCGGCTACACAAGACCAGCACAGCCCCGTAGAGCACAGGACATTTTGGCTCTTCCTTGAACGAAGTCCCAAGCTAAAAACAGGGCACCGTAGGCTATATATAAGTTGCTCTGCTGAAAGAGTTCGGATATGGCGCGCTCGCATTCTATCCCTGGACCCCGACTTAGGATATATATTTTACAACGAATGTCCCAGAGGCGCATGGCAAGTGAAGCATAAGTCCAAGGGGAGCTGTCAAAGGAGTGTAGAATGGTGTACTGAACGACCCAATTACTAGATATATATCTGGTACGTGCAATCAGCATGGGAGGTGCAGTTGGATGATTGACTTTATGAGAAGGAGAGAACAGGCTAGTATCACAACTCACTTGGGACCGCGCCTACCGACGGTCCTGCATTAAGCTAATCGGTATCACCCACTACAATGGGTAGATATTTGGCATATGTGATCGGACGAGAAATTAGAACCCCCAGATATACACAATGCCACGAAGGGAAACCCCTTCCCTTTTATACGTCACCCCCAAGTTCTCCCATCCAGGGCCAACCACAACTCTGACCGTGTGAATGCTTTGGATCAAGCGTGGCCTCCCGTTTACGGCTTGACAAAACTCAAAAAGTCCAGCGACAGGTCGGTGAAGAAACTGGCCCCCGCGACGGTCTCCGGGTGCCCGGCCACCGTGACATTGCAGTAGTCATTGAAGCTCCCCGCGGCCTGGCTCTTCTTCTTCAGCAGCGCCATGTAATTGGACAGCAAGCAACTGCGTCCCGGCCCGTTCTGGCAGCTGGCGATGGGGTAGACCGCATCGTTGAACAACACGCGGATGTACTGTTGGTGGGAGGTTTTGCGGCGCGACTCAACCGCGCAGTCGAGGACCTCAAAGGCCACGGTGCCGCGCATGGTGATCCAGTGGGCAATGTTGTACAGGTGGGACTCCGGACGGTAGTCAATGGGCAGCAGGGGTTCATCGTCGAAGATGCCCATGGCCGCCGTCATCTCAGCGATCTGGTTATCGTTCAAAAAGGCCATGATCAGGTTGGGAACCGTAAAGTTGCCCCCCTCGGCATCGGTGCCCACCTGGCCCGGGCCCTGGCTCAGGAGACTCATCAGACTGTTGAGGAACGGGAGGAAGAGGACTTTGGCCGGCCCCACCGAGCCGGGACCGACATCGTAGTAGTAGCTCAGGTCCTGGGAGTAAGCGTAGTTGCGCAACTCCTCCTCGGTAAACACGCCGCACCAGGGGCTCAGACGGCCGGTGAGCTGGCTCTCGTACCCGCACAGATAGGGGAAGAAGAGAATGTCCGACTCGTCGAAGGTCAAGTTGCCGCTGACCATCGAATTGATGCGCTGGAGGGCCTGTGGGGTCCAGGTCGCATCGACTGAGCGGACGTTAGCCAGGGAGTGACCATCCCATGCCGTTCAACTTACAGTCGGTGACGTTGTTCCCGCCGCTGGAGATGGCTGCAAAGGCGGGGCACATATCAGAGGGGCCCAGGGAGTTCCCGATGGCGCTGACAGAGCCGGTCGAGTTGACGCTGACTACGGTGCCGTAGGTATCAGCAAACTCGTACAGGTAGCCATTGACAAAGGCCCGCGCGGTCTGCACCACGCGCGACTCGTTGACCGGAGAGGCGTAGGCGTTGGCCCAGGCGTAGAACGGGTTGCCATCCTCGTAGAAATGGGGATCTTGGGGAGGCCGTCAGTCATGAACGCACGAGAACGGGAAGGGCACGGGTTACATCGCGCCCGCAGCTGGTAGCCCAGGTCTGAGGCCTAATGGACATTAACACGGTCGTCCTTCGTAGGGAGAAGGAGAGAATCGGAATACCTCCTTCCAGCCGGTCATGGACTCCTGCGCGATTTGCAAGGTGGGATTGGTCAGAACCGGGCTCCAGTCCGGGATAAAGGCCAAGGAGCCACGGGCCTCAAAGCCGGTGCCATTGACCGCGGTTTGGATCTACCGGACCATGTCCCCGGTTAGCGTCGGTCGCTCTCCCCGGGTGAGCAGCGAGCCACTGACCTTGTCCTTGATGGCGACCCAAGACTTGTAAGAGCCCGTGTCGGGAAATCTGGCATGGAATGTTCAGTAATGGGGTCTGGTGGGGGAGGTGGCCGAGCCCCTACCTGCTACCATGCCTCACGACATACGCGGCTTGCTGCACGGTGCACTGGTCGGGCACGCTGTTGTCGATGCCGAAGACATTGGGGCCTACCACCCGGATCAGCAACGGCACGGATCGTGGCCCACGGGACGATCGGCCCACCAGCAAAATACGGCGTGTTTCCTCCCGCGTACACCAGAGGGTTCTGGTTCGTTTCGGTGGAAGGAAACAAGATATCGTTGGCCGGGGCCAGCACCTGGGCATTGGTGCCCGTGATGGCGGCCAGGAACAGCGAGGCGACAACGGTCTGCGCGAAGGAGTTCGACATGGTGGCTGCACAGCTGCCATCCACTCCCCAGGTACGAACCCCGATGCAGTATATATACGTGCATAGTTGTCGAGCCGAGGAAGGAGACGGTAGACTAGTGCTGCATCCGCGGGCGCCTGTCGGCCTATGGCCCGCACACGTGTCGGCGCGCAGATTAAAGCCGAGAGGAAGCCCGGTGGTGGCGCAACGACTACAACCACCTCATCTCCTGGCAGCACGCGGACGCACCAATGGCAGCATGCACTGGAGACAACGTGACTGACTGGCAGCCATGTCCAGAGTGTGCCGGGACCCAGATGGTGGAGGATATATTCCTGCTAGTTGCACGCGGGGCACGACTCCCATGAAGTGCTGCTTCGGCTGCCGCGTATGGTGGTCGGGATTGGCGAAGAGTCCGACACAGAATGTCTCTGTCACGTTTCTGATGGACCTGAATTTGACGGTCGGTGGCGGTTACACGGTGGCGGATAAACCCCACAGAGGGCCACCTGCCACCTGCATAAACCTGCAAGGTTCCCGCAATGTTCCCGCAAGGATATCCTTGGCTCTGGCCGATAAGCACAGCACTGGTTCATGCTGCATGTCCGGTCATGGCAGGCCTGGGGCTGCTCGGATCATCCCGCCCGGGCGGGGCATTTGAGGCCCAGGGAAGCGCTGAACTACTCGGATAACCCCGGGTGGCTCCAATTCCCGTCTGTGCAGGTAGGGATCTTCAATGTCTTCTTGGCCTGCTGATGAAAACTTACAGACAGATCCGTTGAGAGTTGGCTCTCTAGGCTACAGCGGGGAGGAAGAGGAAGAAGAACGCGTTGATGGTGGCCAACGTGATCAGAACACGTGATCCTCGCCTACCGACCAACCAGATCTACTCTTATCTTTAGACATGATAATCATCTCGTGATCCGACATTCTACTCAGCTTGAAGAAGTCCTTAATTACCCAATCACCCGATGATCCAGCCAGCAAGGATGGAACCGATGCCTGCCAGCAGTCTACTCCCCCCGCGGTGGTGTCGAGGCCGCTGCATCCCGACCAAGTCCCTCGGTGGACTACAATAGCAGCAGCCGTTCGCTTCGGGTCAAGCGATGGGAATGGACGTTTCAAAACTCCCGTGGCCGGTGGACCCTTCGCTTGGATGCTGACCCATATCCATGCCCCTGCTCCGGCCTAGCAAACCTTGATACAGATAGATGTTGAACCGCTCAAATCCCTTTCCTTCTTGTTGGTGCCACGCTGCTAGCACCCCGTGCTTTTTCTCGTGGTCCCGACCGCATCATCCAGCCCTAGTAAGCGCGGCAGTAGCGCTGGGACACACTGCTCAGGGGCCTCTGGACGAGGAACCGTCGAGTGTGGTAGCTATCACCAAGCGCCTAGCTCATATTAAAGAGTTTATCTGCTTCCTTATTAACCAGGGTGCTTTAGTCTGAGAGTCTAATATTTATTGTCCCCGGAGTTATGAAGAATCGGATTAACCACCCGAGCCATTTAATACTGTTCTTGGTACCGCAATCTCTCACACCAGCTATAAGATAGTGTCTTGTCTGATTATAGAGGGGGCAGATGTTCACGCCCGGTAGGAATGGTGGGATACTTGGAATAGCTTTGGGGGAGGGAAAAAGGCTATATATAGTCTTGCATATCGTAAGTCTTTATTGGAATGTGGAGGGTATAAAGGCGCTGTAGGATCATCTCGGTGATTCTACCTTTGTGGAGATGGTGTCTATGAATAATAACAAAGAGCAGCTGCCTCTGCATTGGGTATTTATGGGTGTCTGGTCTAGACCGGAGTATTTCCCTCAAGACAAGATTATTATCCAGAAGCTGAGTACTGTGACCCTTCTTCTCGAGGCTAATCCAGCCACACTCCACATGCAGGACAAGCAGGACTTGATAGTCTTTTATTACGTGATGAAGACTCCAGTAGATTGCGCGACTATTCTGTCTGTTGTTAAGTTGCTTCTGGAAGCCAAACCAGATCCAGTTATCTTGAATAGCCGTAATCTATTAAGAGCGATGGCCTTAGATGATGCAATTAGAGTTTATGTAGGTTTCTCCATCTACCCCAGTGGGTAATTGAACGAAATATTTCTGAGATTGCTTGTAAATAGCACCGATGGAAGCTTATGCAATGAGAAGGGACAGAATACTCTGTATATACTAGCTATGGAAATTCGTAACCCGGACCTGATTGATCCTCACCTGCTTGATCGACTGTTGGGCTGTGTTGGGGTTAACGATGCCGATATTGATGGATATACGGCCCTACACTATATGGTTAGGCGCCTGAGACAGCCTGACGCCGTTTCCCAATTGATCCATCGGTGGGCGAACATTGTGACGGCAGCCTCGTTCAGGGCCTTGTTCAGGATCATGTGACTATGTTTATTTTGTTTGTTTTACTGTTGTTTTCTTCAAGTGAGTGTTTATAATATTTCTTGTTTTCCTTTTTTCTTTCTTATGCTTAAAGTTCTAGAGTAGTTAGTACTAATATAACCTTATTTTACTATATTAAACGGCCATCTCATAACTTTAAGTATTATTTTTTATTTATTTCTTATTGCTATACACGGCTAGCTTCTACCAAGCTATTAGTAGTTTCTATCCCGTGTTTTTAGTAATGCTTAATGGCTAAAAGTAAAAAGGACTAGGCCCTATCAGCCATCCGGAATCGGAACATCTATATTCTGACCTGTCTAGTCCTGGACCTTGATCCGACGATACCTGAAGAAAGAATAGAAATCTCTAAAGAAAATAAGAATCTCTAAAATAACAAAGAAACTTATTAATATTATAAAAAAACTTCCTAGAAAGAGTTATCTATAAGTAAACCTAACTAATCTATAGATTAGATAGTTCTTTCTCTAGTAAATTTAATTTCTTTATAGACTATTATATTTTATATAGTCTACCCGGCTTTTTAATTTATTATAGTTTTGAATTCATTCCTTCTTTAAAATATCTATTAGATAATAGATTAGTAATATATAATAATTATAATAAATTAATAAATATCTCCAGCTACTATAGAGGTACTATCTAAACTAATATTATTAATTAGTTAGCTAGATATATTGAAAAATTAACAATCTAAAATATAAAAATGTAGTATATTATCACCTAATAAAAAATAATAATAGATAATAAGATTAAGACTAGTCTCAGATAGATTAAATAAATTATTAATATTTAATTCTTATTTTCTTAAATATTTATTATAGTATTTTTATTTATATTAGCATCAGTACTGATACTAGTCTAAGATTTAGTTAATATAAAGAAACTAAAGTTACTAATTTCTGTAAGTTTTAATGGAAAAAATAAGAGTAAGTTCCCGAGCTAGCTTAATAGTATATAAATAAAGATTAGAATTAATTAATAATTTATTAATATACTAATTAAATAGATTTAATACATATTTATACTCCTAGATAGAGAAACTAAAGTAAAGATTAATCTATAGATAAAAACTAACTATAAAGTTCTAATTTTTTTAATTATGATTTTAATTAACTATCTTAAACTAATTTATAAGAATCTAATTTAATAAGAAAAAACTATTAGTAAATTATTATCCTTAAATAAAGAAGCTAAATAGTTAATAATTTTTTAATAGAAATTAATAACCTGCTAATCATGACCGGAAAATATAATTAAAAAAACTTAAATAAAAAGAATTTTTTATATTAAGTCTTAAATGACAATATCCGCTAATAAATAGTTAATATTAAATAGAAACTAGATTTTGAAGACTTCTACTAATAAGTTAAATAGGTAGTTGATAAGCTCATAAAGATAAACTAATTTTTAGAAAAATAATAAAAATATTTTAATATTTAAATAAGTAATATTTTTAAAAAAATAATTATAAATAATATTATAGATTAAAAATTTATAGCAGCAAGTACAGGACCTACTTAATAAGTCTAATAAATATTAAAAAAAATATTAACTAAATACTAGAAGACAGGACTCTATATATACTATAGATTTTTAAAATATTATATTATTAAATATTTATATTTACTACCACAGTACTCCCAAGACTTAAAAAATATTCTAAAAAATAAAGTCTATTAAGTTTTACTTAAAGATAATCTAGCTAGTAAAATTAATTAAATCTTAAAAAATCTAGTTATCTAGTACTCTAATCTTAGAAAAAATATAGCTTCTTTAGATTATTACCTAGAAAGATATATACTAATTAACTAAAATTATAAAGAATTTAAAAAGAATGTTTAAAAATTTAAAGACTATTATACCTTTTCCATATTAAGATTAGTTAATAAAATTTATTTTATAAATATCTTAATTAATACTAGCTGTACACCGTATGGGATAATTAATTAAAATTTTATAAATAAAAATAAATTAAAATATATCCCTATCGAATCTTAAAATATTAAAGAGTTTAAAGGAGGAGAGACTTATATAATTAAATTAATAAAAATATTATTAGATATAAGTAAGAGTCTGTAAAAGTATATATATCTTTATATCTTACTATATATATATAAATATAATATTATATTAGGACTCCTGTGGATAAAATATTAAAATATAATATTTTAAATTAAAAATTCTATATTCTATATTTAGAGCACGGGGGTGGAAATATAATATAAATAAAAATAAAATTATTTTTTAATATTATATATGATTTTTACTAACGCATGGTATACTTAGAAAAATTAAAAAAAAAAGATTTAATAAAATTATTTATAATAAATCTAATAGATATTAATAAGACTTTTTATAAGCTTAACTAGTTAAAAAATCCTGTAGAAGTGAAGAATAAATTACTAAAATCTTATTATAAATATTTAAATATTTTTAATAAAATAATAATAAATATTTTATTATTTTATTACCCGGGGGTGGACCACTTTATAAAAATAATTAAAGATATTAGAGAAAAAAAAGAGGAAGTCCCCTAAGACTTTCTTTATTAAATAAATTAATTAGAGTTTTTAATACTATAAAAAATTCTAATTAATTTTCTAAAAAAAAAATTTATATAAATTAATAATTTTTTAGTAGTTATTCCCGTGTTATTTACCTTAAAATCTAATAATAATTTATACTTCTATATAAATTACTAAGTATTAAACTAAATAATAATGAAAAACTAGTATCTCTTATT